ATTTTAAGTATATGTTAAAGAATAGCAGCCTTTAGCTTCTTTTAAAGAGTGCTTATTCCTAAGTGTCTAAACACTAGGGACTTATAGTACTTATAAATTAGATTTTTCTATTTTTACTTAATTATAGTAATTACATAGACCTCTTTAATAGGCCTAGGTCTATTATACACTAACGTACTTCACAGGCGAGTTGCTCACACACCTAAGTTACTTACTTTTGCTAAGACTCTACTAAACTACTTTTCCTACACTAATGCATTCCCCACAACACTACTTAGACATGCTAAAAGAATGTTAGATATAGCTTACACTTTAAGCTTTTAAATAAGACATAAAACTCTTAAAGAAATGTGCTATAGCTATATGTAAACTTTTATAAAAGATAATAAATAACTATAGCGCGAGACAACTTTTATAAGCTAATTCTATAGCTAAATTATAAAGGCTAGGCAATAAAAAGAAGCAGGTGATTATTAAGACTATACTTAAGCTATATGCGTAAGGAATTTCCTTTTAAATAGCATTTATAGCTAATATAGCTAATTCTTTACGCGCTAAGCGTAATCTAGGCTATGTTTACATAAACTAGCTTAGTACGTTTGTAAAGCATTATTTAGAGCTTAAAGTAAAGTTTTAAGTGTAAGTATAGTTAAAAAATATTTAGCTAATTATAAACCCTATCTTACTAAAGTTGTACATGTTATTATTCTAAATGCTATACTTAGCTTTAATATTCTTTATAAGGCTAAACCTGCTCTAAATTACTCTAGGACTCTTATAAAAAGCTCTTTTATAGTTATACTTACGCTTAAATGTTACTTTAAGCTTTAAATAACACTTTATAAACATACTAGGCTAGTTTATGTAAACATAGCCTAGATTATGCTTAGCGCGCAAAGAATTAGCTATATTAGCTATAAATACTATCTAAGGGGAAATTCCTTGCGCATATAGCTTAAGTATAGTCTTAATAATTACCTACTTCTTTTTATTACTTAGCCTTTATAATTTAGCTGTAGAATTAGCTTATAAAAGTTGTCTAGTGCTATAGTTATTTATTATCTTTTATAAAACTTTATATATAGCTATAGCACATTTTTTTAAGAGTTTTATGTTTTATTTAAAAGCTTAAAGTGTAAGCTGTATCTAACATTTTTTTAGCACGTCTAAGTAGTGTTGTAGGGAATGCATTAGTGTAGGAAGGGTAGTTTAGTAGGGTCTTAGTAAAAGTAAGCAACTTAGGTGTGTGAGCAACTCGCCTGTGAAGTACGTTAATAAATAGACTGTAATAACCTAATTAGCTGTCCCACACAGCCTAAACAACGTTAGATAGAAGACGCTTAGCCCTACGCTAAACAGATTATGTGATAGGACAGATAAGGAATAGCTCTAGCTTTTAGATAAAAGCCTAGCAGAGTGCACTATCTAATAAGCTATGCAGGCTTGCAGGCTATGCAGGCTATGTAGGAACAAGCATGCAAGCATGTAAAGCATGCAAACCCTATGTATATAGTCTTAATTACAACTATAGTTAGAAAGTTGTAATTACTATTTAGTCTTTACTTACTTAATAGACTAAAAGGCATTAAAACTTTTATAAAGAGAACCTTACTACCTTATATATCTTGCACTATATATACCTTCTTTCCTATCCTTACAGATTAGGTTTGCCAGCTCCCTATACAGCTGCTAGGCTAAACTATAACCTGCCTTCTCTATTCTAACTAGACCTACACTCTGCTTAACAGACTGTACACCTGATTAAGCTAAGTCCTACCCCCTCCGCTAATACTCACTATAGGCTGTTGTACTCTTGAAAATACTATTTCGCCGGAGTAAGGTTTGTAACACTCTACTTCTTTATTACACGCAGGCTAGTTTAATTACATAAGTAAAAGTAGTAAAAGTTTATAAGTAGTAGAATACTTACTAGGCTATATAATCTAATTCTTCTTTATATCTAGTTAGAGTTTAAAATAATATAACTATTTAATGCTAATAATATAATCTTATAAGCTAAAGTTTATAATTATAAAGAGGTAGTTTTAGATGCTTTTACTATTAATTTACATGTGCAAGCAGATATACTAGTAGATAAGAACTTAGATTTAGTCTTAAAAGCCCTTAACTATAACTTTAAAAAGTAAATGTTAGATAAGAATATAAAAGCATTAAAATAAAAACTTAGTAGTTATTAAGTTAATAAATAAAAAACTATATACACTAGTATTAACTAAAAGATTTAATTAAACTCTAATGCCTTTTAAGCATAAAATAGTAGAGACTTAAAAATATTTTTCTTTAAATAAGTGTAATAAGTTAATATTTACTAAGTTATACTTATTTAAGCTTAAAATAAAGAGTTTTTTTTAGGTGTTTTTATTTCTTATTTAAAAAAAATCTAAGTTGTAATTATTTATATCTATAAACTTTTTTTTAAATTTTTATTACTTTACTTTAATTTCTTATACTCTAAAGATAGAATAATTACTAGTAAAATGTCTTAGTTTACTATAATTATAATAGTTGCTAGAAGTTATTTGTCTTTTAAGAGCAGGTGTCTAGCTAGGTTAACAGTGGGTAGCTAGGGTGGATTAGAGTACTAACATAGGTGCAGGTCAGGGTGCACTAGAATAGTATACTACCTTAGATGTATTACTAGAAACTTTCTAAGATTAATCTATAATAGGTCTAATATTAAAATGTTAAGTGTAGTTAATAGTTTAGTTTAAAATAGTAAAAGTAGTTTTTTTTATGTTATAAGCTATTAAGTAGGCTACTATTATCTTAAAAAAGCTTTTTTAAGTGTGTTTAAAACCTAAGTTTAGTACTTTTAAGCTAAGTAGTATCTTCTTTTATAAGTAAAAGAACTATTTTAACTTTAATATAAACTTTTTAATAGTAGCACTAATAAAGTAAGCTTTAAAAGTAAAAAATACTTTTTCTTTACTTATTTTTAAAGTTTAAAACACCTATTACACCTCTATTTCTTTATTATTAGTAATAAAGTAAGTTTATAAAAGCTTAATTATTTTTTTATGTTTTTAAACTAAAAGTTATCTAATTTAGCTAGGTATCTAAGCTCTAGGTATTCCTTTACAATACTAGCAGTGTGTCTCTATACTAACGCTATGCGTGCGCGCTTACTTTAATAGTAATCTAAATTAATATTAAGTCTATTTATAATAAAAGCTTACTATTATTTAAACATAAGTTTTTTACTGTCTATAAAGTTTTTAATTTTAAGTATATATTTAGTAAAGTAGCTTTAAAAAAGCTTAAAAGTGCCTAAAAAGTTTTTTACTATTAATATAGTAAAAGTAATTTAAGGCATTATTAAAAGTAATTTAGTAGTTAGTAGAAGTTAATTAAAACTAATAGTTTTTAATCTAGTTAGCTGCTTAATTTATGCCTTTAATTAAGTAACTTAGTTTTTAAAAGCTATACTGCTAAAGTTTAACTTTAAATCTAGTATATTTTTAGCTTTAAGTTCTATAAAAAAAGGTTTAGCTATTAAAGTTAGTAGTTATTTAGCTCTAGTAGTAAGCATTTTACCTTAGCTATAGCTAGAGCGTGTTATAAGCTTTATACTAAGGTCTAAAAGTAGTTAAGAGTTAGGTATTAGTAGTTATCTTTAATTTTAATAAGTTATTAGTAGTTTTTAGGTTTTTACTTTAGCATACTTTTTATAACTTTTCTAAAGGTAATTTTAATTATAAGGAATAAAAAGTTTTAAACTTAAAAGCTTTAGTTAGTAAAAAGTTTTTAAATTTTTTATTTATAATAACTAAATAATTTAATATAATAGTGTGTAAAAATAGTAACTTAAACTAAATTAAACACTTTTTAAAGTTAGACATAGTTAAATAAATAATTAATATAATATTATTAATAAGGCTGTTACTAGTAAGAGTAAGTTTTCTAATATAATGTAACAGTGTAGGCAAGACAATAGGTCTAAATGCAGTAGGAATCTACTTAGAGGCATATAGAAGTGCGTAGGGACTCTACACCTAGAAATGCTATTAACACTTATAGGCCTAGTACAAAAGAATATTAGAAAACTACTAAGCTAGCTACAGAGGCAAGGTGCAACTAAATACATAAAGGAATAGGGGTAACTGCAGGGGACTAGGTTAAGTCATGGTCGGGGCCGATACAGGGACCCTTTGGATAGGATCCGAGCGACCCGAGATGGAACGATTCGTAGAATCGTTACAACTAGATTATTTTACTAAAGGCGCTAAAATAGTAATGCATTTAGCTCTACTATTGTGTAATTAAGTCTTTACTCTTTAAAAAGCTAATAAAGCTGCAATAAAGTAAAGAGTGTGTAAAAAAAAGCAGATCTAAAAGCACAGAGATATAATAATTAAAGAAGGTGTAGATATAGTTGCTTAAAGAGACACATAGTAGCTAGCAGAGCAAAGTAAGCAGCAGAATGCATTAGCATTAGAGCAAAGTTAACAGGCTCTTGCGCGCTGTAGTGTAAGGCCAGGATGGCGCTTACGTGTAAGGCCGAGATGGTGCTTACGTGCGACGGGTATATATACTATTCTGTACGCAATAATTAACGTTGGTTGATTATTCGCACCTTTTTAGTTGTATTGGCGTAGTGGTACAGAGCTCCGTCCTTACATGTAGTTGCTATAAGAAGCCTAGTTATAATTCTTACACATGTAAAAAGAATACTATAGACGCTACTTTATCTTAAATACTTATATTTTTATAGTATTTTAATGCGTTGTTAAGTTGCGTTGTTTTAAAAGTAGAGAAAGTTAGTAAGGCTACTAACTTGCTTATGTTACCGACTCGCTTGTGTTCCATGTTATATACAAACGCGTCTAGGTTTGTAAGGAATTTAGGTGAGGAGAAAGACAGAAGCAAGAATGCTAAGGAATTCCTCTGATTAATGCCCTTAATAAATTGGTATCTCATCGTAGAGCTAGCCCTCAGGCTTCCTATCGCTACGCGGGGTACAGAGTGAAGGTAGCGTGTATATGGGTGGTCAATGCACCGCCAAGGAATTCACACAAAAGTACGCAATTTACTCCAGCGACTCCAAGCCACCAGAGCCTCAAACAACGACATGCCACCCCAGAGTCGAGGGAACGGAGTTCCTCCAGGCTTTCAGTCCAAATCCTCACCAAATCTTCCCACCCCTCGATCCCTCCAGACCTCCTCGACTGATCCCGGTCGTGATACCCCCAGCCCAAACACCAATATAACCACCAGCCCGCTTTCTTCAATCCCCAACACGTCCCCTTCCGAGCCAGCGTCTGTCGAAGACTACCTCCAGGACGATGTTCAGGACGACTTCTCTTTGAATCCCTCTTCAGAGTCCGACTTGGAAGATTCAGACAATAAACCATCAACTTCCCGGCAGCTGTATACGTCACGCTCCCATACCCACCTGCCACCGCATACGGCTACCACGCTCTTTCCTCCCTTCTACAACAGGCCGCCAACCCCGCTTCCCCCATCTCCTTCGTTGACATCCCTCCTCCGGCCTTCGTTCAGCACACAGACGTCGCGTCCCACCACCCCAGACTCGTCGGATGTTGATTTGCCCGCGGCCACTGGTACTGCTACGAATGGGACAAACACGCCGACGTCTACGACGACAAACCTAGCAAGCATTACTAAGTCGGCACGCCATGCGCCGATGGTGCCTCGGGCGTCGCCGAAGGTCCCTACATACGAGTACTATGGCTTCGCGCTATATCTGGCGAGCTCTGCGGCGTTCTTGATGTACATTCTATGGGCATACGTTCCCTCTCCTCTACTGCACCAGATGGGGATTCACTACTATCCCAACCGCTGGTGGGCGCTAGCCGTACCTGCATGGATGGTGGTATTCGTCGTGTACATATACGTGGCGCTAGCGAGCTATAACACTAGATACCTAACATTGCCACTGAGCAGCTGCGAAAACTTGGCCGATGAGTGCGCGCAGGTCGCAGTGATTGATCGGCGGACCGGGAAGATAGCACGCGACCGACTAGTCGGAAAAAGTAAGTGGCACGAAAACGACAAAGACGGCAAGGGCCAAAGCAGCTCGATCTCAGCAAATCAGTTTAGCGCTTCTGAAGACGTGGATTGGAAGAGACTTTGGAGCACGGGCACGGATGCGGTTATGGATGTGCCAATTGGAGGCGTGTGCGAGATTCTGTATGGACGGAGTCGCGAGCCAGCAGGATGATCCACCATGCATTGTCAGCTTTGTTCATCACTGCCGGACTCTTATTACGCGAATATCTCTCCCACTTGTGTCCGCGAGCGGGAAAGCCTGGAATGGCCCCAAAAGATGTGCGAAGATGTACCTCCAACTGCAAACCCCACGTCTGAGTACTAGAGGTGCTCCCGACTTCGGCAGGGGTGGTTCATTAGCTACCCCGCCCGTGCCATTGCTACCCTATCAGCAGCCATTTGAAGCTCGAGCTATCTCCGAGGATCAGTCCTGAGAAGGGAGATACCACTGCGAGAGATGGCTGGTATTTTCCAACCTTCTATCTAGCTTTCTTCTTCAGCTCCCTCTTCTACTTGCTTAATTGATGTTTGTTGCCCTGTAATACCATCAATTTAGCTCAATTGATTCCTAGAATGCAGCTCCTCCTTGCTCTACCCGTTCTTTCCTTGGTTACCGGAACTGAGGCTGCTGAGACCATTCTTGGGGCCTACATCTTCCATCGTCATGGCGACCGCACTCCCAAGTCGCTGCCACCAGCAAAATTGACTTCTCTGGGCTACGACCAGGTCTACTCTGCGGGCCAGTACTACCGCTCCCGCTACCTCACTGGACCTTCTAAGATCCGCGGTATTGACCCTGATGTTGTCAAGCTCTCTCAACTCTCTGTTACTTCCCCTGTCGACAATGTCCTCCAAAACTCAGCCATGGGCTTCTTGCAGGGTTTGTATCCGCCGGTGGGCGAGACTATGGCCAAGCAGCCGCTGAGGAATGGCAGTGATGTCCAGGCGCCGATGAACGGATACCAATTGATCCCAGTGAACATTGTTTCGTCCGGTACTGGTAGCGAGGACAATGGCTGGCTACAAGATGCTACTGGCTGTCAGAACGCGAAGTTAAGCTCTAATGGCTACTTCAGCAGCGCCGAGTACAACCGCCTCTTGTCGGGCACTAAGGACTTCTACGGGCGGCTGGTTCCAGTGGTCAATGGCACGTTCGACGAGAGCGATGTCACTTTCAAGAACGCTTATGTTGGTGAGTATCACTTTCTGCTTAATCACATCCTGGATTATTCTGACCAGATCAGTCTACGACCTCATCAATGTCGCTGAGATCCACAACACCACTATCCCTTCTTCCGATGTCCTCACTAATTCAACCCTCTTCCAAACCCGCACTCTTGCCGATGCCCACGAATGGGGCCTTGCCTACAACGCTTCAAGCAACATGCGCGCCATCTCCGGCATGCAACTTGCGGGCGAGATTCTTAAGTATATAAACAGCACTATTGTATCCGGCACTGCCAAATCTAGCGCCAACAAGCTCGGCATCCAGTTCGGCGCCTACGCTTCTTTCCTGTCCTTTTTCGGATTAGCCGATCTGCCAAAAGCGAGCCCGGATTTCATGGGCGTACCAGACTATGCGAGCTCCATGGTATTAGAGCTCTTCACCAACGTAGATGTGCCTAGCGGAAGTTTCCCTAGCATGAACGACCTTCAAGTGCGCTTCCTCTTCCACAATGGCACCGCTTCGAACTCGAGCGAGCCTGTGGCTTACCCCCTTTTCGGCGGCAGAAATGACGCCCTCTCCTGGAACGACTTCTCGAGCGAGTTGAGCAAGTTTGCTGTTCGCACGACGGAAGATTGGTGCCATAAGTGCGGGAATACGACTGGAACATGCGCACCGTATGCACCTGCCAACAACAGCCCTCCCGCCAATTCGAACAGTAGTAGTGGAGGACCCCACATGTCTGCTTCCATTGGAGGCGTTATCGGCGCCTTTGTTACCCTGGCGTTTATTCTGGGGACGTTGGCTGCAGTTATGTTGTTGGGTGGACTGAGGCTCGTGACTAAGAAGGCGCTTGCTGGTCGCTCTACCTCGACTTCGGAGATCTCGATGCAGAAGGCGTAGATTGCGGAGGGACGATGTAACCTACGGTATAAAGAGAGAAGGAGAGGGCGTTTGGAAGGAAACGAACAGGTTAATGGTATACGAAATAGATTATTGGAAGATGCTGAGCTCTCGCTCAATGATGGGCGAGGTGGCGAGTGATGGCATACGGACGGGCATGGAATTGAAAGATGTAGCAAATGCCTCAATATGAACAAAACCTCACAAATCCTCCCTCAACCCATGTGTCTCAACTCCACGCTACCATTAGTGCAAGGCATAAATCATCACCCACACGTACACACACGGCTCCAAACCAAACTCAATATTACGCACTTCTAACCTACAACTCCCCCTCGGCCTTCTCGGCCTAGTACATAGCCTCACTGATCTCCAACAACCCCTCATCCAACTTCCTCTTCGCCTGCACTCCCACCTCCCGTCTCTCGCTCCCCAACTTCTCAGAATAACACAACTCCACCAGTCCCTTAACAACCTCATACCCAAACCTCTCCCCCGGCACCCCAAACCCCCTCCCATATTCCCGCGCTCTCGAAATTACAGCATCCGGGCCTGCTGTAAACAAATCAAAATACAGCGCTGAATAAGGCATTGTGGCTTTTGACGACGATGAGATATTCTTTAGGTTTTGTTGGAGCACGAGGATGTTGAGTTGCATAAGCGCACACCCGTTGCCGTTTAGTGCCTTTATATGGGTGGTGGTAAGGAAGAGGAAGGCGGTATCAAGGAGGGGTGAGAGGTGGGCTGTTAGTAGGGGGATTTGAGTGGTGGGGATGTGGAGTTGGAGCTGGGTGTCGATGTTTATGAGGAGCGTGTTTAAGGAGATAATGCCCGGGGAGGGCTCGGGTTGGGGGAGCGTGAGGAGGTAGTTGGTGGAGGTGGAGGGTTGGGGGGAGAAGGTGACGGCGAGGGAATGCAGGATTAGGGTGCGAAGGGAGATATGTAGAGTGCGGAGGATGAGGGTGCTGAGGGAGAGGTAGGAGGTTACTACTTGGTCGAATGCGCTAGGGTGGGGTTAGAACAGTACAAACAAGAATGAGAGGATTAGGAGGCAAGGGAAGGAAGAGGGTCATACGAAGCAGTTTCCTTATTCAACGGAAGATACACCGGCACACCTTCTGTGCGCGGTTCTGTCGATGTAAGAAGTGTCCATCGCCGATTATGTCTTGGATTCCCTGGCTCTGCATTCGAGGAATCCGTCGCACGGTCGCTAATATGCCGGAGTTGAGCGACCTTTGTGGCGAGCCATTTCATGCTCGTATACAGCAGACACAAACTCGTAATGCTCTTTTTATCGCGTATCAAATCTGCCTCGTCGATCGAATCTTCTTCGACTTCCTTTATCAAAAGAGTGATCTCTTTTTCTACCAATTCGGCTGCTTTATCAGGTTCGGCCTGGAAGAGCGAAGATACGACATCTGACAGTTCTCCGGATTCGGCGAGGGCGGCAGATGCTTTTATTCTTCTCCCGTTTTGCTTAGCTTGACTGCGGCTCACAAGCGCTTTATACCATCCACAGCACTTGTCGTAATACGTCTGCATTTGCGTGATGATGAGTTGACTGAACGCCTGATCGTGCGGAAGATTATCCAACATTTTACAGAAAGCGGTGATCAGGGTGAAGAACTTCGCCGTGCCCTTGAAGATGGGCTTTTTGGAATGCTGCGCCCATTGCGGCTCCGGCTGGAACGCGTCGATCTCGATGAAGGTCTGCGCGCAGAGTTCGATGAGAGTTTCTTCGAGTTGCGGGTGGAAGACGTTGACGAGGAAGTCGTCGAGAAAGGAGGTCAGCGTGCTCATGACGATGTCGGAGCCGGGGGGTACGACTTCTTTAAGTCTGTTGAGGAAGTCTAGGGAGGGTGGGAGGAGAATGCCCATGTTGAAGACGCTGGGCTCGACGAGGAGTTTGTGGCCGGTTGCGCTACCATCGAGATTGGTAGCGTTGTTAGCGGAGAGATCGTCCGGTCTTTTAGAATCGGAGACGAGGCCCGGGACTGAGGACTTTAGGATGAATTCGAGGTCTTCGCGCTCAGTAGTGAGTTCGGAAGATTTAGTGTCCATGTCCGAGAGCTTGAACATTCGCTTGTTTCTGTCCCGGGGCGCGCGGGAGAAGACGCTGCCTGTGGGCGTTTGGCCTTGGCCACCACTATACAAGAGGTCACCGTCTGTTGCGAGATAGTCATGGAGGAGTGAGCGCATCTCGCTCTGGTATAGTTTCCACAACTCCTTAAACCCTCGAGTCAACGCTACACTCGACGAATCTCGAATGCCTTCTCGACGAACAATTCCGGCGACAACATCATGGATCACTCGATGGCTTTCTGCAATGGCCTCAAATCGGGCATATAGTGTCCACAGCAGGTCATTGAGCAGGCCGGTTCGGAGGTCCTCACTGTGGACGTCCGTATCAGACTTCCCGCCTTTACGCGTAGCGTATGCTTGCAGTATACTAGGGTGTCTCTGTGAAACCTCGTTGTTTGACTTTTCAACCACCTTGAATAGCTCGACGGGCAGGCGCTGCTCGATAGTATCCACGGCTATGTCCAAGCGGTTCATACGGTTGAGGGATTCAACGACAAGTTGTATGTATTGGAATGTGTCCGCTTCTGGGTTTCGAGGAGAATCGTCCGTCATCGGCTCAGAGGTATCTAGCTTATCCAGGAAGTGGTACAAAAGTCTTCCCCTAACATCCGTCTGAGCACGTTCCGACAACTCGCCTTTGGATTGGTTCTGGGCGTACACTTTCCACCTATCCTCACAATATGGTGATTTTAAGTAAAGATGGTTATGTAACTCCTCGATTAAGATGTCCGTTAGGGAATGCTCCTGGTTACTGAGGTATATCCGTAGGTCACTGAGGGCGCCGATATTCTCCATTTCCGACTTCCGTATCATCCGTAGAGCATTCTGGAGAATGTCGACAGCGGTCAAGAAACGCTTTTCAGAGATGCGGGCCTCCAGCTTGTCAGGTACAAGCTGCAGTTGTTCTATTATGTTCAACACCTGGATCATCTCGTCGTAGTTCTGTGAGGCTGTTGCGAACTCCTTCAATTCAGGCTTTGTTGTGGAAAGATGGGATTTCGCTTGTGTGAGCGAGTCTTTGAGGTTCCTGACACGGTACTGCGACTCCTGGATGCTTCTTTGGATTTTGTGGAATGTGCCAATGGAGCTGTTAAAACCCTGATGGTGCTCGTTCACAATGGCCTTGAGCGCACGCTGCAGCTCTTGGTGGGTTTGTTGGAATCGATCATAATCCTTTGCAAGCCCCAGAGAGCTCGGATCTAACAGCTTGAGCGAGATTTGAACTGGGACACATTTCTCGTTGGTCATGAAGTCCCAGTTCTGCTGTATATACCGCAGAATCTCTGCCAACATGTCAGCAAAAGCCCCATGCACCTTGAATTGGTTCTAATAGACTTCACAGCTATTCATTCTAGACTGGACCGCGTACTAACCTTCCATCTGGTGACTCCCTGCTCCAAAGCGGCCGGCGCCAGGGGCAGTTTGGCTTCTACTCTGACTGGAGTCACTTCCATAGCTTCCATCTCTGCTCCTACGCTGCGTGGCTCGCGACCGTTCTAAGCTTGTGGGCCTTTGCACATGTGGAGTATCGTCTTCTTGCGGCTCTGCAGGGGAGAAAGCCCCGTAGCCACCAGGGCGGCGGTTGCGACGCGATTCGCCGCTGGGCCGCCGTTGAGAGCCATATTCATCGTCCACCGCCCCAAAGTTCCCGTAACCACCATTGCTGGAGAATCCATTCGTATAACCTCCCGTGCCGTTAGGGCCCGATCGAAGAGAGCCGGGGAGTCGTGACATGACGGTATTATGCGTCGCGAAGGGGGTTCGGTAGGCTAGGAGAAGGCTCCAGGGTCATGGTGTATACAGAAGGGTTCGCGCGTCGGCCAAACCGTCCGAGGGAGCTTCACTACTGCGGAGGGAGCTTCGGAGGTTGCATTAGAATGGTAATGGATCTGATCAACTTCAGGGTAGCCGCAACAATAGCAGCGCCAAGCAACTCAACACGATGAATCGCGAGGACACGACAGCGAGCGAAGGCGGTAGAGAGTAGAGCCTGCCCTCGTGTTCGACGACCCCTCGCTTTCTTGTCCACTCTCTGGTGAAACGCCATTCATCCTCGACAGCGCGCCAAGACATTTAACTCGCCGCAAAGTTTCTCCGGCCCGCTGCGCTCAAAGCTCCATCTCGCCCTCACCTCAATTCATTGTCCTCACTTTCAGCGTGGGCGTCGGCAAACCTCGCGTTTCTCATTGCTACCACCCTTCCAAGCATGGGCGCCCCATAATAAACACCCAACCCCACCTCGGAACAGGTCCAGCTTCCAATCCCTTTCGCGTTCTTCTCCATCGCACTCCTCCAACATGGCTTCAACGTACGATCAAGCGAACGGGATGAACGGCCACGCCGCTCTATTTCCTCCCCCGCGATACTCGGAGATTCCCCCGGCAATCTCTGTCGCAGTCGCCGAAGTCGATGGACCAATCGATGTCGAAATCTCCCTGGACGAGGACATCCAAGACGACCCGACGGAGCTCTGCACGCTGCTGGAAAATGAACAGAGCGACAAGAGCACGTGGGTCAAGGTCGCCATTGCATATGCAAAGCACAAGAAGCTCGACGTTGCGATAGAGGTGCTGAGCAGGGCCGTGGGCGCCTTCACAAGGGCACGCGCAGAGGACAGGCTGAGCATTTTGAATGCTCTCTGCTGGTTGTATCTTCTCAAGTGCCGCGAAGCTCCACGCGTCAAACCTGGTATGTCCAGCATCCTCTTTCATAGTTATATTGGACTTGGATGCTCACTTTTACAGACGGCCAACTGCCTTCCGAGGCCAGGACCAAGGATTTCTATATGCAAGCCGCCACCAGCGTTCTCAACGATGCATCCCGCATCAGCCCGTCATACCCCCCCCTCTTCCTCGCGCGTGGTGTCCTCTATCTCCTCCGTGCATCTCTTCAAGCGCCCTCCACCGCAGCTGGGCCGGGCCAGATCAGCGCCGAGCGCTTGGAGACGCTGAAACAAGCAGCAAAGTGCTTCGAAGATGCCCTCCGATCCTCAGGCGGTAAGAACTTGATGGCCAAGATGGGAAAAGCCAGAGTGAATTACTCCATGGGCAAATGGGCGGATGCCTTGAAGCTCTACCAAAACGTATTGGAGAGCTCTCCTGACTTGATTGATCCGGACCCACGGATTGGGATTGGATGCTGTTTCTGGCAGCTTGGCTTCAAGGATGATGCAGCCGGAGCCTGGCAGCGAGCGCTCGACCTGGTAAGCACTCGGAGTCGAGGCCGACTCGAAGTTGGTCGCTAACTCTTCTCAGAATCCCAAGTCAAAAGTCGCCCTCATCCTCCTCGGAATCTACAACTTCCACCTTACAGCCCGTCTTCCACCTTCCGACCCACAATTCGTAACTCTGTCGAAGAAAGCAATGGGCCAATACATCGCGCCTTCATTTCAGCTGGACAACAAGTTCCCCTTGACCTGCGCAACCCTCGGCAGCTGGTACATTGTGCGAAAAGGACTCGACAAGGTCGAGGTTCTTGCTCGACGCGCCATCGAACTGACCGACGTCAATGCCATTGCCAGTGACGGCTGGTACCAGCTTGCCCGAAAGGAGCATCAGAACGAAGACATTACGAAAGCCATGGATTACTACACAAAAGCTGACCAGGCCCGCGGAGGCGATGAACGAGGCTACATACCCGCCAAATTCGGCTCCGCCCAGATGAGAGTTCTGATGCAGGACAACGACGGAGCCAAGTTTCGACTAGAGAAAATCCTTCAGCAGCAGCCCATCGTAGAGGCGCAGACTCTACTGGGTACCCTTTATGCAGAAGACGTCTTCACTGCCCAGACGACAAAGTCAAAAGAGGATAGATCAGCCGAGCTGAAAAAAGCACTGAAGTATCTTGAAGATGTGAGCAAGGCCTGGAAAGACCCGAAGAAGAAACAAACGCCTGACCAAGCTGTTCTCCTAAACCTCGCTAGACTCTACGAAGCTGATCATCCCGATAAGAGCCTTAAATGCCTAGAAGAGGTTGAGCAGATGGAACTTGATGAAATCCCTGAGGAAGACTACCCTGAAGGAATCGAGGACGATGTTTCAGCGAAGGCGGCACTCAGGGAGCTCTTGCCCCCGCAGTTGCTCAACAACATGGGCTGCTTCCATTACCAGAGCGAACGCTATGCCCAAGCCAGGGATCTATTCCAGGCTGCTCTCAATGCTTGTGTGAAGGCCGCAAGCAAGGATGAAACAATCGACACTGATGCCCTCGTCACCACTGTCAGCTACAATCTGGCTCGGACCTACGAGTCAGAAGGAATGCTAGACCAAGCGAAGGAGGTATATCAGGGGCTTCTGAACCGACATGCCGATTACATAGACGCCCAGATTCGACTTGCATACATCAATTTGCGACAGAGCCCAACCGATGAAGGCCCAAAGGCAGTTGCGGAGCTCTTCTCCGACAAAGAAAAACAGAAGAACCTTGAAGTTCGAGCGCTCTACGGATGGTATATCAGCAAATCCAAGAAGCGGACTCTGAATTTTGCCGAGGATCAGGAGCAACGACACTACAAGCATACACTCCAATTGTGTGACAAGCACGACCGATATTCCCTTACGGGAATGGGCAATATCCACTTGGCCATCGCTCGAGAGATGCGGAGAGACACTGAACAGGATAAGGAAAAGCGCCGAAAGACATACGAAAAGGCTGTCGAGTTCTTCGACAAGGCGCTGCAGCTGGACCCAAAGAATGCCTATGCCGCCCAGGGTATTGCCATTGCCCTGGTGGAAGACAAGAAGGATTTTGCGACAGCTCTTCAAATATTCACCAAGGTGAAGGAGACGATGAAGGATCATAGTGTCTACATGAACCTGGGCCACACCTACTGCGAGATCAAGCAGTATGCTCGCGCTGTTGAAAATGTATGTTAACCGAATGTGTGTGTCCGGTTCAACCACTGACCATCTGCAGTATGAAGCCGCTTTAGCCAAAGAGAAAGCGCGCGACCCAACAATTCTTGCCTGTCTCGGACGAGTCTGGCTCCTTCGAGGAAAGCAAGAGAAAAGTGTTCAAGGGATGAAGACTGCCCTTGATTACTCAAAACGGGCGCTCGAAGTGTCACCCGAACAGATCCATTTCAAGTTCAACGTCGCATTCGTTCAATTCCAAATCGCGCAACTCATCCAAGGCCTCCCCGACTCACAGCGCACACTCGCCGAGGTCGAGGCTGCAGCCGCTGGCCTCGATGAAGCTATCGAATCCTTCACTGCCATTGCCAGATCACCCAACCCACCCTTCCCAAAGAACGACATTGACCAACGCGCAAGTATGGGTCGGAACACCATGCGCAAACAGCTCGAGCGTACCCTCCAAAGCCAACGCAAATATGAAGAAGAAAACGCTGCAAAGCTCCAACAAGCCCGCGAACTCCGCGATGCCGAGCTCCGGAAACGCGAAGAGGAGAGACGAAAAGCAGAAGAAGCGGCTGCGGAACAGAAGCGCAAAATTCAAGAGGAGCGGCAGAAGATAGAAGAACGGGATCGGGAGTTTATAGAGAAGCGTCTAGAAGAAGAAAAACGACGACAAGAGTTTGTTGAAGAGATTGAAAACCGCAAGACCGAAAGGAGCAGTAATCGTAAAAAGGGCGGCAAGAGGAAGAAGAAGGGTGATACGGATGAATCTGAGACTGAAGGTCTAGACTCAGACGCTGCTGACCGTCCTAGGAGACGTAGGACCAGTGCGAGCGGAACAGAGGGGCTGTCAGAGACAGAGCGTCCGAGGCAGAAGAAGAGGAAATTGGAGAGGAAAGGTGGGAAGCCGAATAAATTCAAGTCGGATGAAGTCATTATCGACAGTGACTCGGAAGGTGAGGCTGATCTTCCGGCCGATGAAAATGGTGCTGGTAGCGCTAGAGGAAGCAGTGAGAGTGCAGATGAAGCGGTCTCAGCACCCCGTCCCCGCAAGACTGCTCGTGTCATCAACGAGGACGAAGACGAGGAAGAGGCGGGTTCTCCGGGGACTCAGAACAACGGTAATACAACTATGGTGGATGAAGATGAGGACGAGTAGCTCCATCTTTCTTTTTTGCCAGCCCGGGTCTGTGGCTTAGGTGATTTTTGTATGCATTAGCGCTCTGGCGTCTTTGGAAATCCGTTTTCATATTCCTCCCGGAGATCAATCGGCGGTGGACTGGCGGATCTATATTTGGTGAGATGGGTACTGGAATAAAGTTCAAGTGTGTTGTTTGTTTGGGAACAAACACTTGCTAAAATCATGTAATTGAGAGTGTTTATCTTTAACCCACCCCGTCCATATAGCTACTAGCTACACATGTCAGTAGCTTTTCTATATTTCGGTTGCGTGCTCTAACTATCCCTAGGACAATGACGGAAAGAGACCCGGGACTTCGGTAGACGTCAAGGCGGAATGGGCGATACTTCATATCCAGCTTCAAGCGGATACGGCTGGGAAGAGAAGTGGGAGGGTAGGATATCGAAGGTGTTGAGCTAGAAAGGGGCGGCTGGGGTTCTCTCGGAAATAGGTTGATTCAGGATCTATGCTAGAAATAGGATAATAGACGTTAGCTAGCCAGGCGCCTGTAGCTACGGTGTGGGATCGGCCATTAACTGCTGGCCCACTAGCTTCAAAGCCAGTTTGAGGTTTGTAGCCATGCCTTCTCTTACCAATCTTATATTCACTAGCTTCAGCCCTTTCCTAAGCTGGAAGCTGTCGCGGTGCAGGACTCTCTGTAGTTCGCTTCCACGTGCCTACGTCGTGGGTTTCGATATCATATGACCCATCATCAGGAGCACCCATCCTCTCAGGTGCTTTCAGATACTGCCACGGTACAACATCATTATATTCAGCATCCAACCCTTGAATCAGCCGCTCGAAGGTGTAGCTGTCATTGTAGTGATGAAGATGACCGCATCAAGCTTATGTCGAATGAGAGTGCTAAGCTCCTGTGTTGTAGCCTGGAAACTGCCATCGCCCTGGAAGAAAATGGTGCAGCTACCGGTTTGGAGTTCTCGTTTCGCGAGAGATATTCCTTGGGTCGCGGGAAGCATGTGACCGATGGATAACCAGATTCCGGAATTAATCAGTCTAGTCTTTGGAGGGAGGACGAAGTCGCGGCTGCCCATGAGTGGAGTGTCATTAGCACAGGCAATGATATCTCGGGGGCGGAAAAAAGAAGATAAGCGTAGGTAAAAAGTGTCCTGGTTCATGGGGGCCAAAGGGTCAATGGGAGGGAGTGATTTTGCTAGATTTCGGATTATGGGAAGGCTTTTGTTCGTTTAGATTTGCTCGGGTAGATTCGTAGAGCTTAGCCGGTCCAGAGGCTTCCTCATGAAGTTTTTGATGTGGAGGTTATGAACTATTGATTCTGCAATTCAATGCTCTTTCGACGAAAAGCGATGGCGATGTCTTTCCTCGGCACCGTGGACCAGCCATGGGTGTTTGTGTCACTGAGCAATGGACTGAACAAAAAGGCTAGATCTGCCGAGTCTACGTATGGAGTACAGTCGAGCGATCCGTAATTGCCAGCATGAGCCCCGTGATAGTGGGCAGGGTTCCATTGATGATGCCACCTCTGAAGGTCAGGCCGAAGGTAAGGAAACCAGTTATACGTGCAAACTCGCTAGCTTCGCATGTGATTCCCATATAGTGCTGCAAGGCCATCTATAAGAATGTATAGCTGCTCCGAGGAATATATTCTTTTGAGAACCGAATCCACAACCACACTCTCGAACTCTTCCCCATTCGAAGGAAGAGAAATGTCTAGAGACGTGTGTAATGAAGACTCAGGTACTTGGACTCCAACCATATCAGAAGGTATTTCGATATAAACACGCCGGCTTTCCTTAATACATTTCTCCAGACCCCCCGATCAAGAAGCCCTAGAGCCATGGAAGGGTCGAAAAGGCCAGCTTGCGCAACGGTAAATCTCTTGTAAATATCGGTATACACCCGCATATCCCCATCGCATACACTATGGTGTACCATAGCCTTATCTCCGTTTGCCTTTCGGGCTGCGGTCCCCACAATTGAACTACTGGCTCAAATTCTGCGTACGATCCGGTAACGGCATGGAGAGCTGACAGTTCCCATATGTTGTGAGAGTGCTAAAATTCCTTTGATCCGAGCGTAGCCATCCGCGGCATATCCGGCGTTTAGTCCATTGCAGTTCCCGATCCATTTGAGACCCGCTGGCTTGAGGAGATCTGAGGCTCGCAAGAAGTAGTCACCGGGACTCTATAGACAGACCCAACACTAAGCTGTCTAAGGCGTGTAAACATGTCCTGGGCCAAGCTCACCGTTATGCTCATGCTGAAACTGGGGGATTGTTAATTTAGTCGGAAATGAGGCAGAGAAGCATGCAAAGCTGGGGTCCATATCGAACTTCGGTAACTTTACCAATATATCTGCAGACTGAGAATCTTAAAGGAGCAGTGAGAGCATTCGCATTCTGCATGCTGAGTTGTAAGCACCAGAGTCGTTTCAGGTTGAGGCGAAATGCCATGTCATATTGTGCCTTTCCGGATTAAAACAAGCGCACTCGGATTTATCTCAGCATCCGATTTCCATCAAATCACCCTCAATTCTCCCTTCGTCCATCACCGTCATCAACACCAAATCCTTCATACCTCAGTCCACACTTGCATACACACCGTTTCAATCCAGTATCGGAGAATTATTCGGCTCTATGCGCCGCACCTGTTCTTTGGGTCGACCAAAATCTCTTGAAACGCATGGTGCCGGATATCAGATTCGCCTCTGTCTCTGCTCATGCCCCTGACCTATTGAGATGCCTTACGAACAAAAGCAATCTTCCATGCATACGTAAGAGGGCACCAAATTGTCCCTAGTAGCGTGGTTCATCATGTGTGAGCCTTAGCCACGGTAATCTCCCGCAACCCTAATCTTTCTTCTGTTCTGTCCACCGTCCAGTCATTTCTTTCAACGTCTCATCTTTCCCAGTCGAGCATTGATTCTATTACAGGACACCTCAAGATTGTTCGACCTCAGTCTCGTGCAAAAGCTTGGCCCTTCTGACCCACACGCTCCGTCAATCACCGTTCGTTATTCATGACAGCTCATGAGTCGCAAACCCGGAATCTAGTCGCCTTCATTGTGCTTCTTGCGGCCCAAAACCACTTGTGTAACTTCTCTCTTATCTACGCTTCTAGTCTCTATATGCATGGTGTGATGTGATAGTTCAATTGGCACACGTCGTCAACCATGGGTCAACTAGGATGAATCGTGTCTCTTGGCACGGAGAGCATATGTAGCCGCTGAGGCACTCCTCGCGAAGCCTTGAGCCAGCGAATTCATTCGTATCAGTCGTTCGTTACTGAAGCCATGTTTGCTGCTGATGGCGGTGGTTGGTGGTAGTGAATAGTCCTCTTTATTAGTCTTATTTCAAATTTCCCACGCTTTTTGCACGATTTGTACTGCCCTCGCTTCCACTTCCTCGAGAGCTGGGCTCTCTTTATAACACACCCTAATCATAATATCCGCCTCCGCAAAGAGACATAACGTTAATTGCCAAAATGACAGCCTCACTCTCGTTTCCACAACTTTCGCTTGATCTTCCTAACTCTCGAATGAGCGTGGACTTTTCGAAATTCGCAACAGATTTCAGCGCTATAACAACTGGGGAGCCTGAAAGATATAGGGCGCCTTTAAGTTTGGACAGGATACATCCTCCGTCATATCACGACAATGAACGACGCGCAAACCCTTACGGACCCTCTTTACCTCAGGTCACGGAGGTGGGAGAGGTAAATACAATCCCTCTTTCTCGACCGAGCTCATTCAGATGGAGATGGTACCCGTTGTCAAGAACCGTGTCGAACGCATCGACAGCCTCAAACACAACTACAGCTGTCTCTTCAACTTTCTCCAACGTGCGTTTAGCTTCCACCCATACCTCCTATAGTTTATCGTACACCAACTCCCGCCCGATGAGCCCTTTTCCCGGGGAAGGATCCCACTTATTGTCATTGCCACCATCAATTCTAGAGAATATTCTATCGTATACGCTTTCCCTTCCACTGACCATCTCCATCGGCCCTGATGTTGATAACCGACATCTCCAGCTTCGATATCATCGCGCCGGACTAGATCATGTAAACCTCAAGCAAGTCTTGAACCACCCGATCTTCTTAGTTTCTCAAGATTTCCGGAAGGCCACACTCGAGATCATTCATACAAGATGTCAGTTTGTTATCGATCTCCATAGTATCTACTACACCAATGTAAGATCTACCGTCGATGCCAATCTAAAGAAACATCAAAAGTTCTGGATGTATGGCACACCACAAATGGCCAAAAGTTCTCTCCGAAGCCTCTCCAAACTGCACATACGGCTCCCTGTTCCAAGTACCGAGGCAGGTGTCCGACGCGGCCGAGACGAGAAGAATTGGATGGATGGCAGTGACGGGAAGGGTGGGGGTGGCTATCGAGTCAAGAGCCTGAAAAAAGAACAAGAAGATGCCTTAGAAATCCAGAAATGTCTCACGGCTATCGTAAATATGGTCATGGCATCGCGAGACGTCTTCCTTGAAGCTCCACCCCTCACTCGAAGCCTCAGTACATTATCATCTCTTCGTCGCAAGCGCAGCACTAGAATTGAAAGAAGTAAAAGCGCTCAAGATTTTCGCCCTAGAACGGAACTGATTGAGGACCTGAGCGGCGTGCGGAAGCCGCTGAAACGCCTGGAGATTGTGTTTGTCAAGCGAAGTCCGTCGGCTTTGGTGTTGCAGGAAGTGTTAGGTTTTGTGCGGGAATTGAGAGCTGTGCCGGTCACGGGTTTCTCAAACTATTACTTTGAACTTAATGGTCAAATGATTATTTGGGCAACAAAGCGGAGAAAGCGATGGCAAGGGTTTGAACCAGACGGGAATAGGCTTCTCAACGGTGAGCATTCCTAAACGAGCCCTTTCCTTATCTGGGCCCTTGCTAATGTGAGCTAGATTTACAAAGACTCACGGTCCCTGAGAAACCTATCGAACCATTAAGCTCTCCGAAGGAGTTCAAATATGTAGGAGTGGATAAGAAGAGTCAGCAGCTTCGACTCCTGGACTCTGCGATCCGGAAGAGTGCGATTGTACTTGAGGGACCGAAGGTTCCGGAGAAGGATTTTCCTCCCCCACCGCCAATCCCTGAACGCTCTGTTCGCCGAAAACTATTGCCTCGAGCGGAGGCAAAGCTGAGGAGGAGAGTGGATAGTTTCGCGTTAATAATGGAGGAGGGAATGACTGAACTAGGGTCGATCGGGACGGTGACGACCGGGCATGTTAACCCGCCTACAATTGAAGATTTGCAAAAGATTGCGAGGGATATTAAGGAGGGGAATTACTAATAATGGGCTAATGTGCTATGGCTGAAAGGAGGAATCTTTTCAGATAATATGTTGACACTCTCTGGAAGTATAATCAAACCTGCTCATCCATATAATTGCCTCATACCGAATCCATAACTTGACTCGCCACCTTTTTTGGCTAGTGTCCACACCACACATTCTTAAAGCATTCTACACCATCGTTGCCACTGTATCTAAAATGTGAACTCTGTACTCCTTCTCCCCTCTCTCTCGGCATACTACGTTGCGCTCAAATTCGTACAAAACGTGCTCACGGCCTACGCGCCCTGATTCACAACAGCGTCTACCATCGGATTGAAAGTCTAAGCGCCGAATTCCGTAAACTTGACGTTGTCGGATCGCTTCAGATGCTGCTCCAAGCTTGCATCCACTCCAACAGGTTTGTAGTCTTTAATGATCGCGGCTTGCACATCGTCAGGGTACGGTGTCACAAGCCGCAACTTGTCAACTCCAAATTTTCAACGCTTTGTTGAACGCACATCGTTCCCGGAATGTCCATTCGACTTGTGATGGTCTTGCATAGCTCTTCGCCAGCAGCGAACCCTAGCCTGAGGATATACCGCTCCAGCTTATAATATTGACGGTTGCATGTGCCAGGAGAGTTGCCGCTTCAATGATCGCTTAGGGTTCGAATTAGAATAGAGCAGTCGCGGAGGAGTCAATGGTGGTGGCCGGGAAGCAGGTGGGGTGTATGGTGGTGACGGGGGGGATTGAAATAATAGCGGTCGTAAGGAGCTCGAGAGCGATGTTTGAGGAGGGCACGAGGATGTCTCTGCGGATACTCTGGGCAGTAGACACTGTAGCAGAATCATGCAGACGAGATTTTTGTGTCCTCGAAGTAGATCTGTGGTAAGCTGCAGTAGTGGGTCAGTTAAAACCATGAAGAGGTCGACCATTTTGAAGGCTCTCCTATTTCTCCGGTAGAGCAAACCAGGAGCCTTTGCCGCCGGCGAAGCCTCTCGCCTTGCCAAGATGGATATCAGAAGGAAGTCCACGAGCAGAATCTGGCGTTCGGTGATTGCCTAGTAGGCAGCCGATAGGGCAGCTCCTCTTGATTCAGAATGCTAGTATGCTGATGGCGGTTTGTTCCACGTGACCTTTTCTTTGCGTTTTCCACTTCCGCTTTTATGTGCAGAGATGTCGTCTCAAGACTCTGGGGTGTTTGTTCGAGAAATTGAGGTTGGATGAAAACGGACTTTACGAAGGGGCCATGGTGGATTTCTGTTCTGTCACATGAATTGTTGGTCGCTGCCCAGCTGGTTCTTTTAGTCTCGGAACGACAGAACAACTCCACATCAGGACATATCTTCATCTTCCATCCATCTTATTCTCACTAGCCCCTCTTATCGGGTCTTGCGGACGCAGATCTCAAATATATCGAGTGGAACTCCTCAGTCCTTCAGCTGAGCAACGGTGGTGGGAGTACGAACGACAATACATACACGAGAATGTTTTCATCTCCAGATACGGCAGTCGCGATACCTTCCTGCAAACCTCCTTTTTGCGCGCATCAGCACCTGAAACGGGTCGGAAGAATTCTCGCATTGCTTATTTCAACGTCTTCTTATTCGCCTAACCCCATGTCTTGTCGTCGACAGCTCCCGCAATTTCCAGGTGGGCAGGCATCTAATGGGAGGCAACATCGTCGCACCTTCATTTTGGGGATTGATCAGTGATGTCCTCCTGCAGAAGCTCCGCGCACCGGAAAACGAAATGCAACGTGCATCTTGTTTCTAAGTTTAAACTTAAGCGACAACGCATTCGCTTTTGTGTCTCCATCAAGAGCTCGAAGATTAGCATACGTACGCCTCCCGCGCTGACCTTGGTCAACTGCTGCCCAAGCCTTGCGCTGGGTTGCAAATCGTCAATATCTTTCGAAATTCAGCGCTAGGTTGAGATCATTTCGTCCGATATCTTAGTGTTCAGCTTCAGGCTTCAGCAGCCTTACCGAGAAATTGCAAGTGTAGAACGTGCTGGACTGCTGATCATTTTACAGGTATGAGTCGAAGAAAAGGGGGTTCGCGAAAGTGGCCGGGAAGCTTGAAGAGACGAAAAGCGGGTGCATTCATTGGTCCTCCAATTCGTACCGTAGCAACCCGACAGGCTACGAGCAAAGGAACGCTCGGCATACCGCCGAATGACTTTGAATCTTCCATGGTTCAAGAAATAAGCTACCGACGCATCCGTAAAGACACCAAGCTGCGACGCCAAGACCGCCTCGCTCATTTCGTCTGACCATCCATCGTTTTCGGATGGTCCGAGCGTCGCGCTGAAAAACGCCCCTTCATACGAAGCATTCCAAAACAAAATCCTCGAGGCGTAACAGCCGTTTTTCGGTTGGTGAGCACCGCAGCCACGGCGTTGCCCGGCCTTTGCATTTCATTCGCTGTGCATCGACTCCAGACATGCCAGCCCCTTTTTTCAACCACGATAAGGTGAAGTCAGGTCATGTTCGAGGTCTTCTCGTGCACAAGTTTCACCCCGTCTTGTATGCCACCTGTGAACATCCTCAAATGATATCCTACCTATCGATACAGTACAGGTCTAGCTTTTGATACATGATCCCTGTACTAAGTGGCTTACGGCCAGGACCTCCTTGCATTACCAGGTCCAGCGATAGGGTGCATCTCATTTGAAGTCTTGCACAATTGGGAACCGGTGGTTATGATACGAGTGGGCTGAAGCCTCGAAGGCTGTGTGTGGGCAGTTGGTCCCTGCACGAGGCAGGGGAAAAAGGGAAACGGGGGTTGCTCTTTGCCTGGAACTATATATATGGTGTGATGCCCTCGCTCTTTGTTGCCTATCGCTCCACCACACATACATCCGGTCGATCCTTTCACACGCCACGACGCTCCTTCGCCAGCAAACTTCGACGTACGCCGTTCTAATATCTAACTAATCTTCTCTTCTCAAGGTACGGTTGTCCACTCTCGGATCTCTTATTTCACGGGGTGCTAACGGCCAGTGAAGCTTCATTTTCAACCCTCAAACCCAACCTCCGAAACAATGGCCTTCAACCAGGAAACCGTCACTCAGCACAAGGATGCCGGCAAGCACGGTGGTACCGCCGCCGAGATGGCCGCTAAGCAGATGGGCCTGGGTGCCTTCAGCAAGAAGATCGGCGAGTTCGTCAACAAGCTGATCGGAAAGAAGCAGAAGGAGGCTGCCGACAAGAAGGCTGCTGAGGGCGCCGTCCCTGGTGCCGCTCCCGGTGCCGCTCCCGGTGCCCCGCCGGCCCACCCTCAGTAAATGCTGTGTGCAGGATTGCGTATAGTGCGAGGAAAGTGTGAGTTCTCTTTAGATCTAATGTTAATGAATAAGGTTTAACATTATTTCAGGTCGTGAGTTAGATGATACCTGCTGGGACAATGTCAGAAGTTTTGGAAATTGTGTAGGAAATGGTCGGGGTTTCGTTTGTTGAGTGGTGGCTGTGAAGTCTTGATACCGAATACCCAATCCGCTTTTTGAATCAATGATTCTATTCCCTACGTCTGTCCATGTTTTGCTTTTGTCTATATCTGTCCTTGCCTTGAGATTTGAATTCTACGTGTCATTCCTAGGTTACCTCATCTCTTCGTCTCCGGAGGATGCACTCGATACTCCACCATACAGGTCAACATCCATCTTCTAATTTCCGTTTCCAAAGACCTGAAAATCTTGGGCCAAGGATTGTCCGTGCTCGGTTCCTCACGGAATGTCTAGTAGTATCGTCCTCGTGGTTATTTTTTATCATGTTCAGTCAGTGGGGATTTACATAGTCGCGGTTGTCCACGGCAAGTCTACACGAGAAGTGGAGCTCAGTTTTCAAGGTTCGCCAGGGTCGCAATTTCGTTGTCGAATGTTAGAGAAGGGTTCCTCACAAATTTTCATGAGGAGCAACCACTTCCCCACCGAGATCCCACAGAGTCCCATCCTCAGCCTTCGACCTTACCCACTCTTGGCATGTTTCAATAGAAACGTCTCCGGGACAGAACGTCCCTATCTTGTACAGCATAACTGTAACCTTTCCACCTGGATCTATTTTGCTCCAAGGAATCTGGGCCAGGTGTAGGGGTAGTATCGGGTCTTCCCCGATATATATAATGAGGATTTTTAGACGAAGGTCGGCGTTTGGGCTAGCATTGAGGAAGAGGGAATGTTTAATGTCGACGTCCGAGAGCGAGTCCGCACGTGTTAGGACTAAGGTCTCCAAGTGGGGCATTTTCGCAATGTTAAGCCAGAAACCCATATCAGCGTCAACATTGTACAATCCCAGGCGTCGGAGTTTGGGCCACGATTGCCATACTGAAGGTTCGCTACCGTGATGTGTCAGGTCAAGGAAGAGTTCATCTCGCACGCTAACGAATTCTTCAAGATTCTCTAGCCGACAGAAGCCCGCCCGTAGAATGCGGCGGACATCGAGGTGGTCGTGCTCCGGGTACAAGCTACGTAGAGGAATATCAATAATAAGGCGCGTGAGGCTCGAACATGTGTAGAAGAACAGTTCCCGAACCCAGGTAGCGGTTGGTTGATCATCAATGGTGTTGCCAAATGGAGCCAGTACGAGAGCAGTCGTATTCCGCAACTCTGGATCTGTTGGAATCCCTAGGAGGAAGGCACGAAGTCGAGGCCCGGACGATAGGTAGACACAATACTGGCGCAAGTAGCGGGAAGCAACTCTACATGTTTCCCGACACACTAGGGTGAAGGATAATAACGTCTTTGTGATTGGGTGGGAGGATGGGAGAAAGACGTCAGGGTTGCTTGGGAGCAAACAATGAATTACGTTGAGTACGAGCTCGATGGGCAATGGCATTGGCTTTTCCATTGTGAGCTCCTTGCTCAACAATACAGAGGGAGTGAAGCGGACCTCGGGGAAAGATGGAAAGGTAGCGGCACGATAAGGTAATCGGCGGGAACCATACCGCTTTTAGGCAAATGCGCTATACCAGTTCAAGATATCCCGAAACTCGCTGTAATTGATATGCCCCACCAATTCTCATCACCATTCTGTGCTTCAATATCGAGCTCATATCGAGCTCGCTGAACCCTTGAAGATGGAGTACGACCCTGAAACTCGTGAGTAAATTATCCTTCTCAATTGTGTATATCTGACTTTCGACCCCCAGCGCAATACAGCACTGGCGACCCAACATCCTTCGCCTACATCTCTGCGCGCGAACGTTGGCCGGTCATCATCACTCAAGGTATCGACGACGTCCACCGGTCTGCCTGGGCTACACAAGATGAAGAGGTGTTAAAAGAGGGGAAGTGGATCGTCTCAGAGCTAGCGAGACTGAAGTACGAGCTCCAGCATGATAGAGAGATAACTCCACTACCTGATGACGGAAGAGAGGATGTGGAGGGATACAATAAGGAATTGAAGGCCTTAGGAAACCCCCGGTGGCATTCTGTGCCGTGGTTATACTCGGAATGCTATTTGTACAGGTATGTATGCACTCACATATATGGCTCGGCACAAGATGATTGGACACTTAGTCCGGGATCCTAATGGCCTTAGGAAGACGCATCTCAAGCATTTTCCAACAAACGCAGAAATGGAAATCCTACGATCTCTTCGCTCGCCAAAAGATGTCGACCTTCCGATCCTCTCGGCCGGCTGTGCTTGAGTTAGCCGCACGATACAAGGACATCGTCACGGGGTTCGAATCGGAGCACACGATTAAAGGGGCGAAGACTCAGGAAGAGCTAGAAGAAGCAGAGAAGATCTTATTCATTGAGATGTGCGAAATATGTCTGTGGGGAAACGCAACCGATCTGTCTCTCCTGACTAATCTGTCTTACGAAGACATTCAGAAGCTGCAGGGTTCGGAAGCACGAAAGGCTTCGGAAAAGAATATTGTCGTCAATGACCTCGGGAAAGCGTTCGCTGTCCTCACTTCGGCCCAGCATTCCGGCAAGAAGGAGAGGAGGGTTGATATTGTGCTTGACAATGCAGGCTTCGAACTCTTCGTGGATCTAATCTTGGCAGGATACCTTCTCGCTGCCGGGCTTGCCGCAACGGTCGTCCTCCACCCCAAGACAATACCATGGTTCGTCTCAGATGTCTTGCCTCAAGACTTCGCTTCTCTTATCTCAGCTCTAGCGGATCCGCAGGCGTTTTACAGCGCTCTATCTGATGACGACAAGCAGGCTGGAAAGACGCCCACGCCGCTTTCTAACGCCGAAGTATCTAATCTGAGCTTCCTCTTCGGCCACTGGAGCCGTATACATGCTGAAGGCCAACTCGTTCTTCGCCCTAATATGTTCTGGACCGAGGGAGGTAGCTATTGGAGGTTACCAAAGACTGCACCAAGCCTGTACGAAGATCTGAAGGAGAGCGAACTCGTAATTTTCAAGGGAGATCTGAATTATCGGAAGCTGACTGCAGATGTAAAGGTCATCTCAATCCATTGGATCAATTTGAAAGACTGATCATTAATAGGCGGCATGGCCTACAACCACCCCTTTCTCGGAAGCTATTGGTCCCATGGGCCCGGCATCCGGTGTTCGTATTCTTGCATTGAGGACTTGTAAAGCTGACGTAGTCGTTGGATTACTCGAGGGCGAGGACGAGAGGATAAAAGCCACAGAGGGCGGTGGAGAGGATAGCGGGGCAAGGAAGTGGGCATGGAGTGGTAAATGGGCCGTCGTGCAATTCAGCGATGGCAAAGCCTGAATGCAGGTTTGGTAATCCCGTCGCCTCGAGTCCAAAGCATGTTATGTCTAGGTGCTATAGATTATAAGGGATAGAACAATTTAGAAAGAGTCCTCAATCAAGACCGAATGACTAAGTTGCCTCGTCCTTGTCTTGAATTCCTTAAGGTAAATTGTAGACACTAGCATTCTTAATATCCTATGCCGCTGAGTCCCCGTTTAATTTAAGCAATCAGAGAACCCCTTTCGCACCCAGCCCCTTTGAGGCTTTTGGGAGGTCCGGATGGGTTTTGCGGTACGTGCCATCTGTGGCTGCACCTCTGTGGTGTTAGTAGCATTTACAATGAATATTACCTGGCTAGGTGTTTCTTCAATCGACTTCAGGCTCTCGTTAGCCCAGGCATGCTCTCCAGCAATATATCCCATGCGTTAGTGTTAGCAAACGTTCGAATCGTTGTGAGCATGCATAGCCATTCGTCGCATATTATGAATGCTCTCGAGAAGCCTCATTTCGGGATAAGATTTGAGCACTCGTGCTGCAACCATCAGCGTCGAAAGTGTCTTTACCGCTTGGGTATCTTAGTATTTGACTTCCTCCACAAGTATTCGACCACTAGTCCAAGGGTGACCAAAATCGATTCGAAGAGCTCAGCAAGTACGTCGGGAAGTGCACCTAGTGGCCTGGATTTGTAAATATCAATTAACATTTAGTTTCGGTTGAGGGGAAGCTGTGTCTCTGTCATTGTCTCTAGAAAAGATTTCCGCACCTCCTACGATTGCTTTGCAGCCTTAGCAAAGACATCGAGTGGTTCGTCTGCCAACAAAGGACTTTTTGTTCCTCCTGTTGCAAACATTGGAAAAAATCCGCAATACACGCGCCATAGTCTCCACTGCATATCAGGTCCAACCACTTTCACTGCTGGTGCACGGGCACTGTTTCTTTCTCGCCAAAGACATCATCCCATTTTATCTGCTGAATATTGGTTTTGAAGGAAGCGATGTTGGCCTCTCTCTCTGTGCTTTGGGGTAGAAGTTTCCAACGACGCAACCAATTTGCATGATAAAGTTTGCCTCGGGGTATCCTTATCTCCAGAATTTGTATCAAACTCTCCACCGGATGACACTATGGCTGGAGCATATCCTACACCGGACGACCGAGTGATGGGAGTCCTCCTGAGGTCGACACCGAGTGGACAATAACTAGATCCAGGTGTTCATTCACTGAGATCCAGGCAGGGGTCATAAGAGGAACCCAAAGGGAGCCTAACGGAAATCAAGGCCAGCGTGCCCAATAGGCCGTACTACTGACAGTACTGAGTACGGTGTACGGTTGATTTAGACCGTACAAACGTACAGCAATCTTCTGTTAGTGCGTACAATAGCTGTTGCCCTAAGTACTGTCTGTAGTACAGTGTACAGTTAGCATTTTAGGATAGCTTGTAAGGCTTAATTTAGTGTTTTAAAAAGCCCTTACTAGAGAAGCTGCTCTAGGGGGCTAATTAGTAAAAAATTTTATATATAATACTAATTTAGCTACTTAGAGGAGACTTTACTTACTTATTTAAATAGTATAGCTTATTAAAATTAAAATAATGCTTATTACTAACTACTTTTTATTATAGAATTGCTTATTTACGCGCTTTATAGCTTTATAGGCCTTATTAAGTTAATCTAGTGTTACTATTATACACTTTATAAAGTCTTAAAGGCTTAAAAAATTAAAAGTAATTTATAATACTTTTACTAGCTTATTCTATAAGGCTATACTACTTACTAGTAATAAGTAATTAAAAAAGTACTTAAAAAAGTGTAATTATAATGCTAGCACTAAGTTTAAGATTAACTAGAGTAATATATAGCTATTAAATTTTAAAAAGGCTTTACTAGCTATATAATTAAGTTACTAAGTAAAAAATAAAAAAATAATAAAAAGTAACTATAAAGTCTTAAAAGTGTAGCTTTATAAAGTAGATTTAATGCTATGTAAAAAGTAAAGTAAAGTTATACACCTTTAGCTCTACTATTAGTGCTATAAGTAACATTATAAAGGCGCTGTAAAAGTAGTTAATAGTTATAACTATATAATAAAGCATCTATAAAAAAAGTATAAAGTTAATATTAATAAAAAGCTTTTACTTAATAGCTTTTAAGCTTTTTAGCACTTATAAAAAGTAACTAAAGTAAAAGTAGTAAGCTTATTACATAGGCTATTTTATACACTTTAGTAAGAAGGCTTTCTGCGCAGTGCCCTAGTAAATTAGGTTATAGTGTAGAATTAATTATTTAAAAACACTATTTCTATAAAAACTTAAAGCTTTATTAGCTAAAATTATATAAATCTTTTTACTACTTTTTTATAATTATACACTATGCTTTTTACTAATATTTAGAATGCATTTATGTAGTAAAAGTAGAAGATTTTAATAGTACTAAATTTAGCATTATTAAAAATTATATTAAGTATAGATATATAAAGTAGTAAAAATTACTTTTTATTTTTTATAGTAGTAGCTTATTTTATTAGTAAGTGTGTATAGGCTACTATTACTACTTTTTTATAACACTAACTTTACTAGATGCTTTACATAAATAATAAATTTTTTTTATTAAATTTAAAAACTTTTATAGTAACTATACTAAAAGTGTGTAAGCTTTTAAAGTAGCTGCTACTATTATTAAATATAATATTATGTTAAAATTTAGTTACTTTATTAGAGATAATATATTAAATAATAATAATAAGCTTATTTAAAGCTTTAATAATTACCTAAATCTACTATATAAGCTTAATAAGCAGCACTAAATCTACTGCGCTAGCTACACTATCTAGGTAGTTATAAAGGCTATTATATATAGTAAAAGTGTTACTAAATTTAAGTAAAAGCTTACTAAAGCTGCTTCTTATAATTAATTTAAGCTATATAGAAAGCGCAGTGTTATTAGGCATTTTTATAACCTTATAAATAGCGTCTTAGCTTTATATAAGCGCATAAGGCTTTTTAACACTATATAAAAAAACTTAGCTAAAAAGAACTTTATTTAGAAGTTTAGTATACTTAATCTTATATATAATAATAAAGTACACTAGCACTTAGTATATTTTATGCTTTTATGCTACTTTAAGCTTAAAAAGGTAATTAGCTACTTTTAAAAGTAATAAAAAAGCTTTTTTAATACTAAAAATAAGGCTTACTATACTAGATTTAACACTTTATTAGATTTTATAACTAAGAATAATTAAAATAAGATTAAGCACTTTATAAGCTTTTTAAAAAAGTTTTATTAAATAATAAAAAAACTTAAAAGTAATAGCTTATTTAGCTTACTTTAGTAAATAATTATAAAGCTATAGTACTTTTAAATCTACTTTAATTAAATAAGTAACACTTTTACTAATAAGCCTAGCTTTTTTTACTTTAAAAGTGCTATCTAGTTTAGCTATTAGAAGCTTATAACTTACTAAAGTAAGCTAATTCTTAAGCCTTTAGCCTTATATTATGTAGTAGTAACTATACTTTATTTTTAGCTGTAATTACTGTAGTTTTAAACTTACTAGCGCTATTATAAAGCTTAGATTAATAAGGTAACTTAGTTAATAAAAATAATCTTTATATAGTATATAAATGCTAAAAATAAAAATAAAAATAAAAATAAAAATAAAGCTAAAGCTTTATTTTTAAAGTGTTATAAACTACTTAGTAGTAACTATTATAACATTAATTATAAAAACTACTTTACTATTAACTTTTTTCTTATAATAAATAAGCGCTTATATAAGTGTAAAAGGCTATTAAATAAGCTATAATTTTACTATAACACTATACACCTTAATCTCTATAAGAATTACTTATTACTATATAAAGATCTTTTATAGTAGTAGCCTACTAAAAGTAAATTAAGCTATTTTATTTTTTATAAAATTACTTTTAATTTTCTTACTATTCTAGCTATAAGCTATAAGTGTAAGAGGTGTTTTAGTACTACTAGCTATACTATAACTAATAATTATAATAACTTATTAGGTGTAATAATTAAGGCTATACAGCTACAAAAGCACTAGATTAAACACTAAATAGTAAGAAGTAAGATTCTAGCTTTAGCTGCTTACATTACTAGAGAAAATAGCCTTATAGAGAGCTATTAGGCCTTTAACTCTGCCTTTTCTATAGTATAGCGTATTAATAGTTATAATGTACATTAATTGTATAGTACTACCTGTATAGCTTATTTTAAACAGTGCGGTTACTGTCTGTACAGCTGCCTCTCCTCCTCACGACTGTACGTACGTACAGGCAATCTTGTCCGTACAGGCCTCAAAATCTCCTAATCGTACAGTAGTACGGACTGTTGGGCACGCTGATCAAGGCCATGACGAAGGCCTCATGGTTAGTATGAGGGACGACACTTTAGGAGACATTACGGAACCTGAAACCGAGTCTAGTCCTACGACAATGGACATAAACATGGCAACAAGTGCGGTGTGGTTTCATCAGGCCCTAAGAACATTAAAAGAACGAACGGTACCGGTAGAGGTTGTTATTGCCCAGATTTAGCAAGTTTTCGGATGAAGTAAACGGGCCACCTCTTTCTCAGCCCTCTACACCTCCACCAGCAAGAAACATTCCCGTGTTGAGTGAGCCCAAATGGAAGATGTGATCAGGGCGCGCGCTTCTTTGAAACGAGTTTACGAGCTTCGGAGCACATTCATACCGAGCAGAAATTGGGAGGAGATACAGTACCGGGTCTAGCCATAACAGCTGTCGGTTAGGGAAGAAGTTCACATGCCCTTGGAAGTGGGCCGTCAAGATCCCTTCCAAGGGGAGGGTGGCAGCAAGTCTTCACATCACCTGTGTCACAAACACCAACCGAAGCTTGGAGCTAAACCAGACATCCAAGCCTAGTGATACAACACCTAATGGTCCCAGTATGCATCCATATTCGATCGGCACATCTCCTCGGGGCATTATCCAATATCACCAATCTCTTTTTTTTTTGGAGAAGTTGTCTTCCTGTCCCCGTTCAAATTCTGTTTCAAAAATGAAATGAGAATAAGGGCCCCTTGGAACAAACTGGAGTAGCGAACAAACTCCAACCAAAGTGAAAGCGATGGAAAATACGAAGCGATAAGGCCAAACATTTTGGACCATTTTTGAGTCCCTATTGAGCTCTTCGACACCGTGTTGAGACTAGAGCTTGAGCGGTACCACGCTCTTATGTCAAAGGTGGGCAAGCACATCTTACCTAATGATCTCTGTTTTTTGTTCTGATGGGAACAGGAGGTTATTTGTTCTGATCTTAAAGACTAACATCACTAAGTCTACAGTGTTGTTGCTGGCTGAGAATGGTTGAAAGTGGAGAAAAGGTCCTCTATAGTTAGATGTTTGTACGAAGCATCAAATGGTCATATCTATGACACCGACCTGTAGGATTTCGATATCCAGCAATATCTGGAGTGGAAAAGAATTACTGAGCTCCCAGAATACCCTTTGGAACTCTGTCTAAGAGCTAGTGACGTCCGAACAAAATTGCGGAGTGAGGATTCAAGGACGTGGAGCTGTAATCAAAGGACCAGGTCTTACATTGTTGATATACTAGAATCCCCCTATGATTATAACAGTAAGATGTCTGTAATTCATTTGTCTTTTCATTTATGACCACAATTAATAAATTGCGGCTTGGTTCTCAAGTGATAATTGATTAGTCACTCGCAATATTATACAAATCAGATTGGAAATTTAAATAGTACATCAAGCACTGGCATATCTTCCCACGGTCGGATGGCTGGGGAAACTCCTGAAGAAGCTAAGGTCCTGTTGCATCCCTGTTAGAATGGGACTTCACTTTCCTTCTACCATCGTAACGGCAGCTCTCATTCTTTCTACCAGTGGAGATTGTTTTATACGCTCTCTGCGTCTTCTCGACCAGACAAGTGCAATTTGGGTTGCGCGAGATGATGCGGCAAATGACAACCTCGGAACCACATGACTGGAGCTCAGAAGAAGAGGAGCTGTTCCATATGACATTCTAACCCAAAGTAAAACGACATCTGCGTAGGATATTGAGAATATGCGTGTGGTTCTGGAGATGTGCTCTGGGGTCATGTTTTCCTTCCCGAAAATTTGGCTAATAGTTATCCTCTAGGGGCACAGAATGCAAAACATTGATAATTAGATCCTCTAAACCTCTGATGCTATTTCAGACTAAGCACTAGTCTGCGTGCCTTTCCTTCAAATCGCCCCGGAGCACAGCATTATCGTTTGATGCTTAACGATCCGGTACAGAGGTTTTCTGCACAATCGTCCAATGGAGCCGAAACACCGACAACTTTCCCATATATTCCAACCCATCACCACGTGTCTCACCAGGAGCTGTGGCAGCGCCGATGAAGACCTCCCCCTGATTTCAGAATCTAGTCGAGGCAGTTCTTCTACTCGCCCTGGTCCATCTTAGACAGCTACACATTGCAGCTATCACCACAGTTGTCGTAGTTGTTACCTTATACGCAGCTAAGCCGAGTAAGTTACTTACTTACAGGAGCCTAGTGAAGTATAGAACAGCCTCGATATGGGTTCCTGAAAATGGTCGAAGTCTACTAGCGCTGTAATGAGACTACTTCCCCAAACATATACATTAGTCACATACTCTATTTTCATCGTATGGGGCCCGAGAAGTCGATATAGTTAATTTAATCATCATAGAGAGTCATCTGGTTCGTTACGAAGTGTGTATCGCTGTTGCTGATGGTATGCGGAACTTGGAGGTGAGTATGTCGAACGCCACACCGCTACAGGACCAAGTTAGCATCATCCCCGACATCCCAGGTTAGCGTTTAGCGAAAGCATAAGATACGTAAATCTATTAAAGGCTGCAACGCATCACACATTAGTGATTGCCCCCTACCTTGAACTGAATGCTGAGAACCAGCTTCGATTCTGGAAAGAAGGCTCTGACTGATCTAACAGGGCAGCTCTGCTATGCCTTGGCTGTCTGTACCTAACTGTTGATAATTGGGCGGTTCTTGCCGATAACGAATAGTCTACATATTTCAAGACAATTTTTGGAATTGCCTGTAAGGCAATCTGGGATTCTAGCGACCGAGAGGGTACACTGCGAGAGATTTCTTACAGATTCCTCTCCCAGATTCGTCAAGCATCAGAGGAGTAATGTCACCACCGACCAAGAATTAAGGATGTTTCAAGTGGTAGTAGTGAATATGATTGGCAAAAGTGCGGAGTTTAGCAGAGTCTGCAGGATATTGATCTAAGATGGTTGATGGCATAGATATCCTTACCAAGGAAAGGCTTCACCCATGCTTCGGCAAATTATGGAAATCTCTGGACAGGTTCAAACTATGTATAATTCGCCTTCTCCAAGCTACAGATGCGACAATCCAAAGCCAGGACCAATGGTTCAAGTGCGTCGTCTGAGATGGAATAGACTTGAATGCCGAATTCGGACTCAATCCCCAAGTTTTATTCAAGTAACCCTTTATACCCTTAGATACTACAGTTCTTTGAAAGAGATAAATGTGTACATCGCTCTTCATAATGAAGGGGGCATGGAAATACTCTTAGCGCCAAGACATGTAATTGTGAATGGAACCAGCTCTCTGATTGGCCAGGCCAGCAAACTCCCATCCCCCTTTCTAGTACATCAACCTAGGTACTTCAATTGCATCCCCGGCTGTTCAACCCCACTTCAGCACTAAATTCCTAATATTTTGATGATATAATCGCCCCAAAGACAAATCTCACAGGGTCCTTGCTTCTCCTCAGCCAATCGTTTCGGCCAGTCCACGAACCTCGGCAAAAGTTCTGTGGAAACCGCGTTGCGGGGGGATCGCAAAGTGTCTCCCCAGTCATCCCGTCTAAACGCCGAGACGACTGTAACCCCAAGCTTAAAACTCGTCATGTCCGAGTCGTCTACATCACTGTTCAATTACTCTGATTTTCCTGTTTGAAAGCTGCAGCTACACCCAACGAATCTCCTACCTACACATCACAGTATTATTTTGGGAAAGATGTCGGAATTACTAGTTAATACACAGAATGGCCATCTCTCGGCTTCCCAGCGCATTCCCGCCATTGCAAGACCCTTTGTTAGTGAGAGGGCTGCGAAGACTTTGGATCTTGTGCGTGAATCCCTTGACTGTACCCTACTTCTCTTTCTCTTTGCCCTGCAGCTTCTAATGTATTCATTGCATAGGTAGAGAAGTTCGTAGAAGAAGAATGCATCCCTGCTGACGAAGTCTATACACGCCAAATCGGCGAAACAACCGCGCAACGCTTTGCCTCACACCCACAGATCATCGAGGATCTGAAAGTCAAAGCTAGGAAGCTGGGACTGTGGAATATGTTCCTTCCTAAGAACCATTTTAAGGAAGGCGCGGGGTTTAGTAATTTGGAGTATGGCTTGATGGCCGAGTATCTTGGGAAGAGTAGAACTGCTAGTGAGGTATGGATGATATCCACAGCTTCCTACCTCTAGCTTGGTTAGAAAGTATGAGATGCTGATGTGGATATAGGCTACCAATTGCGCAGCCCCGGATACTGGCAACATGGAAGTTATCGCCAAGTACGGCAGCGAGCAGCAGAAGCGTCGATGGCTTGACCCGCTGCTCGAAGGCAAGATCCGATCTGCCTTCTTGATGACAGAACCACAGGTAGCTTCTAGTGATGCTACCAACATCGAAATGACGATCAAGCGGGACGGTGACTCGTATGTTCTCAATGGCCAAGTACATTCCCTTCCCTCACTACCCACCCCCTCCATCACCAACCCCCTAACCGGCTCATATAGAAATGGTGGTCCTCCGGCATTGGCGACCCGCGCTGTGAAATCTACATCGTGCTCGGCAAAACCGCACCTAACCACCCCGATAAATACGCTCAACAATCCGTGATCCTCGTCCCGCACGACGCCCCCGGCATCACCATCCACCGGATGCTCTCTGTTTTCGGTTACGACGACGCTCCTCACGGCCACGGTCACGTCACCTTCACTAACGTTCGAGTCCCCGCCTCTAACATGGTCCTCGGCGAAGGCCGCGGCTTCGAAATCATTCAAGGGCGGCTCGGCCCCGGACGAATCCACCACGCAATGCGGTCTATTGGCGCCGCTGAAAAAGCACTAGAATGGTTCCTCGCGCGCCTGAATGATGAGCGCAAAAAGCCGTTCGGCGAAATGCTGCACAAGCATGGGATAATGCTCGAACGGGTTGCACGGTCCCGGATCGAAATCGACGCCGCGCGCCTTGCAGTCCTGAACGCTGCCATTAAAATCGACGAATCCAACGCCAAGGGCGCGTTGAAAGAGATCGCGGAAGTCAAGGTCCTAGTCCCAGCTGTTAACCTGACGGTTATTGACCGCGCGATTCAAGCGTATGGCGGCGGAGGCGTGAGCCAGGATACTCCGCTCGCGAATATGTATGCGCAAGGGCGGACGATGAGAATTGTAGATGGGCCGGATGAAGTGCATTTGTTGCAGTTGGGGAAGAATGAGAATAAACGTGGGCCGGCGCATAAGCGCAGGATTGATGCACAGAAGAAGAGGGGTGAGGAGTTGTGTAGAGAGTATGGGGTTGGCACGAATGATAAGTTGTATTTGAATAGGAAGAGTGGGGAGGGGAGTAGGTTGTAGATAGGCAGGGATGGGACGGGACGGGAGGCATATTGGGTGTGTTGAGGATTTGGACTAAGCTGACAGCATGGTAGATAAAATGCATCATTCATCACCTTAGCACAAATATTGTCTTCTCTTCGTGGGACTCGACTTAAATGAGTCGAAGCTGTTAAGTTCATACTCTCACAATAGAATATGTCACTCGCGAGCGATTCTAATCAAAAAGACTTTGCAGAACGAAGAATAGATTTGCTGGGATATGCAATAGCTAGATCAAACCGCCGTAACAGCATTAACGCTTCATAAAGCCTTCCCACCCATGAATAAAAGAGTCTCAACCCACAATGGATGACTAATCCTTGAACACCATATCGATGCAAAAACACCTATCCATGCATGCATGCAAAAAAATCACAAAGAATAGTTAGCTGCAAACGCAAATCGTAAATCAAGAAATTCGGCAACCGAGTCCGCTCTTAAGGTTGTCGAGGGAGCAGAATCAATCCGCTTACCTCCCTCACCCCCCAACGAACAAATCCCCAACATCATCATCACCCGGCGAATCATCCACACTGGTGTCATTCGAGCTATTATTCGGCTCATTATAGCTCTCAGCTCGCCTCAGCGGGCTCCGCTTCTTCCTTCTCGGCCTATCCCTGTCGACGTTTATGTCTATATGTGACTCCTTGCCCAGTTCTTCCGCTTTGAGAAGATCGACGGCGCGATTCACTTCTTCCCACGAGGGGCGGCTGTCGCGAGAACCGCGTGGTGTGGCGGGCCCGGATTGCGTCGCTAGGACTTGGATTCTTTTCGCTTGATCCTCGGCTTCGGCTTCAGCAATGGTGGTGGTAGGGGTGGGAAGACCCGTGCCGTCGACCTCATTGCCGTCGAGGACCGGAGTGCCGTCGGGGTTGACCCTGATCTGCACGGGCGACGATCCTGCTTCTGAGGTTGCATCGGGGGTGACGGGCGTTGAGGGACTAAATTCAACTTGGACGGGGCTCCGTCTTCCATCTGTCTCCGCATCTGAAGTCACGTTGATGCCGTCGCTGAGATGGCCGCTAGGTTCGCTGAGACCTGAGGTATCACTTCGCCACATATTCCGGAATGTGCGCCTACGGCTGACATTTCTAGAGGCTTCGGGCGTCCCGGGCGGAGTATCGAAGAAGCGGGAGTACTTGCTACCGAGCTGCTGGACTATGGGGACATCTAGTTGAGTGCCCACTGTTCCTGACCGAACAAAGAGAACTAGGCCAAGACAGAGGAGAAGGAGTGTGGACTGTACGACGGCCATTCTCTTTTGCCAAACCAATTCGTCGGCAACAAGACTCAACCTCGCTCCAATCTCCCCTACCTCGGCTTTCTGCCTCTCCTTCATGCTTTCAAGCTCTAGGATCGTACTCTGCCACAGCTGATCATACATACTGCGGTAGCTCTTCAGCTCCAGCATGACCGTGCTGTTCAGGTGGTCCAAGAATTTCTCCGTCTTTGAAAGCTGCCGCTTTTCTACTTTAATGAACGCATCGCGGAGAATCCGGGATTGCTCTTCGATGTATTGAAGAGAGAGGGTGCTATTGGCTTCGAGTTGCTGAAGGCGTTTGTGGATCGATTTGAAGAAGGATTCTTGGGTGGTTGGGGATGCCGTATTGGGCTGGGTCTGTGACGAGCTGCGGGTCTGCGAGTCCTTCTGGATGGGCGTGCTATTGGTCGTCACGTTGGAGGCCGCTTTGGTTGGTGGAGATGTAGCAGGAGTGTTTGAAGTTTCATTGACAGAAGCTTTGGAGGCTGCGTTTCCGTTCTGGTGAAAGAGGGGCCCTGTAGAAGCGGCCCTCTCGTCCGCGGAGGGTTGAGATGCAGATCCGGCCTTAGTCGAGTTTGTGGCAGCAGGTAGTTCAGTGCGTTGACTATTCTCAACAAGGGTAGTTTCTGTCTTCCCTGCATCGCTGGTGTTATGGGAATCTGACGACGGCGGTGACGGTGCAGCCGATTGCTCAGACTTCTTCTCGGCATCGCTGGACACAGCATTAGAGTCGGTGGGCGGTGCAGAGTCCGCAGATCTAGAACGGGCATTTTCGGGACTCGACTGATGTGGTTCTGCGTTGGCTTTTGGGCTGGTTGCTTCTGTAGTGTCTGCAGGTTGTGATGCGTTGTCTGCTTTTGTGGGTACTCCCGGCACTATGTCTGTCCCTTTCTCCGGTTCAATCGGCACCTGCTCGGCTGGTACAGGCCCACTATCCGTAACCGCAGCGGCTGTCATAATCGGTTCTCCCTCTGCGGCCTCAATCGGCTCTACAAAGTCATCATCCCCCCGGGCTTCCTCCTCCTCGCGCCTGAACTGCTCCATCATCGTGGTGCCATGAACTCGTAACAAACTGAGTGGACAATAAAACTCATTACCATAATGCGTAAGGAACTCAATACGTAGATATCGTGCCCAGATTTGGGGTGCCTTGACAAGGAAAGGTTGGATGTCTCGTGAATTGCGCGCTTCAAAAGTAGCCAGGGTTCTCCAGCGGTCCATCTTCACTGGATATCGATCAGACACACTGACCCGAAAATGACGGAACATAGAAGAAAAGAACTCATAGTTTGCTAGAACAACCGTGTCGACAAGAATGTCGTCACAGAGTTCGACAATGACGAATTTATTCTGGGCCGAACATTCGTTCAGCATGTAGCTGTCCTTGTTCTCAACGAGAACGGCAGACGAGCTCTTAGCTCGAGAGTTGGTCTTGAGGACAGTGGCCGCACAGTCAAAAGAGGCGTAATTGAAACGCTCCTTGCACGTCTTCCCAGCATCTTTGCTGAGCGCCCAGGAGCTCGGGGCGACATTGTCTTCATCTTCTGCTGGCTTCGTGGCCTCGACAGAATCCTGGGTCCCGGAAGGAGAGCTCGCAGTTCCAACCCCCCCTTCGGCAGGGTCTCCGAATCCACCAAAGTCTATCTCGATTTCTGACTCCTCTCCTAATGAGTCGAGTGCATTGATATTGACTGGTCGCCGCTGGGCTCTGGATTCAGACGAGGCGGCCCGACCTTGCCCAACGTTCTCGGGCGACTGGTCAGCACGGACAAGATTCTTCTTCTTCCAATCTTCGAACGATAGGAAATTGGCGTTGTCAAGGGGGGAATCGGTCTCGGCTTCGGCATCAGATTGACTGCTGGTCGTGCTGCTAGCCGTCGCGGTATCGGGAGCACCGGTCTCCTGGGAGGTGGGAATTGTGCTCGCGCTCGAATCGCCAAGTGCCTTCGTTTCCTGCCGGTTATCTGCAGCGCCGTCCCCTATCCACGGTATCGCCACCCAGGGGCTGGGCAATGCCTCTCCTGAAGAATCTGATCCCGACGATGCCGCCTGGGTGGGTGCCGACCAAGCGGTCCTTAGGCATTGCTGCGGCAGTGTGTGCGTGATGTAGTTGATGGTGCGGAAAGGACATGTCCTGTCAGAGAAGGACGCGGTCGAGGGCTTCAACGACGGCGAAGTGAGTACAGAAGGGCTCTTGGTCGCGCTACTGGAGGCGACGGAGACGCTGGAGGGATTTTCGGCCAGAGTGGTGTCATTTGTGGGCTGGGCCGGCGTCGGAATGCTGCAGAGCAGGAGTAGGGTTGTCCATTTGCAGACTCGTGCGCCAATCGAGGGCATTGCTTGGTCGCATAGCTTATCCTAGCTACGAGTGGTGCAGAAGGAGGTGCCCGACGACCTGCGGCGGCACCATGAGCAGCTTCAGGTATATGAACAGGCTGCAGAGTGCGAAACCACGGTGTGAAGGTTTGTTTTGGCGAAAGCGTTCGTGCAAGGTGTCGTATTCACCGCCTCGAACCAGAGTAGTTCCTTTGTCCAGAGCTCAGACATCATTGCCAAGATGTCAAGATTGGGGAATTCACCACATCACCCACTTCGCCCACACTGGGGCCGACTAGCGCCGAAATGTGACACCAAGAATTAGTTCCGCCCTTTGGGTATATGACGTCTCTCCAAAGTTACTGTACAATACTAATACAACAAGGTCCTTAAGCAAATCCATATCATGCACTGCGATCAGACCTCACAAATGTACTCGGCACATCATGAAACCCGAATCGTAAACCATGTGTGTGCTCTAACGCGGGCATACGGCGCAACGCACGGCACGCTCAAAATACAAGCATCATGCGTGCGTGCGTGCTATCATCAGAAGGAAACAAGAATCGCCACGGGGTACCCCTTCCCCTACCACCACCAACCCTATGTTACCAGTACTCAAAATACAACACACCAAATAAGCCTTTGGGAGCGAGCGAAAGCCAACCTGACTACCACCCAAAAATTCTGAACATTCCTCCCGCCTGAAGCCTGTAATCGCTCCTGCAAAAATCCCGCCGGCCGTCTCTAGGTCTTGTTGGTTTCGTGTTTGTCCTTGGGAACGCCGTGCTGATAATGGTCAAACGCCATGCGAACGAAAAGGGGAAAATGTGCAAACAGGGCCAGAGTGGGTGCTCCCGCTATGCTGTTGCATCATGATTAAAGGGTATGTCTCGCTAGAACTGGTCTATGCTGAGTTGCAAAGAAGAGAAGAATCGGCGAGGGGTATTAAATCGAGTCTCTGAGGGCGACATGGATTCAGTTGGCTCGAGATGGGGAAGAAGTGTCGTAATCAGACCAGACTGACGAAATTGAGCGCCAGTGCTACTTGGAGGATAGCATCAGCGATTGGTGTCCCTGGCCCCGATATACTTTTAGAAGCCTTCGTCGCCAGCGCGGCAGACTTTGATCTCCTTGACCCATTCGGAGAAGAGAACTTGGTGGGCTGTGAGCCGACGAGTCGGGTTAGGGTCAAGGATCGAATAGATCACGTTACGGCATTGACGCTGCCGCCACATTAGCTTGAAAATCTCTGAAAGGGGCTGGGACGACTCACCCGTCGCAAAACTTCAATGGGCCTGTAGCCTGCCTCCTCTTTTCGGTCTTCCAGGTACCGATCAAAGAATTCATCCTCGCCCTTCTGAGCAACACGCCAAAGGTGACGTCCGGTCCTCATGGCCATGTAGATAATGCCACAGGCCCACACGTCGACAGCACGCGGGTCGAATTCACGATCAACGTATTCCTCCGGAGCAATGTAAGGAGCTGACCCGCACAGTCCAGCAGTCATGTGAGCTTCCTTTTCCCAGGCCATGCGGAAGCACTCCCCGTTCCCGAAGTCGGTGATCTTGATGGAGCCGTGCTGGGTCAGGAGGAGATTTTCGGGTTTTAGGTCACGGTGCGCCACGCCCATCTCGTGCATGTACTCGACGCCCCGCATGAGCTGCTTGAAGAAGCAGTCAGCCTCGGCAACTTCGAGCTGGCCAGCTGCGAGAACGAGAGTGTACAAGTCGCCACCAGAACAGTACTCCATAACTTCGCAGTAGATGCCCTTGTCGTCCTGAAGGAGATCCAATGTGTTGATGACGTTTGGATGTTGCATTGAGGAAGAAATGCAGAATTCGGCAGTTAAACGCTTGGTGTACTTCTTGGAAGACTCTCCTGGCCGTTGCTTGAACTCCTTGACAGCATATAGCTGTTCGCGCTTGGGGTCCTTTGCGTCAGTCTTGTGCGCAACACGCACAATGCCAAAGGCACCGCGTCCGACCACCTCTTGACATTTGCCGTATTTCTGAACCAGGGTTTGAGAAGTATTGGTGCTGGAATTCTTCTGTTCTGCAAGTTTCTCCTTCTCGTTCCGCATGACATCGACCCAGTTTGCCATCAAGCTTAGGGGCTGCTCGTCGTGGTGTCCCTCCTTCTTCTTGCCCATCATGAGGTTCTGGAACATATCGGTCAGCTTCTCTTGGCGCTTCGCAACCTTGAGGTGATGTTCGTGCGTGCCATCTTCGTTGACCCAGTAGCGTCTGTATGGAGGGAGTGCAGCGTCTTTCTTCTTGGTTGTGGCGGATGCCTGGCGCGAGGGCGCCGGGCGGCCGGTGGTGCTCGAGACAGTTGACGCGGCACTGTTTGCAGCTTTGGACTCGGCGTTCTTTTCGGAGAGGTTGATACGCGAAGACTCTCTGCTGTCGTCTCTTCGGCCAAACATGCCGCTGATGCGCGACGTCATCGTGGGCTTCTTTGGCTTTAGAGCCGCATCGCCGTTCGCCTGCACGCCGTTCACCCCAGGATGCGAGGGAGGCGGAAGAGCGAACTGGGCATCGGGTTGCGAGTGCAATGAAGAAACGGTGGAGACGGAGGGCACTGGTGAGGCGACGGGTTTGGAGGCTGCGCTGGGAGGGTTGCTACCGGTTGGGGCGGCCATGGCTACAGTTGTCGTCGGACTCGACGGCAAAGATGGACGGGCTGAGGACAGAAAGTTGGAGGATTGTTCTGCGGAGACGTACGTGTACGTCTCGAGGGCTGGGGCGCAGCCCAGATTGTGTTATTGTGTTACCCGCAAAACGGCGGTGTTTCTCCTGCGGTTGGTGGTGGAGATCAGGTTGAGGAGGGTGTGTTGGGTGTGACTTGGGTTTATGTGGGAAGTCACGGTGAAGGACTCAGGCGATGGCAAGCCCGAAAAGCGTGCTTTCGAAGCGACGAGGTGGAAGCAGCTCGACGAGCAGCCGGATTACAAACGAGCAATCGGGATTGCGAAGTGGCTGTGGACGCGGGCCGGGCACGATCGGCAGCGGTGATGTCGGTCGGAGGCCTGTGGCGGGCCAGGAACGGACGGCAGCTGAGCAGCGCAGTGGTTGTGTATAGTAGCAGCGAAGGGGTAGCACTCGAGTTGGTTGTTTGCCTGGGGACTGCCGACTGGTATTTTGTATGCGGGGTGGATTGTGCAGCGGTGGGAGGTTGAGTGCCGGGCGGGAAAGCTGCACTGCCCAGGTTTGAGTGCGCGATTTTGCAACAGACGAACTAAACTGATTTCATTTCCCAGCGCAGGCCGCCAGTCGATTATTGCTCCAAGCCCTCAGCACGGGAGAAGCGCGGGGCGCCGTGCACTGAGAGCAGTGCGACGTGAAAGATGCTGCGGCGTTGAGCTTCGCGCCGCGCTCTGAGACTCCCCTTCTTCACCTCCCAGGCTGTCGGCTGAGAGGCAGCATCGCCGCGATATTATTCATCACCTCAATCACGAGATGACCAAGCGGCACGCGCAACAGTCCCGGACTTGCAAGCGCCTGAAGGCGGTGACGGCGGCATTGTCTACCATGACTGTCCTGGAGACTTTGAAGATTTGACGTCGTTGCTTTCACCGTGGCCACCATTCAGCCACGTGCACGGCCCTCTCCTCCACCATCTCTCGACCTCACGTCAAGTGTCGTTACATGCGAAGCGCACCTCCCGGAAAACCCGTCTTCAGACGTGTTGGTATCACACCCTTCCGGCCAGCTTGCCCTTCCACTCACTGCGATCCTCACTGCGATCCTCACTCCCTGTTTTGGCTCGACTCCCCATGCAGTCAACGCGGGCCAGTCCAGCCTGACCAGCCCAAAGCGAGACCCATCAAACTCACCATCTTTCCTGCTGTACAACTGGATCGCGTCCGTCGTGAATCCTGTATCCCCCTTTATGTACTCGCCGTTGACGCGAGGCGTGCTGAACCTGCCGTCCTGTCCCTTGATTTCCAGCTTCCCCCCGCACCCGCGCCCTCACATCGATGGCGCACCCGCCGGCCAGTGCTCTTCAACCTCACCTGCAGTCCGCAAGTCAATTCCCCCGAGTCGTCTCCCACAGTACGAATGCCCCAGCCGACGGACCAGTCAAAAATGCCTCAGCCGACGCCTTTCTCTACCTGCAGCCAACCTGCGCAGATCGTATCTTCATCCTGCAAAATAGCTGCAAGCCTCACACGACTGCACTCTCCATCTCCGTGATTTTCGCACTGACCTCTTCCGAGATCCGCCCTTCTGGTTAGACCCGTTCGCTCGGGCTCGGGCGGCCATTTAAAAGACAACATGTACCTTTGTACTTCCCGCATGCTATTGGCTTCTTCCAGCCTAGACCCTCATATCGCCGGGCCTATCGCTTATAGGTGCGTATGCGGACTTCGATGCTAATTTGTATTTTTAAGCATCGCGGTGAGTATGCGTGGGACGGCTCAGAGGCAGAGTCGAGCAATCTGTGGGCTCATTACTATTTGGCGGTCTGACTTACCACCGCTCATCTTTATCGAGACTGCCGTATAACAAGTAAGCGGTGCTCGAACAGGACAGCTTGCGTGACAGCGGCAGCATGCGAGATAAGCAATCCTGCAAATCGGTTGATGTCCCTCCTCCCCTATGTAATATCCATCGATGATCGGGTGAACCCGTGGTGGATCCATTGGACACTATTTCCAGGAACGGGCCACCATAGTACTGGCAGAGCCATTTTACGCAGCACAACTTCATGTGTTCATCTGTGTTGGCCGTTGCTAGCGCGCCGATCTAGGTCAATTCGCCAAACAAACCACCTAGGCGACAGCGCGCCGTGATCCTCTCTACAGATTGCCAATGACTACAGGCGGTTTATGTTGACAAATTTAAATACGGTAATCGAGCCAAAGAATCCCTCATTCACTTACCATGATGATCGCAAAATAATATGGGCATTTGGAATCTCTATGCAACGAGTGAGCAGGGTTTCTTCAACCTCGCCTTTCCTTAAACTACTTATTCTAGCGTCGAACCACCGAGGGAAATGCGAATACCTCTTATCTGACTACTGCTAGCCCTACACAACGCTTCATTATGAACTTTTAGGAACCTGTTGCTTCCCGCACCCTTATCTCCTGTAAGTAAATCAACCCCTCGTTGTCACAGGACCTCCATTCAATCCCATCTCGCTATCACAGGAATCACCCGACCCCAACGGCGATGGATTCGAGAACCCCTTTGTAATTCCACGGGTCTAGTATTACTAACATTCAAGTAGAGCGGTACCAACCGACGTATGCGAGCAACGCATCCCCTATCTCAAGCAGCAAATCATCATTGGATTTTTGTCTATCACATCATCCTCGCCATCACGGGGTAATTCAGTCACACCACGACATGTTTCTAGTTGCATGTGATTTAAAGGACACGTTCAGTGTTTTGTTTATTCGAGGGCAAATGGGAGTAAGCCACCCTCTGAACCGGACCTGTAGCAGGTCAGCGCGTATTTCACGGCAATGAGGCCGGTCAGATGTTGGCCAACCTCCCCTGTGCTACAATGCATATCTCCGCTGTCGAGGGATGCTGTGTGGCCATGGGCTTGCCGTCAGAATTACGATCCGTACATGCAGGAGGTTCTGTCTCGTCTTAGGGCTTGTGGCGTGTTGTGGACGGAGTACTACACTCCTACTTGACAATACTTTTTTAATATGTTGTATATGTCAAATGCCTGTTAACGTACTGCCCCCGACTACTGAAGACTGCTAACGAGTCCCAGTCATGATCACCCAACTCTTTCTCCAAGACTTCAAGTACTGTCCACCGCTTGCTATTTACAATACTATTCATCACTACTCACTGACTACCATTCACTTATTCAACTCAAGAAAACATGATTCAGCAAAAGTGCTAAAACCCGCGCCGATCGTCTATTACTCAGAACTTTATTCCAACATTAATCTCTCCCAGCAATGGAAATATGATCGCTCGAAAATCTGCTATCCATGAATGTATTTAATTGATAGTTCATGTATACATGCAGCCGCATTCGCTTCGATTTATAGATTCCAAGTTGACCATCTTGCATACAAACTTGACCAAAAAAGTGATGTGATAATAGTAATAATAATAATAGTAATAATAGTGGTGGTGAGGCCGCAGGGCCACCGAATCCATCTCATCACAACCCATCCAAACCATTCTAGCCCATTCCCATCCCAAGTACACCCAAAAACACACTCCCTTTTACATCATCCCCCTCGTCTCACTAACCGGGGTCACATTTCTACTCCCATCCCCAGCCCCAGTCTCAGTCCCAGTCTCAGACCCCGCATCCCTCCCCTTCCTCCTCTCCCCCGGTTGCGGCGTCGAACTCCTACTCCTCTCCTGCTCCCTGACTTGCTGTCTCGCCTCATCTACTAGATCCCTAAATTCCCTTGCGCCTCTTAGTCCCCTTGACAAGAGACCCTCCTTTCCCTCCACCACCTTCTGCGCCTCACCCCGCTCTTCTACGCCCTTTTTTGCACGCTCTACAATCGCCTTCAAACCCCCTTTAAGCTCGTTGCCAACTGCACGGCCTGAGTCGAAGATGCATTCATTTTCGCGGATTGCTTTGATGTTTTCGACGCGGCGGGTGAGGTAGAGCGTTGGGCGACGGCCTTCTTTTCGTTTGAGGATACGTTGGATTTCTTCTTGGTATGCAGTTTCGTAGACGTCCATGTCGACGGCGGAGGGTGATTCCGAGACGATGGGTTGGCTGGCAGTTTCGGGTGGCGTGTCTTCGCCGGTACCGATATTTAGGAAAAGAGTGTCTTCGAGCGGATCGTGAGCGTGGCCTTTACCGACTGGTGTTGCGGGTGTGGAGCTGCCAGGAAGGTTGGGGATGGCGATGGGTTGGGATGCTTGTGGTGGGCGAAACAACATGTTATCATGGATGACTTTTGCGTCAGTGATGTGGGGGGGCTGGCGGATCTCTGGGCCGCTTGTAATGGCACCCTTTGATGGGCCTCCGTTTCGAAGTATCGGGGAAAGTAGACCGGGCTTTGCAAATTCCATTTCGTCGGCATAGTCTGGAACCCGCTTGTCGTTATCGTCCACTTTAATAACTCGATGAATCCCCTCGGTTGTGAGTGCTCCTTCGATGGGTCGGCGATTATCGGTGTCTTGAGACTTCGATTTCCGCAATTGTGAAGGCCGAATTGAAAGGGGAGGCTGTACGATACGAGATGCGCTACCCAAAATACCCTCCATTAGTTCGGGTCGTCTCCGAAAGAGTAGCTGCTTGAAGCGTTTTACGGCTCGAACCTGAGATAGTTGTTAGAGCCTCTCGGTAGGGCAATTAACGCTTAAAGATAAGCTCATCACTTACGACTGTCACAAGATGACCCATGTTCCCTGTAATAGCAGCATTGACTTCTTCATCTGTGGGTTCTTCGACAATAATAGCAACATTTTCCGATGTTGGTAGTAGAGGGTCTGTCCCTCGCCTTGTAACCCATGGATGTTCCTACGCAAATTAGTGCGGTATTTCCCGCCATTCTTGAACACATACTCTGAGTTCGTCCATCCTGATTCGCTTATTTGGCTCCTTTTCTAGAACCCTCAGTAGCAGGTCGCGAAGATCTTCAGTGCACTTCGGCCCAAGATCCGGGACGTCATTTCGTATTGATTGATATAAGTCGATCATGCCGGTTTTCTCGAATGGGATCCTGCCGAACAGTAAACAGAAAAGTGTAACTCCCATCGACCAAATATCGGCGGCCTTCCCCGAAACCTGCCCGTGTTTGGCAACACACAGCTCGGGAGGCATGAAAGCGGGCGAGCCAGCAGATTTGGCAGTCTTCATCTCTGACTCTTTCTCAAACATCTCTGACACGCCGAAGTCGACAATTTTCAGGACGTCATCGTCGGTTACGAGACAATTGTCGGGCTTGATGTCTCGGTGTATGATTCCTTGAGCGTGAACTAAAATAAGATTTAGTAAAAGAGGGGTTGGTACCTGTTCTTGACAGACGTACGATACTCAATGCCCAATATCATGTCTCGAAACCAGCATCGGCAGTGTTCCTCATCGTAGGGATCTGCCCGCTCTTCAAGGCCTACCTGCATCACAACGCCCTTCTTGCACATTTCCATGACCATGTACAGAGAGTCTTCTTCAGGGTCGTCGAGCACCTCGATAAGCGACACTACGTTCGGATGGTTCAGCTTCTTCATGATGGCGATCTCCTCCTTTATCAGGTCCAGAGAGTTATTCTCCGCCTCAGAAGACGAATGCCGATGCAGCGGCGAGTTGAATCCTAGGCCAGCCGCGAGTGCTCCCTGGCGTCGCCGCCTCGCACTCGGGCGACGGAGTAGGTTGGACTGGGCCCGCTTCCGCAGGCGGGACTTGGAGAATTCCTTAACAGCCTGTGCCTCGAGGCGTTAGCGAGAGCCAATGCCATAGTCTCGAAGGCCACCCGCATCAGGATCCTCACATATTCTTGCCCATACTGATCCACGGCGAGATGTACTGCTCCGAACGATCCCCGGCCTATCTCCTGCTTTATCAGGTATTGATTGATGCGGTGCTGGGCGGTTCCGTCATCTTCGCTGTTGCTGTACTCGGAGCGAGCGTTGAGCGTTTCCTGCCAGGCGCGTCAGATGGGGAAGGAACAATCAACCAAGTAAACAATTCTAGATGGACATTGTTCAGCACACCTTCACGGGCCTCGTGGAGGAGGCTGCTCGCTTGTGATGTCGGAGAGGGCTGTGATATGCGGGGGCAGACCTGTGAAGGATGTGGGTTAGTGGGGTCGATCGAATACCCTCAAGGCACTGAACACGACGCAAGCACTGACATATACTTCACTGGAGGAGGCCGTCCGCCTTCTCCGACAGCAGGCACGCCCAGAGAGATATTGTCCGAGGAATAGATGCCCGGGATGTTGATGTCCAGCGACTGTTTCGTCGGTGGTGGGGGGGGCATGATTAAGCTATTTAAGCTATGCGTAGGACGATTGTGATAAGAAAAGGGATTGACATGAAAGGTACCAGGAGAGTCTCGCTAGCAACAAGGTGATGGCCCAGAAACTAGGCAGAGAGGATATTCCGTCTCAGCTAGGCAATTGGAATGGTAAGAGCACGAGATAGAAGGGGGTCTGGGGGTCGAGAGTGAGGGGCGGTTTCTTTGCAGAGGTCTGATAAATTTCTCGAATCGCGCCTGAGGCAGCAACCACCACCAACCCACTCCTGCAGGCTCGAAGGGCAACCCAGCATTCAGCCTTGGCCAGTCCCAGCTCTGGACCCCTTGTCGTCCGCCTTACCCCATATCCACACCTCGTTGCGCACATATCTGGTGCGACGGCCCGCCCATCTTGCAGTCATCCCCGGACGCCATGGTGCTCTACTCCTTCTACATCTTTGATCGCCACAGTAAGCACCCTGCTCCATCGTCGCCGTGCATGCGCCGCTGATCCAATCACCACCGCCAGCCGAGTGTATCTACAGCAGACGATGGACGCCGCGGCCAGTGTCGTCGAGCAGCAAGGCCGCGCGCCCGCAATCCGGCTCCAGCATCACCAGCAGTGGCGACGCACCGACGGGGCGCAAGGGCATGTCGCATGCCGACGATGAAAAGCTGATATTCGGGCTGGTCTTCTCGCTGCGCAACATGGTGCAGAAGCTTGGCGGCGACGACGACACCTTCCTGGCATACCGCACCGGCGAATACAAGCTGCACTACTACGAGACCCCGACCCGCATGAAGTTCGTCATGCTCACCGATACAAAGCAGAACCACTTGCGCGCATACCTGCATCAGATCTGGGCGAATCTGTACGTCGAGTTTGTGGTTAAGAATCCCCTGGCGCCGGTAGAGCATCCCGGCGGCATAGGGGTGGCGAATGAGCTGTTCGAGAAAGGGCTGGAAGCATTCATCACGGCAGTTCTTCCGGCGTGAGGACTAGGTGTCCTGACAAGAGCACTCTGGGGCTGATAAGCTTGCATCACCAGCAATATGCTTTCGGGGAGCCGGTCGTGTGAAACGAGAAGAGGCAGGTACGCGGCAGGCACGCGGCAGGCACGCGGTAGGCTACATGGCGACAGAGAGAAGGAGCATCCAATGATGTACCCCACGCCACCACGAAGTCCATATCAAGTGAGTATGGTTGCTGCATAAGGTCCACAGGCGGGCAGACGCGTGACTACCAAGCAATTGGAAGAATGTTAAGCTTCAATAAGCATTACCTATTGCACCTAGGCAGCTATGGCCTTCTTGACCCGGGTATATTGGCCAAGCCATGAATGCCAGTAAACGTCGTAGATCTCTCATAGTATCGATGCTTCTCTTTCCTGAACGCCTGGATAGAGCCTCCCGCAATGACAGGTGTAAACCAGATTTCAGGTCTCCCCCGTGACTTTTTACGCTTTCTGCGTCTTCACCCTCGCAGGTCCCAAACCCTTCCGAATCTCATCCAGTTGCTCCAACCCGCTCTGTTGAGCGCCCTTTTTGACCCTCCTCTTCCCCGCCATGGAATACCCGCCTAAGAAGTCATCCATGATATTGTCGAAGTCTGACCTCAGCGCTGGTGCCTCGCTCATATTTGACATGCCAGACATTTTGCTGAATCCAGACATTTTGCTCATCCCCGACACCATAGAGGCGTCGTCTGGGAGTTCCTCTGCCGCGTACTCTTCCTCGATCTTGTCGAAGCGTTGATCAAGGATGGTGAGACCTTCCGTGCGGTGAAGAGCTGAGGACGTCATACTGTAGCCAGAAGTCGATGTCATGGCGCCTTTTCGCTTCTTCTTCCGCCCTCCTGCTGTGAGTGCAGAAGCTCCTGTAAGAATCGAGGACTGGACATCAGATGGTGCGGCGGGCTTCGGTGCCTTGGCCGTCTTGGCGTCTTTCTTGAATTTGTTGAATTCGTCAAGCCAGGCATTATCATCCTCTCCAGTTGGTGCTGGAACGGAGTCTGGGGCGGGCAGAGTATCTGGATCAGTTGGTTCAACGGGCTCTTTCTTCTTCGACCTTTTCGGTGTGCCATTCGTAGGTGATGAAGCTTTAATCGTGTCATCAGTTTCCCAACCATCGTCGTGCAAATATCGGTCCATCTGGTCTTGGTCTCCCCAGCCGCTTGCTTCCCACTCCCTTGGGTCAACTTCGACGACATCCTCAGCCAGTTGCTCAAAGATATCATCCTCATCATCCACATATGCATCATCTTCGAGTGCCTCGAGCACCTCCCGCAGTCTCGGGTCCATGTCAGGTTGGAAACCCCCAATCGCGTCCGGGATATTCTGCTGGTCTTGATATGTGGTTTTCCTCACAAACTCTGACGGTGCAAGATCCTCGCCGAAGATGTCGCTGGCACTCCGACTCACACTGCTGCTCATGCTGAGCCCAGCGTCGCTCTGTCTGTCGTTGAGGGAGGCTTGCCGGAGGGCATCTGCCAAATCCACCTTCTCTTTCCCCTTTCCCTTCTTGTGGCTGGACGCATCCACGAAGTACCCTTCTCCACTTGACCCCAGATCCCGCATATGTTGCATGTAGTCATATTCAGAGTCATCATAGAAAATACCATAATTGGCCGCCTCGCCCTCATTCTTCCTGACATCTGATCCGAACTCGTCCTCTAAGTCTCCCCTCGACTTGATCTTGCTTCGACCCGATGCAGCCGAGTATTGCGATGCTCCAGAACCGACGGCGGGCTCAGAGGTCTGGCGCATGTTCGGCGCGGCAACCTCCTTGAACACCATATCCGGGGCATCGACGTCGTGGATTCGGGGGTCATTTTGGGCGCGGTGGACGAGGTGGAAGGTTGTGGCATTTTTCTTGTCGCTGAGGAGGTGTTAGCGGGGGTTCTGGAATTCGTCGTTTTGCAACACGAGGACAGACATGAATTTCCGCCGGGGCATTTTGGTGGCTTAAAGCACGAATCGGGGTCCGGACTGGGTTGAGTGAGGCGGAGGAATTAGTTCGTAGTGGAAGGCGAAGGAAGAGGCTGACAAAAGTTCGAGGGCGTCGAAAATTTAGGCGAGCGTGAATGACGTTCGCGGGGTTGACCTGAAATCTCCAGTGTCTCTTCCACACGCACTCTCCCTCAAACTCAGCACAAAAATCTCCAGATACCCTAAAAAATCCCTCCAAAATGGTGCTGGCGAAATCGAAGAAGAGTGTCGGACTGGGCAACAGCCTGATGAACGACAGGTTTGGGAAAGGTAAGGGTGCGGATATGCGGCGGGGCAACTTCCAAGGAGAGGGCATTAAGAGAACTGGTATGAATGGAGAAACTGTGGGTTCTGCAATCTAAAAATCGCGGTCGCGTTGTGCTAACCGGTCTTCATTAGTACGTCACAAATGCAAAGAAAGAGGCATCGTGGGTGAAAATGCGCTCCGTCACCGAACAAGCCGCCCTGGACGAATTTCTCTCGACGGCCGAACTTGCCGGAACAGACTTCACCGCGGAGAAGATCAATAACGTCAAAATCATCCACAAAGACCAGAAGAACCCATACTTGCTGTCAGCGGCAGAGGAACGCGCGACCGTGCGAAAACACCGAGAGAACAAGCAGAGATTGACTGTGCCACGGCGCCCTGCATGGGATGAGAAAACGACACCTCAGCAACTCGATACGCTGGAAAGGGAGTCACTATTGCAATGGAGGAGGGGATTGGCTGAATTGCAAGAGAACAATGACCTGCTCATGACTCCATTTGAGCGCAATCTTGAGGTATGGAGGCAATTGTGGCGAGTCATCGAGCGGTCAGATCTGGTTGTGCAGATTGTGGACGCCAGGAACCCTCTGCTCTTCCGATCCGAAGATCTTGAAAATTACGTCAAGGAGGTGGATCCTAAGAAAAACAACTTGCTGCTCGTGAATAAGGCGGATATGATGACTTTGGAGCAGAGGCAGGCTTGGGCAGATTATTTCGTCCACGCCGGCATCAACTTCAGATTCTTTTCGGCTGAGCTGGCGAAAGAGATGAATGAGGCTAGGAACCTTAAGGAAGGCGGTGAATCTGATTCATCCGATGGATATCTCGACGATGATGAGGTCGAAGAAGAAATCGATGCGGATGGAGATGATTTGGCGAAGGAAGCCCAAAAGATCGACATTCAGGACCAAAGAGAGGAGGATCAATGGGCCGATGAAGGAAATGTGGGTGCCTCTGGCAATGATATCCCATTGACAGAGGAGGAAGAGCGGGTCCGCATATTGACCACAGACGAGCTCGAGGCCCTGTTCCTAGAACATTCGCCTGATATCGACACTGGACCGGATGGCGCCCCTCGAAAGACTCAAATTGGACTTGTCGGTTATCCAAACGTTGGAAAGTCATCCACTATCAACGCACTTATCGGTGCAAAGAAGGTTTCCGTTTCTGCAACTCCCGGAAAGACGAAGCACTTCCAGACGATTCACTTAAGTGATCAGGTCATCCTGTGTGATTGCCCTGGTCTAGTGTTTCCCAACTTCGCCACAACAAAGGCTGAGCTCGTCTGCTCTGGTATACTTCCAATCGACCAGCTGCGCGAATTTACTGGTCCCGGTGCCCTTGTCGCGCAGCGAATACCCCAGTCTTTCTTAGAAGCGATATATGGCATGAAGATCGAGATTCGACCACTTGAGGAAGGCGGTACGGGTACTCCGACCGCAGAAGAACTTCTCCGTTCGTATGCTTCTGCTAGAGGTTTCTCAACTCAAGGCCTGGGGCAGCCCGATGAGTCACGAGCAGCTCGCTACGTCCTGAAAGACTACGTTAAGGGGAAACTGCTCTTCTGTCATCCCCCTCCCTCAGACCCACCCATCGACCCAAAACATTTCAATCGCGAGCTATATGATCTGGATCATCTCCCTGCGAAACGCCGCGCACATCTCACCTCGTTAGCCGGTCCGTCTTCACTGGCTGGAACCGAAGATGCTTCGCTCATAGAAGTCGAGTTGGGCATGATATCCACAGCACCTGTGCAAGGCGCGAAGACATCAAGGTTAGACAGGAAATTCTTCGCGCCAGGTCAGGGGAACGCACATGTAGCTATGCCGTTTCATCATCAGTACAGCGAGCAGGGCAAAGAATTGTCGGGGAGGAAGCTGAAGACTGTGATAGCGCTTGAGAGGGATGTCGATCCGAGCGAGTTGCGACTGAATAGTAAAAAGCACTTCAAGGCCAATAAGAGGAAGAACAAAGCTAAGAAGGTTGAGTATGACTGAGTTAGCATGGAGATGGTTGCGTGTTCCTAGACCTAATGAATGGTCAGGGAGGCCGAGCAGCCTCTTCGCTATATACAAGAGGTTGTGGCGTTAATTCATGCCAGGTTCTTCTTCCTGCACGTCAGATTTTGCTCCCAGAGTCCAACCATTAACACCACTATATCCTCTCGCCATCCCCTCCCTCTATCCCTCCTCCTCCCTCGTAATCCACTTCCTCGGATAAAGTTACTTCCTCCATGCCCACTGCCGATAAGTCCTTCGATCTTGAGCCCTCTTCGCAAGCCAGAGCTGTTGGTAGACAAGGATCTAGTGGAGGGTTACAACTGCACGGATTTGCTAGATAACTAGTTATTAGGCGTGTGCTGTTTCCTTCCTGTACATAGAGGTGGAATATGAGGTCACCCAGGAGAAGGGGCGAGGTAGTGAGCAATGAGGCGCCGGAAGGGCAGCGGCATATTAGGTAGTAGTTCGAAGCAAGGGTGTGTGGTTTGGGGGATTTTGTGGGGATGTATGGACTCTTCGGTTGCAGTAGTTAATCGTGCGTACAATGAATATTATTCTCGCCATCGTTCTCACAGTTACGAGAAAAACACTGAAGAAAGGAGGAATTTTGGTTATGTAACGGACATGCTTAACCCAGCGACCTCCCCGAGCATTCACATTCACTTGCACAGATTGTGATAGTATTTCAACTGCACTAATGTCCCAGTACCATCACGAAAGCGAATTTACAACGCTTTCACACTTGGAGCCTTCAGAACCTTTTCCGCCTCCCCTCTACTTATCTCCGGTCTCGGATTCTCTTGCTTTGTTCTGTAGCTATCATAGTTCCGTTCACGATCCACCAACCACGTAATAGAATATCACGAAGCCTCTAACATGAGCGGGTGGTGTTCGTAGCTGTGGGTGTACCAGTTCCCTATATGGAAATTATATAGTGTGTAGAGCGATTGCTCTACCTGAGTGTGTTGTTACTCCTTGTTTCATTGCGTTCGAATTTTTCAATGAACCGACCTCACCCTACCGAAAGTGCAACAACTCCAAGGCTAGGTTGTGGGTTTCCTACCATCTTATGTCCCATTACCCCAACCATCATGAGCCCGATTCTGATGTCCCAGGGTTTGGAGGAAGCATGAAGATATGAACGAGCATATGTACGCTGCCAAGGACGAGTAAAAAACCATGTGATACAGTGGGCTAGAGTAAATTATTATAGGGCGTCTCTCCTGGTTAGTGGATTCGAGTATTGGAGATAGGTCGACGGAGAATTGAAGCCGGATACATATATTTAGGATGGGAGTACCGTCAAAGTTGACGGTAGATTTGACGTTGGGTGGTGCAGCTGTCGTGTAGTTTAGGTTAAGGTTTAGATTGGGGTTCGGGTTTAGGCGTTGGGGGAGTTTGGGATTGGCTACCCAGACAGACTGGTCGGATCCACTGTATCACTGTCTATGTGCTGACTATCACCCCATCCTATTCTCGCTGCTCTCTCATAACCCCTCTCCTCTAACTGCAGAAGCTCCAAGGTTCATCCCTCGTCAACCGAGGTCTCGGATTTGCCCGCTTATTCTGGGCCCATTACTGATATATCTCCCGCTACATATGACGCCAGACTGACCATGAGTAAGTCATCCGGTACACAACCACGACTCCCCTTCGCACGAAATTATTCCATTTCTAGAGCTACATCGTCAATGACACTGGAGCTTCAACATTCCAACCGTGGTTAATTTGTCGAGGGTGTATGCGCTTATGAGGTCAATGGTTGCGCATCGCAGACAGTGTTCGTAATGGGTGATTGAATCAACTGCAGGTACTCAGTTACCTGCAGCTACTCTTCGGCGGAGAATTAGGGGCCACTTTCAGGTGGGTTGACTTTGTATTGAGGATACGTGGACTATAAGTTGATGTTTGGGAGGCCAGATTCGCGACCTCAATTCACTCTCTTAATGTCCAAAACCCTCCATGGGGTATAGATCCTACTGGATTAGGCCTAGCTTTCGGCCTAAGACTCCCTGAAGCATCACCTGCAGGCACCCGGGTACCTGCAGTTGATCAACTGCAGATGGGTCAACCACCCATTACAAACACTGATTGCAGGGAGGACGACTAGGGCATGTTGGGATTGATGCTGATGATGGTAGTAAAGGTCTTAGGAGATAGGTTGTTGTTTTTGTAGCCTCCTTGGGTGCTAGGTTTCATCGGAGGGGTTCGGTACCGTGTTCGACCAACACTTGTAGAGGGTTAGAAGTAAGAAAGGAGATCAAGGTGACTTATAAGCTGATGGAGTACTCGGGAATGTGAAAGTCAACGCATAGCGAGGGCTTCGTGATCTTGATGGAGTATGGTGAATAGGACAAGGTGAAAGGTTTGGGTGAAGTAGTCGAGAACATGATGACTGCAAGACTTTCGAGGTTGCTGACGGGGCACTATTCAACGTGCCGATTATTTTGTTTTTCCAATTAATAAATAAAGTGGGGTGAAATGGAAAAATACTGTAAATGTTCACACTACTGAATTCTGGAGCATTCCGTTTGTGATTGGTGATCCTCTCCAAGCGCACTTAATACTTCTAAGATTGTGTAGGAAGATCGTGATTTCAAGCCTCGATGGAGCGGAATAGACTAGTTCACCAGATTTTACTAAAGCCTGATTAATTAACGTCGTTGTTTGGCTCCGAGTGCATAGGTCGGTATGATCTGCCGGTTTTCGCTCATTCACCGAGATCACGTGATTATTGAAAGTATCTTGATGCAGATCCTAGGACATTGTGTACCATTGAGTAGGGAGGAATTCGTGAAAGGTATTCGTGATATAGGTTGCGGTGAAGAGTGATTGGTTCGGCGAGGTATACCTCACGAGGTGTAGCTAGACTTGAAGAGACTTCGCCTGGGCAGAGTAAGTTAGATAGCGTCCTACGCTAAAGACGTGCATGCAGAATTCAGTCAAAGTTAAAGGACGTCTCGCGTAATACCTGCAGATATCAAACTGGAGGCACTGGTGTGCAACCCTCCTTGATTTCCAGAACAACAGGGATATGCAACCTGGCCAGGTCTTGCCGTTGCAGAATTGACTTTATAAAGTTTTGACATGCAGATGTTTGCATGAGGAAGATATGCATGCACATCTTCTTGAAAGCGAGTGCGAAGGTCGTAACGCAATAATAGAATATCTGTGTCGCCCTCATAGTTGTTGTGACACATGAGCACTGTTGAGGATGAGTAATGAAAGGAATTATTAGCTACAATGTTGCATTAGAAGCTGTTGCTTGTCTCGGAGAACTCGAAACCCTGAGGCTCAATGAAATATGATGCCTTGTCAGCGTTGCTTTAAAGGTATGAATATAGATACTGCAATTCGAGATCATGTTCTGCAGCTTCGCAGTGAGAGTTGAATTCCGTTCATTTGTCATCGAATCACAGTGGCCCGATTAACGGTTGTCAGCTCCCTAATTTCGAAGAGTCAGGGATTGAGGAAAGGCGTATCACATGCCGCCTTTTCTTGCTAAAACCATGAGCGGTGCTTCTGGATACCTTGAACTCAATTAGAATTGAGAGATAGATAGCAAGAGCCCAACCAACACTCTCCGGCTCGGCCCGACCCAATCGCTCGCTACCACGTTGGTGCACGAAGGTGAAAAGTTCAGCCCCTAGCGTCTTGAATTCCTCTCGTTGGCTGCGAAGTCGGGCGGCAAGAGCGGGTTTAGCATAAAGCGGAGAAGCGTAATATTGAGGATTCCAGGCATCGAAGAATAAATATGGAGAAATGGTGAGATTGTGGAGACTCTTGCATGAAGACTGCTGGGTTCAGGGATGCCGCTTCAAAGAGATCGATTGGCCATCGTTCTTCAAGAGCACAGCCATCCAATGCCCCGCCTCCGCTTGGTGGAGAAAAGACAATTGAATTTGTGTTTGACTTGGCTGAATTGGAGAGGGTACTTAACGCTTCCTCTTACTATGGCGGAATTGCACATGTATACCTGGGGAAAGAGGGACCTGGCCATCTGTGAAGCGGAAGGCTAGAAGTTGCTCTTGCAGCCTAGCCGATGTCGAGGTAGCCAGGCCTGGATTGTTCGAAGATACGATTTACAACCCGAAAAGAATCGTCCGTTATTATCTGCTCTATGCTTTAGTAGATGTAGGCTCTAGTATACCTAGTTGTTTACTCCTAGCCGGTGAGGCTTTCAGAATTCAAGGCATCCGGTTTGATACTGCTTCCTGCGTAGAGATCAAGAATGCCATCTTTGGGGTGTACTTGCGTAAGCTTTGTTATCATTCCCCATCATCTATTGGCCAATGACAAGGAGTATGATTAGATCACTCAACGCGGCACAATGAAGCTGCCATTTGGCCTTCAAGGAGAATGCACAGCACTGCAGTTAGGAAAACAACCTAGAGGCCTGCTGTCAGCAGCGGGCCAGAGCATGACAGCTGCGAATATGCAAAAGTTGTGTTTGCTTCCGATGTCGGTAGTGTGAGGTAAGTGCAAGATCTATTGATATCCGTGCTTCCTATCTTTAGCTCTTAATCCCACTTCTAGAGTGTTACAGAGGGCTTTAGGGATGCTTCCCGATGGACGTCTGTCGTACGTGAAAGTAATTTCTTCCCCATGGAGGAAAATAGTGGAGACATATCCGAACATATTCGAGAGCAAAGACGTGGCCTTGATGTGAGACCACATGCTGTGCTCATTCAACCCTGTTGTGTCGAGTTGTCGAATATCTTGTGCGCCGTGTAACGTGGCTGGCTATGAAAAGTAAAGTGGCTCCACAGGGCTGAGGCGATGATCGACCTGGCGATTGGAGGGATATGCAAGACATCGGGGACAGCCGAGGAGATAAGAAAAGAATAGGCTGAAAGGACCTGCCTCAGACAGGTGAGTGACTTGTGGGGAGGTACCTACTGGATGGCTTCAGTCTGCCGTGGACCATTACTATTTTCCAGGAGTTGTTTCGATTGCTATGCATGTCTAACAATAGGCTCTGACCAGAAGTCGGTGGTGAACTCCCATCATGGTGCTATGGACATTTTGGCGATGTCAGACCACCATGAGATCGTCCAGGAGATGGTATGTCACGTGGGCGCTAATGGATGACAACCTTGTGGTGAGCGATCTCTCGCCTTGCTGATTGGTGGTGACAATGGACTTGCTCGCACTAGGTGCCTTTCGGAGCTGCAGGTTGACGTTCGGCGTGCTCGTCTGAGCATTTCATCCCCTCGGCCTGCTGCTTGTGCGCAGCAATGCTGGAAATATCCCCCCAGTGTTTCAGCGTGACGCCTCGATGGAGGCCATTCGAAACTCGCATATGCCTGCCCCTCGACATTTGGCCTTCACGCTTGATGCAGCCGTTGCCCACGCTCCCTATCACTCTTCTGCTCGACTGGCATTATGCACGTGCCGTGCAACGCGGTGAGTGAGGTCATCGCGGCGGCGCGCCTGGGCGGTTCTTGTCAAGGTGGCCAGGGCTGCATGTTTGCGGTCTGCACGTTTGGCTCGATCCGTTCAAGGGCCGCAGTTTCCTGAGGTTCTTTGTGCAACGCTCACTTGGCTATGGTTCATTCCGGCTCGTCGGGGCTTGGGAGCCGGACAATAGCGGCGCCGTTGAACGCCCACTGTCGCTTGCTGCTCAGGTACAGAAGCTTGTGCAGAGAGACACGCTGCCACGGTGAGCAAGCAGGAACGAGGGCCCGGGCAGCAGGCTTTGCAAAGCTTGATACAGGCACAACCAGCAGGCAATGATCATCAGATAGATGGGTTTGCTAGGACGCGCTCTCAGGGCGCTCTGGGGCGTTGCGGGAGGAGGGGTTCCAAGGCCAGGGCGGGCATAAACGCAAGAGGTCAGGTGGTGTTCACAAGTGGATCGCAGCCCTGATGGCGGGCAGAATCATGACGAGACGAGAACGAGGCGGCCGCTTTGATTGACGGCCTGTCGTGCAAATAAAAGGCCCTGCTCTGATTGCTCGGGCGAGGGCCTTTTCTCATTCGCGCGCTGGGCAAGGGGCCGCGATATCGTCAACTGGACTGACGAAGCGAGCGCTGGTGGTGAGTTGCAACATGCAGACAGAGAGATTGGCGCAGTGCAGAGGCGCCAGAGAGGCCAGAGAGGGTGTTGCGCTGGGCTCATGCTCATGATGCTGATGCTGGGGGTGTGGACGGGGAGGCATCCATCAACGGTGCGGTCCAATTGCAGCGCCGTGAATTCAATAGCCTTCAAAGAGAGCTCGCGACGGGCAGCTCGCGGCGTTGCTCAGGAGGCGCGCCTTGTACTGCCGCGAGAGAATAATATTAATCGGGGCCTGTGGTGGGTCTGGGCTGGCGTTCACGTGCGCCTGGCTGTGCTGCTGCCGGCCGTGTCTGGCGGCGGAGAGTCTGCTGGGAGCGTAGGGGAGCTGCCATCTTGCCAGCGGGAATCGCACGAGTGTCCAGCTTCAACTCCACCGCGCCTCTGCTGGAGCAAATCCGCCCGCTGCGTCCGCCCCTCTGTCCTCTCCGCCCATTCACCAGCACAGCCCAGCCCCGGCGCTCTGTCGCGTCGTGTGTCTTCCGGCCCAGGCCCCAAATCGCTGGTTAGCATCCACAGAATTGGAGGTCACGCTCACATACTAAACTGGCTGCGGGGACCCAAGCAACCACGCTCCCATCATCATCATCCCGCCTCCGTCACCACTGCTCTGCTCCTCCTGCGCCAGAACTCCCCCAATTCCTATTCACTTCACCGCCCACACCCTGCCCGGCCCCTTCACACGCTCCGCGCGGACTGCTTCCGTGTTGCCTCTGCCTCGTCGTTAGCGACAAGCCACTGCCACCCACCTGCCACCACCACCTCAACAAGCATCATTTGACCCGCCTCGAAACCTCACACCCGCTGGCCCTCTCCCCAACGCCACACACGACCGCACCTCCCTCCACCCTCGCCGCTCAAGCTCTATCTACCGCCCACGACGGATCTCCTCTCGAAGACTCGGCGCTCCTCGCACGACTTGCTGAACTACAGCCCGCCCTACTCTCGATAGCAATCCGCGCGCTTCGCCGGCCCCGAACGCAGACGACCTGAACAATGACCCAGAACCGGCCATCGGCCTTCACGTCCCTGAGGATGGGCGGTAAGGCCTCTCCCCCTCGTTGCAGCCCTCCGGCCACTGACAAATCCGCAGAGGTGATCCGCGAGAAGGTGCAGGACGGCGAGACGGGCGAGTACAAAGACTTGGCATACACACAATGCAAGATTGTTGGCAACGGCTCGTTTGGAGTCGTCTTTCAGACCAAGCTGTCGCCTAGCGGCGAGGATGCCGCCATCAAGCGAGTGCTCCAGGATAAGCGCTTCAAGGTGAGCTGATTCATGTGACAATCGCACACAGTACGTGCGCGGGCTGACCTTCAGTGACAGAATCGCGAACTCCAGATCATGCGCATAGTCAGGCACCCCAACATCGTGGAGCTGAAGGCCTTCTTCTACAACAACGGCGAGAGGGTTTGTGTCCCCGCACTGCCACCCCGCCTGCGTCGGTTTGCATAGCTAACCGTTTTAGCCACAGAAGGATGAAGTATACCTCAACCTTGTCCTCGAATACGTTCCCGAGACAGTTTACCGCGCCTCGCGGTACTTCAACAAGATGAAGACGGTCATGCCAATTCTCGAGGTCAAACTCTACATCTACCAGTTGTTCCGCTCGCTCGCCTACATTCATTCGCAGGGCATCTGCCACAGGGACATCAAGCCGCAAAATCTCCTCTTGGACCCTGCCACTGGCGTGCTGAAGCTGTGCGATTTTGGAAGCGCAAAGATACTCGTAGAAAACGAGCCAAATGTCTCGTACATCTGCTCCAGGTACTACCGGGCACCAGAACTCATTTTCGGAGCAACGAATTACACCACCAAAATCGGTACGCCACTTCTTCACACTTTTGGGGCTAGATTAACTAATTGATCTATCACAGATGTTTGGTCAACTGGGTGCGTGATGGCAGAATTGATGCTAGGGCAGCCGCTGTTCCCGGGGGAGTCGGGCATTGACCAGCTCGTCGAGATTATCAAAGTCCTCGGGACCCCAACCCGAGACCAAATCCGAACAATGAATCCGAATTATATGGAACATAAGTTCCCCCAGATCAAGCCACATCCGTTCAACAAGGTGAATATTGTGCGCAAAGCTGAATTTGTTTCCAAACTGAGCCTCCTTTAGGTGTTCAGAAAGGCGGATCCGACGGCAATCGATCTAATTTCGAAACTCTTGGAGTACACGCCAACGCAGCGGCTGTCGGCGATTGATGCCATGGTGCAACCATTCTTCGATGAACTGAGGGATCCAAGCACGAGGCTTCCCGACTCACGTCATCCAACGGGAGCCACTCGAGACCTACCCAGTCTGTTTGACTTCACCCTTCACGGTAAACTTAGCCACTCCCGTCTCCGCCCATTTCTAGATCTCATGGACTAATTGTATGTAGAACTCTCTATTGCGCCTCACCTAAACCAGCAGCTCGTACCACCGCATGTTCGACCCGGTCTGGCAGCGCGAGGCCTGGACTTCGAATCCCCCAACTTCAAGCCTTTAACCAAGGATCAAATGCTGGCCCGGCTAGACTAGATTTCACATGGACCTCCACACGAAACGATATGATATGGTTATTCACGCGGCGTGTCATGCGTTTGTCTCCGCTCTTGGGAACGAAGAAGTTCCGCTATGAAGGATGCAAGCGTTTTTGGAGATTCATTTCGGCGTCGGTTTCCTGGGTGGTCTTACGCCGACATGTAAACCCCCTTCCCTCAGTGTCTGTGCTCGACTGAAAATGATACGGTCATTCTTGCGTCTCGAAGAATGACTTTGGTTTGCTTCTTCTATCCTGGACCGTCAACCTTCCCGTTCAGTCAATTCATCTTCGGGGAGGCTCCGTAGATGTATTCCTTTCCCCGTTTTGTGTTTTCTGGGCTGGTCAGCGAGCGAATGAGTGCAAGATAAGGGACGGGGGGGTTGGGGGGGGAGGAGGGAGGGTCAAAAGTCAGGGACGTCTGACACAAACATCTTACCGGACGGGGTTTGATTTCTCGACACGCGTTCGTTGTGGATGCGTCGACTTGCATGCGGGTGTTTTCATTTGACTATTTGTTGCACATCATGGCGAGGCCCTTTCCAGCTGCTGTGGGTGTTTGGCTCCCCCTTGAAGGGACAGCAGCCCTGCCTCGACAGTTATTGCAATTGAATTGCAACTGCTGGCCTGGATAGTATGGGGGAGTGGATGTTCCTTTTTCGGTCGCCAATCCAATGGGGAAAGTAGTACTGGCGCAGGCTCTGTCATGTTCTATTTCTTCAGCCATGGTGGCTTTCTTCAATGATAAGTAGACACTCTTCCTCCGCTCTTCATACTTTCCCCAGTTGGTGTTGTGGTTCATTTCCCACTCTTGGGTCCTTTCAGCATGCCTTCTGACGGACATGAATGCACAATTTCACTTTTGTTGACGAACAGTCTCACGTATGAGATTCTCACTGTGAGGAAAATATAGTCTTTGCTCTCATTGTTCTGTCTGCTTTCTCCCAATTTTTGGGGTTAAAGATGGTGCATTCTTTGCATGATGATCTTTTGGAAGGGCGTGATGTTGGACTTTCTCTTTGCATAATGACAATGCATTGGTATTGGCCGTGTTTGTGATAAAACGTCTCTGTCCTCCCGGCTGCTTTTTCCTCAGACTGAACGATCAAGCATCTCACTGGAGTCAAAGCTTCAGTCCTTTCCGGTACCTACCCATTTTGCCATATATATGGTGCTTGGACCATCCAGACATGGCTCTATGACTAACTCACCACACGTTAAGCTATGGAGGGACCTTTGGGGTATTGATGGGTGTAGCTATAGGCGGTTGGTTGGTCTTCAGCACTAGGGTCTAATATCGCAAGCGGATGCCTTTTCGAGTACTCCTTTCTACCAAGTTACCCTCGAAGGACTCGTTGAGGCTAGTTGCCAAAAAGATAGGTGGTGCCCTCACTTTCACTCAAGTCAACTCCCTATGTAAAAGCGGATACATCGGCTCACCCTATGGTTGAGCCAGGTGAAAGAGTCCCACTCTGCACATTTCCCGACACTTTCATAGAGGCAGTTATGAGACAATTACAAATCTTTCACTCGGCCCTCGCATACTTGCTCACAGTATTTAATCACCTAATGGCCCTACGTTTTCTTCCTCACGACCTCTCGCCCTCCATGCTCCTGTGGGAAGAGTGAGGCCGCCTGTCAAGTATTGTGGCCGCCACACCACGAAATTGATAGTTTTGGGCTATAGCAGCTTCCAGTTGAACCCTTACTAACCGGAGACCTAGTATACACGCACTATGGACGGTTCTTTCGAGTTTGGCAAGGACGCGGTGACCGGTATGGATGTTGTTGACCTGCCATTCGAGGCCGCCATCTACTGGAGGTCACGTGAAGAAGAGATCCGTGCATGCCAAGCCGAGGTTCGCGAGTTGCTCCAAACCTCCCGTCGCGACCGCGGCAACGACAACTCCTCCCAGCATCGCGAACCCTCGCCCTGTTCCCTCGTCCCGCCGTGCTTTGTCTATCGCGGTGTTGATGACTGTTATCGCCCAAGCGACGATTATAACCACCATTCCCTCCTTGCGCGACCAGGCTCCGTCCCCGAACATCACGTAGTTTCTCATCCAGACTTTCCCGCAGGCTTCCCCGACTACAACCCTCATACAGCCAAACCTCCATTCACTAGGTACCGGCCACGTACGCAACCGCGACCAACCCCGATTATCCTCACCGATTTCTTAACCCGCGAAACTTGGGTCTACGATCCCATTAACGACGACACCGTAGACCAGGGTAGACACCCCCCGCCTCATTGTCGAGCCTCTCCCAAACCTAGCCTTTACCCTCCAAGCTTCCCCGTCAATACAGAGTACGAATCGATTAAGAGGGTTTGTTCGATTGAGAATTACGTCAACGAAGCTACCCAAGCTATGGCTGACCTGGACGTGGGCCCCAGTGGCAGGCGCGACCGTGGCAATCGCTCCCGCGGAAGCAACAATCACAACTTTAATAGACCTCCCAAGCGACCTCGTCCTGATGATTCCTACATGGATGACGGATACAATGAACGCGGACAGTCTCAACACGACCGCCGCCACCGTGGAACTGCCGTTAATGCTCGGCTTCAACGTATGCTCGTCAACATTGCTGGGTCGACGAAGCTCCCCCAGGATGAGGCCATGGACATTGCTCGTCAGTTCGGTGAGCACTTTGATGATGAAGCAGTGAAGACCGAGTTCTTCGACCACCTTGTTCAGCTGTAAGCTTCAACTACCCAATGCGACTTGCTATAACTATACTGATAATTGTAGTATCATCGAACAGCCCTTTAGGATCCCACACGTGGCTGCAGTTGCTTTCTATGCAAACGATGACAAGCCCGAGATCACCGCCGAAGCAATCAAACGGGTTGCGGGGCGCACCCAGGAAATGCTGAATGCGGGCCAATGGAAGGAATTTAAATTACTCCTCCGCTTCTTTGCCTGCATACAGTCACTGCTTGAAGGCGACGGTGTCTTCTTTCTCCTAGACCAGCTGTTCGACACGGTCGTCGACCTGCAGAGTGCAAACGAGAATGATGTAAGTAGACCATCCACTCTCTGTGGACTCCCTCGGTGCTAATACTTCCAAGGTCGTCGGACTCGAGCTGGTCAAGATTATCCTTCTGACAATTCCGTACGCACTCGTCTCCGGAGGAAGCAGTTTCTACGGAAAAGCTTCAGAGTTGCTGGAGAAGACGAGTATTGTTGCGACTAACAGGCTCCCTATGGAGACCCTAGTTGAGTTGTATGTTTCGGACAGCCCTGAGAAACCTATTCCGTACCACAGTGCCCTCGGCCTGCTACAGACACAGCTAGAGAAGGAAGCCGAGTCCGGCTGGAACTTCGCTTGCATCCCTCGATTCCCGAAGTACATCCCTAGAAAAATCGATGACGACCAGCCGATGCCGTCTGCCCCTCGCTTGCATGCTTTACCTACAATCAGGATCCCATCTCCAGTCAATCCCGGTCCAAAGCTCCTCTTTCCCGAGGCCTACTTCTCTCTCTACACGGACCATGAGCTTGAGACTGTCCCCAAAACTACAGATGTCGCATCTTCATTGTTGCGAGATGCGATCGTCGATACGATCAATCAGCTGGATGGCAATAGGGACGAGGCTGCGAGAATCCTGGTCCAGCTTTCAAATTATTGGGCACTGGACACGTTTGCCCCATCAGGTACCCCGCCGGACAAGCTTGAGGAGGTGGCTAAAGACCAGAAAATTCCTCCAGGATCCACGCTCTGGAAGTCCGAAGACATGATTATCGACGCAATATTCTCACAGTTGTTCAAATTGCCTGGTCCAGAGCACAAATTGGTGTACTATCACACTTTGATTACGCAGAGCTGCAAGTTTGCTCCAGCTGCAATTGCCCCGTCTCTTGGAAGGGCTATTCGATTCATCTACAAGAGTATCGACGTGATGGACCTCGAACTTGTCAATCGATTCTGCGACTGGTTCTCACATCATCTGAGCAATTTCGAGTTTAGATGGAGATGGGCAGAATGGCAAGTAAACAACTTTATTCGTCCGCGAACAAGCTAACCTGTATTAGGATTGAGGATCTAGATCGTTCCAACTTGCATCCAAAGAAGGCATTTATCATTGCCGCGCTCGACAAGGAGATTCGCCTCTCTTTCGCGAAGCGTATACGCTCCACGGTTCCCGTAGAGTACCATTCTTTGATTCCAGAGGCAATGGACGAGGACAGGAGCCCAGATTTCAAATATGATAATCCTCGTGAGTAGCTAATTGGCATACTCACTTCTCACGTGTAGCTAACATCTTGCACAGTAACGCCGTTCGCTCAAGAAGCTCAGACGCTATTGACTCTAATTAAAAAGAGGGTCCCGGAGAAGGTGGCGGAGAGAGATATGCAACTGAAAGAGACCATCAACAAGGATATCCAAGAGACTATCGACAAGATCCATGAGCAAGCAATTGGGCTCGACTTTAAGGATGTCCTTGTGCCATCCACAGATGTCTTCGTTACCGCAATCTGTCGTCTGGGGTCGAAATCGCTGTCCCACGTCCTGTCCTGCATCGAGCGAGGCAAAGAACGTCTTCTAAATATTGCGAATACCTCTCCGGCGGCTCGCCGCCAAATTGTGGCCAGCGTAGTAGAGTATTGGAAGGACCAGCCGGGCATTGCGATCAATATCGTTGACAAACTTCTCAACTACCAGATTCTTGCCCCATCGACGGTCATTGAATGGGCGCTTGGCGACTATCTGGGCGCCGGAGAGGCTTTGACGGAAGGCTGGGTCTTCGAGATGGTGGCGAACACGGTGGCCAAAGTCTCGGGTCGGATCCATCAGATCGTGACAGCCAGGCTCCAGAAGGGACTCCCAGCGGAGCAGATCCAGTTAGTGGAGGCCACTCTCACCAAAGACCGTGAATCGTCCCGCGCCCTGTTCAAGCTCATCGAGGATTCGGTGTCAGCGGTTGCTCAAGGCTCTGCGAACCACCTCATCGAGAAAGAAACTAACGGCGAGCTGTCGGCGGAAGACGGCCAACTTATTCGCGACTGGGCTAAGCGATGGCAGACGGTGTTCATCCGCAAGTCGCAGGTCGAAGAGTCGGTCGTCGGCGAGGAAGCAGTCGATGCCAAGATTAGGCTTCTAGCTGCCGAGCCAGAGCCAGAGCCAGAGCCAGAGTCCACGAGCATGCATGAAGGCAACGGCTTCGCGGAGCACAAAGTCAACGGCGAGGAGGAGATGGTCTGAACTTTCACTTCCTGCAGCAGATGACAAGATATATTGTAAGATTCGTGGAGCTAAAATATTGGGGGGAGGGGGGGCGGTTCAGAAGTAAAGCATTCGAGGTACTGCGTTCAAACCTCCCACACATTTTGGAGACACTCGACGGCAATATTGGGGGTGATTTGCTGGAGTCATTCAGGGAAGGCGGCATTGGTCGGAGTTTTTCGCGCGGAAACGAACGGGCATGCAGCATGTCGGACAGCAAAAGGAATTTCCTTGACCGTGGATCCTCATGTATAGTACAATGAATGCAAACCTCAGAGCTGCGTAGCTGACTAAAGCTATGATGTCAAATACCATGGGTGCTTTTGTCGCGTTGACAAGCTTAGAAGCGAAGCTATTTCGGCTCGCGGCTGACGGGCTCCAGGGTTGCTGGCAGCTGCACAGTGATGGACAGTGCGGCGGGAGGTAGATCGCTTCCGTCATGTGAAGGACCCGGAGCCCTGGAGAATCCTAGGAGGCAAGATTACTTGTCGTCGCAACGCAGGCCGACGACTACAACACGCCTCACGGCGTCATCACGATGGTGCAGATTCTACGACTTTATATGTCTATCTAGCAACATCTGTATTCGAGCAGATCAGCCCGCACTTTTGCACGATTTTCCCTCTCCGCGTCCGTTGCGGTGTCTTTGCATAAACAGCTGCGTACTACCACCGCCCGAACCTCAGCAGACCATGATTCTGCCTCCATACTCTGTTGCTGCTGGCCCAGCGACCACCACACTTAATTATGACCTCTCCATCTCCACGCCTACGCCCACGCCCTCTGTCCCCGGGATGGGCAATGAGAACTGGAGCTCCCTCATTGGCATCACTACCGCCATCATCGGCAACGTGATGATTTCCTTCGCCCTGAATATGCAGCGATACGCACACATACGATTAGAGAGGGAATGGCAAGAGAAAGAAAGACAGAGGAAGAGGAGGAGTACGTCATATCGGTCGAGCCAGGCGAAGACTGCAGAGGAGCGGGCTAAGGCGAATCTGGCGAGGAAATACCATCCCCCGCGGCATTCAGAGTCACTGCATGGAGGATTTGTTGCGACCGAGGTCGACCCTCTAATCCAGTCGGTCGCGCTCACACATGGCAGCACGCGCTCGCGATCGCGACCAACCTTGGCTTCAACAGATTCAACGTCCGGCGACGGCGACGGCTCTGAGGAAGCAGCATACAAGCAGAAGTCATACCTTAGGTCGCCCTACTGGTGGGCAGGTATCATACTCATGACGACTGGAGAGGCCGGGAATTTTCTTGCCTACGGATTTGCCCCGGCCTCCATCGTTTCCCCTCTTGGTGTCGTTGCCTTGGTCTCGAATTGTATAATCGCCCCCTTCATGCTCAAAGAGCCATTCAGGAAACGCGATGCTCTTGGTGTACTGGTTGCCGTTGGAGGGGCGGTGACTGTTGTCGCCTCTGCAAGCGACAACAATCCGAAGCTGGGTCCGGGTGAGATTTGGGATTTGATTACCACGTGGGAATTTGAGACATATCTTGGCATCACGATAGCCATTATAATTGCTTTAAGCGTTGCTAGTAACAGATTTGGAGGCAAAAGCATTCTGATTGATCTCGGCTTGGTGGGGTTATTTGGTAGGTTGAAATCTAACCTAACCTCTAAGATTTTTTCTCGACTTCGTACTGACGCGACTGCATAGGCGGCTACACGGCACTCTCCACAAAAGGTGTTGCGTCAATGCTCTCCTACACCCTTTGGCGCGCAATCACCTTCCCTGTCACCTACCTGTTAGTCGCTATTCTGGTCTTCACGGCGATCATGCAGATCAAGTACGTCAATCGGGCACTCCAGCGATTTGACGCTACGCAGGTCATTCCGGTGCAATTTGTCCTCTTCACACTCTGCGTCATTCTGGGGTCAGCGATTTTGTATCGCGACTTTGAACGCACGCCAAGTGGAGATGCAGGCAAGTTCGTGGGAGGGTGTGCGCTGACGTTTTTGGGAGTGTGGTTAATCACCAGTGGAAGACCGCGCAATGGGGGTGAGGAAGAGGAGGACCGGGAGCCAGAACCCGAGGATGCCATCAATCTTGTCGATGGTGAGCGGTATCAAGACGAGGTAGATGGAGCTAGCAACGACGACCCCGGAGCGGGTTCACATCGTTCATCAACTATCCGCCCAGCTTCACCTCCCATTGACATCAACCCAAGGTTCTTCACACACGATGGCTCGCAGCCGTCAACGCCCACAACTGCCATCACTCCGCAAAACTCGGTCCCACAAACACCATCAACACCGTTAGACTCGGTCCCAGAAGTCCCATCATCACTAACTACGAATCCTTGGGAGCATGAAGGATCTCAATCGCAACCACCTTCAACTCGACTCCCACCAGCCTCCCTTAGTCGACACACACCTCACTCTACCCCTCTCCTTCCATCTGAAGCCACTACAGCATCAACCTCCAACCCCGAACTCGCCACACACCCTCCCATCCCCAACACTCCCACAAGAGGTATATCTGACAATGCGCTCCCGGTCACACCAAGCACACACCCTAGCCCCCTTCCGCACCGCCTTCGGAGAACCGGAACCGCAGAACGCCTAGGATCACGGAATTCCATCCCTGGTCCGCTCCTCGCGAGTCCCCTCAGCACATCTCTAAGCGCCATGGTCGCAGACCTCAAACGAGGCGGCAGTCTGCGCGGCCCATCAGGTGGTCACAGAAGCGAAAATAGCGGCGATCCACATCCCACACGACGGAGAGAGAGCGTACTAGGAATTGGAGCGAGTGAGCATGAGAGGGATACGGACGGTGAAGAGAGATTCGGAGAGCTGCTCGATAGGAGGAGAACGGTTAATGATGATGTTGGAGCGGGACCGGAAGAGAGATGGAGTAGGGGGAGGAGTTTGAGTGGGACGCTAGGAGAGCTTTGGAGGGGAATTAGAGGCGGGCATGGGGATGAGTATGGGGACGGTGAGAGTGAGGGTGGTGGAGGGTTTGGGGAGGAGGGGGGGTGAAAGGGGGCAGAGGCGATGACAGTGGTACAGAGGAAAGGGATTAAGGGATTGGAGTAATTCGCTTCTTGTGTATGCTTTTTCGATTGGATATGGGGAGAATGACAGAAAGAGGGATGGTGGAATGGTTTGGTGTACTCACGCATACCCAGGAGTACCTTTTTATATGTGATGTTGTTTCGGTGCTGGAAAGCGGCCTGTAGCTATTTGTACCTAGGGACGCGGATTCTGGATCTCAGCCTGGTTGACTAGATTGGTTGGTGGCACTCCTATAACCGACGTACGACCTGCCACCTGCCTAGTTACTTACAATATTGATCTAATACTCACCAAGAAATACCAAGGAAACTGGACTCGTGAATATAAACAGCTTCAGCGCTTTCATAACCTTTCTAGGCAGAAGAAAACAAATAAAGTACTGAACCAAAGCTTAGCCACACGTTTTCGCAACACTAAAATCACCGAGTTCCACCTCAACACAACTAATCAATATAATTCTTACTACACGAAATGCCCCACCCTTTTGCAGAGATCTTAGCAAACGAGGATTAGAAAAAGGGCTTGCACCTTATATCTAATACGCAATCCTTGCTTGCGTAGAAAATAGGGTAAAAAACCGCGATTGCTAAGAATTGTAATGTTAGCCGCAACGCCATGTATACTACAATAAAGAGATTAACTGTAGTCTCTCAGCCCTATACAGAAGCTCTAGAGAAGTTCCTAAAACAAGCAGAACGGCAATTTCTCAATATTGTCCGACAATATCTTCGCATTGGGTATGGGATTGAAGGAATACAGGGGCATTGTTTTCTAGATAGACAACACCCTTAATCTACACCTTCTACGTAATATACGGTTAGTTGGCTACATGGAAGACTTAGGTAATTGGCTTGCTTCAATTACTCGATTTTATCCCCATTAAATATCTCTCGTGGATCTTAAAGCAGAAGACTGTTAAGGTTTACCTAGAGCTTAGTGACTGGAGATTTAGAGCAGTCAACAAAGAAAGATTCATTAATTGTACTTGGCAAGCTTGGAGGGAGACTCACCAAGCTACGATTAACATTGTTAAACCCGTACTGAGGGGAATTCGGGCAGTCATCAAGGCCGGGGGCTAGAGACGAAGGTATTGAAGAAAAACCAAGTATTGGGACCTTATATAACCCTGCTGGATGCTAGTTTGTATATTAGGAAACTTATTTTTAGTGTTGGGAAAGAAGCATGGCACAGCTTTTGTTAAGGTACTGTAGCAATAGGTCTGTTCTTCAGTGGCAGAATTAGGATATAAGGGAGAATCTAAACAGCTAACATCATCAAACTGTGGGTATAGTAGCTAGGATTATGTGTCTCTGTAATTTGCCACACAATTTGTCATGCTTCTAGCCGCATAGATCCTTTCCTATCGGCCGTTCTTTTGGCCAGAGCATTTAGGCTCTTACTTAGATACTTCCACTATCAGCGTGTAAGTGGCAGTGCGGGTGTTTCACTCTCCTGCCCAGAGTTATTTGTAGCAACTCCGCGACATCACTGCATGCTCTGGACTTTGTTGCTTGGTTTCGGTGTTGACTGCATTCCCTTAACGACTTGCTCCTCGTCTTGGATAGAGGTTGGCGTCTTGGTTGTAAAAGTTGGTGAGATTTACATTTGCAATGAGTGACCAAGTGCATATGCGGAGGTTACTGACCACTCGAGAGGCCGGGGTTAGGCGGGGCATGTTAGAGTAGATTAATAGCTGCGTAGGTAAGAGTTTGTTAAATGTGCAAGAACTGAAAATAATGTTATATAGCAAGGCCATTCCTACCTCTTGCAGAATTTTCAATTGTATGGGATTTGTGTCCATTCTGCAAAGATGTTTTGTTTTTCGTACGCCGAAGAGTCTCTGTGTAGTCTCGCTAGATTTCTAGACGTAGGTAGATAGGATGCAAGATGGATGGGAGCATTTGCTGAGCGGTCATAGTCGAAGAGTATATCTGGAAGGTCGATCCTGTCCCTAGAGACAGAATTTATACGAAAGCGGAGTTAGGAACGGAGGGGAATATGGTCGGGATGACCAATTGCTAAAACCAAGGTACATCATACAGAAGTCGCATTGTTGGACCCCTTAATCGAATCAGTGGGAGAAGGAAGTTTTGGTGGGTGAAAGCCTTCTCGGCATAACTTGCGAGGACATGTGAAGGAGGTCCGTAGTAACTCGGTGCAGTCGAGAAACCTGTGATTACGCTAAAATCATTTCTACCATGGATATTGGCCTTCATTCAGGCCCGGCGTATGGCCGCGGACGATGGCGGATGGGTTTGAAGTACCTGGTATTCCTAGTTTAAGAAAGACCGCTGAATGAACTTAAACCTCTGGAGGTATGGTTATGATCGAGGCGTAGGATGAAAGTCCTTTTGTTCCTAACGGTTGCCTGTCCTAAAAAAGCATATGTGATTTGTGAAATGTCCAATGCATCACCAGGTCTCGTGGAAGAGCCTGTAGATTTGTGATGGGAATATGAAGGATCTCTCGGATGCATTCTGCTCCATGAGCCTGTGTTATGTAATATCATAAGCTCACTTATGCAACGAGCGGCCTTCGAGTATTGAGATTTCTCTATTGTTGTATTGAAAGTAATCTAACCGGGTTTATAGCCCCGCACTCTCTTTGAGTGGGAAGGGGCATGCTTGGAATGCCGCTATCCACTTCTGGGGCTTCCTCAACGAGACGTTCAAGGTGGTGATGCTGAGGCTACCCTGTCGAGGCATAGTCGTGGGATATTATAAAGAAGTACGAAGGCACTGAGTCTGTTTTCAGTTATAGAGATAAGAAAATGGAACACATTGGCGGTGTTGGGTGGATGACAATAAACAACATGGCGATTGAACCGGAGGGGTTGAAGAGATGCAACCATCCAGTTGTGCACATGGATATACCCGACTCCAAGTCGAAGTTGCATCGAGGCGGCCGTGTACGAGCAACTGAAGTCGAATATCGTAGTCGCAAAAGCAAATTCACGCAGCCATGCCTTCCGCATTCGACTCCTTGCAGGCTTGGCATCGAGGGAACCCCTTCTCCAGTGACAAGGGTTGAGACTTTGGAGAATATCTATGATGATCTGCGCCACTAAACTTGGGGGCGTGCATTGGAGATCGAACCCGACCGATCGTTGAGTAGATGCACGTACTTTATGCGTCTCGTATCTAGCTCTGATAATTTTTGTCCAGAAGATGGAAGGTTAAGTGAAGCAACGTAGTCGGTGTGTAGACCCAGTGACATTTGTTTTGGAAATAAGTAGTCGGTGAGGATATGATGCAATGAGTAAAATAGACTGATTCGGGGGAAATACTGGCAAGGGTAGAATAGAATATGAGAGTCGGCAGTGTGCAACGATGAAGGAGAAATAGACAAACATCAGAAGCTTAAGTGCAGAGAGGATCCATATGTTAGCGAACTTCATTCAAGTCATATTTGTATGTGCTTAAAGGCAGAGCATCAAACAAACGCCGCTAGTGAAGAGAGCGCAGCTGCGACCAGTTCGACTCCTGAACCTTGTTGAGGCGCAATATCGCAGCGTGTATCAACTGACCTAGAACTACTGATAACTATTCGCATTCGAGTCCGGTGGAATATTCAGTGAGTCCTTAGCACGCTTACGAAAGGATTATGATAAGCCTGGAGGCTATAGGTGAACAATGAAACTGTTGAAACCTCCTGTAAACTTGTGATATGGGCCTTCATAGTATTGACTCGTGGGTAAAGCAGCGAGTATGTTTGAGAAGCTTTAAAATATTTCAGACCAAATGTGCTAATGCTGAATTTCTTGGTGCTTGGATGTGGACAATCGTGGAGAAGTCATTTGTTCCATTTCTGGAGATTGACCTCCCTTAGCGTCGAAATGATGGCAAGAAACGTTGGCTACTTTCGGTCATGCAGAAACGACTAGAACAGTCTCTACTGCAGCAGAGCTAGGTGTTCGACCCTTACTCAATTTGCGTTGTTTGTCTGGTTGTTGTCAGAAGATTGTTGTGGTTCAGCCATATTTAGTAGATAGAGTTGGCAACGAAGACGAATACTTGAAGCTGAATGTGTCCGAACTGTGGGTATCTTCAAAAGGGCAAAACATGTGGGCATCGACGGACTAATTCTGATCATTAGTATAGATTTGTCAAAAACCTAGAGTCTGTGAGAGAAGACTATCGCCATGAATATTTATTCCCGGGGTGACGAAGAATCTATCTTTCCGACCGCAAATGCTGCCATCTGGAAAGTATCGAGGAGGACTTTCCCTCAAAAGCCAGCACTTGATCCAAGCCCCTATAGTGTTGTACAAGTCGTCGTGATTGTATTGGCGCCGCTGTTGGTGACGGAGGAGAAACGAATAATTCGTGATCCGTTCAAAGTCGGGTTCAGCAGGCGGTTCTATGTTTAGCGCAGAGAGAAGCGCTAAATATGGTCTTAGCGTTTTGGAGCCTCTCTTTGGCCAGGGTATTCTTGATTGAAATGGCCATTATTCGGAGACAGGCTGTATTTCCTAGTCTCTCTAACCGCTCATCATCTTTAACCTGTGAAATGTGGTTTTTTGTTAGGGAAGAGGGGCGTAGGTATCATTGGAGAAATCCCTAGCTGAGGCCAGTTGTGTTGTTAGAGGATTCAGAGGAAGTACTGGACAATATGGTAGAGGTGGCCAGGCCGTGCGGCGAAGGTCTTGTTGATAATTAACATCCAACGGAAACTAGGTTAAGGTGCCGGCTTGACGAAAGCCGAGGTGCTCGTGTGAAGGCCCGATGAAACCATTTTGTTGAGTCGAATACACATCAGTGATGTCTGTGACCTGGCTAGTCGACAGGGCGGCCCCGCTGAACAACTGTAGGACCTCGGCGTTGTCGTAAGTCGCAGTCAAGTTGTAGCGTATTCTATATATACATGTGGCCACGGGGAGACCGTTAAAATACCGGGGAGGTGGTGATAGAGTGCAATATATCACTAAGAATGTGAGAAAACTTTTTCGGCTTCCTTATTCACTCTAGCTTTGGAATTTGCACCAATGAGAGAGGGGTCAATTGAATGCAGGTAGAAGCAATCATCAAAGCTTGCGTTGCGTACAATGGTTGCCGAGGGAAATTAGTGGCCTTGCTGGGAGCTCCTGGGTACCGGGGCGTTGAATGGTTCGAGCAGCAGAAACGTTCAACGTGAGAACATCGTCGCTTCCCCAGGTCCGCACAGCACCACCAGGCTGCGAAACGTATTCCAAAATGTATTCTCTTAAGCATCAAAGACGATCCCCACACTATTCGAGATCTAAATATGTCCTCGCGTGGACTGCCAGGTTACAAGTCAGTTTTAACGTTTCAACGGCAAGCTAAAGCCAAGAGGAGCAGTAGCAGTGAGTCCGAGTCTGTGGTTCCGCCTCAGCCTCGCGCAGGGCGGAGAATTTAGGAGGGGAAGCATATCTAGACGTTCAAGAAGCGCTCTGCAACATGCAGAGATTGCAACAATTGGGAATGATGACCCGCCGGTGGTGAAACCCGTAATGTACGTCAGCTGCAGCGATAGCGGTGAAAGGAGGGACGGCTGATGAAGCGGATGCTGTGTTGAGAGGGGAAAATGGCTGACCTTTCTAACTCGAGCGAACTAGTACCGGATGGGTGTCGCATGAAGGAAGAGGAGACGAGGGCGGATTTGGCTTGACATGGACGACTGAATCGTGGAGCGTGCCGGTCGATCAAAATTCGCAAGCCATGGTGTAATAAAAATAGAGGCTTCTGGGTCCTGCTTCAGACAGACGAGGACATTACAACAGGATCGCCATCGGCGAGGTGGTCGACGTTCCTGATCTGATGCTTCTAGCTCGACTGCAGTGATAAGGTGGCCGGCAGGTTGGCCGCTAGCTCAGGGTTGCGATTCGCAGAAGGGGTGCTGGGCGATGGGGTATCTCAGAGCGATCTGTCCCTGTGCAATCGTGACCAGCAAGGATTTCAGCACGAGCGCCGTTCCGTGCAGAAACTTGATGCAGACCAGACATCGGCCCACAGGGAAAGCTGCTGCAGCTTGCCTGCTCGATATCACTTAGATGCAGCATCATGATTCGCGGCTCGTCACCGTGAGGAATCAGCGTTGAGCCATGCAAGCAGTCGTCTGCTACTGTTGCTGCGTGAGGGCGCCGTGGAATTCTCCGTAGAACGCCAGCACGTCCTCGACTGGCCTGCTGCGGCCTCGTCACGACGCCACGGCTGCGGACAACTGTTTGGAAGAGGCCTCTTACGAGGGCGAGCAGTGCGCTGGAGGTGCCCTGCGGCGGTCGCTGGCAGCGACTCCTGAGCAGGCCGTCCAGTGCAGCGGGTCCCCCCGTCTTCTAGAAGAACAGAAGGCAATTCCACAAGCAGTGCTCAGGTGCTCGCGCGCGGGGGTCAGTGGGAGGTTCGCGGGGGCGGAAGGGAGCTGTCTCGCGCTCTGTCTCGCTGGCGGTGGTGGGAGTCTTGTCTGTGATGGGACGTGCGTCTGAAGCCTGCGGCACCTGGACCGCTCATGCCTCTCTGCGACCACAGCATGGATTCCCTGGCGCTGCTCCCCCAGGCTCCGCAGGCCGTTGTGCTTGTGCGTCCTGCTGGCGAGGACGATGCGTGGTTTGCTCGTCCCAAAGCAGGCTGCTGCAGTTGCCGGGCGGCCATTGCACCCTCACGGCTCGCTGGTGGTCTTCTGAGGAACTCCCCCTTCCCCGCCGGCCCCTGGCGTCCGCTCGCTCACTGGGAGGGAGAGCGTCGTGAATGGGCGGCCGGAGGGGAGCAGAATTCACGGGTCTGGGAGGACTCGTCGGAAGCCGGCCAGGGAGGACTGGGCGAGGCTTGAAACATAGCGCGTCCTCCCGACTCCGCGATCCTATCGCCTCGAGCACGACGACGGTCGCCAGCTAGCTCCAGAACGGATGTCTGTGAGTCCTCTGCCGTCCGGCTGGCCATGTTTGACGTCTGCCCCCATCCCTGTCGCGGCGCGCTGCAACCTGTCCTGCACCTGGTCTTGGCCCGCCTGTCTCTTGTCTGCTTCTCCGCACTCTTCCTCTCAAACATCCGACCTCGGGCCTGGTCTGCTGCAGAGCTGGACCTTCTGCCACGGAAAAGCCACACTGCCCGAGCTGTCCTTGTGATGCTCGCACCCGCCCCGAGCGTCCGCCGCTCAGCAGACGCTCACTCCAGCGCGGGCGGCCCGGCCTCCTCACTTGTTAAATTCTCTGCTCCCGCCGCCGACCAGGAACGTGATGCTCTGTGCTGACGCTGGGTCCTCGACATGGGGGGGCCCCCGGTCGGCGATGGTGCAATTGGCGGTGGGGACGCAGGGAGCAGCTCTGTCCTCGGCGGCGATCGTCTCAAGGGCCAGAACGTGTGGACGGGCAGTTGGGGCTGGAGGCGAACATCCCCAGCAGGGCTGCTTCACGCTTGAGGACCACGGCCGTTCAGGGCATAGCAGCAGCAGCCAACAGGGGCGATCAAGACGCTCCGCACATCCTATCAACAGCACGCCAGCCGAAGCAGGCAAACCCTCCAAGCCGCCAGACAGCGTAGTGTGTCATGGCCGCAGAGAAGCTGCTGCTGCCCCGGCCCTCACAGCGACGTGCTATGTACTGCTCTTATTATCCTCGCCGTCGTGCGTTATTGCTGTTCACGCTTTACCTGCTCTACCATTGTTCGTCGACAAGTCCCGCACTGCCAGCCCTCGACGCCATTCCAGGTATCTACCCTGTGCAGGACTCGGAAAAGGGCAGGACGTCCAATTTCTCCCGGCCAGCCAATATCCACGGTCCCCTCAAGCCTCGTAGCGCGTCTTCGCGTGTAAAAGACGCCTATGCCTGTTCGTGATTACCCTGATGCCACTATCCCTCCTTTCATTGTTATTGCCCGAGAATCCGTTGTGGCTGCTCTGCCCCGAGAACATCCTTGGCCCGCTACGCAATTCGGCCCAGCAAATATCACAAATCACATATCACCTCTCCACGTCGCTGGTACCTGTGGACTGACTTTTGCTTGACTGCTTCCACCCATTCTGTGTCCATTGCTGGTATGTACCCCTCACAACCATCCTCGCCTCGTATTTATTCACAAATTGACTCTTCAAACGTGCTCCAGCCTTCAGCAATTCGTCCAAAAGTCACTGTGCACTCGCTGCTTCCTTCTGGAACAAAGTTACCTCCTCGCTCCACCACTTACTCAGCCTCATCGTGAATTAGACGGCTCCGGAACGCACCAGACGTCAACCTCACTGCCCCGCGACCACGGTCCTGTCCCACTCCATCAGACGTCACCCATTCTTTGAAGGCTTGGAGACCCTGTCTGAAGTCTCTCCTCATTCGCTAGCTCTCATCTGGTCCGGTTCATTTTAAATAGGTAAGAGCCGGCCAAGCGCACTGAACCAGATTCCATTCCCCTCTACATGTGCTTAACTGATAGCTCCAAAGTATTCTGTGGCGTTTGACGGAAGCCTACGGGCGTCGGTCCCTTGATCGACGTCCTGCCAATTGAAGAGGGTGTATCACTTAAAAACTTTTCCGGAGGTTTGAAATCTCCCCATCTTCACTTCATCACCATACTCTACTCTCTTCTCGGAAAATATCCTTCCGTAGTGTCGACACAGAGCCGCCTTTGAGCCTCCCTTACGTCACATGATCCTGGCTCCGCCCTGCCATAGCTGTCTTCTCTTGCCCATTCGTCTACCCGGGACTTATTAATATCTCGACTACGACCACTCGTTCGATCTCTTCAACCTTCTTCCATTTTAAAGCTTTCCCCATGTTACAAGGGATTAGAGCATCGCCTCTGACGATGCCATCTTTTGGTCCAAATCATCTGTCACTCACAGGTGTCCAAAAGATGGAGGGTTATGGCGATGTGGACTCCTGGAGTTGGCCCCCACAACAACCAAATACTCCCCCACAGGGGTACTCAAACGTATTTGATCCCTCGCTCTATGCCAACTTTGCATCACAAGCGCCGCAGGCGCCGGAAAGTGTGCACCCACGTCACCATTCCATTGCCACTTCACACTTGTCCAATCAGGCTGTAACAAGGTCTACGCATTCATCGACTCCGCCTCCACCACGACAAAGTATTGCTGGGAATTTGATCAAGGCCCAGCCTGCCTTTAAGCCAACCTGGCATGGCTTCTTGGACACGACAAAGGATGCCATGACTGTCGTTGAAGCTGCGCTTCAGGGACGTCTTAGTCACATCAGCCGTCGGCCGCACGACAAGGAGCGAGCAGAAATGCTCACCTCTGGAACGGTACTTGTGTACGAGGAGAACGCTTCAGGAATAAAACGCTGGACGGATGCTGTTCACTGGTCCCCTAGCCGAGTCATGAACAACTGCCTTATTTATCGTCAACTTGTCCGAGCCCTCAAACCAGAGGAAAAGAAGGCAGCACTAAACCCATCCTGTGGTGGCAAGCGAAAGCGGAAAGAAAGCACAAGCCCGTCCATTACCAACACCGGTGAGAGCGTGAATAATGCTGAAGATGAGTACGAGAACCCATTTGATGGCGGAATTGCTGGCGATATTACTCCAACGACTGAGCCTCCAGCCAAGGTCTACGCCAACTTCGCGCAAAGCCTGACCCCAGATCAACAGCGCCGTTTCTGCGGCTCCTTGGTGGATAGCTACGAGTTTAAGGAAGGAGGACTGATGAAGAAGACAATTTCCGTAAAGTACCAAGGCACGCACCATCATATCATCTCATATTACAGCCTCGAGGATGTCGTTAGTGGGAAATTGAAACGTCCGTTCCAGGACTCAAAGCTGGCCGACATTCAGCCCCGACCAGAACTACTCACCGGATGGAAAGTCAGTTTGGAGGATGAAGAGAGCAAGGACATGCCATTGGTGGCAAGCTACTCCCAGCAATTACAACCCAACCATATTCAACACCCGGCTGTTGGTACCGCAACTCAAGGAATCACCCAGACTCATAGTCCGCTTGAAATGCAAATGCCTACAGAATATTGGCACGGAGGACAAGTTCAGCAGTATTCGTCAACCCAGCATTACGCACCACCACAGAGAACAGCCTCCCAATATACGCCGCATCACCCGGGTCAGCCATATCCACCACAAAGCACTTCAGCGCAGCAATTTACTCGGCAACCAGCTCCAAATCAGCAATATCACTCTCAGCCACCTCCGTCTCAACAATATCCCGCCCAACAGGCACATAATCAGCAATATTCACCTCAGCCACCACCCTCAACTCAGCAGTACGCCCCGCATCAACAATCGACCCAGCATTATCCCCCTGAAACTCATGGACTTCCGGTTCAGCAGAATTACCAGCAAAACCCGACCGTCCAATACCCCTCGTCTCATCATACACCAGCGACACAACAGCCTACCTATGAGGTTCCGCAACCCCACGTATTCGATCTCCCCATTCACAGTCCTCCTAGCCAAACCCCGGTCCATAACCCAACAAATAGCCCGATTCAGCAACACGATCCTCAACGTAGGGCCTCGGCCCCAGTTCCGATACAGAGTTATGGCCAACCCCATGCGCAGGCTCAGTATCATACCCAAGCACAATCCCAGACGTACTATGTAGCTGATCAAAAGTATCCTGTGGGACCGGGTTATGGATTTTAATCCTTGAATTATCCAAACCACCAAATCCGTCCGAGAAGCAAGGCTGCAGTTAATCTACATCCCGCCGCCCATTTTAGAGAAGGTGTCGACGGACACCTTTATCTATCCGTACGATCTGGCCAGATGGCTCTTGGTGTTTCTTTGAACCGTTGCCCAGCCAGAAGAATAGGGCATTATTTGGCTTCCTCGGTTGGAGATCTCCGATATGAATGCCAAAAAGGAAGCCAGTTTTGTGGCACACAACCACCGGTGTGGATCCATAAATTACTACGCGGACCATGTTACTGAATAGGGGTTTCAGACTTCGAAGAGTGCTCCCATGCGAGCAAGAAAACGCATATACAGACTTTCGTCTTTACGTAGAATACGGTACACATGCATCAGGATTGAGATATGATGCCGGCAGAGATTAGGAACTCGATACCCCTTCAGACGAAAAGGAAAGGCGAATGGAATCAACATCAACATCATAATCATTGTTACGAGTACCCATGTCTTGCAGAGTGGCGCTTTGGGGTTTGTTTGAATGGTTTCACTGAGAATTCCGGTTGCATAGCATTTTGATTAGGTGATAAGTCTACATTAAAGAGAAGTTTTCAGATGTGTTAGGAAATAAATCCGATCTTCCGCGGATCTTATTGGAATGTAGTTGTAATCGATTATCTTCTCAAGTTTGACCCGATCCTGAGGTTGTTTGGAGGTCTCTGGCACATGGCGGTGGAGATTTCTCGTACCTGCGCCGCCAACAATCTGGGAACACCTAACTCCGTTCCTAGGTTGGCTCCAATCTCCACAACTTCACTGTCCGGCTCCACAAATCGGTATCGCTTTCTCCACACCGATACCGGCAAATATGCCGAACCGAACAAGATCGGCAGTTGTTGCCGTGGTGTGTTGGACTACTCCAGCCTTGCAGTGAACCAACAGCCTAGAGATGCAGCCACTTTCACACACTAACACGCCTCTCTCGTACAAAGATTTGAGACTTCCCGGGAGAATAACAGGGCTTAGGCTTGGAAGACAGAATTTGAATAAGCTTGGAATAGAAGGAAGCTGGTGGGGAAGTGAACTGTAGCTCGCGCTAGTTACAAACACTGATCACGTGCTGATTCAGAACACGCCCATAAGCGAAAACATTTCGGGAGCTCTTTTAGTGCTCTTCGCTAATTCTGGAACCAGTTTTTCGTTAAAATTATGCTCATTAGTCACATCTATATATTTATTTCATCAAGGTGAATGCGTACCCAATCGTTCATCGCTTCAAACGTCGTTTCATATCACAATGGGCAAACGCCATCAATTCACCTAGTGCTTGCCGCATGCTTCCACTGCTGATATGCGACCCAAGCTTGAAATGTGGCAACCCCTAGTCCTAATATACCAATCACAAAGGCAATCCCAACGCCGATAAGAGTTGCCATCATTGCGTATCTCGCTCCGCTCTTCCTCTCCAACCACTTCTGGAACCAACCCCTCAGTGTTGGATTCTGAAATTCGTCATAAAGACCAGCAAGCTGGGAGCCAAAATAATGATAGGAGCTTTCTTTTTCGTCCTCTTCCCGGTATCTTGCGGATTCATACCGAAGGAAATCTTCATCAAAAGACCCTCGAGATACGAGAGATGAGAGAAGAGCCTGGGAGCTCCGATCTTGTGGGAAAAGCACCTTGTGGATCGTATCCAAGACCTCTAATGCCAATTCTCGGGGTATGTTTCCTCTAATTATCTATTAGCTCATATTATTCCTTCCGATGTTGGGACCAAATGCGAACCTTGTGACAAAATCGCTAACTGACGTTCCCTCATCCGCAGACTGACTTGCAAGGAGATTCTCCTTTAACACTGCAGTGTAATGGGAAAGCTTCTGAAATGAAACGATTGATGGATATGTCATTTCTCCATGGAATTAGTAGATATTCATGATCCAAAAAGCTTGAGGAGTGATGGGAAAGTGTGTAGTTGACTATGAACAGGATGAATATAGTAGTGTTAACTGCTCGGCTTTAGTCCGCTGGGTTAGGGGGTTTCTTTTCCTTGTCCCCTCGAGTTGAAAAGTATTCTTGCATCAATTGTGCTCGCGAGACGCTTGGCTTGGCTTTAATCAGTCGGATTATGTCTAGAAGGTAATTATGACTTCTCAATGCTGGGTTCTCGGTGAAGAGCTCAAGTACATATGCTCCTGTCGTCTCTTTGTACCAGGACCAGAACCTCCCAAGTCTTTTAGCTCGGCTCCAAGGACAGTGGCCTTGTGAACATGATGGCTGATTATCACAGAACCCACACAACTGCCAATTCTACAGAGTCTGCGCGAGGCTCTGGAGATCAGCATCAGCAACATCGTGGAGAGGATATGCAAAAGAAACGTCCATTGACATTTCGCCAAGGAGGACAATGCAGCAAGAATACCTAGAAGCAGTGCCTTTGAAACCAAACAACGCGGATTGTCCATGACGGCGCTTTTTATCGCCAAAGTTATACTGATGAGAATAACGCGGGCACAAAATGGTTGACGCAGATCCTGGTGGCGTAGCCCCTCAATTAGGTTAGTATAGTCTAATCACACTTCGCCTAAGATTTGCTTTTCAGCTGAGGATTCGAGACCGTCGAGTTGATTGGATACCTCAACCTTACCGACCTCCCCTGGTGCTTCTGAAGGATTGTGGCTGAGCGTACTGCCCCAGGTTGAGCATATCCTCCCCGCTCGCATGAAAGGACTGTGACCGGTTCCTCCGGGCCGTAAGTCACTAGAAGTTGTCAGCATCACCAGTACTCCAACAATGGCTTTTTAAATCGAATCGCGCTCCCTTCACATGCTTGCCTACTGTTGCTCTGCAACTCGTAGTTAGTACCATGGAAAGTTCGTTTTCGCAAGAGGCGGCGGGGCCCAAATTATCATACTCAGGATATGCAAGTTGTGCAACAAGTATAGCAAGTACACCAGAAAAGGTCGAGCAACTGGGCAATTCAAGATCAGATCAATGCTATGCATGGGCCGACCTCGAACAATCCCAAACCATTAAAAACCTTCACAATCGCCGCGCTCAGGGGTCTGATGAACTTTGATAAGAATGTGGATCAGACAGCTTTGGATCGCTTCAAAGATGTTGTAGAGCGAGTGGAAGGGCCGCTGATCGAGTGCGTGCGTATACGAGGTCGAGAATATCGTCCAATGGCAATACGCCTTACGGTCCTTGGAGGGGATTATATTGACGCAAAACCACGGATTGTTGTCCTACGTCCAGAAAAGAGTTCTAAACGAGTGAAGAAGTTCTTCCAACAAACTATGGCCAAATCGATATGTTGTCCCAATGACTGCTCGCAAACACAATTCGATGTCACCGTCATTGGCCAAACGCTACGAACCCAGAATACCCAAGCTATAGCGGGAGTTTACGGCGCGTTGATGGATCTTGTTAATGATAGATGGTGGTCTTCTAGCGCCTTAATCAAGATTTCGAGACCAGAAGAAACTCGGTATGGTACCATAGGGGGTATCGTAAAGATTGTGAAGGCTAACGGTGACTTCGTACTGTGTGGCTTTATAGCTGGCTATATTCTTGATGGAAGTGATCATAGCCAGAGCGACCTAGCCGAGATGAAATGGTCACCAGACCTAGATACGTCTTCAGATGAAGAAAACAGCGCTGATCAAGAGATGCCGGATACAGACTCCTTCCGCTATACCTCCGGGCTCGCTGAAGAACCGGTCGATGTTGTCGACCTTGGGCCATCATAGTCTAATGTTTGGAGCATCTTCACAAGGCCTCGTACGTTCGAGGCACTAAACCGGGATTGGGCTCTGATTAAAGACATGGATCGGCTCTTCTACAAACGAAATTATTTGCGTGGACTCGATTCTGGCGCTTCCCGCCGGGGCAGGGATTTCAAGGGGGCTGATAAAAAGGCCATAGCTACCAAAGGTCCCTGCAACGTTTTAGTAGTGGTTAGCGGCAATCCAAGAAAGGCCATTCTGTCTGGCCTCCCAACCCTTGCTCTGCTACCTTTGGGACTAAAATTTGTGGAACTCTATACTTTAACACTGGAGGATGGCTCAGATACCTGCTCTTCCAGCATTGCTCGACTTTATCTAAGAAAGCAGGATTACCTGCGGGCAGCTCTGGCTCCTGGGTCATCAATGAGAGTTCATTCGAAGTCTACGGACATGTTGTTGCTGATGGCCCTTTCAACGATGTCTTTGTCGTCCCACTCCTTGATGCAGTAGACGACATCAAGCAAGTACTACGGGCAAAACAAGTCTCCCTCGCTTCCGACATTGACTTGTACTCACCTATGCCCGAAGAGCCTAAATGGTCGGCTTCATTAAGTGCGCCCCAAAGTTCCACATCTTATCGTGATCCGTTCTTCGCTCCTCCACTCAAAGAGAAGCATCCAGCGGCATCGACGGAACTTTTTTCTTGGACCGGTGTCCTACCAACGCCTCCGTCGATTAATCGAGATCCGCATCCTATGTATCCTTGGGGGCAGCAGAACTACTACGGACTCCAAAGCCAGAGCGGGTATGGATCTAATGCAACACCGGAATTCGTTCAGCATCCTACTGTCGGAGCTACAACGTCGTTTACTCCGTATGACACATATGAGACACCACCAAGTTATGCTGAAGCAATTAGTCCTCGTTCCCAAGGGGAACGGCCCGCCTCTGGAATGAGACAAGACCAAGAACTCAGCATACCCAATGCGTTGCCCATAGGGACGAATAGTGAGGAGGAAACCCAAGCCGCCGGCCAAAGTAGATCTGGGCCGGCAAGCGCAACCCCCCTTGAAGAGTTGACTCTTACATGTAAATTCTGCGGGGTGGGTTTCAAGGAGATGTACCGGAATGGGAACCAGAAAAGACATATTCGCCAGCTCCATGCAGAATGCGAGCAAGCATTCAAACTAGCAGATGCTCGCAGAAGGCACAGATTGAGACAGCACCGCGTGTCGACTCCTACGAAGAAGAAACGAAACGTAAAAGGCCGAGCTCGTTTTTCGACGCTGGATGAACCCAAACCTTACATCCCAACTCCATTATTTGAAGCTAAGGAGCAAAACAAGCTCTCTTAGATACATTTAAGAACCACAGATCCTCGAAGATAGGACCCATCGAGGCCCTTGGATCTACAACGCCAAAGGGTTTCACCGAAAATGAACTTCCAAACGGTAAGTATGAGGAGTGGCGCACATAACCCAGCTTCTTCTCACACCGGACTTCTTTCACCTCCTACAGTAGGGCCTACGGCTCCCACCTCTTAGGAGTCTTTCAATTCACGTACTGGTCTTTGCCTGTAATCTCATCGTATCACATCGTGCACTTGTTCGAAATATGAACATCCATGGACGTGAGTTCAGTATTATCTTCCATGCGCCGAGAAACAATTGCTGGGATTGACTTAGACTACGTATGGAATCTTGACCTACCGTCAACTTAAGTCCTCCTCCGTGTCCAGTATCCCTTTCACATTTCCAGTAAATCGATTCCGGCTATGCCGTAATCTCCCATGTACCCTGCGTGACCTCTTCACTTTCTCCATCCCACCCAACCGCCACCTCCTTCTCATCTTTCTTCTTTGCCAGTCTCTCCCCACCAACCCACTCGGCCGCAATTCTCCCCACCATCACCCCCAAAGCTTTTTCTGCCTTGGTTGGTTTAACGTGCATACCGTGATCTGCACCCTTGATTACAACAAGCCAGCTCTCCGCTTCCATCTTCTTCCTGACCTCACTGAGTTTGCTGAGCGGACACATACTGTCTCTCTCACCGATGACAAATAATACTCTAGCTTTTTGTGGAAGATCTAGTAATATCTTATCTCGAATATCGTTCTTCGGACCCACAAGTGGATACGATACTAAGATTAGTGAGAATTTCTGATCTTCTTTACCTGCCGACTCTTCTCTCCAGGATGATATGGTCTCCGTTGCAGCAATGACGGCAGCGCGAGACCCCATACTTCGGCCACCCAACACCAACTCTAACTCCCCTTTCTCTGTAATCAACTTGCGGTTCCGAAGCTGTTCGACGCAAGCGTGAAATCCCCTAACCCGGGACTTCAGATTCATGCTCCCTTGAAATGCATATACATCTCTCAAACTGGAATACCCGGTGCAGAAATTCACCACGGCAGGCGCAGCGAGGGTGCCACCTGCACCATGGGTGAACACTAGCGTCGACTTTGTCTCGCTTCCTACAGCTGAAGGGCATGGGTAGTGCTGGAAATTAACTGGATAATTCCCGGAATTTTGAGTAATGTTGAGTGAAGTCTGGGGCGGGCTTGGTTGGGAGGGACTAGCTTCCTTTTTGGGATTTGCAGACTTTGAGGGCTTGATTTTTGTCGCCTTTTTGGCTTTGGTACTCGGCTTCGGCTTTGCAGATGTTGGTTCAAAGCCTGGTTCTGCAGGAGCATCGGCAGAGCGAGACGTGTTTCTGGGGCTGCGTCGCTTGGGTACAGGGGCTGCTACCTCAGATGACGTCGACTTACGACGTTTGGGCGGCATTGTTTCGTGATGTTGAGGTTATTTCGGCGACTTGGGGAGATGAATTAATGTTTCGGTACGCGTGTGGCGCTGAGTTGCGTTGATAGTCTGAGTTGTTCGCTTTCCTGTTTCCGATCGTGAGGGATGGTTTTGGTATAGTAGTGGGAAGGTCTAGGTTTAGGTCGAGTTGCGGCTGAAACGATTTCCAGCCACATACCTGCCACATTCATCACCATTATTTTGTGCTGACATTCAGCACGACTCTCTGGACTAAGAAAGGGACCTAGACTATCGTGGTTGCCTAGAGGATCAGAGGTGGACATGTCTTGCTCTAGCTTGGTGTGCAACTGGCTCCTGGCTCACTATCTGAGTCAATTTTCTGGTGACGAAGATCTCGCAAAGTTTGTTCAATGAAGGCATTAAGGCAAACGAAGCCCCCACCGTGGTTGAGGGGGCACATAGTAGACGAAATTTGCTCTAGCTATAGCCTTGTTCCGATGCGCTTTTCCGCCGATCACCAGAGAATTTCACATTGTCGAATGCAGGGCACAGCAGGACGGCAGGATGGAAAGCCGATGTATTCAGCCCTGCCCGCGCTTTGGCAATGGACTGCATGGAATACCGGCTGCACCGAATACAAGGCGTATCACTTAACAAACAAAAAGATGGAAGATGAAGAAAAGGAAGGGGATCAGAATGCTGAAACCTGCTAGCAACGTAACGCAGTGGCCAAATCTGGTGGAAGGAAGTTACAACAGTCTCCTAGCGCGTCGCCATCCTAGTTATGGGATGGGACTTCGTAGTTCCCGTGTAATAAAAGATTTGACTAAAAGCTGTCGATTGTTCGTACGAAGCAACCTAAACGATTCTGCAGGCTATCACAATAAAAGGGGCTCCTGGTGGCCATGAGATTGACTCTACGAAATTTCATCTCTTCCATCAGCCTTTTTAATCAATTTTCATCTCATATTATCTTTCCGCGCTTGACTAACCTAATTATTGATTTAACATCCCTTCCAAATCATACCTCCGGCCCAAAGCAAAACCATATCCAGCCCATCTTCTGTCGCGCGTGTATTTTATCCACCTATACATCCCCTTCTGCTGTGCTTGGTAGTAGGTTGACCTTTTGCCACTCTCAACATCCTGTATTCGAACTCAATGAGGACCTGCAGTATGTCAACTACTCCAACTACCCGCGTTCGCCGATACATAAAGCGAGATGACAGAAAACTCTTTTCGCTCATTGTCTTCGCTGTGGGCTCTAACTGTTCCATATAAGAAAGGCAATTCTCACAATTCAAAATGGGTGCGGATGTCTATCAAAACCGCACGCTGACGACCATGCAAGGGAAGGACTATGGATCTCTGTAGTTTAAAAGACTTATGGTTTTACGCTCTGCCCTAACTGGGCGGACATCGGTAATAACACTGTAAGTGTGGAGCACAAATAGAGTATGAACCTCGGCCAATTTTCAAGTTTGGAGCAAAGGGTGCAGGTGGATGTATAAACCGTTGTGAAGGAATGTGATCATCAAGACATACCAGCACCACTTGATTTGAGTCATTCAGAGCAAATCTGAGACCTCGGACAGGCTCTGCTAAAATGACTAAGGTTGAGTGGTCTCCTCTCAGAAATATTCAACCCAAGGCTTAGAACCATATAAATCTAGCCTTGGAAGTCCATCTCGCAACCTTTCTGCAACGACTAGACGACGCGAGATTCAAGATTAAACTCTTATGGACTGGCGTGGGAAAGGGACTTCGGATTGAAGATTCTTAATGGAGAATAGACTCATATACCGGTGTTAAAGGGAATGTACAGACGATGGCATGACTTGCAACGAAACCGGTACGGGAGACAGTCACCCGGGAGTTTGACCCTAAAGGCTTAAAATTCGAGGGAAAATTCGAGGATATCGACCGAAATAATGTTCGGGAATTCGGGGGCGAAGCACTTCCAAAGTTGGCATGAGTCGCGATGATAGCGTTTCGCATTAATTTAGGGTAGTATTTGAAGAAGGGAGATTTTCTTGCAGCTACATTTCAATTGAATCCTATATTATGAAGTAGATTTGAAAACTTTTTTATTCTCAGAAATTTCTATAACCCATCGTGGCCGTACAATTAACGATCTCAGGGCTGAACGGTGGAGGCATGTGTTTCTCCTTCTAATTCTCAACCGACATCGGCCTGGGCGCTTGCTTTCTTCTTCATAAGTTCCCCGGTGACCCTTAAAACCATGTAAATTGTGTTCTGGTACTATAGTGATTTTGTTTCCTATTGACATGTTGGGTGAATCCAACTGGATGGCCGGTGTGAACAATCGGTGGGATGTGGCTAGACTCACTACGTAGCAGAAATGTTAGGAATCCTTTCGCAACCTATTCTTTCCTATCGCCCTAATGATGCCACAAAGTGGAACCAGAATTAGAAAGAGCTGCTAAGCCTATCTAAGTTCTGTCATGCCCATTAGGACAATCCTTAATAATGCGTTGTGCATGGCAATTATTTTAAAATCGCCTTCACAAAAGTACACTCAACTCATACGGTTGAGGTTTCTCTCTGTCATTTATATTGCTGTTGGTGATTCCTAAAAGCTAAACATCGCCGTCAGCTTCGCTATAATGCCTAGTCGTCTACTCTCGGAGACCACTGTGATAATTCTGAAGGGCTTATTCCGTAATTACTTTTTCCGAACTCAACTCGGCGACGAAATCCGTACTAGATCCCCTTCATTAAAATTAAAGCACAATGTATAACTGCTATTGCCTTGCGAGATAGTTATTCATAAGGCAGTGAAATGAAGTACAGCAACGAGGTACAAAGCAATGTCTGAACTAGCAAGTTTCATATAACCTTCCATGACATTATAAACCTGAAGACTCCAAGCATAGCAATGTCTTGGTTTCTGTCATGCACCTGCGGCGACCATACTCCTAGTCCAAGTTCCTTCTCCAATCTCAAAGCAGAACCGGTCCAGAAGCTCGCCAAGCCTACCCCAGCAAGGAACATTCCGATCATACTTGATTTAATAGTCTTTTACGCAAGAGTGGTAGTGCTTCTACCTTCGTTACATTCCAGCGATAGTAACGCGACTTAAACAAAACCTCAATGGGCTCCATACCTCGTCACTCACGCCCGAAAACAGTATTACCAAACTTTATTGCTATCTTTAGCTCCTGTCCGAGCTCCACTATCATATTGATTCAATAGAGGGATGTCGATTCCTCGAAGTAGATGAAACAATGAAGCATCCCCCGTTAAAATGCTATTGAACCCATTAGCCCATCCTGTTCGTCCTTAACACCGCTAAAATACCACACTATTACTTGGAGAAAGGGGTTGAATTGTAAGATAGGCTTTTGGTATTCCCGTTCACGCTAAGAAACAAACTCGAAAACCCACCCAGGCCGCCGTCGCCGCAGCAGCCGGCAAAACTCCAGATCCAGTTCAGCCCCTTGTAAAAAGAACATGTTCAGAAAGAAGCTACTCGTCACGCTGAATCACGACCCCCATATCCATGCCCTCCTCTTCCTCTTGCTCCTCCGCCACCAACTCCCCCCATCCTTCTACTAGGGTACCCTCATCTACACTCCGGAGGACCGCCTTCATGTCCTCGGAGCCGATCTCCTCATAGAACTCGGTTATGCCCGAGATCTTGCAGATTCGGGCTGTGGCAGCCATGAGCACCAGCCCCATGACCGCAAACTGGCCAGCAGCAACGAGCTGAGTGAAAGTGCTTTAAATAGCGTCAGCAAAAGCTTCAGGCTAATTTCTAGGAGAAGGGGGTAGGTGAGGACTTACAGGTACCACTGGTGAATACACCGCTCATCCCAGAAGCGGAGACGCTGCTGGAGGGCACTTGTCTTGCTATTCTCGATCTCGCCAATCAGAAGGCCAAGCTGTTTCCTGAACTGACAGAGGCTCTTAAACCAGTGGCTACGGCGATGCTGGTTGCGATTGCGTATGTAAAGCCGGATGAGGAGCTCATGGATATCGACGAGGGCCTGATTTTCTGCCCCGGAGGCGCGAAGAAGGCGAGTGGCGCTGACTTTGGGGAGCATGTCAGCGGACTCGAGGACCGGGTCATGAACTGGGACTGGTCGGAGGTTGTTGAGAACGGCCATTGCTGCTTGATGAAAAATTGCGTAAAGTGCGAAGTGTGTTGAGTACGCGGGATGAGAGCTTGTCGCTCTTATGTTGCGTTGAACGCTAGAGAAAGCCGAAAGCTGGTCTGTTTGCCTACAAGAAGCCGAGAGACGTTAAGTGCAGCGGTCCGGCGCTCTACTCACTCCCGAAGAGTTGCGCGTGTAGCCGTAAAGTATGTAGTACGAAGCTGTGATTCCCGTGATCGTGTGAGAGGGTGAGGTGGATTGGATGTTGTGCTGTCGCAAGAGGGTTACGGAGAAGTCGAATCCGTGAACTTTATGATACTTTCGCTAGAAATTGACCGCGACAGGAGCCCTCGTGACTTGCTCTAAGCTATCGCAACAGCAGAAGGAGCGTTCTGGTCAAAGCGCAAAGACGACGACCAGTCTTGGCATTTGTGATGAGGTGGACAGTGTCGGTGCAATGCACATACTTAAGGAGGGGAAGAAGAGATGGGTTTTGTAGTAATCGGCGCGACGACTGGAAGAAGGGAGAGGATGAAGAAGGTAGGTCTGGTGTGAAGATAAATTGTTGGGCTCGTGGGAACGAGGGAAGCTGCTTGTTGTTCTTATCGAGGCACGGCCTGTGGTGATGGCACAGTGATTCAAGTCAAGGATCAAGAATCAGCAAAGGACGGATAACCTTAAAGGATCCGCGCCGTGCTGTGCAGTTTCAGGAAGCTTGGAGGAATCGATCAACGGTGTAGATGCTACAGATCTACAGCTTCGCCTGGGTAATCGATCAAGCGTGTTTGGAATAGGAGAATATGTGGGGAGCTGGTGAGGACGGGACAGCACTAGAGCGGGTGGGTCTGCTGTGTGCACAGCTCTTGTTCTTTTAATTTCGGGTCCTGTGTATCGTAGGCTCTTGACAGACTCTGAGGTAAGATGCTGCCTGTGTCATGTAACCAACCGAGGGCTGCAGACCTTCAACTAGCGTTCATATGGATCGAAGTGGTGTTGAGATCGGCACAGCAACCAGGAGCGAAGTGACACTGTGTTCATTCGTAGACGGAGGAGGATGGCCAGATGTAAATTATCCTATGCGAGCTGATGTGTTTTAGCACCCGATGCGCGGTTGTTGGTGGCCTGCGTCGCGTGTTTCCGCTCCGGGTTGCTAGCTTGAGGCTGGCGAGCAATTAACCTGTTGGAACGCGCCTAAGTCAGCCACTGTTCCCCCTCCACCATCACTCTCAGCCTTGCAACACCTGCAATACGGACAGGGCCATTTTCGCACTCGCAATCCCACAACCCCTGTTTTCGCCTTCTAGGGGCCGTAGCATCGTTCTGCAAAGCAGTCTCGAGGAAGTCCCTTGCTATGGTACTGTGCCCCTGGCGCCCTTGATGCAGGCTCTGTCCGGCACCATGCGGGGTTACCCCCAACACTTTAACAGTTATCACGCGTTGAGGATTTCGGTATCTCGAAGCTATTCTGGAGTCAAGCGGTGTTGGGACGAGAGTACTAGAGCTTGCAGAGTCCTCTGGCGCTCTACATGGCGGCCGCCTTGTTACGTACTGCCCCAACCCACCACCCCCGTGTCTCTAGCACAGGATGGTAAGCCTTGTCAGCGGATCAAGGAGCTTAGGGACAGCTTGAAGCTCCTGGTGCTCCTTTCTGGACATTGGGATAGCGATTTGCGGGTGCAAAGCCTCGTTCGACGTCCTGCCGCAGCCTCCTTCCTTGACGCACGGCTGTGGCAACGAGCGGCGAAGACACTGTCGAAACTGCAAACAGGATCTCCTCACGCGAAGAACATCCAACTTTGTGACACCGATGGACATTGGCTGTTCAGAATATAGGGTCGATATTCTGTAAATACTATGCATTGCGGCCCGTACCTGATCCAGTCGCTGCAAAACGTCCCTGCTGGGAAGGAACAGCACCTACCCCAAAAAGTAACTCCCCCGGAAACGGAAACAGCCCCCACCTTGAGAAGGACACCGTATTGGGTTTCAGGAAGCACTTGTAGGCTGTCTTTCGGCCATTGCAATACCAGTTTTCCGCGAAGGCGTTAATTCTTACCAAGGAGGACACATTTGCGGCGCGATGACAATATCGATCGAATGAATGCCATACGTTTCCGGGAGGATACATGCGTGTTGCCACGTTGCTAGCCCCCAATAGGATTCTCAATCCTGATCCAGAAGTATGCACGTCTATTATCATGGACCTTGTTGTATTGGCATGAGCTTCATCCAGAACTCGTTAGCTGACCATCTTGCAGCTGATATGTAGCCCGCCCTCTTCTATTTAACGACTTCATGGTCGTATGCTTGACTGGTAACTGCCATAATAATTGGCATTCGACGCATCCGACCATTACCCTCCGATTAAATACCTTCGGCTTTGCTTGAGGCGCCATCGTTCCCGACACCAGGCACGAGTCGTATCTTGAGATCTAGACTTTTGTGCTAATAGCTTCGTTGGCATGTAATGGAAAAAAGCCATTCTTTCACTACGCATACACATAATCTACTTCTTAAACCAGCATAACACTTTCTTTTCTTCCGACGATAAATCGGTACATATTAAGATCGCCAGGAGGAGGCCGAGATCGGCCAAAGTGGTGATATGCCTGCTTAAAACGAGGTGCGAGCCTCCATCGGACAAGGACTAGTTGCAATGTGGAGCAAAGGCCTAGTGAGAATGGAAGGAATTAGTGACGACTAAAGGAGCCAAGGAAGACTAAAGGATCCTAGGAAGATCAAAAGAATCCAGGAAGAACCAAAGGAGCCAAGGAGGGTTCACCGTTATCCAGGAAGGAGCAATGGCGCCGTAATGGAGCATTCCAAGAACTTTAACCATCCAGCGGTACACACGCGCTTGACCTCGCCGGCGGTGCTTCGAAATGTGCAGGACAATCTTGCCAGCTAGTGAAGCCTTGTGATCAAATATCAAGAGGGCTTAACTCCCCTACCCAGAACTAGAAATGACACTCACCCTTGCATCTTCGTCGACAAACAGGGAGTATATCTTGAGACAGAAATGGTACCGTTGGAAGGACCTTGAAATTGTTGCGTTTGTCAAATCCAGCCACAACTTCGCAACGTGGTGTTGAATTTCCAGCTGCTACAAGCACTGCAGTCGATTCCTTACATGGAGGCCATTCAAGAGACACTCCGAGACTGTGTAAGAACATATCAAACGCATGTCATTTAGATCAAGCCGTTTCGATGCTCCTAAGTTTCGAAAGCCCGCCATTTTCGCGGAAAAGGCTAGTCCTCGGAATTATTCGGTGGAATATCCTCGCCGACATACGATCCATATCTTTCAGTTTTCGGTGCTGCTTGGTCGACCTCAGTAACCGATCGCGATCATGGGCTCTGAGGTCTTTGCAAAGGCTTGTTTCCACAGTCGCCACCTAGAGTCACCCTGGCTTGGTATCGAAGAGTCGTTGAATGGGAGATAGCATTCGTCCACGCCTATGCGGTCTCCCTGGCCTCGCTCCTTGCATACGAGTTGGACTGTCCCGCCGAGGCCTTCGGCAGCGGCATACCATCCCGACTCGCCCCAATTCCCTTTTGGAGTGTTAGTGTGTGCGAAAGCGGCGTGCTTTCGCTTTGCAAGAGCAGACGCCCCTTAGCTTGACTATCCATCATGCAGCTTCTTGTTCCAAATTCTTGCAGGTGCGGAATGTTTGTTCTGATGGCAGGTTTGCTATGGTCTACCGCCACCATTCCGGATCCTTCTCATCCAGGTTGCAGTCCCCTTGAGGTGTTCTTCTTTTGTTTGCTCGTTTATCTAATTGCTTCGTGTCCAAGAACGGACGGCGCGCCTTCGTCACCCTACGGAATGAGGCTCTAGCTTTACACAAGGCAGCCTTGCTATTCAATCTTCGTTTCTGCGCCGTGTCATCATCGGTTGCAGGTCCACCTGATCGCCTTCTTGCTCGTGAAGAAGGCTGGCGTCCACATGGTAAGGACGAGCGGTCGAGGCGTCATTGCCAGCCCGCTGCCACCCCACCGTAGGCCCAGGAGACTCCCATGCATGCCGTCTGTGGCTGCTCTCAGTTGCTATCGCTGCCCCAAGATGTTGTGTTTGCCGAGAAAAAGTCTATAGCTGCACTTGCGCTGGCTCCGTTAGTTCACAGCTGGTTACACTTCCCATGGACCCTTCGTTGAGATGGGAGCGCGAGAAGCCCAATTAAACTATTCCGAGGCACCTGAATACTTGTGTGTCCGCCTTCCGGGCTCGTTGTCGGTGCTCCGGCGATGCTTGCGGAGGCTTCAAAACCTGCTTGTTCACGGATACGTGGCTCTGATTGGTTCAATCCTCCGTCAAATACATCGGTCATCGTCTCCGTCAATCGTATCAGTAGGCTCAAGCTGTTTTGGGTTATGGCGGGTCTGCAGACTACGAGGCCGTCGAATTAGCATACGGAATGCACATCGAGAACATATTGGAACTCACGAGTCTCTATTCTTCGCTGCTGCCGCTGCCCTGCCCTCATATTTCTGTCTCGGGGCGTTGCTGTCGTTGAGATACTTGCTGTCCAAGTAAGAGCGCGCTGCAGCTTGCCGTTGATCCAATCCTGAAGATGCATTTATGTATCTGGTTCCAGAAGTTAAGCGCTTCTATGTACGGCCAGGATGAGCCTTCTTCACCTGCTCTATTCTAGATCCCTGTACCAGCCGGTGGTGTCTTGCTCCTGGGGTTGCCGCTACGGGGATGGGGCTTGGTTTCTGCAAGTAGGTGCTCTTCCCCAAAGGCGCCACATATAGCAAGAGCCCCAGAATTCAATTACTTCTCTACGCACTCGACCCGACACTCATGCGCATGCTTCCAGTTCTTGGGCTTCGTCATGATCGTACGATTTGTTATGGAGGATGTCGCCGCCAAGCTGGAGGGTGTGATTCGTAACTAGGATTTCCTACGGGGTACAGTCGATCTCCTGAAAGTGCGCGACACATGAATCTCCTCCGCATGCTGCAGTATGTGTCTTTACATGTGCCCGAGGGCTAGTTAGCTTGCTCCATCGTGGCTATAGGTGACTGTTGCCTTAGCATCTGTCCTGGTATCAGAGGAAATAGCGATTTGTCTTACTGTCGTTCCGCCCTATATACCTAGCAGCACTCTTCCCTGGGTGAATCTTGCTGTTTCTGCCATATTCTACCATGGGTGGTTAGCGTAAGGAGAAAGGCGACGATACCAAGAGTACGGTTCGCAGAGGAGCAGCCAGGCGTCAACTGCCGTAAGATGCGTGAGATGCAAAGGTTGGTCCCGAACCAAAAGCCCTAGAAATAACCAAGTGTCGACACGGCTTCCCTTTCCCAACACGGAGATGTTGGTGGTGTTGGGGTCAGCTCTCAACGTGGGCCGGCCGAGCGCTTCGCAAGTATAGGCACGTGATCCTACTACAACAAGAACGTTGCCCTTCTCAGCCATAAACCACAGCGCAAACTCTAGAGCACATAATATTCTCAGAAATATTTGCGATGCTCTTAGGGGGCCCAATCAAGCGCAAATGAAGGCCAAAAGACTATCAGATGCAGTAGCAGTCCCCATTCTCCTGGCACCAGCAAAAAGAAAGCACCCCTCAACCATGGCTCGAACCCGACGGTCGACATGTGCAAAAAATGGTTGCTTTCTTGATTGAGTGTGTCATCCTTAGTGCAGGGAGCATGCTAATCTCCTCTGTATTAAGTAAAATGACCAGGCACCCAAAGATGAAGGAGATTCTAATTGGACGGCTTATATACGCAATGGGCAATGGAATGGGCGGGAAAGAAACCACCAAGTCACTACTGAAGGAGCGTTCTTAGGCGTTGGCAGCTGGTGCTGGACGAGCTCAAACGGTCAGATATGCGACGACGTGGATCTCGGGTCATGTGACAGCACCTGGAGTGAAACCAGTTTGTTTGGACCCTGTGGAAACACCGTGGAAACACCTTAGGAGTTGCCCGTCCGTATACTAGAACACTACATATCGCAGAGATTCACGCAGAAAACGGCCATCATGATCAAGATCTTTGGCTACAACCAATTCCCAAATCCTCAGCAAAAAGCTATTTCTAAAGCTATTGCTTGCATCCTTTTCCGATTGAGCAAGTCCATACAAAGTTCCATCCAAATTTTGAACGGCATGCCTTATCACGTTTTGCAGTATCCCCCGATATTTGATATACTCTAACAATTGCCCCCCCCTGGAACACTATTGGCCGCAGAGGGACCAGCAACGATAATACTTGGCTGTCTGCATATTCAAAGCTAGAGAGTATTTCTTCAAACCGAATATCCAGAGGTCTGATTCCCATAGCCATTGCCGATACTATGATATTTTCGGATACCTGATCTACACTCACGTCACCCTTTCTTTGAGATCATCTCGATGCGGGATCAGGGGCTCTTAATAATCGACTCTCTACATGATATGGTTCAACCGGGCAAATGTCTCGAGCAAAGTTGCCGAATAGAGACACTGAACTTTTAATCTGATGGTATTGCTCTCAATGCTGAACGCTCCCTCACTCCCTCGCTCCCTGCAATCACTCTCACAACGCAAAGCAAAGAGCATATAGTGCGTAATAACCCTGATAATTCAATCTCCTCAAACCACCTCTTGCAAGACAGGACCAAAATGCTCTCTAGGTCATGAAATAGATGTCATTCAGCTTTCAAAATCGAACTCCTGACTGTCGTAAAACTTTATAACTGCAAGCAATGCCCCCTCCACCCAGTCAACCCTTTCATCTCTTCATCAAAGAAAACAATATTCCTAAAATCCCATTTCTATATTCTACCCCACTCTCAAGATATGTTCCCCAGTACCTCTACCGAATCGAACAGAAACGCTACACCTTTATCTACTGTGTATTCAAAACTACCTCGGATACTTGTCTTTCCCTAAATCCTCACTATTCTCAGACTATCCCCTCCAATATTCGCCATCACCTGATCGCTCATCCCGCAAATCTCCGCAACCCTTGAATCAAATCGCATCGAAGCAGCATCCCTCAGCATCTCATATGCTTATCCTTCCCGAACACTCGCCGTTCCCGAGCTCCCGCCCCTAAGCCGAAAGTCGAACAGCCCGACCAAATCGCCAAAAACGCATTAGCTCTCCGTAAATACTATACGAGCTGATAGTGCTAGGCTAATAAATCGACAGCCGATTACCTCCACATGAATCCTCGAGATTCTCCCACAATCGGACCAACAACCTGCTTTCTGGCTATCGGCCAGGCATTTTGATATCACAAGAAAATGACTCGAAAACCTAGGCTCAGCAACTTTTGCCATCGTAGTTCGATATCACCTAGCCCTCTCACCTATTCATATAATGTCAAGCGTGGAATATCAAGACCCAAATTTGTTGAAATGCATGTCAAGACATTAGAAACACGAGAGGAATCGGGTTTTGACGGGCTGGAAAACCACTGTCAATTCTTTCACCTATCAAATACAAAGGAAATCTATTTGTCAGCCATGTGGAGAAGTTGGTATGCATTGCGTCGAGACGCCGGAGGGTTGCTTTGATGCAGATACTCCTAGAGAAAAGGCCCGGCCCCACGAAATCCGCTATCCATTTTTGCATTGCGAACACATTGCTTTGATGTAAATGCCCGTCAGATGAAAAGCCCAGAGCAGTGAAGTAGGCCATCCATTGAAGTCTTGAGATCCGAAAACAACAAAGAAAACAGAGAGAACAGAGAACATAGAGGACAGAGGAAACCATGTTGCCAGCCACACCACTCATCCGAATCCTAAAAAGTCCTGTGAAGTGGGGCAAAGATCCATATACCAGACATGTCTGCACATAGTTGTACAGATCGACCTGAATCCGAGAGAAAGAAAGCTCCGTTGCTATGCAGGCGCAAGATCCGTATGTGATCCATCATTATGCAATCGGAATGAAAGTAGGAAAAAACAGATTTTCATGGATCAGAAGAAAAAACCCTTTGCAAGGGGTCGAAAGAAAGTCCATGGATGGGGAAGCAGATCGCAAATGGTTGTACAATGTGTCATGGAGTACATGTACGAACGCGAAAGTGGAATGTGTTGATCCACGTGGAATATGTGCGAAACTGATGTTAGTGTCGAATGAATCGTCTGCTAGAAGCCGTTGAAATTGCCACTCGGGCCAGCACCGAATCCAGGCACGACCGATCCATAAGGCTGACCTGCGAACGTTCCTGCGTACATATCGGGCTGGTTTGCCATGATCGTTGGAGGAGCAATCACACCGGGATTGACAGTTGCCATAGCAAGGCCATGCTGGACAATAGGATACTCCCGGAAGAACGTGTTGAGGAAAGTATGGGGGATCGCGTGGAATGCCACCGAGATTCCGACGCGTTGACGGTGCCATGCTTCAACCATACGCTGAATAGGCTCTGGAATCATGTTCATGTTGACGGCAGAGGAAACACCAGACTGTACAATATCGCGTGGGGTGCCACGGTCGTATTGGCTGAGCCGGTTGCGGTGGTCAGCATTAGCCCCCGTGTGGTGCGGTGGGTACAGCCCGACTGCCCTTGCACTGTCGCGAGATCGCTGGAGTTTGGCTGCATTATCAGGTCCAGGGAACGGCACCTCCGTACCAACCATAGTGAAGTCGCCCGCCGCCAACGCGTCGAGCCACGTGCTGAATAGGTGTGGCTGGCAGAAATGAGGCTCTGTCATGACGGAAGAGTTACGAAACTTTTGCACTAATGCGTCCCGGCCCTGGATAGTCGCATACGAAATCTCTGCTGCTTTGCTAGTGCCATGGCCTAGCCACGGGCGCCCAGCAACATTGTTGACGAGAGCTACGACGCCTTCAACACAGTTGAAGTTGATGAACGCATAGCCAACATTGGATCCTGACTCGAAGTCAATTCGGAGGTAGACGAAGTCGTAGATACCAAAACAATGCTCATCAAGGATCGACTTGAGTGTTACCTAGAGAGATGTCAGTCGTAGTCGATTGAAACTTCCGACGATGTCAACCTACATGATCCAACTTGTTGGGGATGTTCCTCAACATAATCGTCGTTCGAACATCGCTTCCGTTACCAATGCGCTCGAGGTGAACCCGGTTGTTCTGATCACTAGGATGACGCATCTGGTTGGCGTACGTGCTGCTCATCGGAACCCGAGTAAGCTGGGCCGGAGATGCGCGGGATGGGTGGGATGGGTGTGAAGCTGGCCACAGATGAGGAAAGACTGGAATCCATTGATACATTCCGTTCACAACGCCTGTAACTGGGAACTGCTTGAGGAAGTTTACATTGTTCTGGGTGACCTCAGCAATCGCCTGCTTCATACATTGAACACAACGCGTCGCGGCGTCGACAGAGACGAACTCAACGCGGAAGGTGAAGACTGAGTGGTCGGCTGCAGGGTACATACGGAGGCATTCCACTGCACGAACCGTAGGGAAGTTGAATCCACACACACGGGCGGCAATAGTGACGAGGTGCGGAGCATCCTCTGTTGTGACAGTATACCCTTGATATGGGTACACGGCGAGGTTAAACAGGACTTGGCCTTCACACGGATTCGCGGTGCCAGCGTCCAGGAACTTAGCCATGGCCCACTGATGCTGGTTGGTGAAGTGCACCTGGAAGCCTAGGTTGTTGAGATAGTCCTTTGCTTCAACTGCGTCCTCAACACTGTCGAATCGCAAGCGGATCGAGTCTTTGCACTTGAGTGGCACGCCACGGTAGACCGCGGTACCTGGGGCCTGATAAGGGTCATTATGTTGACGCCAGTATGTGCGGACAAGGAGTTGACTTACTGCTTTCATGACATCCTCTAGATAGAAAAGGCCTTGAGCGGGCGGAAGGTCATTATCAAACGCCACGATCTTCAGGTATCTGGACATGTAGCCATGGGTGCCAACATTGAGGTCTGTGAGGAAGGTTGGGCGACGAAGACGGATATTGACCGCTTGCTGGGCTGGCTGCTGAACGGGGAGCTTTCCGGCAGCCTTAGAAGAACTCGCTCCGTTATTAACGTTGCGAGTGATAGCGGGGGAGTACACCGTAGGAGCAGTGGCTGGCGAACCCTTGCTAGAGGCTCGGCCACCATTAGAAGAGTGCTGCGAGTAGGACATAATGAACGATGATGTAGGAGAGTAAAGAGCGAAGAAGATGTCTTGTTCAACGATGATGAGGCCAACGATGATGAGACCAACGATGATGGCCGAGGCTCAAGAGAACCAAGTCGTTCTGCAAGAGTTGGATGGTTGGATGGTTGAAGAAGGAAGGAAGGAAGCAGACGATGGCGGGGAGAGGGCCTTCTTAAATACTTGGTACTGGGGAGCAAGGGCCAGCAGTCCTCTGGCATGAGAGGCATCAAAACTTCTCTCATCCGTGGCCCGACTAGTGGTGGAGTCATCACCGCTCTCATCGAAGGTTCCCGATTCGGCCGCTGCGTTGGGAATCTGCGAGCCCGGCGAGGAAGGCGCGAGTATCGTGGCTTTAGTTACCTCGCCGTATCTCGACAACGCCTGGGCGCATCATTGTGAAACTTTCATGAGGTGATTGCCCTCACCGAGCTCTACCTCCTCATACCAACTTATGCTGGCGTCGGCGCTGTAGCCCGTGGTGCATCTCGCCTGCAAGTGCGACTGGAGAACTCCCTTCTCTCTGATGCAACACCAAGCCCACTCTCACGAACGGGTGGGTCCACGCTCTTCTAGCGTGGAAAGGAGCCACCCTCTTCTATCCAGCCAATGGGAAGGCTGGATGACTGCAATAGCAGTAGGATTCTAAATTCCTTGCGGAACAGGGCACGAACGATGAAGACGAAGAACATCGTGTGGCTGGGGAGAGTGGTGAGTGCCATGCCTATATCCCACTTCAAGAGTCTCCCCTCTTCTAGAGGCACTAGAGAAGTGCCCACGAGGCCTCATGGGCCGGCAAGTGACATAGATTGACGAGGGAAATAGGCAGAGTAATCCTCGGTGTCTTTCTAGTAATTGCAATTGTCTACACCGTAAATAGGGGCTTTAATACTGTTGCGGAAGGCTGGAGGGTATCGAATAGCGGGCTAGCTGTGCACCGGAAATGACCCCATCCAGCTTCAATTCCGCACAGTACTCTCCATCTGAGGGTGTTTTCGGATGCATCACTTGGAGGAAAGTGAGAAAAGATGCTTTTTTTTTTTAAGTATTTGACAACTCTGACCGCAATAGGGTATTAATTGAGGGCATCTTAGGGGTGCACGAAAGACCACTCATGGTGTTGAGCACTCGAGCCGCGACCTCTGCGACGACTTCCTCTCCAAACTTCCAAGATCTGCAAGGACACCCGGAAGCAACTTGACAAGAATTGCTCAGAGGCACGCCAAATCCCCAGGCGTGAATTTTCACTATGATATCCTGCACCTTTCCCCTCAATGCTACAGGATTTATTAAGGTTTTTTTTTTTTTTTTTTTTTTTTTTTAGCTAGAACACAGTTTTAAATGTGGAGCACCACTCCTAATTAAAAAACCCCAAGCTCGAAGAAATTCTGCCGCTCTTGATGCCTTGTTTTTCTATCATCATTGTAAGAATGGAATGCTTCTTCTCTCCACTTCTTGGAGGAAAGCTGGATCAAGTTGAAATATTCATTCCCAAGACTACGATTACTGCACTTGTCCCTTAAATATCGTGCCAAAACGTCACTCTCACCGTGTCATTCAAACCCCTTTCTAATCTCATATTCACCACGCCGGATAGTTCCCAATTTCAGATTCCCATGAGCAAGAATTCAGCACCAGATCTTATGTAATCAAAGGGGTGCCTAAGATCCCTGCACCAGCCAGAACGCACCCTCAGACATTTGTCCCAGCCACCCCCACACTCCGGCAAACATCCTTGGTTATCATGTGCTGCACTTCCCATTTCTTTCATCCCTCCACCAATTGTATGGTATAATCTTCAAGCACTTGACAGTTCGTTGCTGTCGTCTACGCATATAACTTAAGACGGAGCATGTTATGGCAGGATTAACTAGGTAAAGATTCGATATGTATATTCTTCTTTTCAGCTGAATTGACTCTTAGACAATCCGGCGAATTTCCTGTACCTTCCGTTCTATCCTTATTATCCCCCGAAAAGCTTCTCGGCTCCCAAAGAACTGTGCTAGATGTATATTACAAAGTGGCATGTGGCCGTCCCCAAAGAACCACGACCTCCACTACCATCTCGCTTATATCCGTCTGGACTCTATCCTATTGCAACTTAAACATTTTGCGGCCCTCTTCAGAGGAAGTTTATATCGTTTCGTCCGATAACTTCCCAGATATGGGTATTCTTTTGTTATCTAACAAGATCGAACTAACTATACCAGCAGCGCTACAGCGGGAATCAGGATCTCCATACTATGCGCCTGTAGGCTATAGTATCCATTTTAGGACTGTGAAAATGAGCTGTAGGTGTGTCATCGGGGGTCGAGCGCATTACGGTCGGTGAGGTATTTGACGCTTCGGCGAGAACCGAGGAGGGAACGATTGGGGGTGCCGGTTGTGACTGTAAGTAAAGAGAAAGGAATTTGAATCGCGTGGTAATCCTGTCGCGCAGTTATTGCTTCGCTGTAGTCGGTTGGAAATCGTGGTTCAGAGGCTATCAGCGAAGCCCAGGTTGCGGTCGATGGTGAGTTACTTAAGTGATAGTAAACGAACTTTGGAGTGCTAGAAGTTCTAATACCCAGCTCCAAACAGAGGTCTTCAGCGCCTCGTACGCCACCTGCGACTTTCTTTCCGCCGGTTAATGGGCCTGAAGCTGAGCTGCCGCTTTCGTTGTTCGCCGAAGTTCCTAAGAGTGCGCTTGGCTGGCAGTGTCCTCTTGCTCTGTCTCACTTGATTACAAAGACCCGAAACCGCAGGCTATAGAGTCAAAATAGGGACTGGTTGCTTCGAACTCGTCTGCAATATTCTGTTAGGTCTGTTATTTGGTCTGGTAGCCTTCTTGCAAGCATGAACGGAGAGTCATGCTTTAACTCCGACGAAGCTAAGCCACGTCCTTTCTTCACACTGACCTTTGCCCTTTGCAGCGTTGCCCACAGAACAACAATAAGCTCCCCTCAAATTTTCTCCCCAACTACCCCACTTTTTTTCCATTCATGCACTTTCCTACCCGCACTTGCCTCAATCTACCTTATTCGCCCCACATCTCTTCCTCCTCTTTCCTCCTTGGCCGACTACTTCACAAGCACGATACATTTCCCATCCTCCTAGCACCTGCTGAACGTTCCAGCCACCAGAGCCCACCCCCACCAACGAGAAACGTGGGGCTTTTTGTGTATGCATTTCATACTGATAACAGGCAGTGCTCCTAATCACCCTCTTCAATAGCTGCACATACGACGGCATCCCTCCAGTTTGGGACACACCCAGGCCCTAAAATTTCCAGCGCCCGAGGCCGGCCTGCTGAAATCTCTGCGTATGGGTCTGTAAGTAGCTCCTACACGCTATTAGTGAAAAGTACCGTCTCTGCCATTGGATCATGGACTGCCAGCCTACTACTATAATCGCGGCACTAGATCATCAGGAGGATACAACTGGCCCTTTTCAAGGACTTCTTTATGGAGCCCGGACACGATGTCCGGGGTCACAGGTCCATTAAGCCCATGATTCCACCACCCTCGCGACGGGTTCATAGAGTAAGCACAGTTGTGCTTGCCTAGTTCCTTTGCCGGCCCTTTTTGTAGTTACGAGAGACTTGGTCTTACCTAGCGTGCCAATTGCTTACATTCAGGAAGCAGTGCTCTCACCTGTGGGTCCAGTAGAGCTAAGTGATTACTGACACACAAGACTTCCTGTCGTGAAGGTTAGTGTGAAGGATAACTTTAGCGCAGGACATGAGACCCCATCACACAAGATCTGTGCTTTTCTCCACTCAAGACAGCAGCAATTTAAATCCTGCAACTCTCCTGCCTAATATAGGAAAGGGAATTCTTGCCATTCAGCGACATCTACCGCTAAACACGAGCAGACTGACTTTACGCATAGGGATAATTATCCTATACTCTCATTCCCCTCTCCATTATGCTGCTCTATCTAATATTAGGCCATTCTACATAATCTGCGATAGTCGCGCGCATGAATGGGGGAGAATGGGTTGGAGTCATGGACATACTCAGTGGTCTAGTCAGGCCAAGGCCAAGGCCAAGGAAGTCGTGGCACGTCTTTTAAGTTACCCACTAGCGGCGCGGAAATCGAGGTCATCAGAGTATGTTCTAGGGTGAATTAGTCCATAACCCTCGTTGTACCAGGAAAGGCTAAGTATGTTTCTTTTATCACCTCCGAGAGGAGTTCCCTAAACTCCACCGAATACATCTTCTTCCTTCGATGCTTAGGCCTTGAAGACTAACCTGACGGAATATGCGGCGCATACGTATTCGAACTAGTCACGAGCGACGCCAGGAGCTCTTACGCAATCTCGAGATCTCAAGCTAACCTTCAGTACTAACGTTCCTCGCAATTCATAATCCACAAGCTGTTCCCTTCGCACAAATCTTCTTTCAAAGATCTCATATTCAGCTCTCACAACCGAAGTCTGCAACTCCCTGACACCTTTACCGCCATCTACCTCCTGCTCCATTGACCAGAGCTCGACCAGCTCATGTATCTCTTGGGCGGGACTTCATCCAAACGAAGGACTGGACCTCGATACTTTGGTGCTTAGATCTTGATCAGATCTTGAAAGGGAGCCTGCTTGCCCCATACCAGCGCTTCTAAGGGGTGAGGATGATATCGACCTGAGGGGAACCATTCGTCTTGCCTCACGTTGGCTTGGCGAAAGTTGAGCTACGTACATACCAATATATAAAGATAGTCCTGAGCGAACGAGCGAAGAGGAGAGAACTGGAACCTTGTCGCAGTTCTTAAGCCTGGAATATCTGGCATCAACATCTGACAGTCCCTTCCCCAGCTCTAATGCGAACACTTCTGATCATACCCTCGCACGTCAGAGCTCATATGCAAAGCCCAACGACTATCGACTTCTTCAAACCGTTTCCCCAACGTGGGGCTAGGAACTCAGAGGGTAACAGGCGCTAGTCATTAAGGGGGCCTAGTGTCCAGACTCGCCAGATCAGAGTGCAATGAATTGAAAGATCCTTGAGCAACTAACAGCGCTGACATTTTCCTCGTCAGCATCTTATCACGTGTTCACTTCTCATCTCTTATCACACTTTCAGGAAATGTCAAGCCGATGGGCAAGTTTCCGTCCCCCAAGCACCATAAACAACGCATGGTTTCTGTAAAGCCCCTGGTATCAGCCATGGATAAAGACTCATTTTCCGCACCAAATCCTTCCTTTTCCCTTTCATTCGCATCCAGGTAACGGGGTAGATTAATCTCAAGGCAAGATCCCTTCGTAACAACTCGCCAGGCATGCAACCCAAGGCGAGAAGACAGATAAGCCCATGTGTGCCGCGGAGGGAGATTCGCTATCTGGATTATCTCGGGTTAGGCAATTTACCTGGGCAGTTTCCTTAGGCAGATATCATGCCTAATGCAGGCGGGCTGCTCGCCTGGAATTTTCCTAACCATTACGTGCGTGCCGGGTGAAGCAGGCCACGTCACATGAGGGCGTCAAATCCTTTAGCCTTTGGATTTTCCCTCCCCTTCAAACATCCACCGGTCATGCTCTAGACTCTGTACCTTCTTCTCCAGACTGGACTCTAGCGCAGCTTTGATCTCGCTCATGATTGCTGTTGGCATTAGTCTTGTTAGCCTGGGCGTACGGCACGGAACAGCGTACTGGCGGTGTCCCAATGCTCGTTCCTCTTCCCGTACAGGGAAATCATCTGGTTCTCCTGTTCTAGCATTCGATGTCAGCGCGTTCCAGCCGATGGCGCACAGGCAGAACTACCAGTCTCCTCATCCAGCTCAGCTGCGACTCCAAGATTCGGCTTCAAGTTGGTGGACGGCGCTGCCATGTTATAGTTTCCAGATCCATCACGCTCGACCAAGTCGTCATTCCTCTCCGCTTCTTCAGCGGGTATATGCAATGCGGATGTGGAGATGGCGGTGCTCAAGGGATGGGTGAGCGGGCGGCGAGAGGGCGCGTGGAAGAGGTGGTGGTGGCGGCGGGCAGGGGGGTTGGGGTTGCGGGTGGGTCGACGGAGGTCCATGGCAATTGAAGCGTGACTCGTAGGGGGGGTTGGTGGGCTGCAAGCGCGTTTATACAGTGGGTGAAGGTTGGTGTTTTGGTTCAAATGGCAGGGAGCTTTGACCAATTCCCATGGCGACACGGCGGGGTGCAGTCTCGCCTACCAGCTGGTGGGGTAGTCCTACACCTAGATAGCTCTATGCCTAGGTAGCTCCACGCCTAGGCAGCTTCAACCGCCTACTCTTCCCTCTACCTGCCACCATGGCGTATACAACGCCCGAGGCAACACGGTCTTCGGCGCCGTTCAACCGCCCCTCAACGACGCTACCTCAACTGCGCTTCCCCATCCAGCCCCTGCAACGCTTCCAGGGCGCCTCGGCCAGCATAAAGCGCCCGAGGGAGATTGCCCATTTCTCGTACAACGAAGATCATGAGTATAGGGAAGATGAATCCAGCATCCAGTATTATTGTGAGCCTTGCATTGGCGCAAACCTCTGTGATGGCTTTGATACCTTCAACCGCTACGAGGAGAAGGAGGACCCGCACTTGGACAGTCTGTTAAAGACTCTAGCAAGCAAGGAGAAAAGAGAGGGTGTGAAAGTGGATGCTGATTTTGTCACCTGGCGAGGCATGATGACCAGGATTATGACAGCACCCTTTGACATGTTCGCCTCCTTCGAAATGTTCGCAACTCTCCACCAGGGCACCATCTATATCGAGGAAGACTTCCAGGCCAAAGCTGCCGAAATTGCATCCGATAGTCGCAATCCGCCCAACAACAGGAGAAACTATCCCCGGTACTACAATCAGAATCCCTCACGTGAGATGATGACCTACTGGGGGTACAAGTTCGAAACTCTCTCCCTCACACCCGATACGCCGGCCAGCACCTCGCGCGAGTTCCTGGAGAACCGCCAGAACACGGTCGTGTCTAACCACGCCCAACACTGTTCCATCGTACGGACTGCATTCGGTTCCAATACAGTCATCCTCGGTGGTGAAGTCGACGGCCTTTGGGAACCCAAGCCCGATCCATCCAAGAACCCCGATGCTCCAATTCCCTGGATCGAACTCAAAACCACCGAACTCGCAGATCCAATGACTGACCGCGACATCCTGAAATACGAACGCAAACTCCTCAAGTTTTGGGCCCAATCCTTCCTGCTCGGCGTCGCCAAAGTCATCGTTGGATTCCGCAGCGCGCAGGGCATTCTCAGATCCGTCGAGATGTACGAAACAAACCAGATCCCAGGGATGGTAAGGAGAGGCACCAGATGCTGGGATGGGAACACATGCATCAACTTCACGACCGCTTTTCTAGGGAAGCTGAAGGAAATAGTTACGGAGGAGGGAGTGTACAGGATTTCGTTGAGGAAGAAGGCCGGGGTGATCGAGGTGTGGAAGGAGAAGGAGGAGGGCACAGGAGGGATCTTGAGTAAGGAATTCTTGAATTGGAGGGCGCGGAAGGATGGCGATGAAAAGGGAAACCTGGAAGAACCCGAGTAGAGATGTTTCTATGCATGCAATGATGATTCTTGGTGATCCCAATGACGATATTTTGCTATCCTTTGGATGGACACAAAATATACCCTAACTTCCCTTTGTCCTCGATGACGGGTATCCTATAAGTGTACATATCGCCACGGCATGGCCAGGAACCATGAAGCAAAGGTCAAAGTCGTATGGTAGATAGCGTGAAATCTCTCCTCTGGCGGTCGTGTTTACTCGAGAACTACGCTTTCCGAATCCGAGATCGTGGAGGGTCTGGGGGTTCGTAATTCTAAAAAGGTATGGTATTGTCTTACCGTATACTACAAGGCAATATCAAAGCGCGGCCTTTGAAGAAGACATTGTTTGGATGTAGGAGTGGATGTATGTACGTTTAGGCCTGTGACCCAGAATAGGAACCTTAAAAACTAGTAGGATTGAGTAACGCAGGAGTGAGGGGAGCCAGCGGCAGTTATGACCATTCCTCTACCAACGCCAATTCAGAAAGGGGCCGTGAAAGAAAGCGGGATGTAACCTGAGATCACCTTATAGGTTCGGGAGTGTAGAGTCACTCCTTCCCAGGTTAGGACCAGCCGGAGAGTTAAATTTACCGTGGCAAGAGCATACATGATGAAAAATATAAGTGATAAAAATGTGGAGCGGTTATAAAGGACAAGAGATACGGAAGAAATGTTACGATTAATCCCGAGCTAGTAAGCACCTACCACAACTCCAATGTGAACAGGGAACTCCCTTAAGAGAAGCTTCTTCCACTCTGCTCATGCAAAATGGTATCATGCGGACCCAATACCAGCAACGCCGAGTCCATTCTACATCAATGAAGACCCAGGAGTTGATCGCCTACCTAATACCAAACCTCGATCCCAGAGTTGCGAACCTTTCTGCAGGCTTCGCCGGGCTTTGAGCAGCTACAGCGGTTCCCTCTGCCACCTTGGTGGTTAAGATCGCGCCCTTGATCTGGTCGACTTTTCCATATTTGCGGTTCCTCTGCGCTACGTCGAAGAATTCGTCTGAGTTATCGCTGCCCATAAGGGTGACTGTCTGCATTAGTTCATCCAAATTCTCCATCAAGATTGGATTGTTAAGGCTTTCGACGAATGAGGAGAGGAAAGCGGCATCAGTGGCTAGCGTTTGCACGGCACCTGGTGTTATACGCTTGACTGAATCGTCTAGAGGAAGTTGTAGAATGGCGGTCGACGCATGGCTGAGTGCATCAAAGTAGATAAACTCCTTAATATCGGTAGGCAGAGCAAGAAGGACCGAGTTCATGATGTTGGAAAGATATCGAGTAAGTTCTTGCATGTAGTTGCTTGGCTCTTTGTTGGGCTTCGTAGCCATCCTAAATGTTCCGGATGAGTACTAAAAGACGTTGAATGGATGGGGACAAGACAGCGTACCAATCGTATTCCGCCGTCTCGATGAGGTCATCAATCTTAGAGTTCACCAATTCGAAGATGCGATCTGACGCCGTCTTCTTCGCAGCCTTGAACTGCTCAGTCGCCTCCAAGATAACGGGTCCCGTGGCGGAAGTCGAGGATCGGGCTTGGAAAAGCAGATCTTGCAACTCAGAACAGGCAGTCTCAAAATGCTCCAGATTTGTTAAAATCTGGACAATCTGGCCAGGGTATTGCGAACTAAGACGGTCTACAAGCGATTGACAGACCTTTTCGCAAAGTAGCTCGTCGAGAGACTGTTTCAGAGCTCCTTAGTACACATACGTCGAATTGGCTTTCGTAAATGATGCTGCTTACGGTTCTAAGTGTCTCGTCGATTACAGTTGATCGTTGGAAGTAATCATCGGAGAACAAGTATATCTGGTTCAGAAAATTCCTAATATCAATGCAGCAGAGAGGATACATTTGTGAGAATGGCAGGATGCAAGGAAACCTTGGCGAGGGGTCAGTAACCGCCCTTGTATGTGCTCAATATCAAGGAAACATACGTGAGTTGCTCGCGCTCCTTGTCTGGGGTGTACCAACTGACGGACACAACTTTATCGTATTCTTCGATGCTGTTGATTGGCATGGGCATGTAATCATCAGTCGTGACAATTTCCTGGAAGTCGTCGCTGAAACGCAGCTTAAGGAGCTCAGCATACTTCTCGAACAGTGTGAGGAGCAAATTATTCATGGTTGAGACGGAATAGCCCGATTTCTAGCGTCTCAGTTAAAATGCTAGCGTCCTTATGAAGGTCGACAACTCACCTCCATTGTTAGCATAAAGAGGGCGATCCTGCCTTTGATCTTTAGAAGAAGCTCATCATTCTCAACAGTGGGGAGGGAATTGGTGATAAGAGTAATGGCGCTCTGACACATCGAGTCCCAAAGCTCATCTACCTTAAACCAGTGTCAGGCTAAACGTCTTGAAGGGATACTACCAAGCGATGGTGGACTCACATCTACCAGCTGCCTGAAATTGTCTGTCTTCGCCATGGTAGCCTTCTCAATAATTGCAAAGCCGGCAATGCTTTCTAATAAGCTACTTAAATCTCCGCAATTTTCGTCTAGGAGATTTAGTGAAGGGGGGATAAGCAGATCTTTCTGTCTCCGCCGGGTAGAGGCATATTCTGTTCTGAAATAATCGCTTTTGCCTAGAGTTTCATGGATATGCATGGCTTCAAAAAGTGGCGTAAACTCGATGTTGATATCTGCTTCGTCATTGCTCAAGATATCGAACTCGTCGGTTTCGTCGGCCACTAGTTCCATGGGGGAATTGAGCTTGAATTTGGCAAATCGCTCGTCTGCTTCTGTCCGTGCTTGATTTCTGTTCCGCCGCACGTCGGTGTAGTAGAAAGCAAATTCGCCGAGAAATTGCGACGACTCCCGGATCCGGAAGAGCCATGTGTTCAAGTCTGCCATGACGGCTTCTCCAATCAATTTCTGGGTCGCAGGAACCGACTTTTCGATCAGTTCGGCAATCTTGTACCGACTAACTTCTTTCAAGTGAATGGTTTGCAGCTCGTCAAGTGCACGTAGCGCAGCATAGTGGTTCTTTTTGACAAGGAGATCATGCACTTGATTAGCGAGTCGAAGTACATCTAGACATGCGTTGAGAGCTTGAGTCGCTTCGTCAATATTTTGGCGGACTCCACGAGAATCCACCAAAGCCTTCTTTTGCTCCGCAAGATGCTCAATACTGCCTTGAATAGATTCGTTAAGTTCAAGAATTTGAGTGGTCATCTGAACGGTGCCTTCTCGAACTTGGAGTAATGAATTGACGGAGCTGACAAATTCCTGATGATTTGCATTGCATATTTGCTCAATCTCGTGTTCGCGCTCGACTGAGAACTGGCTGAAGGCTTGCTCAAGTTGACTGGCATAACGGCCATCTCTCATGACGGGGACTAATTGTTCAATGTAGTCAGAGTCTGAAGTTGATTGCGATATCTAATATGAATTAGGAGATATACCTAGTCCAAAACTCGCAAAGACAAACCTGCTTGATGGCCATCCATAGGTCATCTCCTGGATCAACAGCGGAAGGCATGTCGAGGAATGGTTCGGGGATTTCGCAAGCCGGGAGTGTGAACCAAGCTACTGTAAGGGCACACTATTTTGCGTGGGTATTAACAAGCTGATTCCGAGCTTCGCTTTGAAAGGCAGTTGTTGCTGATGACTAGGCAGCATCAACAATCACGGAGTTTGACGTTGCAGTCGGACTAAAGTTTTTGGATTGGTCTGAGCACTTGGCGAACCGTGACACGTGACTCCCCCCACCCCACATTCTATCCCGACGTAGGGATGACGGAGCGGACAAGCCCCGCCGAGACTTTTGCAGTCCGAACCGAGCATCGGAGTCAATTTTTCTTCCTATACTTAAAAAGCCCGATTAATTGATTGTGTGTCCACGAAGACACTTCCATACCACCCAGAATGGACTCAATGTTCCGTGAGTGTGGCCTTTCCCCTCTGTTACTCCCCGGCTAATTTGTACTCGACAAATTTGAATCTGTGCTTGGAGGCTCTCACAAGTAAGTGCAAGGCTTGAGGTTTTCTCACAACCAGCACATCTAATCTACTCTTAGGTCGGTTCTCCTGCTTGGTGCAGGCTTCGTGTAAGATCCATCTCCTACACAGGACAAAGCGGGCCAAATTGACCAGAACGAAGGACCCGACCAACGGCAGAGATTCTTGGAAACTCGGGTATCAAAGTCACTGTTGGTATGGTTGGAATCATCGAGTCTACAGCAATTTGAGACACTCATCTGGCCAGCTTGCAGGACTTTGGAAAGGGCCAAGAACCTGGCAAAGGGCATCAAGAATGCTCATCCGATCAGTGTGAGCCCGCCATTACACCACGATTCGGAGAGTCGCTAAAGGTGCTAGCTCGATGTGAATGACGAGAAAGCTCTCGACGCTGAGGTTGAGAAGGTCAACCTTGTCATCAGCTTAATCCCCTATACTCACCACGCCACCGTCATCAAATCCGCCATTCGCAAGAAGAGGGATGTCGTCACAACCTCCTACGTCTCCCCGGCAATGATGGAGCTCGACGCCGCCGCGAAGGAGGCTGGAATAACTGTGATGAACGAGATTGGCCTCGTAGGTTTTTTAACCGATAGAACTGCTCGTTAAACCCACTGCTAAAGTTACTAGGACCCCGGAATCGACCATCTTTCTGCTGTCCTCACCATCGACGAAGTCCACAAGGCCGGTGGTAAAGTCCTGTCCTTTCTGTCATACTGCGGTGGCCTACCAGCCCCCGAGGATTCAGACAATCCCCTCGGGTACAAGTTCTCTTGGAGCTCGCGCGGCGTGTTGTTAGCATTGGGCAACGCAGCCAAGTTCTATAAAGATGGTAAGATAGTAGAAGTGGCGGGAGACAAGTTGATGGGAGAGGCCAGACCGTACTTTATCTACCCGGGCTATGCTTTCGTCGCATACCCCAATCGTGACTCCACACCGTATAAGGAGCGTTACAGCATTCCAGAAGCTCAAACCATCATCCGCGGCACGCTTCGTTACCAGGGTTTCCCGGAGTACATTAAGTGCTTTGTCGACATCGGATTCCTGTCAGAGGAGCCCAAGGACTTCCTCAAGGAGGGCACACAGCGTACCTGGAGGGATGCTACTGCAAAGATTGTGGGTGCGACCAGCGACAAAGAGGAGGATATCATCTGGGCTATTAGCTCGAGGACTAGCTTCAAGGATACGGACGAGAAGAATCGCATCATGGACGGCCTTCGTTGGGTCGGCCTCTTTTCCAACCAGGAGATCATAGCTCGCGACAATCCCCTTGACACGCTCTGTGCAACACTAGAGCAGAAGATGCAGTATGAGGAGGGTGAACGCGATTTCGTGATGTTGCAGCATAAGTTCGAGATTGAGAATAAGGATGGCAGCAAGGAGACTCGCACGTCAACTCTTGCCGAGTATGGTGATCCAAAGGGATACTCGGCTATGGCGAAGTTGGTGGGTGTGCCCTGTGCGGTTGCGGTGCTGCAGGTGCTTGATGGAACAATTAAGGAAAAGGGCATCCTAGCACCCATGACACCAGAGATCTGTAAGCCGCTGATGACAACGCTGTCGGAGAAGTATGGCATTCAATTCAAGGAGAAGACTATCTCATAAGATGTATGTGTTTCTCCAGGCTTGGGGGTTTGCACAGGAAACAGAATGTTCTGGCCACAAAATTCGGCCCTAGGGGTTAGACAAAACCTTCACAATGGTACTTATTTGCAGTGGCGGAGTGACGAGTCGTGCGGTGGTAGACGTGATATTTCGTACTCTACCTGCCCAGGTACCAGAATGGCTTGGATACTGGAAAGCTGTGCGCTTCGATGTACTGAAATCCATCTCATGGTATTTCACACCGCCTCCTTTTCACCTCAATCTAGTCCTGGTGCAGGTGCGGGGGTATCGATGCTCTTCCCTTTCTTCCCACCTCCGCCCATGCCACCCATGAACATGTTTCCCAGCATGTCCATCATCGGATTTCCTTGTCTTGGCATCTTGATACCGAAGTACATTTCCCCTATCTGATCTAACGCCTCACCCCAATTCATATCCTTGAGATGAACAGCATAATGACTCTTCAGCTGCCTGAACAGCGCCGCTTCTCCCCTCTCCACTGCTAACAGCAATAGCCCAAGGAAATTCAGTAACGGAAGACTGGGATATACCCTGAGGTCGGAAGATGACGTTGAGACTTCTTGGACGCTGAGATTAGAACCTCGAGATAAGCGGGAGGTGAAAAGGAGGAAGAATTTATTTGCAGCGCGCAGGTTTCCCGTGAGTAGATAGGGCAGGATTGCGCGAGCCGCGTAGAGAGGCGCAGTATGTGATTCATCGACAGTATACCAGGAATATTCGAGTTGTGCGAGCGTCTCCGGGGAGTCTTTGGTACCCAGGATAAGGTGCCGCTCCGCATCGTACGGCTCCAAGTCATCCGCATACAAGGTTCCCGCAACATGATGTATCTCCGGATCGCCAGCCGGATACTCTCCCCACCTCGAGCTCCACGCAACCATCTCGTTCACGAACTTCTTCCTCGTCGGCTCCTCTTTTGGAAACGCGCGCAACAAGCTCAACAATTTTCCCTTGCTCTCCGCATCAGGCCTAGTCTCAGCTTTGTTGAAGACGTCGAGGAGGAATATGCATAGGTCGCCGCCAGAACCACCTTGGCCGGCTTTCAGGAGGGACTGGGCGCCCGAGAATAGGATGTCGGTTGCGGCTGGCCAGTTGGATTGTTTCGTGTAGCGTGAGGCGATGACGCGGAGTTGTTGGTGGGCTTCGTAGAACTGGCCTTCTACGATCCTGTCGATGTCAGCAGCTTCCGTGAAGGGCAAGGGCGGGGTAGAGGGCAGAGGGTAGGTTGGATGGGGTTGGCATACTTTTCTTGCTGCCGTTGTATCGTCTTTTCTATCTTGGACATTGTGGGAATTTTAGGGAAAGTTTAGCAAAAAGGTAGCGGGGAAGATGTTCTTGGGGATGGGAGCACCAGGGCAGGTGTGATGGCAGCAATGACGCACAGACACGATGCAGGAATCCATACACCTGACCCACCTGCACAAGCTCTGGACAACAAAAAGGTAACTCCAAGCCTTTATCAACGACTAGCAACGACTTGTAACCAGCACCAACCAGTAAGCAAAAAACAAATTGACAGGCTGAGATTGCACCGAGCGGGACTCGAACCCGCGCCTGAAGCAGACATCGAATGGGAAGCTTCAATTCTACCCCTAAACTATCGGTGCATTGAGAACTTCGTAGATTATTATTATTTGGCAAATTTTAATCAATATATAGTAGACATATTTGAATAATGTTTTACAATTTTCACATGCATAGTTTTTGTACCGCTCTTTTCAGTCTAAAATTAAGCCCTTTACGCGACCTAAGAAAACATCAATTCACTAGGTTTAGGTCATAAAAGCAGGTATTATCAGATGAAAGTAACAAAAAAATAAATTATTATTTTATGTGTCCTTACCAGATTCTCTTGAATTTCATTTTACAGGAAGATACCAGCGCATTATTAACCGCACCCACCTGGGCAGGCACAGAATGAGACGTACTCGCCCTCCCGGACTCAACCAGAAACCAGGTTCAATACGAAAGCGTCGCGAAGGTTGACCTTCAAGCTTAGGAAGTGTACAATGCATACTATATAAATCATATAGCTCCTCGGACCCTCAGCCCACAGTACATCACTTCTTCCATATTTCATGTCCTGCCTGTCTGACATAGTACCGGCTTGCAAGGCTCTACCGCCCCTTGTAACGCTTTAGAGTGATTTTTTAAGTGTAGCGCAGCAGCACAAGGCCCCCTTAGCAGTCAGTATTACCGCCCTATTACCGACGCTTGGTGGATCCTCTAGATGGTATGGATCGTGAGAAAACCTATGTTCACCCTTGACACAGGGTCACGTGGAACAATATCACGTGGAACCACCAGGGGCTGAAGGAACATAGGCACGACAGGGCTGTTTTTGGTGGGGCGATTGTGTATCATTTCGTCACTGGCAACCATTGTGCTTTCTCCCTATAGCGACTCTTTCTGGCATTTGAGCATTCTCTTTATCTCATCGCATCTTGTACTTTTTGAGATCAAATGACGGCGCTGAACTATGTTGTACCTAACCTCTATCACCATTTCCCTCGCGGCCCAGGCGCTTTTAACTGCCGCGCTTCTCAGACGTATCCTTGCTATTTTCGAACAACATCACAAAATCAATCTCAAGCCCAAATACTCACCAACAAAGACCGTCCAGTCGTGGCAGCGGACCAATGCACGTCGCAATTCCTTTTAGGGGGGCCAGAGTGTAGAAAGCTAGCATACGTTAAGACGAGCTCATCTGGGGGTGGGGGAGCGCAAGCACAGCCCCAGAAAAAGGACAAAGAAAAAGCCAAGGAAAAGTCAAAGGTCACCTCAGAGTCATCTAACGAGGACGATTACATACTCGACGAATTTGGATGTCCCGACATCACCAAAAGATTCTACTGTCTCGAGTGTGGTGGCCAAGACGAGAATGGGAAATGCAAAGGTGTAAGTTGCATCACAATAATACTCGCTTTCACAGTAGAACGAGAACTAATGGATACGTTTACAGGATCCCGAGGATAACAATATGTTTAAGGGCTGCAGATGCCACCCCGATCCAGATTGGTCTAAAAACCCACCTGGTTTAGTAAGACCTGACTACCGCAAGCATCAACAAGCGATACGGGATAGGCATCTTCTTCCTGATGATGATGTGGGAGGGCCAGGGAGAGCAGGGAATGTATCACGCTCTGATCCAGCAACAGTCATTATTCGTACACCGTTGCCATCAATGACGGTTAAACTTGTAGATACTATATAAATTTATCTAGCCTTTTATATATTACTTCTAAAGCACTTGAATCCGCTATCTAATCGCAGCTTCTTCCCGGCCTTAAACTGCAGAGAGACTACTAGGGAGTACTACAATGGATTGTAGCCCGGCTCTGCTCTTGAGAGGTCAGCCTGCTGCCAGCCTTGCCACCGGGATTCTCTTAACCTAGTCTCAGCGTGTTTGCAATTCTTTCACTTCTAAGAGCTTATCAGGATTGCTTTATGCTATGGCAAACTTTGTTTTGCTCAACGAATCGCACAGTTACCTTAATAAGTTTTGCGTTTCCAGGTTTCTCTTAGTCTCTACGACTCTTTACTCTTCTGTTACTACTGTTGCACGCTTAACAGCATGGTCAAACTGGGCAGCTTTCGGCACTTCTTGCTAGTGAATATTTGTTTTCTGCCACCCTCAGATTTCCTGTCCTACTCTCCTGCTTATTTGAAAACACCAGCGTTTTATTCCCTCTCCTGCCCCACTAGCTTTCCGGGGGCCATACCACTGTGTATTCAGCCTCCCTTCAGACTGGGGACAAGCGGGTGGAGAGCAGATATATATCTTGGCGCTTCATCCTCTCACACCATTTACCCTAAACTCGTTAAACGTCCCCCCTGCGAGCCTAGCCTTACGTGCTAACCGAATACTAAATCCAAAATCTACCCAAATACATCCTGGTCCCCAGAAAGTCAAAGTATATGTCAGGTCATGTTGGGTGAGCTTAGCCTCAAAGCCCGAGTAGAGTAATCCGTCACAGCACTGTATTGTTTACTACACAAGCTCTCTGTTGACACGTATATCTTTGGCCCGAATACATACAACAGAACCGTTTACAAACCGCGTCTTCGAGCCCCCTCAGACAACATCCAAGCATTTGCTGAAGAGCTTGGTGGATTCGTCGCTGGTAAAGTGGACGCTTCCCACGGAGATGGCTAGGTATTTGCTGACAACCTTATCTCGGAAATACTTTCTACCATTTGCGAGGGGTTCTTCGCTGGAGCAGTTGCCGAGGCGGCACTCCTGAAATCGTCGACGAGTGCATCACTGCTGTTCCACAGCCAATACAGTCGTTGCTCCTGAGGTCGAATTTATTTCTGTTTTCGGCGCGAGCATGTTTTGCAACTACGTGTTCAGCCAGGCCTTTCCATTTACAGCAGTTCTCGAGTGAGGCTTGCTAGGGGCTAGAGGATCCTATGAAGGCTCTAACTTCGCTAAGTTGTACAACACTTCTGTTAGCTACCCTCCAACTACATCCGACATTACATTTCCCCAGATTTCGACGCGACGAGTCACAGCCTTTGAAGTCACCACTCACAAAATATTAGTGTCAACTACAACATCAGAAACGACGCCTAATATCACTACTCTAATCGCAGTACCTTCACTCAAGCCCTTCTGAACCGCGTGGCGGTGCTGATTTGGCGACTGATCATGATGATTGTGGGAAATGCGGCCAAAAATTAGGTAAATATCTACATTATACGAGCCGAAGACTAAATATGGCGACTTCCAAGAGTGTGTCAAAGGCTGTTGTGCGCACCATGGGCGTTATTGGGAAGACTGTGAAGGGCTCCGTCTGAGATTCCCCCCTTCTGCAACAAATTAGTTTGGAGAGTACTCTGTCGCCTACCATATCAACGAAATCTCTTCACGAAAACACGATGTTCATAAGCTTGCCATCTAGCATGATATCAAGCGAATCAGGCTCCTTCAGTAATACCTGGACCGACTCAACTACCACAGGTCCCACGGCGGCTTGGACCGAGGTTTCGTCTACACCCTCTTCCCCTCATCACCCTCGGGCTTCACTCCAAAGGCCACGGATGGCTTCTGGACCTTCACATCCACTGATGATAATTTTTACTGGTTTGAAAATGTAAACTCTGTTTATGCCGCCGACTCCAACAACCTTCTTTATGACTCTGAAAACAGGCTCACCACAAACACTCGGTGCGTCAAAATCACCACCCTTCCCTTCAACTCGGGGCCTATCCCTGTAAATACTCCGATTCTCTTCGAAATCTTGAATGGCGACATCTGTTGTCTTGAGATACGGCCCGATGATAGTTGCGCTGGTGGGCCACTAGCTGGCCAGAAACGATGTTCAGCGTTCGAGACTATGACAGATTTTGAAGTAGGAAGCTTTGAGGTAGAAAGTTGTCGTAGTACTTGTACGGCGCAGACCTGAATAAATTGAGTGGTCGGTATTTAGGAATTGTCACAGGTTCACGTATGGATATTGAGACTAGATTGAATGGCTCAATGAGTCAATGCTATGGACGAGAATGTATATAACGCTTACTAGTGACGATGTCTTCCACTCTGTACATAAACATGTTCCGAGGATTTCTGCGTGTTAAGCGAGCTTGCTAAATTGTTTAGAAAATCTGGTCGTATTAGATCTGATCAGCATTACCTGGTTCTTGGATGATATATCGCACCGGCATGCAATCACTAAGTCCTGTTCAGGTCTTTGATGAATATCTTCCCACGGTCCTCTCTATACTCCAATCAAATCGGGCAACTCCAGCATTGTCCTCTGCACATCCTTCACTAGGGCTATAAAATTTCTCTTCTCGTGCTCACTTCCAAACTCAATCCGCACTCCACTAACGATTTTCCTCTTATCAAGCTCCTTCTCCTTCCTCTCCACTTTCCCTTCACCCGCAACTCCTGCCCCGCTGTCTTTTCTCGTAACACCGACCTTTTCCAATGGCACCCTTAGCCCTTTAATCTTGATCTCTTTCCCCCCTTCATCCTTCAGCCTGATTGGATTTCTAGAGCTATTGAGATAAAATGAGAGGTAACCTAATCGAAATTGAGCAGAGTAATGAATCATTGCGATAACTGCGCCTGTCGTTTCATCCTCCCAGATGCGCAGGTTTTCCATCCCGCACATTTGTTCTTGATAGGAGAAGGCGCCGGAAAGGCCTTCGTGGATGCGGAGCGTCTTTTCTGTGCGGAATGTGCTGAGGAGGGAACGCCCCATGATTTCGTTTTGGAAAAGGGTTGATGCTGTAGTTTCAGTCTATGTCAACATTTCTTGGATCGAAAAGAGTGCGGAATGGGTAGTAGAAGCCTTACCACTCGTGTCTTCAAAATAATAATTAACCCAATGGGTCTTCGCAATCTTGAGCGGTCTTGTCCCATATCTCACATCATGGAACCTGAGCTCGCACGGTACTGTCACGCTAATCTTCTCCGGGTTAAAATAACTCGAATATGGGAGATAAATTTCTCCATCCGCAAGCTTCAACTGCAATCGTACGATATTATCATCGCTAAACACCCAGATTGATGTCATCATGCGTACTGAATTATCCTCTGACGTCTCCCGTTTACGGACGACGGCGATGCGGCATTCCTGGCATGCCTTAATCATTTCAACGTCGTGCGAGTCCTCTTCTGAAGAGACTTTCTGAGCGTATTCAACGAGAGAACCGCGGCTGTGCATTGTTAGGAATCGGGGATGGTCAATTTTTTTGGTGTGGGGGACCAAATGAACCTCGCTTACACGTCACATAAGATAGCAGAATTCCGGAAAGCCGCCTTCTCGAACAAGTCCCTCTGGCTGGAGGTCGTCGAGCTCCGGTGTAGCTTGATGATGTCTGGTGGTAGCGAAGGAACAAGACTCAGCTTGGAGACCGACATGGCCTTATCGACTCCAGGATCTGGCGGAATGTCTAGAGCTGGTGGTGGGAGTGGAGGCATTATCGTTGAATCTGGCCTTGCCGTAGGCTCGGTCATTTCTGGTGTCATTGGGAGTCTAGATTCTTTCTTGGAGGGCTGGTGGTGGAGAAATGAGTTCCGACTGGTAGCGGGACTTGACCATCCACTGTGTGTTCCTGCATCTGAAGGCGGATAGCTGCCTGAGAATTGAGGGGAAGATCCCTCAATACTGAGTTCAGAGAAGCGTTTGGATGATGGAGCTACTGGGGTCTCGTAGGTACGTATTTCAAGAGACTGAGATTTTGCACCTCCCGAAGGCCCCCCAAAACTAAACTCCGAGAATCGCTTCCTTGCTGTGGCGGATGGGAGAGCTTCGGAATTACTCAGCTCAGGAAAGGAAGCAGCATTGTTCGAGCTCTGCCGCGGAGGAAAGTACTGCCGTGTCGGGATCGTTTCGGTAGATAGCGGTGTTTGTCGAGATCGATCCAAGAGGGGAGAGCCCTGAGGGGGGCTCTCTAGATCACGTGTTGGCCGCAGCGGTAGAGTGTCACCGGCGATTTCGATAGCGATGCGACGTACTTCCTCAAGCTGCTCGCCGAGGCTTCCGGTCCTATGATGAATCTTGTCGATCTTTTCTGCCATAGGGGCGACGACACTCTCCAGTCGAGCTAACGATTTACTGGTAGAAAGTTAGTGAGAGCTCCAACAAGGGTTCATCCACAGCATACCTTTGCATTGCTTGCATTGTTAGAGCGATGGAACTTGTGTGCATTCGGAGCATGTTCCGTAGATTCTGGATGTTACCGCCCTCGGTTGTCCACATCATAGTTTTGTAGCTGGCTAGCACCAGGTCGCTCCATGTTCTCTCAATGGCGAAACCACCCACGGTTCGATGCTTCTTGATAACCTGATACTGGTCCATCAGAGAATCCAGGTCATTCACTGTCCGTTGACAGGACAGCACTATCGTAGCCACTCCTGCCTGGGTCTCTTTGTCCGCCTTTTCAAGCAGACTTTCATCTAGGTCAGCGAACAAGGTTTCGGCTAAGAGCTTGAGAGCTTTGGCCAGGCCGTTGATCTCGGTTTCGACTTCGAGAAACTCGGTCGGCGCACCCTTCCGGCCCGCTGTAAAGGCTCTACCGATCTTCCATGCTAATTGTGACAACATCAGGATGTCCCCGATGCTTGGAAGTCCTGCCATAGTAACAGTCTAGCGAAACGATAGCTTCGTGCAAAGAATGAGGAATGACTAGAGGGGGAAATGATAAACAAGGTACTACTGGCTGAAGAGCAGACCACAAGAGCACGACGAAGACATGTCTATGAAAGCTGGAGGACTGAACTGCAATCGATTGGGGGAGGGTTGCGATATACACAAGGCAGATGATGAGCGTGGGGGCTTCCGGGGATGGCCAGCCGAGAGCTGGGGGACGTAAGAGCCCAAAGCCATGGGGCTGGGGTGGGAGCTCCGTTGGGTTTCGTGATGGCTGCGATTCTAACGCTCACTGGTCCAAGTTGGAGCAGAGGCGAAGAGAAAGAGAAGGTGACGATGGGGAGAGGAAGACGGGAGTCGAGGCGGCCAGCCATGTCGGCACGTGGGGTGGGTTCTGGAACGCTATTGGTGTGTGGCGCAACGAAACAGGAAATCCCCAGAGCGGGTTATTATCAGTCAGACGAAATTGACTCTGATGAGGCGTTGCGGTAACGGTCGTCTTGGGCTGGTGCATGTGCTCCGTTGAGGTGCGCCATTCGACTTGCAGCAAGTCTGAACTTCACGTGAGGAGACGCCACAGATGCCATCGAAAGATGCATCAGGATGCGGTGCATTTTGTTCGTTGCTTGGGGCGTCCATGTGGCCCCTGCAGGGCCGCCTGGCCCGATGAGGCTGTAGGGCGTCCCAAAGAAGAGTGTTCATGTACATGTGTATGCAAAAGAGGAGATCAGCCCCAGGGCCATGCCAGGTGGGCATGCCGCATCAACCGCCCGCTCTACCACAGACCATAACCCGTGCTGCTGCTGCTAAAATCACGCCCGACATCATGGTGGTGCTAATGTACATGGAGGGGCACTGGGACTGTTGAGGATGGATCCTCTGTCGCGATACCCAGTGTCTATGCAAGAGGAGAGAAGAGTCTGTCGGCGTCAGGAGGCCGTGAAAAGGCATTGTGCGTTACAACGGGCTCACCGAATAAGAGAAGGCTTTGGTTCGCTGCGGGAATAGCCTGCCATCGATTAGCTCTGTGCTCGTGCCAGTACCGGGCCAGGGCCATACCTAGGTAGAGAATCAGAGGGAGGTAGCCGCTGCAAGCTGTCAATGCGAGGACGTGGAGCAGATTGAAGGCGGCATACTAGTGAATGGCAACGCGAGAAACGTCGATGATGCGGGCGATGCGCTCCTGCTAAGGGGTTAGCTCACCAATTGACAGAAGAGGGATACTCTCAGATACCTTTGACTCTTCCGACAGCTGGAACATGGTGGGATGCAGGCAGAAGTAGGAAAAGAGATCGTTGTCGTTGCCGTCGGATTGGGAGTTAGACAACCGTCTACTGGAGAGCACACCAAAAAAAATCTCGACGCTTAGCCGGAGATTCGCCGACGCAGCCAAGACGCTAGCCCACCTGGCTAACTGTGCCAAAGGTTTATGGAGAGAAAATCACGAAGTCGCAACACAACCCGCTACTCCTTCATCACCATCACCACCACCACCACCCACTACAGCAGTCGCCGCCGCCATGTCAGGCTCCGCCGCCCGCCACTGGGAGCAGGACAAGGAGGCCACCGTCTACGTCGGTAATCTCGACGAGCGCGCCACCGACACGCTGATCTGGGAGCTCATGATCCAGGCCGGCCGCGTTCGAAATGTCCACCTTCCCAAAGACCGCGTCACCCAGTCTCACCAGGGTTTCGGTTTTGTCGAATTCATGACCGAGGAGGACGCCGACTACGCCTCCAAGATTATGAATGGCGTGCGCATCCACGGCAAGCCCATCCGCGTGAACAAGGCCTCGGCCGACAAGCAGAAGACTGTTGAGATCGGCGCTGAGCTCTTCATCGGCAATCTCGATACCATGGTCGCTGAGAAGGAATTGTATGATACCTTCAGCCGCTTCGGCCCGCTGGTCAACATCCCCAAGGTGAGCATGCCCATGCCCTGCGCCCCATTTCCCACGTCCCCCCCTTAGCTAATGCGCCCCAGGTCGCTCGCGACGACATGAATATGTCCAAGGGTTACGCCTTTGTTTCCTTCGCTGACTTTGAGTCCTCCGACGCCGCCATCGCCAACATGAACGGCCAATACATGATGAATAAGGAAATCTCAGTGCAGTATGCCTACAAGAAGGATGGCAAGGGTGAGCGCCATGGCGACGAAGCGGAGAGGCTGCTCGCAAAGCAGGCCAAAGCCCATGGTGTCACGCCCGCTTTCCAAGCCATCAACCCGGCTGTGTTTCAACAACAACCAGCCCCAGTCCCCAGCGCTCCGCAAGCTTTGATGAGCGGCGATGGTCGCGGCGCCCATGGACCTCCGAATGGACCCACAGGATACGGACCCCCCCCTCCCCGTGCGCCTGTCTCCCTTCCTCCTCCCCCGTCGGGGTTACCAGCTCGCCCCCCAAGTGGGACCCCAGCCAACTTCTATCCGCCGCCCGCTGGCTTCACCAACACACCACCGCATGGTTTCGTGCCGCCAAACACACCTGCATTCCCAGCCGCCCCAGGCCAGGGCCCTGGTGCTGGATATCCAATACCTCAAGTTCAAGTCCCACCTGGATATCCCCGGCGCTGAAGACTTGCTTCATAGTCTTTGGTCTAATCCAAGTGTATCAAGCTCCTGACTAGATGAGTGTAACAACCTTGGCAGGCCCTTGCGCATTAATGGTGGATTGTTACAAACTCAATATTCCCTTCATCATTTGTGGCAATTGGAAGCTATCTCAACCCTTTTGAGGTATTTTGTTTCTGATGGTGGTGAATGTGCTTGGATCGTTGTCTTCCGATCTAATGCAGTTGCACCAGATGCCGCACTGCTGATTCTGACAGCCTTGGGACAATTTCCCCGGACTCATGAGCAATGGGAATAGCCTCTATCAGCCGGATATGGACTTTACATCATTCCGAGAAGGGACTATCCAAGACAGGGGCCCCCGATCTTCAAGTTACCAAAGGCCTATGCACTGGGGTTACCGAACGAGGTTGCCTGCATCAGCGTGGCTGGGATTCAATGGCGGATTTTTCAGGGAGCACGAATCAGCACGAATCTAAGGTTGTAGGCAATGAACTCTGTGGGGTTACTAATTGTGGGGCACTCATCTTTCTCTCTTCTTGCGGATTGCCTTCGGCGTACTTAGCCAAAGCATAGGTACGGGAACGGGAGTCAGGGAGGGAGAGATGCTCAGATTTCGGTAGTGTGCCAAGTTGTTGTCAAGCACTTCAGGTCAAGGCACGGATGATATCATGGCTGAAAGTCTTTTCATGAGGCAGCTGTAGCCATTACCCTCGCACTCCAATGGAAGGGTTAATTTTCCGAATGAATTGAATGAAGTGAACACCATTCCCTTTGATAACTATGCCTTCGCGGCAGCCCTCGCCTTAGCCCCCCTCAACTTCGTAGGTTGGTCCTTCTTCACTGGCTTCGAGCTCTTGCGAATAGCGGAGGCGCGGGCAACGGCGTCTTTGCGCAGGTCTGGTCGGTATCCATGCTTGGCGGTGCTGTTGACGATTGATGAATAAGTCCTAGAAGTGAAATCTTAGCCCACAGCACACGTACCCCTAAATACCTCGCCAAATCTCTTGGATGATACCTGCTAATCGAAGCTATACGTACTTGCGCGTTGACCTGTTCGGACCGAAGGTTGTCGACTGGATCTGGGTGGAAGGTGCGTTTGCCTTATTGGCCTTCTTGGTCAGGAGTGTGACACCACCACTCTCAGTTCCCTGAACACCAATGGCCTATTATTCCCAATCAGTTTCCGTACGCCTGGATTCATCTTGTTTTCGTGTCGTGGACGGGGGTTCGAGGTGGAGTACCTTGTCGCTAACCATGCCCTCATACTGTAACTATGTGAGCCGATTGTCTTTGAAAAGTGCGGTAGATGCGTACCTTGCGCCTGTACTGGTTCTTCAGGTTTAGGGCATCGCGCGAGAACTGCTGGCCGCCAGCCTGCTTCCTCTTGACGAGCGTGGCGCTGTGGCCGCCTAGACCCCATGAGCTTTCATTCTCGCAGCAGGTCTCAGGTGGACTCACGTGTGATTTCCCATATGAGGTCAGAGGAGATGTTAGTAGCCATGACGACGATATCTGAGGGTTTCGAGGGAATGTCGTCGAGCGAGGCTTGCGGAGAGTTGAGGTCGTAAAGTTCGAAATTCGCGTGGGCTGCCAGATTCTGCTTAGCGCGACGGGTCCTGGAGGAAGGTTGATCCGTGGAGCCGCGGACACGGGCCAGGTGACGACGACGCATCAAGAGGGCGCAGCGGCAGCCGAGATGTGCCTGGCACTGGCTGTCACTTTCTTCCAGGGCTCAACCACCACACGCCTTCATACCTCATGTAGGGTGCAAGAATCAAGCAACGAGCTCAGCAACAGCGCGTCGTGATATCTGACCTTCACGCCGCCATTTTCTTGCGTTCCGCATCTTCCCTGTGTCGCTCCTTCCTCCCATCAGCCGTCTCCCACCCCCGAGCCCGCCCCCCCGAGCTCCCAAACACTTCTCCAAAGACACATATATATTTCAACATGGGCTACATCCTCTTTTCCCTCTCCTTTGCCTTTCTCGTGCTCGCTACCGGTAAGCCCTTCTCCGCTCCTTCCTCACCCGTCTCCCCACCTGCTAATCGATTTCCACAGCCGCCTACTTTACGCGCCACCACTGGCTGCACCGACTCCCAATCCCCGAACCTCTCTATACGCGCCTTCCAACCTCCTTCCGTGACGATATCGAGGCGGGCCTCTCCTCTTCGGCCTTCGATCTTAGCGCCAACATCGAAGCCGGAGATAGTCGGCAGGGCCTCGATGACCGGGCCAAGCGCGAGGTCCAGGCGATTATGAAGCAGAGAGGTGTAGGCTTCGATGAAGCAAGGCGGATCTTTATGCAGGACCGGTTCAAGAAGAATGGGATTGGGCCAGATGGGAGGCCGAGGGATCCGAAGTTTGTTAGTTTTTCTTAGGGTCGAGAGATGGCCAGCTCTTGGTTGAACATGTCGGTTAATTATCTCTTTTGTATGGGCTAGGCTGGTTGGATGGCTTGTTCGATCCTGGTGCAGGCGTCTTTTATTCTGGATCGGTTGAGGTCCAAAAAAGGACACTGTGCCGAAGAGGCATTGGAGCAGTTGTGTTTTGAAGCCCTTCACTCTGCATTCGCGTTCGAATGAATGCTATCGCGTTTCCTATGTCAGTTACCACGTCTTTATCTTCCTTGTTCTTTGATTCCCCCATCCCTGAAAGCATTCTCCCGTCATCTGTCAGCTCGCACTTCACTTAAACCACCGAGGTCGAGTCGATGCTCATCTTGATCGTATCGCTTCAGTTTCATGTATCCATTACACCACCTTCCCGCTGAGACTCGCCGAGTAACTGTAATGATTCGAGTTGTAGTTTAGCTTGTGTCGAGAGGGAAATTAAAGAACATGGAAATGCGGAGAATCCTACTCCATTTCAATCCATTCGATCAATCATGGACAAGGAAAATTTCATCCTGTCGCATAGCGACATAAGAGTCTTGGCAAGAACATGAGGAGCGACCCGGCCTTGACCCTCTAGAGAGAAACGTGCATATGTTTCTGCCCACGTTAAGAAATATCTGCCAAACTATATCTTAAGTTCGGGCAATTCTGCTCCATCACAGAGTTGCAGCAGCATCAACTCATAGCAAACTCCATTTATGTCCCGATAATCTTCTTCCTGCCTAGGAATTCATGCCCCCGGCCACTCCATTGCCAAAACTCATACCAAAGCCGGCTTACCAACCCGATCAGCAAGCACCAGCATTCGTCCCCTGGCCACCTGCCAACATGCCAGAATCCAATTATTAGTAATCACAGAGTTTCCTTGTTACAAAGCCTGCTTAGAGGCACTCTGCCACATCCGCAGATCTTCTCTTTTTCTTTGGACTTTCCCTTCTGCGAGCTTTTACATTTCCAATATGGCATTTCGAACATTTTAGTTCGATTTTCGAAGTTAAGGGTGAAGTTTAAATGTAGTAGAGCGTTCTAAAGAGGCCAACAATACAGAGATACCATGGTTTACATACGTCCACAAAAAGGCATGCCTTCGCTAGTAGTGATAAAGACCTCTAGAAGCTGTAAGCCGGGGACCTAGGGCTTTACCAATTGGCCTCCGACCCCGGCTGATATATACACTCCATACAAACACCGTTTATAGTGTAATACACTCTCATTCAATACCACGTACTACAGGAGCCTACTTCAAACACTTACTGTAAGCCGAAGGGCTCTACGATGGGCTGCCCAATCAATACTATATAAATCATATAGCTCCTAGGACCCTCAGTCCACAATATATGACTCCTCTCATAACTCGTGCCCCTGCAGGGTTACACTGACTTATTGAAGCGGGGAGCATATGTAGTCGTCGTAAACATGTGCTCGCAGTGAAGTCCTAGACAGGAAAACTCTATTCGCAATATACCCAAAGGCCATTGAAGTAGTAGTAGGGGTAGTGGTAGTAGTACTAATTATCGCCTGCGGTGGAGGACATAGCGGGGCTGGAGCTTGCCAGTTTGGTCCATGTTGCCACCATGGGCAGTCTCGTAAACGAGCTTGTAGGCTTTGGAGGAAGTCCTTTAGACAACTAGGTTTGCTAGTTGAAGTGGGTTTCTGCAGCGAAGTACCCATGGAGTAACCAGTATGCTTAGAAGAAGATTTGCTAGGCGTGATAGGCTTGCGGCTGTAGGTTTCAGCGGCGAAAGACTTGTGTGGTACGTAGAATTGCATGAGAGGGCATTGAACTATATATGGTGCTTGTAAGGAGAGTATATAGAGGTTAGCAGTCGAAGATCAATTATTGGTGCCCTGAGGCCCGGCTTCGGGCTGTATATTGGCTTATTGGCTTTGATGTTACAGCCATGCCCCAAATAGCCATTCGTGTCGCTGGCGCAGCCATGGTCTTGTTGGAACTGCCTGCACATGAGGTTGTCATGTTGGTGCTGACCCTGGTTCGCGCAAGTGAGCCGATGAAAGTCATGATGGAAGCCATTCTAGTTATTGGGGAAATTACTGTAGCACAGAACATATCGACATACGGCACGGTTGAAGTACGCACAAATGTGGTAGTGTAAGACTTGGGCGTAGGCAATCCCCGAGGTCTCATAAATGTCATCGTCGGAGCATGGTGCATATACTTTGAATTGATGAACATGGATTGCAAATCACTATCAAAAATCTCACCTATTTTAGTTGTAGTACTGTTTACGCAAAGGCTCGAGCTCGTTCAAATAGGAGGTGACATGCTGGATCGAATAGTGCTTGACAACGCCCGACCCGGACCTACAAATATCATGGACGTACTGAAAAGTTAAAGGATTGAGTGCACCATAGGAGCTCAATGAACGATCTCACCTGCGAGTAACTACTACTAGCTACTAGCTGCTAGCCTCTTACTTTGCTGCGTCTCATCACCTAGGTTGGAAATGCTGGGGGCGATTTATCATTTGGGATAGCAACTAGAATCCTGTTAACGCTGACCTTGATTCCAGCGAGATATTTAACAGATATATTCCGTCATAATTATCTTTTATGTTACGTGATAGCGTGCTGTAACACAGCCTGGCTACCAATCCTACCCAGGTAGGTTTCACAAGAGCGAAGCAGGTAGTGATAGGTGATGAGGGAGGGAAGCTAAGGGTGGATACGACACTCGCAGAGCTCATAATTTTCCTATTCAATCTGAAACACTAAGAGCTTAAGTAGAACGAAGTAAGCACACACGCGGGTGGCAAAATAAGCCGCACTCCATATCAATAAAATCTGCCAAGATTTCAAGAATCTTTAAACTTCAATATTATAAACATGGCTTCTTCCAGCAAGAACAAGAACATGAAAAATAGGAAAGAGCTTTGTATAGGGAGAAAGTAGAATAGCCATTTTCTATACTCCTGCTTAATTTCAAGGCCGTTTGCTCTCTATTTGGCTAAGATACTTGGTGTCGAAGAAGGTAAGTTTTGGGAGTGCGGCTTTTTCGTCACATAACGATCGCTTAACCAGTAGAGCCTTGCCGTATTGAGGCTAGCGTGGCTGCCGCATGTGTCCAAAACCTATTCCCATCGACCTCAACAAGCCAGACTTCACTTTTTTACAATGGCGCCTTCTCGTCCAGTTACTTCGATCATCAGCCTCGAGGCGTCACCGTCAAACAGCCGGGCAAATCGCACGTACCTCGTGTATTTCATCACTGGGAATCCGGGGCTGATTCAGTACTATTATACTTTTCTCACACATCTCTTCGATTTACTATCTCCCAAGTTCTCATCATCCATCTCATTAAAGTTGCGAATCTTTGGGCGCAGTCTCTCTGGTTTCGAGGTCGATGAAGATTCCAAGTTTCAAGAAAGTCCACCACATGAGAAAGGACCGCCATACGGATTAGAAGAACAAATTACGCAGTCTCACAAGGTGCTAGAGGACGTTGTCTGTTATGATCGTTTGAACGGCGGTACGGATGTAAGAGTTATTTTAGTAGGGCATTCCGTAGGAGCCTACATCCTCCTCGAAATTATTCGCAGGACACGAGAAAAGGCCGCCAACGATCCAGACAATGGGGTCAGAATTGCAGGAGGAATATGTCTATTTCCCACTGTCACGCACATATCACACAGTCCAAGTGGAAGGAAGAGCAGTTGGCTTCTCAACCGACTGCATTTTGCCCATACAGCATCAATCGTTGTCAAAGTTCTGACACTACTTCTGCCTTTCAGTATGCTCTCGTTTCTCGTCAGCTCGCTGATGTCGTTTCCGTCAGACGCAGCACGAGTGACCACTGCTTTCGTGAAGAGCAAGTATGGGGTGAGGCAGGCACTGTACGTAATAAACTCATTTGTGATCCCGGACTGCCAGCGCTGACAAGTTAAAGACACATGGTACGAAGCCCCTGAGTACGACTCCTAGACCCATGTTTTGTTGCAACCAAAGGCCTGCAGAGCTGCCAGTTGAGCGGCAATTCAACAGGCCATGCGGGTATCAGTCATGATCTAGTACCAATCACCCTTAAACTCTACCTAAAAGAACTCATGCTAATTGTTCCTCCGCCGTGCTAGGCACGCGATGAGATGCTTACAATCACGAGTGACAGGTGGGATGCTGAGATCTGGGGGGCAGCACACCCTTCCAAGCATCCCCACCCCCGGCCAGCCCTACGATTCCTATTTGCGAAAGCGGATCATTGGTATGTATCAGCTCCCCCTCCCTGCTGTGCGGAGACTTCGAACATCACGGTTCGCTAGGGGTCTAATCGGCTTCCAGGGTTGCAGACGAGACTCGTGACGACCTCATTAAGGTGAGAGGTCTTAGTAAGCACAGTGATGAAGACTGGAAGCCGATTATGGAGGTTGACGAAGTAAGAGGCTGGCCACATGGATTTTGCATAAGTGAGCTTAAGATTATATCCCTCTGTGGGCAAGGTTGACGAGAAATAGAGCACAGTATACCAGTCGCGGAGAGGGTGAAGATGTATATTGATGACGTCATTCAGTCCGACCTTGAGCGGCCATAGGCATCCATGCTATCCCCTTCATACGGGATTGCCATCCACAAAGTGGGTTAGAAGCACACCAGAGCCTCGAACCGTGTTTGCAACACCGTGCTCTTGAACGGCCTAATTTCTTTCATTTGTTGCCAAGTCCTGCAATGGTAAGGCTAGAAGGGACAAGGGCATTCATGTAGGTAGGCGAGCTTTGTAGGCTCGATCGATTGCCACATAGATAATTCGTTCAAGGTAGAAACTGTCTGCTTCATCCAATCCCATTGTAGTCTTGCTTCGCTTTCGTGAAAAGCTGTGTCACGACCTTGTTGGCAGCAGGATCAGGTGTTGGGGCGAAGCCCGAGCTCAAACCCGGGCTGTGGTGATTGTGGACACTCCAGGCGGCGTCTTGCTCTCTCTGCTGGCCAAAGAGCTCTCTTAGCGAAAGCTGGCGGCCCATGGGGACGCTGTCCTCCTCCCGGTCAGCTGCCTCTGCACCGTTCCTCTGGACGGGGTCCCTGGCCTGTCTGCTGTCGGCGGCCTGCTTTGCCAGCACGCGGATCTTGCCGGCCGTCTCGACTCGGTTATTCGCTGTAGAGGAGGGTGGCGGCTCGGAAAAGACCCACAAGCCGTAGACGACATTATTGTCCTGGAGAATAACATACTCATCCGTAATCTCCATGTCGGCGTCGCTCGTAAGCTCAATCCTAAAATTGTCCAAGCCCCGTCTATTTAAGATGATGACGGAGAAGCGGTTGGCGCCTGTTGGGCTAGGGGCGAGCTCACAGACGAAGAGGGTGCCTTCAACGCCGCTCTTTTCCCAGAGTGCCGAATCCTGGGAGAAGGTGTAGACGACGGCATAGTGAGCGATGTGCTGAACGGAGACGACCTCGGGATAATGGCGACGGAGCACAGCGAGGTTGAGCTCTTCGTTGGAGCGCGGCGGTGGCGGAGGAAGATCAATGGGTAGTGGGGCATCCGTCTCGTAGTCAGACGGCTGTGGTTGCGGGTGGTGGGGAGGACGGGGCTTTGCTTTGTGAGGCGGCGGTGCCATCTTCACCTTCTCAAATGTCTTCCAAGGTCGTGTCCCTGGTAACAGTGGAGAGAATGCTGGGGTTACGAAGTAGAGTGCTTGCAGGGGCTTGAAGAGCTTCTGCCAGCGTGGAAAGAGCGTCGCAAAGGGCATAGAAAGAAGTCGGCACCTCGGAGCTAGGTCAGGAGCCCGGGCCATACCAATCACGTGCGCACCACCAGTGGACCTGTGATCCCCGCGACCAGCGTCATCGCGCCAGAGGCAATTCACTCGTCATCGCCGCCTGCATATAGTCGATAGACTCGCCAACAGTGAATGTAGCAGGTGCTTTCGCTTCTCGCTCGCTCATCCACGCTGGGGCCATGGACTAAACACATCTCCGTTGATAACACATCACCCCGCCATGCCTTCGTCCGAAAATGGCACGAGCTCGTCGACAGATCTGCTCGAGGCCAGGATTCCCGGGGCATTCCCTGGTGTCAGCCGTCTCTCCATCTCAACCCACCAAACCCTCTCCCAGGCTTTGCATGCAAGAAGAGCCGAATACACGAAACCTCGAAATGTCCGCATCAAGATCGGAACGTGGAATGTCGCCGCGCTGAAGGGGACCGAGAAGGATGTTGCGGGGTGGTTTGTTGGCGGTAAGGGCGTCGAGGAGTCAATCGCGGGGTTCGGTATAGGAAACCCAACATCAAAAAGTGACAAGTCGCGAGAAAATGTTGCGGAACAGGAAGCCCGGAGCTTTAAGTATGGCCCGACAATCCCTAAGCACGATGACGGCGCAGTCCCGGGAGAGGACGAGATCGGGCTGTATGCATTGGGCCTACAGGAGATCGTCGATATATCGTCCCCGGCCGAGGCTCTCCGTCCCTACACGGACCCCACTGTCTCAAACAGATTCAAGAGCTCCCTTGAGGAGGCTCTCCCTGATGGGTATCAGCTAGTGGCCGAGCAGCAGCTGGTCGGGTTGCTCCTCCTGATCTACGCTTCGCCCGCCGTTCATCCACACGTGAATTCTGTGAGCACAACCAGCGTGGGCACTGGCTTGATGGGCTATATGGGAAACAAAGGGGCAGTGACCACAAGAATAGTTCTGGGGGAAACAACCCGGCTTGTCTTCATTAATGCTCACCTTGCCGCTGGCGCCGACAGGGCAGCTTTAGAGAGGAGGAATTGGGATGCTTCACAAATCTCAAGTCGGACTCGTTTCGACTCTATCGTTGATGGGATGGGTGTTTCGCAAGTTTCGGGCGAATGCCTGGGAGAAGAAGATTTCGCCTTTTGGTTTGGCGACCTCAATTATCGCCTGGAGGGCATGCCTGGAGATGATGTACGGCGGCTGCTCACGCGGCACACGAGAGACCTAGATCCTCCTGATTCTGAAGGACCCTTCTCCACTTCATCCAAATCTAGCGATTCAAGCGCATCATCAATAGCCCCACCATCAGATTTCTCGAACCCAAAGGGCCCTGACCTGAACGCCGTTCCTTTACCTCCTGAACTCGATCCAGCTTCCTTGCAGACTACCATATCCTCACTTCTACCGCACGATGAATTGCGACAGCAGCAGAGAGCGGGGAAAGCCTTTCACGATGGATGGAATGAGGGTCCAATTCAATTCCTACCGTCTTACAAGTACGATGTTGGGAAAGTGGGCGTGTTTGACTCTAGCGAAAAGAAGCGGTGTCCAAGCTGGTGTGATCGCATTCTTTACAGAACAAGAGCAGCCAAGCTTCGACACGAAACTAAAGAGAGAGAACAAGAACAAGCGAGAATAATGGATGAGGAGATGAAATCCAAAGGCATAGATCATGCTGGCGACGATGAAGAAGTGCTTTACGATTACGATCCAGATACCGATGGCGACACTTATGATGAATATGATGAGAACCCAGAACCAGAACCAGAGGCTGTGTTAACAAAAGAAGGATTTCAGGATGAAATTCTCCTTGAGTATTATTCTGCTCACATGCGTGTGCTGTCGTCCGACCACAAGCCTTTGGACGCGGTGTTTGGCCTCAAATACGACGCTGTAATCCCAGAATTGAAAGCGGCCATCCACCAGGAAGTTGCGCGAGAGCTTGATCGACAAGAGAATGAAGGAAGGCCGACAATCACCGTTGTTGTCGATCGCCCTGCCGGAAGTGCGTCCCTTGAAAATAAAGACACGCCGGACACCAACTATGACGGCGTAGATTTTGGTGACGTTCAGTTCGCCAAGCCAAAACGGCGGAATATCACCATTGCCAATACCGGAAGGGTGCCAGCTACGTTCGGGTTCACGGATCGTCCAGTGGAGGAAGGCCAATCTCCAGGGACTTTTCCACCCTGGCTGTCAGTCACCTTCGATAAACAACCGGATAAGCCCGACAAATCCTCAACTGACACTCTCCATCAACAGTATACGCTCGACCCTGCAGATGTTCTCAATATCGAACTTAGGTTGAAGATCGAAATGATTGACCTCGTGCGGAATTTGAATGAAGGCACTGCTACTCTCGAAGACATACTCGTCCTGCGTGTCCACGATGGCCGCGATCACTTTTTGCCCATCAGAGGTCACTGGCTGCAATCCGCCTTCGCTCGGTCCATTAATAAGCTGATTAGAATCCCAGAGGGTGGCATCCGCAAGCTCCAGCATCAGAAGCCGGCTTGTGACGAAGGGGTAAAGTGGTCGGCGCCACGCGAGTTGTTTCGGCTGACGGAAGCCATAGAAGACCTGACTGAGCGAACGCTCGCGGACTGGGATATGACCGGCCATGGCAGTGACAGGGCACCGTGGCAGCACAATGCTGGCTGGCCCTTTACAAAGGACGCTCGATACCCTGCAGACAGTGCCCTTGAAACTACACTCGCAAACGTGTATGAAGTGCTCGATTGCGATCATTCCTTCGACAAGGCATTCGGCCTCGAGGTTACACCCATGCAGAGACTGGAGGTCTTAGCAGAGACACTCCTGGAATTCCTCAAAAGCCTCCAAGATGGGATCGTGACGCAGGACATTTGGAGGCAACTCGAGGACGGCATCGTAGGGCGAGAAAAATCGAAACAGCAGCTGTCGGCAGATGAAGAAAGACTCTGGACCCTCGAGGTGCTCTCTTCTACCCCTAACCACAACGTCTCCTTTGTTCTAATAACATCAATGCTACAACGGGTCGCAAACGAAATCGCTAATGCCTCCAAGCCCGACCCCAAGACGCCACGATCAAGTGTCGACTTGCCGGCTTCCCCGCAAGTGTCAATCAGACGGAGGACCTTGAGCAAGGTTCCTGATGTAGCGATACGGCAACTCATCAAGCGGAATTATGCCACTTTATTCGCAGATGCAATGTTTAGGGCAGCGGACACAGACAAAATGAAAGACAAGGAGAAGGCGGTCCGGAAAGAGAGGATGATTAGGATATTAGAGTTATTTCTGAAAGAGGAAGACGATTCCTAGAGGTGATAAATAATAGAAGTTGGATGCTGCACGACAGCTCGGTCCTCTATTAGAATGGAGAGCATGAATCTTGCAATACCTTCCTAATGTAATTTTTAGCCCTCTCATCACGTGCTAAATTAGCCCGTTTCATTCTCACACTCGGCTACCCCACTACCCCGCCACAGCGAGGCAAATTGGTGGGGGCCATCAGCCCTACGAAAATTCTTTAGCCTCTCAATCACCGATCAAAAGTTCCTATTCCATGTGGGCTGTTGAGTATCTTCGCGATGACTGACAAAATCCGAATACTGGTCGTGGGAAACGGCGGCCGCGAACACGCAATTGCATGGAAATTGGCCCAATCTCCACGCGTGGAGCACATGTACGTCGTTCCCGGAAATGGAGGAACCGCACAGCTGGACAAGGTTACAAACGTGTCGAGCATTAAGCAAGAAGACTTCCCTGCGCTTGTAGAATTCGCAAAGGAGAACCGTGTCAACCTTCTCATCCCGGGTCCTGAGGCGCCTCTTGTAGCCGGCATTGTAGATTATTTCAAGGACAATGCTGAGACAATCCGCTGCTTTGGCCCTAGTGAGGCGGCAGCACGCATGGAAGGCTCCAAGACTTTTTCCAAGGATTTCATGAAGCGTCACTCCATTCCGACAGCCGCCTATGAGAATTTCTCTTCATATGAGAGAGCCTCCGAATACCTCTCAAACGTATCGCACTCCGTAGTCATCAAAGCCTCCGGACTCGCCGCAGGCAAGGGCGTCATAATCCCACAAACAAAAGAAGAGGCACATGCCGCATTGAAGGAAATCATGCTGGATAAGGAATTCGGTACGGCGGGCGACGAAGTTGTTATTGAAGAATTCCTGGACGGTGATGAACTGAGTATCTTGAGCTTCAGCGATGGTACCACAATTAGGAGTTTACCGCCCGCGCAGGACCACAAGAGAATCGGGGACGGCGATACAGGGCCAAATACTGGGGGTATGGGGACGTATGCACCAACCAGGATTGCACCGAAGGATGTGGTGAATAGAATTCACGACGAGATATTGCAACCTACTATTGATGGGATGAAGGCGGATGGTTTCCCGTTCATAGGTCTGCTCTTCACGGGCTTGATGATGACAAACAGTGGGCCGAAGGTGCTGGAGTATAATGTCCGCTTCGGGGATCCGGAAACGCAGAGCTTGTTGCCGCTTATGGAGACCGATCTTGCCGATGTGATGCTTGCATGCACTAATGGAATGCTAGCCGGGACGGAGGTCAGGATTTCGTCAAAGTCGGCAGTAACAGTTGTAGTTGCCGCTGGAGGATATCCTGGGTCATATGCCAAGGGAGCGGTGATGAAGGTGGATGCAGTGCCAGAAGGTAAGGAGCTGCCGTTGCGCTTTCAAACGAGTAGGACCGACTGACATTGATCTAGACGTCGTACTATTCCATGCTGGAACTGCGTTTGCTGAGAACACATTGAAGACTTCTGGCGGTAGAGTGATCGCTTCCACCGGTATAGCAGACACGTTAGAGGAAGCCGTCAAGAAGGCATACACGGGCGTGAACTGCATCTACTTTGAAGGCATGCAATTCCGCAAGGATATCGCGGGCCGGGCCGTAACAAGATGATTCAATGACGTACAGGGGTTAGGTCGTTCAGGGGAATAGAAGAGCCAAACGAGGTTTTTGTGGGAAAGGGGAACCTTTGTAAGAAAAAGCATTTGGTGTTGATATAAATAATCATATTTTCGATGATACCCCCTTATTCTTCTCCCCAACGCCCCACTCCTTTTCAAACTCGTCATCCCACGGCAATCTTGCTTTTCGGTGCTGTGGCAGCACAGGCGCGTTCACTTTGTGATGCTCGACCGTGCAGTAGGTGACCCTGCCGTCCAGAGACGTCATTTTTCCCTGGATCATTGCCATTTGCTTGCCTATTGAGACAACTTTAGAGCTTAGGCGGACAGTGGTGCCTATAGGTACTGCTTTAAGGTAAGAAATGTTAAGAGTTCTTGACACGCCTCCCATAAATCTACATGGCCATGTCAGGAAGAAAACTTCAGTAAGGACACTTCGACTCACTCCCAATATCCTGGTTTAGCTACAGGGCACAATGCTGTCGTGGTCGCCATGTCTAATGCTCACATTGCTCACATTAGTCATCGATACTCCTGATCTAACTATTGAGGGAGAGCTCACCGAATATAACTCCAGCCGCGCCACCATGCATTACGTCTTCCGTCCAACCTATAGTCAGCCCTGCGTCTTAAGCTGCCGAAAGGGCTGACTCACCATTAAGATTCGAAAAGTTTGGAGACATGCACAGTTCGAATATGACCGACCCATCCAACCCAGCATCAACAAGCTTGAGGCTATTCATGACCTCGCGGTCGTAGTCCTGGACTGATGATTAGCGTAACGGAAATGGCTACTTGCTCTATTTTGCTCACAGTGTGATCCGTGGGCCGCTGGGCTGCAAGGAGTTGATATCGGTCGAACATGGCCTGGACAGCCGCCATGGCTTTCCTTCGACCCTCGTCCGTGGTGACCATGGCTGAACGACTGCTAGTTCAGTCGAATGGAGGATGGAGTTGAAAGGGGAACGAGATGTACGGGAAGTGTTGTAGAAACATCTTGACATTCATACGTACATGAAAGGATGGGCGGAGCTGCACGGATTGATTCATTGCCTCGGCTGGTGATGGACACACCACCCATGGACAGCTACACCTCCAGATCCCCTGAGCTTCCTTTTGTTTGGAAACAAGCAACACAAGCAATCCAGCACTCACGTAAAGCCAGCCTTAGGCGTCGCGGTTGGCGTTTCGCATCAGCCTCCTGGCCACGCCATCTCACGCTTTTTCATGGAAGCGGCAATCTTTGACGGGGCGCCCCAATATTGTTTTGGCGTAGGCAAGTCGTTGGCCGACAGCTATTTGAACGGTCTCCAATCGAGCCCTTATGAATGGCAGTGCGCTCAGCTGCGTCGTGCGAGATAGTACCTCTCCACTGCTCTCTCTTTCATCATCGTCGTCATCATCGATGGATGTCTAGGGCTGGCCTGATTTCTGCAATTCGCATACATAATTCACCTGGGCATTTAACCGTCACGAGAGCCACTACATCGCCAACAGCAACAATTGCCGCCAGTTTCTGTCCACGACCATGTCTGCGTCTGCGTCTGCTCCGGTACCAGCGCGCCTTCGCAAGAAGGTGCTGAGGGTATTGTTCATATCCCTTCTGCTCGACCTGGTACGCCATCCGCTAACACTCTGTGTCTGTCTGTGTCTGTTTCTGCTGACCGTGGCCAGATATCCTTCACCTTTATTCTCCCGCTCTTTCCGCAACTGCTCGAGTTCTATCGTGACCACGAAGCGTCCCGAGGCGGCAGCTCCGACACGCTCCTGGGCCGCATCCTTGCCGGCCTCAATGCGTACAAACACTCGTTCGCGAAGCCCATCAATGACCGCTACGACATCGTGCTGTTAGGCGGGGCCCTGGGTTCCCTTTTCTCCTTTCTCCAGGCGGTTGCGTCACCCATCATCGGCACGCTGTCAGACAAATACGGCCGCCGGACCGCGTTGCTGTGGTCCATGGTGGGCAACGTGCTGTCGGTTGCGCTGTGGGTGGCCGCGACGGATTTCCGTACCTTCCTCGCCAGTCGCGTCGTGGGCGGCCTTAGCGAGGGCAATGTCCAACTTGCCATGGCTATTGCGACCGACATCAGCGATGAGACGCAACGCGGGGCGACAATGGCCCTTGTTGGTGTGTGCTTCAGCATTGCCTTCACCTTTGGCCCTGCGCTGGGTGCTTGGCTCTCAACTATCACGTCCATTGCGGCGAACCCCTTCGCTTCTGCTGCCGCGTTCTCGCTGTTCCTGATCGTGACTGAGACCGTCTACCTGTATTTCTGTCTCCCAGAGACGCTCCCGACTGCACCCAGCACCACCACTAATGGCTCTGCGAAGATAGACGCAGCACCGAAGCCAAGGGTTCGAACGAATTCGCATACTTTGCTGAACGCAACGCACTTCATGTTCATCCTATTTTTCTCCGGTATGGAGTTCTCTTTGCCGTTTATGACGTACGATCTCTTTTCCTACGGATCTTCCCAAAGCGGAAAACTTCTTGGTTTCATTGGTCTTATTGCTTCTCTCTTACAGGGAAGCGTCGTCCGACGCATGCACCCCTTAAAAGTGGTGCAGATGGGCGTCATAAGCTGCACAATTGCCTTCGTCCTACTAGGGCGAGTGGAGTCGCAAAGAGGGCTATATGCGGCCGCTGCGCTGTTAGCTGTGACGAGCGCGACAGTGGTCACTGGGCTGAACAGCTTGAGCTCTTTTGAGGCGAGCGCGGGGGAGCGGGGGAATAAGCTTGGAAATCATAGAAGCTTTGGTAGGCTGAAGCTCTCCCAATCTTCAATATTTACTCACTTCTTAACCAGGTCAAATCGGCCGCTCCCTTGGGCCTCTAATATTCTGTTCACTATATTGGTGGGCTGGACGTGAGACAGCCTACGCGGCTGGAGCTGCGGGCATGGTTGCCGTCTGCGGTTTGGTGTTTGGAGGTCTGAAAGTCCCTCCGGGAACAGAGACGGTACGGAGAGCAAAGTCAACTTGAGGATGTTTTGTCTGGTTTTTTTGGCCAATGAAACTAGACCTCCAAACTGCATTGTCTACAAGTACTTTTCATACCAAAAAGGTAGTCTCCAGGATAGAAATAGAGAACAGCAGATCTGATTCTGCCCCCAGTCTCAGTGACGGTTCCCAGCATGTAACGCCAACCATAAGATGCTGTAGTACAATAGGTTACACGGCTTTCTCCCGCTGAAAGCCCAAAATATGTGCTCCATCGCCCCGTTGCAACGTAATCCTAAATGTCTGGCGTCCATCACCTCTTCTTATGGAATTTCTTCGATTCTGCGCAGCTGTTAGCATCTGTAGCAAGTAATCGCCAGCCTTATTCCCGTCAGCATACCGGCGGCCGTCCTTTTCTTCTTCGGCGGCGCTTTGCCTCTGCTCTTAGCAATCTGCATATGCTCCAACCAATCCTCCTCCTTCTCATCGAGAATCTCATACTGCGGGTAAAGCCGCCGAAGGTGCTTGGTTGTACCTATCCGCGGCGGGTAATACGATGCGACAGATTCACCCTTTAGGCGTTCATGGAGAATTCGGGTGCCCAGGCGCAGTCGGTCTGGGTTGAATGTGTTGGAGAAGATGCGGCACTGGACCTAAGCATGGTGAATATGGACAGATTCGGCTGGACGGGGGTTGAGGCCAGCATACCTTCATGAGGTCCAAGATTCGCGACCGGAGAACCGCCATTGTGCGGAGGGGCAATGGGACAGTACCCTTCCAAAGTTGGAATGCGTTGTGAAGGTGGAGGAAGAGGTTGTCGCGACAAATATGTGTCTTGGCGCGCTAGTGCAGATCAGGCATGGCCATGGCCACCGCCTCATCCTCATACTTTTTTCCCAGAGCCAAGAACAAGAACTTCACCTGCCCAGGTGTGCACAACCTCCAGGGCCTGGACCGCCAACCGCGCGTCAAGATGGCAGAAAAGAGGCAGAGGCCGTACGATGGCCGCAGTGACAGCTCTTACCGGCACCGTGACCACGGCCATGGCCAGCCATATCACAAGAAGCATAAACCGAACACCTTCAACCAACACTCAACACTTGCCCCTCGTCCTCGTGACCGAGATCCCACCACAGGATTTAGCAATGTACCCCGAAATAGCCACCAAGGGCCCAAGCACACTACTAAAAAAAGCGAGATAGCAAATCCAATTCTGGAACATTTCGAGCGTCTTCCCGATCCGAGCAAGTGTGAGCCCTGCAAGCTGGCCGCTTCGGAGACACAGAATGGTCTGCTAGCGCTCCTACACCAGCTCGAGCAAGAGGAAGAAGGCAATGGGGGTGACCAAGATATCTTGTACCATGCCCGGGAGTTGCGCAATCGTCTTTCTACCCGAGCAAAGGATTCGCCCGCCTCCAAGACGATGCAAAAGTTGGAACAGAGGTATCCTTGTAAAGCGAAATACGTAACTATTCCCACCTACGTTGCCAGGAAGATCGAATTAGCCAAAGATCTACCCCCACTTCCCCCCGTCATAGAGCCTTATTTGAAGGAAGCCGTTTTCACCCACAAGTCTCTCAATTCGGATCCAAGTGTCACCGAGAAACTCAACTACGAGCGCCTCGAGTTCCTTGGAGATGCCTACATTGAGATCATATCTTCTCGTCTTATTTACAACCGCTTCGCCCACCTTGAAAGCGGAAAGCAAGCCCAGCTTCGAGAATCTCTCGTGAAGAACGAGACCTTGGCACTATTATCCAATGCCTACGGTCTCGGTGATCGAATTGCGCACGTGGGCCACTTGCAGCACGACAAAGGGTGGACCAAGATATTGGCCGATGTGTTTGAGGCGTACGTTGCAGCCATAATCCTTTCGGATCCTGACAATGGCTTTAAGACGGCGGAGAACTGGCTAGCCGAATTGTGGGCTGTGCAGTTGCTAGAGTACAAAGAGAAACCCCTTGAAGATCCGAATGCAAGAGAAGAGATTAGGAAACTGCTTGGTGGGAAGGGCATCGCACTTGACTATCGTATGGAGAGAGACATGGAGCAGACTCATGGCGTGCAGAGGTTCTTCATGGGGTTGTACTTGACGGGATGGGGTTATGAAGACCAATGGTTGGGTAGCGGTGAGGGTCAGAATAAAGCCCAGGCGTCCATCCACGCTGCTATGGATGCATTGAAGAACAACCGAACTCTAATCGAAGACGGGCTAAGGCAAAAATTAGAGATGTATCCACAATTAAAAGAAAAACTAGAGGGAAGTAAGCAGAAGGGGCAGGAGGGTAGGGGCGTGGGTGCCATCCAGGAAGAGCAAAGAACGACCAACACTGGGAAGGTTGACGAGGAGTGGGAAAGTGGGAGGCGTGACCAGATCAAAGACACGGATGACGTTTCCCAGGGAAGGAAGGAGAAGAAAAAGAAAGGAAAAAGAATGTAGAGAAGTCGGTCTATGATTTTAGCGCTTCATAATAGCGAAGGGTATGTACTCGACCACGGTCTCACTACCCTTAGCTGTCTTCACTTAGGCAGACACGCCTAAATCGGTGCAGATGGTAAGCGCCACAGTGTCCAAGAAACATAAGCGGCATCCGCCCTCCGCAAAGTATCGTCCCTAATAATACCTTCACATAGGTGGGAAACTGTTCACATATTTCGGGTGGTAACCGTCGTGCACTTGAAACATGAAGAATGCATTTTGAACCTTTAAATGCTAGATTTGGAGTTTGGTAACAAGTTTTCATTCCCAAGCAGATCTCACGTATAGCTAGCTGTTCCACAATTGCCTCATGGAAAGGCACATTGAGCCCTTCTCAGAAGCTACTACATCTGCTTCAACCTCTGCTTGCTAAGGTCTCCTCATCACTACAACAATTGCGAACATATAATGTCCTCTGTCGCCGCAATCCGTCCGAGGTGGCAGGCCACGTCTTGGGATGTAAACCCCGCTCTCTGGTCCTGACTTGACCTCGGAACAATTCCGATGGAAATCTAAACATCACATCCTTCTTGAATGTCTAACTGGCTTCACAAATCACCCCCATCCTAGAAAAATTCTGCTTTAAAATTCTGCAACTGACCTCTACCTACTTGGAGTCAGGATGAACATCGCTGTCGCTAGTACCGCTGTTGCGGGCATGTCTGCGCTTGGAGCCTATCTCAATGCTAAGTATCATATAGGTCAAGACCTTAGGGCAAGAAAGAGGAAACAGGAGGCTATGAATTGGTACCAAAACCTTAGTGCGCTATCTCTCATAGATCTTTATCTTTCCATCATTTAACTCCGGCAGCCAAACAAAATCGCCTTTCTCTCTGGTATGCTTTCGCCAACCAGGCGGACAAGTACCCCGACCATCTCTGTATCTGGTCACGAGAACAAATGTACTCGTGGAAAGAGACGCATGATCGCGCGGTGCAGTGGGCTCAGTTCTTCCTGTCCAATGGTGTACAGCCCGGAGATATGGTCGCCACCTATCTAATGAATTCGGCGGATTTCCTCGTAATATGGTTGGCGCTTTGGTGCATTGGATGCGCACCTGCGATGCTAAATTACCACCTCAAAGGGGCATCTCTTATCCATTGTTTGAAGATTAGTGGCGTGAAAGTGGTGCTCGTGGATCCGGACAAAGAGTGCCAGAAGAGGATTGAGGGAAGCAGACAGGAGATTGAGGAAGAGCTGGCTATTACTGCATTTTGTATTAATGATGAATTGAAGAAGAAGGTTGAGACCAGCTCAGTCGTTGTTCCCAACGATTCTTATCGGGATTCTGTTACTGGTCCTTCCCCTACCTGTCTGCTCTACACAAGTGGAACTACAGGACTCCCCAAAGCCGGAATGTATACGGTCGCCCGTTTTCACGAACGTGGAAACCCAAACAATCTCAGTTATTACCAGAAGCCTGGGCCTGGTGGCGATCGATGGTACTGCAGCATGCCTCTTTTCCACGGTACCGGTGGTTTATCTTGCGTCGGCGCTCTAACCTCGGGCATGAGCGTCGCAGTTGGCAGAAAGTTCTCCGTCTCGAATTTCTGGAACGACATTCACGATTCCGAAGCAACGTTCTTTGTGTACGTCGGTGAAGCAGCTCGCTACCTGCTCATGGCTCCTCCACATCCCTTAGATCGGAAACATCCCCGACTCAGAGCTATGTACGGGAATGGAATGAGACCGGACGTATGGGCTAAGTTCAAAGACCGGTTCGATGTTCCCGAGGTTATCGAGTTCTTTAACTCTACTGAAGGCGTCTTTGGATTGGTAGTTCACAGTACTGGCCCTTTTACAGCCAATGCTGTCGGGCATCATGGGGCACTACTCCGACGAACATTTCACGATGTATATGTCCCTGTTGCCATTGACCCGGAGAGCGGTGCCGTCTTGCGAGATCCCAATACTGGGTTAGCCAAACGGAACAGCTACAATGAAGGAGGGGAAATACTAGTCGGCATCCCAAATGAGTCCATATTTGCAGGGTATTACAACAACCCCGAGGCTACCGCGAAGAAGTTTGAAAGAGATGTATTCAAGAAAGGTGATCTTTTCTTCCGAACTGGCGATGCCTTACGCAGAGATGACGATGGACGCTGGTTCTTCCTCGACAGACTTGGCGATACTTTCCGGTGGAAATCCGAGAACGTCTCCACCGCCGAGGTATCCCAGATCCTAGGTCGATTTCCCGGCATAGCTGAAGCCAATGTGTATGGGGTTCTCGTACCGAATCATGATGGAAGAGCCGGGTGTGTGGCCTTGAGACTGGAAGAAGACCTTTCACATTTCGATTTCAATGCTTTCCTAATATATGCCCGCGACCGGCTGCCGAAGTATGCGGTGCCAGTCTTCATCAGACTGGTAGCGCAGAGTAGCAAAACCGATAACAATAAGCAAAATAAAGCACCGTTGCGGGAAGAAGGAATAGAGATTGAAAGGTTTGGGGAACAAGTTTCAGGTGGCCACGAGGATACAGTTCTCTGGATTCACCCGGGTAATGATCAGTACGAGAAATTTGATAGAGTGTCTCTAGAATCTTTAAAGACAGGACGCGTGCTTCTGTAAATAAAAGATGGTCTAATCTCCCTTATCGATCGCTACCGAGAATAGTTAGCTCGTACCCTGTCCAATGCAAGGCTTCGTACATGGTCACACAACTTTCACTTGAAGAGCTTCGATATTGGCCCGTGAACTCGACGTCGCTCAAAAAGCTTTCCGTCTAAAGTTTCGGCGGTATGTAGTACTATGGTAAATTCCTACAAAATGGAAGTTATTTCCACAAAGCAGAGGTTGCTTGCACCTAATTGTTAGCATAGGAGTTAATCGCTCTTGCACAGAAATTCGCTGCCTCTTCCTAAAAAGCCAATTGACTAGCAGGAGCTTGGTGAATGAATCCGAAGGGGGAGTTATATGCCTAAGGAATCAATGCTACCCCCGCAACTAATTGACCCTCACCATCCTTATCTCATCAGCCTCACCAGCATCATAGTCGCGATAGGAGAATATGCAGGTGTTTATCTCCCACAATCAACCTCATCAGCCTCATCAAATTCGTCAAACTCATGCTGGTAATAGAAGAGTATGTGGAGGCACAGGCCGGTAGTCACGTGTGCAAGCAGGTAGAGAGTGTATGAGGAATATGTGTAGGCCGTACAAATACTCTATAACCAAGTGGCAAGACAAAAAAGTAAATTACATGACACCGTGTAAAGAGGGGGAGTTCCATAAACCCCATTACACGTTCCCCTTAGAGGGGAAGCGCTTTTCTAGTGGAACGAAAAACATCATTGATGACAGGGCCTTTTCGAGATAGGTGCAATTCTATGTATAACATTACCTGCCACCTTCCGTCTGATCATTAGTATATAAATCCTACTAGCTCAGTCTTAGATGAACATTATAAAGACCACCCCTAATGTCAGAACAATACCACCGACATCCCACCTCTGTAGCCTTGCACCTTCACCAGCAGACCCAGTGAATAATGGCTTTCCAATCGAAGTCTGGCTGGCCTCGAGCGTCTTCGTGGCTGCCGGACTAGTTTCCTTACCGCCGATACTGAAGAATGCGGAACTAGTCTTGTCGGTGATGACGACTATAGTCGGCACACCGCTAGCGGGTAATGAAATGACTGTTCCATTCACAGTAATAGCTCCTCCAGGTGTCAGTGTTTTACCGCTGACAATGTAACTCGTCCCCGCCCCTAAGGCAGTAGTGTAAACATTTCCGCCTACCGTCAGAGGTGGAGGAGTTACCAGAGCTACGGAATTTGAAAGTGTAGAAGTAGCACCATTTACAACGATAAGTGATGGTGAAGGTCCCAGAGCTAGGGTAGTTCCATCTAATGCTATCGTGCCTCCTAGCGTGAGAGTCTGTCCAGATACGATAGACGCCGAATCTCCTTGGTTGCCTGTAAGAGCCGTATCTCCAACGGTCAAGGCTGGTGGCGGAGTCACAGTCGCTCTAGCAACTGTGGACGTGTCACCGTTTACCACGATGAAGGAAGCCGAAGGCTCAAGAGCGATTGTAGTTCCAGAAATAGTGATAGTGTCCCCTGGATTCAGCGTTTGAGTGCCGATTGCAAAGGCAAAAGATCCCGTTGCTGTTATGGGGCTGTTGCCGACTGTGATAACAGGTGCCAATGTAGGTGCTAGTGTCTCTACTTTTCCTGGTGCCAAGGAAGAAGAGGCTTCTGGTTTCCCTGGCGCGGCGGACGACTGCGCTGGCTGGACCACGCTGACAGGTGGAAGTGGAGCCGGACTATTCGAAGACACCTGAGCTGGCTCCGCTGTCGTTGTCGCTGGGCCACTCCCGTAATCGGTCGTAGTCTCCGTCAAGAAATGTACGCCGGACACTGCAATTAGAGGCAAAGGAAACGAAAGCGCGCAGCTCTTTAACACCCCCTCATTGGGCATTTCTTCCGCTAGATTCGTATGGAAATATTCTTCAAGTTTCGGGGAGTAAACGATTCCCCTGGGGTCATTAGGATCCGTGGTGACCTTTCCTGGAAGTAAAGAAGATGGGATGGGCGGGTGCGGTGGCAGAGTGATGACGGCTCCGGTTTCTGTCGAGCATATACCCTTCGTAGAAAGGGTGCCGGACCACGAGACGAGAGAATCGTAATCTGCCCACATGGTTGGATATGCCCTGGAAGCGATCAGCTTGGCAACTGTTGATAGTTAAAGATTTGACGAACACTTCGACGGTCCCACCTCCAAAGCTAGTCACCACTGTTGTCCTCGTCCCGGCGCTATTGGTAGGAGGCAGCTCGATGCCTATCGGAAGCTCATTGTAGATTGTGGTGGTGGTACTCTGATTCGTGCCATTGATAATATGAACACTAACAGTAGCGGCGATAATCGTAGTCGAAGGGATGAATGAATACCAGTCGAGCATCGACCCGACAGGGTAATCGAACCCGCATTTTTTAGTTGGACATGTACCGTTCGCATTCGCGGTAGGGAAAGGTGGTGGTGTTGTGAGTGCTGGAGAGATGTTAGAGATGTCGAAACGTTATGGTGAATGGGGCCAAACTGACTTGCTGCAGAAGCGGAATCGAATAGCGCAAACACAAGAGGAAAGAGGAGTAACGACTGAGTAAACATGGTAAATGAAAAACTATTAAGATACTCAAAGACCTATGCAAGTCACACTCCGTGCCGCTCACGTACGGCGGGCAGCAGTATCTCCAATTAATATACATTTCCACGAGTTCCCACCAACAACTAAAATCTCAAGCCTGACTCGCAGTTTGATTAGCTCCCTGCTCAGTGAGCTTGGTTGACAAGGTAAACGTACCTTTTGCGTTGTTGTGAAACTTTCGGTTAAAGCGTGGAGCCAATCGTAGGGTTGATTGTTTTCTTGGAAGGCTGAAGCGCCCCTTGGTTGCATGCAGGCTGCAGCCGCACTGCCGGGCGGGTATAAAATTGGGCTTCGCTGCGGCTACGCATCGCCTCTTTGGAAAGAACATGTGGAACCACGCTTATGAGGCGGAGGATACATATTGACGCATCGAGATGTTGGTGCCGTCCGCTCTACACGAAAGAGAGCTGGAACGGAGAGCGAAGAACGGAAGGGGAAGCTAACATCATCCTGAGCCGAGCTGGTTTCTGGTCGGTAATGTCCGTCTCAATGTTGGAACCCTCGGCGGGGCGTAAGTTTGTGAGAGTCTGTGACCACCTAAGATCCACGTCAGCCTGAGGTACTCGACTGAACAGCTCGATTGGATAGAATTTGTTAAATTCATGGTACACGGACCTCCAGACCTTGTCTAGTAAGACGAAAGCGGGAATCGGGCACATATAAGCTCTCGTGCGAGATACACCAAGATGCTGACACAAAGAGTGCGGCTGTAGCAATTCGGCATTCTAATTAGCGTAGGCTTTCACGAACTCCGACGTGTCTGATTGCCCCGTGGCGTACTGTCGAAGAAACAGGTCACCTCTGACCGATCTCGCGCTTTCAGGAGACTCTGGAAAGCATCGCTAGTGTTCATGCGTCTCGCCGAACGCTCTTCAAGATCCTTTACGTCTTCCTTGTGCATCGTGGTAACCCGGTCTAGCATCTTGAGCGCCTGCCGGCCAACTTCGCTTTCGACAATACCTCGAATGGTGTTCCGAGGAAAATGACTAGTAGTAGAGTAGTAGTAGAATTAGTGAAAGTACTTAAAGGGTAGTAAAAGAAGGCTAAAGAGATGTTTGTGCAAGTAATAGAGATAAGGAAGAGGGTACTAAGGGAAACGCCTCCTTCTACACTAACCAGTTATGAGCGACCTGGCGATAACATTTTTGAATTAAGGGAGGTGGAAGGAGGCTAAAGAGCTGTTTGTGTAAGCGATGGAGATGAGAAAGAGGATGCTTGGGGAGGAGCATGCAGACGCGCTGACCAGCATGGCTAACCTAGCACACACGTGGAAACCCCAAAGCCGGGATGAAGAAGCTATCTCATCGATGGAAAAGTGCTTTGAGCGACGGATGCGGATCCTTGGCCCTCATCACCCTGACACACAGAGTCTTCGCTAGAAGCTCTAAACAGGTGGCAAATAGACAATTTAGGAGATTTTTTGGCCGGTTTTATCTTAACCTATCACATGCTCGATCTCCAGGTCTAGTTTTAGAAGCTAGATAAGCTTGCTCAAACGTCTCTATAGAGAATATAACGCAGTTCTCATCAATACTGAGCCTCGCAACGATTCCTTAAAGGTATAGGTCTTGTGCTGCTCTTGTTTGGAGTGTATAAAGCTAATGCACTTGCAGAACAGGTGAAACTGCGTAAGCATGCTTACTATTGTTACGAGTGATGAGAATAGCTTGGCACTAAATTTCACTACTACAGACAGGGAGGACGGCTGACCCGCTCCTGCCACAGGGTTGTGAGGTAGCGAAGTCTGTAGGTGCTTTCAGAGAGTTGAATTCTTGACCGGAAGCATGGCCAAGGTTGGGTTGGGTCGCAAGGGAGGTTCCGGGACTGAGTGTCAGCCCAGTTGCCAAGACTTTACACAACTACAGGTCTAACAACCACTGAAAGCAAATTACACGGTGATAACTACGTGGAGCTTGCGGGATTGTTTCGCTCTAGCCGAGGTTCATGATCTTTAAGTGATGATACCGGCCTGCGTGGTGACCTTGGATGAATTTGCGCGCCACAGCAGATACAAGGCTGATGATAGTATCCTAGCATTGTAGTAAGGCTCCGAGTCTCGGATAAGGTCCCCTTATAATTAATATGTGTGGTAAGAGCTTGGTAGTGGTATTGTAGTGAAGAAATACTGTCATGCTATAAAAGAAGGCTCTTCGTAATTAGCAACAATGCGAACGTAATGTTTAGGTAGGAAGGGTCCTAGATGTTTTAGAGTAGTTACCGCACAGGATTTATATAGAATTATAGTTAATGTTAGGGTGTGCTTAGACTCTGAGTTGCTGGAAGTCAAAGTACCCTTAATATCTCTCGGTACGGTGAGTTTTACTCCATGTAGGGAGGCGCGCTAGGGCTTGACTACGAAATTGTCCTAAACAATATTAGATAGCTCCTTAATTAGCAGTATAGTTAAACGTAAATTGGGTACCTTAACCTAAATTTTTCAACTTTAACAATGTGGTCCTCTCCGTTGCACCAGTCACGCGAGACTTATGATCGTTTTATCCCGCTCGCTCCTCGCAGGAATCGTGGACGTATTTACGTTAACACCTTAGCAAGCTCCATCTTTGTGGATCTGCTCTTAAAAGGTAGCTATCGTAAAGCAGAGCTCTCAGTACATCAAGCAGGCCTAAAAATGGGTCACTGAAGTATAAAAATATATAGCTAGTTGAGACTGTGGAGACTGTTCTTAGGGCCCCCAAAATTCCTATAATTAAGGGGGTAGTGGGTTAGATCTAGATATGAGATATTCTACAATCTCTTTAAATTCCTAGTTCTGTCTTAAATTGATCATCGTATAGCGCATCTGCAATGTCGTCAGGGAAGTAGTTTAAATGTATAACCCCATTTTCAAAATTCTACTGTAAGTTAAGTCTTCTAGTGCAGAAATGTATATATTAAAAAGATGCAGCCACAAGATCCTAAATAGCTAATAGAAGTACTTAACTCACAGATCCTCTAAGCATCTAAACAATAGCAGAGTAGCAAGTATTGTAATTGCTATTGTCGTGCGCCTAGTTATAGTGCTTGCTCTGTACAGATATTTTTCACCGCAAAAAGCACTCTATGCAAGCTGGAAAACTCAAAACCTACACCGTCAGTGTTGCAGGACAGGCCTAGCAAGATGAAGAGCCGGCAGTAGTGGTACGTCGTAGCGGATTATAAATTTGATATGCATACACACCGGTATAGATGTGTAGCTACTCGCAACCTCAGAATCAAGTCCGTCCTGCTAACTTCGTTTATTTTTTTCTATCCACCTCTTTGTAGACTAAAGTCCTAGTTCAATGGCCATTTATGTGGAGGAGTTACAGAAAGGCAAGCTGTAGTCATTGTAATCAAATAATGACATAGGATAAGAAAGGGTTTAACATTTATAATAAGCTTTCCGCATCACTGTTTTAAGGTTGAACTTAACAGAAAGTACAGTTAGCGTAGCGTCCCTCCCAGCGTGCCGAGACACTCTCCGTGCCGAGACGGATCAGGGTACTTTAACTTTAAGCAACTTGATTTCTGCGCAGACGTTTGTATATACCACAATTCTATATAAACCATATACTGTAGCTATTTATAAATATCTAAGACCCCTTTTATCTAAAGATTACGTTGGTATTGTTTGTCTTTACGTTTAAGTTAGAAAGAACCTTTTTTTACTTAAAATAATACTTCTTTGTGTCACAACTATGTTACTGCTACCCAACCCCTAAGTACCCTAAGGGCTTGGCACGGGGTATATAAACTCCTCAGCTTCCGTACCTCTGCCTCTGACCCTAAGGTTTACTCTCTCTCTTGTGGCTCTGCCATACTCCCTCTATCCTGTATTCCCTCTCTGTGCCTTGTGCTTCCTGCTCCATACCTCTCACACTTTGCTGCAGCAACACTATTAAGCTTTTACTACTTATAATACTTATAAAGAGGTCTTATCTTACCATAAGAGGTTTATAATAGCCTAGTAGTTTCTTATTAGCCTTGTGTCTACTGTCGCGCAAATTTATGTAGGGCTACCACCCTAGTTAGTACTTCTAACTAGAATAATTACTAATTCTAGCTAGTGAGAAACTGTTACAAGGATGCTACTGACAAGAGGTTAAGAGCTTAAAGAGGAGCGTTGACAAATTGCTGGGTATAGTATGAGGTGAAGGTAAAGATGTTGCCTGAAGAAAGGGAGCTAGGCAGGTTTACAAAAGTATTTAAATAGAGTGGTTAAGCTACGGTGTAAGGCTTGTGCGCAAACTTTTTAAGAAGGGTTTATAGAGCATCTTAGAAAGGATACATAAGACATCTTAAGAAGACTTCCTTTAAAGGGAGGACCAGACTTTAGTCCTGTGACTGTATAATTCAGAACCCTACTTAACTCTACCTATCATGACGCGATGTGGCTTCGTGGAATGAAGGGAATTAATGTGCGATAGTAATGAGGATGTTGTGCGGTGCCAAATGACATGTGAATAACACGGTTCCAAACCTGCCGGCCAATTGCGTCATCTGTCGTTTGAAGAAAAACACGAAGGATTTCTTCTTACGCTAGCGTTGGTTGAAAGTGGTGGAGACTCAGTAATTATGGTTTGATTGGAATTCGGCGTAGCATCCCTTCCTCATTCATCCCTTGCTTTTTTTTAAACCTTAATTCACTGCGATCGAGATCGAGAGAGCTTAGCAACAGTAGCAAATGTAATTGAAGTATTGAAATTAGAGTGACACGCATTTCATCTGTGAAAATGAAAGAATCTCCAGTAGTCTAGTAATTAATAAGATGGATAAACGTAGGCCGCGTTCTCAAGATGGCCCAACGTGTTTGGCGACATCATAATATCGGCAGAAAACGAGAAGTGGTGGTCATATCACGAATCCCGTTCAGGTCACTCAATTTAGATGTAAAATCAACCAATAATTGTGTGATGTTGGCTGTGTAATACTAGTGGTTGGATGTACGAAAATTTAGTCTCTAGAATTCGTTACTAGAATCAGGGAGCGTGTTAAGGGAATTCCTAGTTCTCCTCTAAAGCTAGGTTTTGAGGTCCTGTACATCTAACACTGATACCTTGCTAAATATGAGCCAGGTCGATATATCTACTACTAATTCCTTGCGCTACAGACGGTTCGAGGAACGACAAGTAACAACAACAAAGGAACTCTTTCAAGACAAATGAAACACTACAAAATACGACTCCTCAAAACATAGGGTGCGGAGGAGAGAATTACAAGAAACAGACCAAAAATCACTCTCCATATTACCAATTACCTTTCACTTCACTCCACTCAACCAACGCAATTACTTTCAGATGTATCTCATCTTCTTCGCCGTGGCGAGACATACGGTTACGAAGAGCGCGATAGCTCCAAGAATACCAAAAAACCACCCATAACCGCCTACTTCAGAGGACTGGCCAGGGATATGAACGTTCATGCCAAAAAGACCACAGACAAGGTTCAAAGGGACCAGAATAGTGGCAATGACCGTAACTTTGCCAAGCGTAATGTTGGACTGATTCCCTTGGATGACCTGATCGACCGAAATTTGTGCCAAATAATTGGAATGACTCCTGCTCAGTATTTTCTCGAAGTGTCCCAAATTTGACATCATGGTAACGACGTGATCCTGGATGTCACTGAGGTATAGTCCTACATCGCCACGAGGTGCTACATTGTAGTTCTCGTTGCAGCGCTTCGCAAAGCCTTTGATGACGTCTGCTTTGCCACCGAGAAGGCGGATCAGCGACATTACTCTCTTGCGGCAGTCGCCGATGCGCTTTAAAATTTCGCGAGAGTCTTCGAGTCGAGCAGTGAAGACCTGATCTTCAATGGCGTCAGTTTCGTGCTCGATGGAACGAAGGACCGGTGCGAAGGTGTCAACGATATCGTCGATAAGTGCGTAGCAGATCCAGTCGCTACTTAGATTGATGTAGTCCCGGAGACGCCCGATACGCTTACGGACATTAGCGGTGTGTGGGCTTTCAGTAAAGGTGAAAGTGAGGAGGCCCTCTTTGAACACTATCGCGTAGAAATTGACCGGTTCAAGGTAGCTTTCCGATTCCTTGTCCATTTGATAGAACGAGCGGAAACAGACGAAGTAGTATTGGTGGAACAATTCAACCTTCTCACGTGTCTCCTGGGTGGTAATGTCTTCGCGGGTCAAGGGATGAACCCCGAATGCCTTACAAACAGCGAAAACTTCTTCTTCGCTAGGGTTTACCATATCCAGCCACCAGACACCGCCGTCCATAGGAAGCTCAAACAAGTCGCGGAAATGTTCGCCCGGCATAAGAAGGCCACCGAGCTCGGCAGCGTGGATGGTATCATCGAGTTCGGATGAGAAGAAAGTCCAGCGATTGAGCATAACCTCGGTAACACTACCATGTTTCTCGCTATTGAAGACATGGGAGAGGCCTCCATCGGCAAGCTTTTCCTGAGCAGAGGCACTCGCTCCATCCTTGAGTGGTGTGGCATCGCCGTCCACATTCGGTGTTGCTGTGACGGCCGTTTTGGGTCGCAGGTCGCTGAAAACCTTGGCCTTTGAAAACTGGGAGCTAACACTCTGTTTATGGCGTAGAGATTGAACAATTGGGGTCTTCTCGTGGTACTCTGCCACAAACTCGTCAAGGTCTTCGAAGTCAAATTGGGTTGTCTTCCCTGGGTCCTCTGGAACAGGGAAACACACATCTTCTTCGGCAGAACTATGGGCGGAAGCCACTTCGGCATGGAGATCCTCGGGCCGCTCGTCACTGATGGTTGGGCGACGTCTAGTCCCACCAGAGATGGTCCTGTGGATGGTAAGATCAAGCTCTGATGGCGGGCGGCTATTGATTGTAGCGGCTCGGTCACGGCGGCGGGGGTCTGCGAAAGCATCGACCGAGTTAGGAGGAGACACGGAGCGGGATGAAGTGGAAGATGTTCTTGATCTCGACAAGCGTTCCACGGCGGGATCACGTGGTCGACGGAAAGTGTTCCGGCGTCCAACAGGACTAACAGGAGCTAGGGATCCGCCCCGCCCATAGCCAAGCTCCGGAGAAAGGTAGGAGGCATGTTCATCATCGATGACAGCGTCTTCGAAGTCCCTGGTGGTAACGTTCTGAGACTCCAACGCTTCGTTGACCTGGAGAAGCAGGTTGGGTCTTTCAGGGGAAGAATGGAGGCTCGCAAAAGTAGGCCTTCGTGTGCCAGGACCGGACCCTCCCATGTCTGCTCGGGGTAAGGATGCAGGCTGATGACGGTGGTCATCGAGGTCAGACACGGGAGTGCTGAACCTCGTTTGGGATTTCTCAGATCTCGGAGTGTCAGACATGGTTGCGACTTGACGTGGATGATTCGACTCCGATAACCCGGCCTTATCTAGAGTTCAAGCCAGTTTGATATGATTATTGAGACAGCGACCTCTTGCTGCGCAAGGGCTACGTCGAATCCGGTGAGTCGCTTGTGAGCGCCCACCTCGCTGGTGCGCTCAACTTGACTGAAGGCTTCGCGTAGGGGCTCTCACCCTACACGCAGCCGTGGGTGACGTAGGGCTGGTGGGCCTGTTCTTCCAACACCCCTGCGGCGAGAGGAGGAAGAGGTTTGTGGGAAGACAGCGGTGGACGGATAAGAATGAGAAAGCGATTGCAGACCAGTTATGGAGGCTTCTTGTAGTCGCCTCCGTAGACCCACGCCTTTGGGCCGAGAAGAGGGCGGAGGAAGGAAAACTTGTGGATGTAGAGGCCCGCCAACTTGATGGTTTGGATGTTCAGGACGCCGTGGCGTCGAAGAGCGCTGTGTGTGAGAGAGGGACGACTGACAAGAAAGTCCCGTGGATCGATCAGTACCCGGGGGGTCGATTGGGTAGGGCCGATGGCCGATGTGCAAGTGTGGAAGGACAGGCAGACCAGGAGTACGACAGAGTTCTGAACAAAGAATTGGGCTGTGCGGTTAATTGGGATGTATGGAGTCCAGATGGACGGTGGTGTTGATGCAGGAGGGAGGAAGGGGGAGGACCGGTTGATTTGGGCAAAACCTGTCGGGCCGTCCTGACTCAGCTGCGAAGGCTTTTTTCTTTCAAGTCGCCTGTGGGCGGCCGAGAGTGGGCGGTAATTTCAGCTGAGCAAATATCTGCTGGGCGCTAGCGCAACGGTCGCAGCGAACGCACAGCAGGTATGGAGGCAGCGACAGGTACCTTGGTTGCAAAGGCCATTGTGGCCTTCGAATTGCGGCGATGTCATAGCGGCTTGGCGGTGAATGAGGCTCTGGAGCCCCTGCAGCTCGGGCCGATGCAACGCCGAAGCAATCCCCGTGAAGCCACATCGACAGTCCAGTATGCACGAAGCCAACGCTAGCCTCGAACACCAACGCCAGATCATCACCATGGCGGACCAGCTTCTCGACCAAGTGCGCGATATTGTCGAGGCGCCGATTGTGCGTTTACCCTCCCCCTCTCAATCCTAGAGTGTTGTAGCTTACATTCCCAGGACTATGAAGGCCAGCGCCTTGCTGAGTTGATCACCACCGTGCTACTGGGTGCGTCTGGGGTAAGGCTCCCAAGTCTTCAATGGTGTTTGGCATGCTCACTACTCTAGATATTTGCCTTCTTTATCGGATTCATGACCCAGGACATCAAGCTGACACTCTACATCGGCCTCGCTGGCACCGCCGTCACCTTTCTCGCTGTTGTTCCGCCGTGGCCCTTGTACAACAAGAACCCGGAGTCGTGGCTGTCACCACATGCGACTGTTTCGGGACTGCATATTGATGTGGATGGGAAGAAGGTGGGATAGCCAGCACCGCCGGCATCAAAAGAACTAAGGAATGATTGGAGCTCAGTCGTGGATTCATGGGACCATCTATTGGACCTTATGGGTGCCCTATAAAGTAATGAGAAAACCCTTGCGACATATGCTATGGCCCATCACCCTCCCGTGTGTGTCCTTCGAAAAGCATCCAGAACAGACTGAATGATGGCTTTTCGCAGTTTGTTCGCCTAACTTCCAATGAGACGCCACCGATAGACTCTCAGACGAGCTGTCAGTCCATTACCGACCATATTTCTGGAATTCCCAATCGCGGTTGTCGAGTGGGCAGACTTGTCGCGTCTTGAGCCATCGCGAGATGCAGTGGAAGTGGAATGCGTGCTGTGAAAGCATTAGCGGAGTGCAGATACAACTACGGAAGGGCCTATCTTACATTGCAGATGCCCCATGCGACTGTGCACTCCTCACTCGTAGCCGATGCTTGATTTGCTTGACACTCTATGCCTGCGCTGCGTCAGCGTTGCCATGTGTGAAGAATTGTAGTAGAGACCTACAGAGATCCATGATGTGGTTACGGCAGATAGCGCAGTTGTCGACGACAATGTCCCAGGCCCAAAGGGCCACCGCGTTCCACTGAGCATCGTCAGTCCAGTCTCATGGAGTTTGGCATCGCATTCAGCAGGGGGTCTGCCTCACCTTCTTTACCTCGAAGCGCTTCTTGCCGTCCGAGTCTGCGCTTGCACCCGCCTTTGCCATCTTTGTCTTCGCGGCAGCCGGGGCATCGGCCATATGCACGTCGGCCATGACTGTGGTATGTGAAGGCGTGAAGACGTGAAGCTTGAAGGTCAAGAACGTGGGGTTGCGGGGAACTTAGGAGAGTGTGTGTTGCGAGTCGAGTGGCGAGGTTGGTGACGCCGACTGTGTCTTGGTTTGGAAAGAGCGGGGCTGCAGCTTTGGAGGGCGTTAAGAAGGGTGGATGTGGAAAGGGAAGCTGCGTGAGTGAATGTGCAAGGCTCCCAAGCTTTCCAGAATGTACCCTGGTGGTGCCTAGCGCACAAGGTCCCAGAAGCGTCAGTGAATGATTGCCAAGCCTCCCGCATCCACCCTCTGCTCAGCCTTGTCTCTCCTCCATTCAGGCTTAGCTGCATTCGTCAAGCGCCACCGAATTAGGCTGTGCCCTGCAAACAACCTCCGCTCTCCTGCTCCTCACTCAGCTGTCCCTGATCCACCTCACCCTCACCATCCTCACCATCACTCTCTCCACCAGCGCCATATTTCTATCTTTACTCTAACAGAGACTGGATATGCAGTCTTCAATCTCGAACGCTCCTACAATCGCCTCCCGCAACTACGCTCCCAGCCACACTGCCCCGACATCTCTTTCTTCACGATACACGACGACTCATCCAAGGAACAAGGGTGCCCGCCGACGACCCTCGAGATAGCCAACAGCGCATAACCTCCTGCCGATATACAGTCTCTACATGTCGAGTTCCAACAACGCGCCGTCTCCGAGAGCCCCTCGGGGTAAGCACCAACACTCAAAGAGCGCAACCCAGGTGCACCCCCCCAACGCAGGAACCCAGGCCCCGCGGCGTCCAAGAGGCAATCGCCGCAACCACGCAAATAACGGGGATGCTCAGCAACTTTCTGGTAACCGTCCTGAGTTGTCCGCCAACCCACCGCCTGTCAACGTCGACGACGCGGCATTGGCCGACAGCGCTGTATTCTCCAGTGAAGAGCTGTCAATCCCAACAGGCCCCCGGAATGGAAAGAAGCACACGCACTCGCAGCCTTCCTCGGACCGGGTCTTCTCGCCAACAGCGCTCCCTCCTGCCTCCCTGACCGATTCGGAAATCGCTCCCTACAATCCTTCTGCAACGCCTGCGAAAGCCCAGAGCGCCTATGCTGGACCCACTTTCCATGCCTCCCCAGCGCCTTCCTCGCTTCCAATTCCCAAGTTTCTCTCCAAATCTGTTCCGGCGAAGAGCCAAGCTCAGCCGGGCCTTTCTACTCCCCCAGACCAATGCTCCGCTTCACCGCCCTCTCCAACCCCCTTGCCACCTTCGCCTTCTCGCGCCCCGATCCCAGTTCCGACGCACCAAGAAAATTCTCCCCTTGATATGCTCTTCAGGGCTGACCGAGAAGAGAGAGCCAGAAATGCTAATCATAGTTCTGCTTCTGCAATCTTTTCAAACTCTGCAAACCAGCCTTCACGTAACGGAGAAGGCCGGCACATCAAACAGGATTCTCACAGTTCTCTCAGCGTCGTGTTTCCCATAGAGATGGATGGCGAGAGTAAAGCCTCGCGTATCTCCCCGCCTCCGGTCTCACTGGTAGCACATCGTTCTGTTGCCGCCCCTTCTAAAATCCCGCAAGTCGAGCATCCTGCTTCTCCGAACAGCAACTCAAATGCTGTCCAGGATCTCTTGGACAGGCTTAACCTTTCTCAAGAGAAGCCCGTCGCATCTACACCCCCACGAACAGCGGACCGCATCCCCTCAGCGCCATCATCCCGATATCACACCCCATCTCCTTTCTATGATGGTAGGTCGTCTTTTCGCAGCGCCTCGGGTCCCACAACTCCGGCCCCCCAAAATCAAGAGTCTTCCGACTTCTTCTATGGCAACCGCAATCTTTCCCCCTTGTTTAAAGCGGCAAAGACGGAGCCCCCGAAGCGTAACTCTGGACTCCGTACGGAAATCACCGCCGATTCGCCAATTATGCTACAAGGAGGATTCTCTGCTCTCAGTAGCTCATCTAAAATGGACGCGAACACTGTGTCTCGTAACTATTTGGATAACGTTCTTGGCCCAGTCAGCCCACGCCGTGGCTCAGCGCCCCATATCGAACCGTTCAGGGAACCGCCAAATCATCGCAAGACGAGGACGCCCGGGAGGCGCGCATATCACCCTCGTCCTGATTCCTACCCTTACGCTAAGGGGAATCAAAATGGATCCCTAAATGGAAACTCTGTAACCCTTCCGAAGTCGAAGACAGCAATTCCTTTCATCCCTTCATCTGTTCAGACGAAACAACATTCTACGAAGTCTTCCAATCCTTTGTCTTTAGAGGAGGAGCTCAAACAATTACTTAACTTGAGGACGGGTCCTGAAGCTATTCATAGCGTCCGGTAGTTTTGGAGTCCGACCTCCTACTTTGATATCTTGCGGGTTAGACCATCTGGATCAGGTTCATGACTGAGGTAGTACTTTCTTTTGTCAATGTTCAGTTTGCGTATGGTCTGTCTACTTTTACGATAATGTTCGGGCCCTAAGACCGAGAGTATTTCTTTGTTTCCCTATTTTTCTTTCTTTCGGTGTTGAAGTGGCGTTTATAGACCGCGACGGCATTTCATGGTCAGGGTGGACGGCAGTTTTGGTCATATGATGGTATGGGATTCGGTTTGGTTTCTCCAAGACATGGGTGGAGCAATGGATGGGTTTGTGAATGCTTACTGGATGTCCGGTCGCATTGCTTCGTGGGATGTTCTTGCATGAAGCATGTCTACGCGACCTTTCCAAGTGGTGGATTTCTTGATTCAGCGACTATATCCTCGGTGCCCTCTTGGCATATGCACTCGGGGGTTTGTGGTGGGCAGTCTGAAGCCATGAACACCCCTTTTCACTCTCTGCCATCCTAAGGGATCCAGGCATGACACTACATCGTCATAGACGAACATAGCATAAAAATCAATAAAATAAATGGACAGGATACTCGCCTTTGCCTTTTGGCAAGGAGTATTAATGTCTAAATTTCAGTTCCGATTGCAGTGATGCATGTTTAGGTGGTTCACACAGAACGTACGAGGACTTGCAAGAAACTCCAGTTGCCCTTTTAGTGGGCTTGTCTGCGTATATACTATACTGGGTTGTAATTGTCTACGAGTTTTTCATGGGATCTCGATGGTTTAATCCCAAGTAAACCCCAATACCTTCCTAACCCGCCCAATAGTCTCCTTCGCTCTTTCCTCGGCCTTCCTCGCGCCTTCATCCCCAACGTCGGCCAACGCCCCTGCATCTCCGCCCATGACGCTCTCATATCTTTCTCGAACGTCTCGGATCTGCGTATCAACCGCCTCAGCTACCTTCTCTTTCAAGGCTTTCAGAGACATATTTTGAAAGTCAGCGCATAGCTGGACGGGCGATGAAGCAATGGATTCATCTAGGTAGTACATGATATCGATTAAATTAGATACCCCGGGGCGGGTGGAGTGATTGTAGGAAATCCCGTCGAGGGAGTCTGTCAAGGAGGATTTTAGCTTCTTAGAAATTACATCTTTGGAGTCGGTGATGAGAATTCGGCTTTTAATGTCGGGATCGCTTTTGGACATTTTCTTGGTGGGCTTAGTGAGGCTCATAATTCTCTTAGCGGGTGACAATATGGTTTCTGGGGGTATGAGAAGTGGAGTGGTCGGAGAGAATATGTGGTTGAAGCTGTTGGCGACTTCGCGGGCGAATTCGAGGTGTTGGGATTGGTCCTCGCCAACAGGGACGTGGGTAGTGCGGTAGAGGAGGATGTCGGCGGCTTGGAGGACAGGGTACGAGAAGAGGCCTAGTTTGAGAGAGGGGAGGGAGGGGGCAGAGGGGGAGCGGGGAGGGGCGAGGTCCAGGGGTGAAGCTGTTGCGGGGAGGGAGAGTTTACTCTGGCAAAGGGTGAGTTGGGAGAATTGGTGACGCCTGCAACGGCGGAAATGCGAGGTACCTTCCACTGTGTCATGCGCGATAAATAGCCCATGGAAGCATTGCAGCTTAGAATCCACATCAACTCTGCATGCTGGGGTACATCGGATTGGCAGAAGATAATTGATCTTTTGGGATCAAGGCCCACGGCGAGCAGACTCGCCAGCATCTCTCGCCGCCATTGCCGCAACTGGGCGGGGTCTTGCTTGAGGGTAATGGCATGCAAGTCTACAATTGCGTACAAAAGAGTTTCATCTGGAGCGGCTGCGTCCTGCAGCGTGACCCATTGCCGCAGGGCCCCAAGATAGTTTCCGAGGTGCGGGACACCGGTGGGCTGGATACCAGAAAAGATAACTCTTGCCGTTTGCAAATACCGTGCAGGGGAATTGGACAGTCGCCGTGGGGTTGCGGCTCTGCAACGAGCCTGCCGCAGGAGGAACAGCATTGAAAGCGAAGGTTGCGTGTGATTTGGTCGAGCCACAAGGGGAAAGCTCCGCTCGGGCCTGGCGTGTGTGCTTCGTCATTGTGGCGCAGTCATGCCCAACCTGTTGGAAGGAGCAGCCCACCTAACCGCAACCAACAGTGAACGTCGACCTGCACTCACGCATCCGTCCCCATTCGCTCTTCGCACTCCACCACAACCACCACCACCACCACCACCACCACCGCCTACACACCTGCCGCCATACACCATTATTCTCACCTTCAGAACACCACCTCTGCTGACCATCCATCCCCGCCGCCGCCATGTCGTGGACGGGCTTCAAGAAGGGAGTGAACCGCGCAACCACGCAGGTCCTCATGAAGACGGGCCAAGTCGAACGTACCAACGACCGCGACTTTGAAACCGAGCAGCGGTGCGTTCGCCTTTTATCTGCTGCTTTTCTCGCCTTAACACTAATACTAATGATCACCCCCCCAGTCGCTACCGCACTATGGAAACCGCAGCCAACAAGCTCCAGAAAGAAGCCAAGGGCTACCTAGACTCTCTCCGCGCTATGACAGCCTCGCAGATGCGCATTGCCGAAACGATAGACGCCTTCTACGGCGACGCGGGCACAAAGGACGGCGTGAGCCGGAGCTACAAGCAGGCTGTTACCGATTTGGATGCCGAGACGATAAAGGCGTTAGACGGCCCGTACAGAACAACCGTCCTGGATCCAATCCAGCGCTTCTGCAGCTACTTCCCTGACATCAACTCTTGTCGGTTCCCCCCCATACCCCCTCGAATACCCCTTCCGCTTATCATGATGTTCTTCCAGGCATAACCAAACGCGAGCACAAACAAATGGACTATGACCGGATGCGCGCCCAGGTCAAAAAATTGACCGACAAGCCCGACAAAGACGTTACCAAGCTTCCACGCGCCGAAAAAGACGAACAGCTCGCCAAAGCTGCCTACGACCAACTCAACGAAACCCTGACCACCGAGCTGCCCCAGCTCATCGACCTCCGTGTTCCCTACCTCGACCCGAGCTTTGAAGCCCTGGTGAAGATTCAGTTGCGGTTCTGTGCAGAAGCGTATTCACGAATGGCGCAGGTGCAGCAGTATTTGGATGCGAACACGAGGGATCAGTACGCTCAGGGCGAGCTAGACGCGAGGGTTGAGGAGGTGTTGCAGGAGATCCGCGATTTGAGTATTGCGGGGACGGTTTGAGCGGGATAGCCTTGTTTGTCTGTCTATCTGTTTCTCTGTCTGTCTGTCTGCAAATTTTCATGTGGGCCTGTGGGTGGGCAAGACATGTTGATTTAATACCTCCGATCGCGGGACTATTTCTTTCCAAAACACAAAGACTAGGGTTCTAGCTGGATGCGATTAGCTTTTAGGTGTCAACTTTGGTCGGGTTATGCATAGGATGCGAGCATGAGGTTATAACGGCTTGTTAGGAACTAGAAAACAGCCCGTCAAGATGCGGGAAGGCAACACACAATCCACAATCCTTGAAACGGGTGGTGATGCACTCAGATTTCAGTATGGAAGGGCTGTCTATCAAGATGGATTGAGCAGAGTAGCTAGCCATGCACTGGTCTGTCAGGATACCAATATCCTTTCAGCCCGGCGGAGATGCATCGCTTCGATCCATGGACAACTCGGAAACATGTGATCGCAGCGCGAGCCTGAAATTGCCTGCAAAAGTGCTAGGTACTTTGGGAAAAAAAAAAAAAGAAGTGCTAAATGCCAGGACAAGAGGAAGTAAACCCGCGAGAGGGGGAAATAGAACTGAGGGGATAACTCTGCAATTCCTGAAAGCATGCTCTTCTTGACTCCTGTGCTCCATGAACGCCAATTCAAATGCAGGCATGAGGCAGGATCTGAAACTCCATCTCCGGACCGACCCCTTGGTACCCCCGGACCCTGACCAAGAACAAAACAGACAGACCAGACGCCGCGCGCTCAATGATGGGGGATCTCGCTGAAAGCGGAAATATATAGAGCGGAAGATTACTCCTCATCCTCCTCTTCATCTTCCTCCTCTTCCTCCCCAAAGTCTGAATCCATTTCCCCGTCTTCCATGTCTGAGTCGGAGCCGCCAAAGCTCTCCTCGTCGCTGTCTTCCCAGCTCATGTCGAAATCGCCGTCGTCTTTCTTGGTCTGGAAGGCGCTCTCGTGCGTGGGCATGACGAAGCCAGCGGGGATGTCCTGCTTGCTGGTCTCGAGGTCCCGCTTCACCATGTCCTTGTACTGGTCGGGCTTGTTACGCAGCATGACGCCGGCGTCAACATTGGCGGGCGACGATACTTCGGCGTCGTCGAGGAGGGACAGGACCGAGATGAGGACGGTTTCGACGCGCTGCACGGGTGACCAGCGTTCGGCGGCCGACTCGCCCGACATTTCGTCCTCGCCTGGCGCATGCAGGATCGAAATGCAGAGCCGGCCGTCGGGGTAGATGTTGGGGTGGTACAGCGGGCGCAGAAATTTGAAGTCTGTTCGGAGCCCATTAGCGGGAGAAGAAGCAGGAGCAGAAGCAGGAGAGGAACTGGAAGCAGGAGAGGAATCAGGAGAAGCAGAAGCAGAAGAGGAAGCAGAAGCAGGAGAGGAGGCAGGAGAGGAAGCAGGAGAAGCAGAAGAAGAGGCGGGGATTAAGTACCAGGCGGACTGTAGGGGTAGTTGTGCGGAAATGTCATCTTGGCCTTGAAATAGCCGCCATAGTAGAGCGAGTCCGGGTTAAGCACGATGAGGGCCACGCTCCACTCGAAGACGTTCTCGTTGATCAGCTCGATGTTGGTCCATGTCTCCTTGCTCAGCGTCTTGAACTCGTTCATGAGCAGCCGGCCTGCCGAGTCCATGGTGCACGCGCGAGCCGAGGTTGGGCGGGAAGGAGCGTCGTTGGGGGAGGGGGGAAGAGAGGATAGAGCTGGCAGAGCTGGCAGAGCTGTGCCTTTGAGAGGTTTCTGGAGTCGTTCAAGGTTGTATGTTGTATATGTTAGAGAGCAGGAGAGCAGGAGAGGGGAGAAGGCGAAGCGGCTTCATGTTGGGAGGCTGACGGATCCATGCCGACCGCCCCTGCCCGAGCCCGTGCACGGACGCACGATGCTAGTCGTATCGGAAGCAACCTGATTCACCGCTTGCACTTTCCGAGCGCCTTTTCACTCCCTTCTCACTCGCTGCCTGCAGGCAGACGTGTTCTGGCCGCGGCACCGAATCGCTTCTTCATACCTCTGCGCTTCTCTTCCTCGTGCTTTTCTGGCTGTTGAGACCCCCTTCCCGGTACCGGTCATCGGAATCCGAGCCCGAACCATGCGTGTCTCGTGATGGCGAGGCGTGAATTAACCACATCACGCACCTTTTCGGACGGCCACAGCGTGGAGACATTCTGGAACCTCTCGTCTCAAGCAGCGCTTCACTTCCTAAGATTGAAATCACCTGAGCTTCAATGCCAGCTCATTCTTTCCCTTTCCGGTTCTCCTTCCTCCCACTATCAGATCATTAAATTTGCACTTTCATTCCCCCTCACACAGCCTCTGCTCTACATTAGTCTCCGTCACACTAACGAGGCACGACGAGTTTTTGCACGGCAAGCAGAAGCGGAGGTAAATTGTGACTGCCTCTCCTCTTCACTTTCGATGCCGGACAACATATTCACCGTCTTCGACGCTGTCTCTCTGGTTCCACGGAAGTCGGCCATCCGCCAATAAGTGAGAAAGGTTCGGTCATCTTAGCCCTGACGTACCCCTTGCAAATTGTGCTCCGTAAACCCCCTACCCTTCAAACTCTCCCCTCAACACACGTATCTGCACTATCCGTGTCTTCCTCAAACGCCGCCATGCAGCCCGGTGTCGATCTCAATTCCCATTACCGAGTTTGCATTCATTCATCTTTAAACACCTCCCATGTGATGGAGAAACTTAAATCATTGGGAAATAATTCATAATTAGCCCCAGGCCGGGTTGCGTTCGTTGCGTACGTGGTTCAACGCATGTGAATGTGTTCAAGGCATACAGTTGGATTGAAGAGGAAAGTCTCCCATGTTTCCAAGGCTTGTTTGAAGTTTGTAAACCAAACCTCCCCTTCTCATAGAATGGAGTATGGAGTTTAGCTCAAGGTGTATATATGGATTCTAGTGCATTGCTTGCTAATACTCAAATATCCTACACAGCCGCGATTTCTGCCCAGTATTCGATCTTCGGCGACTTGTGTCACAGTCTTCACATACTACCACACTTTCTTTAAACCCCACTTTTGAGCACCCAGCTTCAGTTGCTACCGAATCCTCGACATTTCTGAGCCTATCGGCTAGATATGCTGCAAATGTTGGCAGTATAGTAGGTCCACTAACTATGCTTTTGGCTGACTAATGAAGGGTTCCATGCCTTTAGTATCATCATGCTTCAAAGTGCACGGGGCTGTCGACCAGTCAATATAGTAAGGTATGAATAGGCCGAGGTCGGCGGCCGGAGAGTGGGTTGACCATCCTTATTTCCTTTCTATATTTGTTTCTCAACAAGCTGGGATGCCTAGGCCTGATATTGTTTTCATCGCTTTCCGGTATTTTCATTGTATCGATGCTGATGGATAGGAATTCTTAAAGGGAATCTACTCTCCCCATTTATTTACATAGCTCACTTATACGCTATCTAACAAGATCGTTACGATTTGGCTTGCGTTCATAAGATGTCTATATCTCTCATCTTGGAACAGTATGGATTGCATGCACACGGCTTTGGTATTTCATCCCTCCCCTAATTCCTCATCTCTCTTAAGTATTGGTCAGAGCTGAATTTGTCGAAAAGTTCGAGATCCAATCCTCGCAGTTGTTGCTGCTCTCAAATAAGCTCAGGCCTACACCCCACCTTGGCCATACGCCTGCCTGCATACATGCCGCGAACCTCTGGACCCCCAAGTCACCTTCGCTTTTCCACATAGACTCATGATATAAAATCAATCGACGACATCGAAAAAGATGCGAATTCACGTACCATTGTCCAAGAGTGAGGAAACTCGATGTTCAAGTATCCAGGATGGTGTGGGCGAATGATGAGTGCTGCTTCGGTGGGAAATATACAATTTTCATCTTAGAGTCGAGAAATTCTTATATTCAGAGCAAACTCAGGACGCTAAAGGACTCGAGGTTGCCGAAGACATTTGTTTCGAAGGATGCTCTGAGGTCGGAGTCGAGGATCGAGAGCATGGCGGCCAGGGGGTGAGCACGAGAATGTCGATGCTGTGGTTTTGGCTGTCGAGGTCGCGGATATGTATGTCGAGGTCACAGCTTGGGGGCTGGAGATGTCGACGGCGTAGATTAGGACTTGTGTTGATGGGTATCTCTTTGATAGCTCTGCGGACGCAGTTTCTTGGGTTAAGGCCTGCTAAGCTAGCAAGATAATTGTGGAAGCATTTGCAGCCGCAAAGTTTCTTGCAATAGAATATCCAATGCTAATTGCGCCACTGGTGATGATAACCGTTTTGCCTGCAGCAGACAGGGAAGGCTTGGTAGGATTGATTGCCGGATAGGGTGCTTAATAGACTTTTTTAACAAAGTCCAGAGTATTCTCACATCAGTTGTAAGCTTTTAGAGCATCCCTTAGTGCGTCTGAAGTCATTGCTAGAGATGGTAGGGCTCAAGATTGGTGTCTGAAAGTTAGCAGCTGTGTTAAATTAAGACTTACTAGAACAATAATTAAGAATATTGCAATTAACCAACTTCCTTTAGGAACCCCTTATAAACCTACAGCTCCTTTAATCCTTTCGTGTTTAACTCCGTTTTCGTGCGTTCAAACAACGCCGATTGAGGTCACCGCCCTGTCAACAGAGTCAATGTCAACATCCACATCTCTTCACGCTATCAACCCTCTTTGGGCATACCCGAAAATCTTCTAACGCCAGTTAATTATTAGCGCACACGGTTTCTAATGCGTTCTTGCGTGATTCTAGTTTAATCGGACACCTTTCATGCTAATAGCCCAGCGTCTGAGAAGTTTTGTCTGGCTTAACTAGGATTTCTAACTACTACTCCTAATGTTGGGTTATGCATGACTAGGATATTTTACGATAGAAGATTGCGTCCTGTAAATTTTTTCTGTGATTCCAGCTAGAGGCTCGACTGATTAATTCCGCCGTGCTAATATTCCATTGCACTTGCTGATGTGTTGTAAGCCAGGCATGTTTCCACTGACTTTTCATAATAGGCTGTGTTGCATTTCCGACGCAGAATTCTTCAGGCTTACCATGCAGCCTACTCTTCCTCTAGTTCTTTGCACTGCTTTGAACAATCCACTCATTTAACACCGGGCTTGTTGTCGATCGAAGGATTCGATTTCCATACAGCCACGTAAATTTAGAGATGACATCAGAGAGGGTTTGGAATGGGCTGCGCCGTATGCCGTATCATTGCGTCCAACTTGTACACTTGGATCCAGGAAGGCGCCCTTTGTGGTAGAAAAAGGACTGTCGGCGTGGATGAGGCAACAATCAAAACATTCGAGATGCGACCCGCGAGAGAATCGGATAGCCCTCAGAACTAAATGAGTTGCTCTGAGAGAGACGGACTCACAGGCATTGCGATAATTCATCCTAGCACAACGCGGCTAGCACAGGAAGGAACTATTCTACTACACGTCTTGACACTAATGATTGGAAGTAGGGCTACGTTTGCATTACTATTTCGTGACTATGCGAGTCTTGGAGGGCGAAAGCGTCACTGTAGAATGGAGGCCTGGATAAATCTAGAGAACAAGCCGCGGCATAGTTGCTATCTAGTAATGTAAAGGCATCCTTGGGCTGCACGTGGATAAGTGCTCTGTCTTGTAGCCACGGAAGTTATGGGGTACATAACAAGAAGACTACGTCATTGAGGAACAAAATGGTATCGAACTCCGCCGCTTAGACCGCTATTTCCTCTCGAAGTAATTAGACCTGATCTCGCAGGTTTGCTAGGAAAGGAATCCGCTCAACATATCAGTGCGATCATGGATGAGGTTATGCCAAAACGTTAGGCAGGAGTAGGTGAGTTCTTGTGCATGGATCTCACGAATGTCTGCTGACCTCGATGATTTAGGATATGAGTAGAATGTTGACTGAGCCTACTACAGAAAATAGCATGTCGTCATCCGAGCTGTCTGGCATCCTGAAACTACATTATTCTTCTATCATCAAGAGCTCAGGTTACGAGTGGAACGATGACTGAGGCAAAACTAAGCGCTACAAAACTAAGCGCTACAAAACTGGCACTTAGCAGCTAGGGTCTTCTTACGCCAGGAGCCCAGGATGTTCCATGACCCCACGACCTTTGGTTTGATAGTGACTAACATATCCTCTCGGCGCTCTTCAACACTAGCATCTGCTTATGAGGTGGATAGTCCCTGCAAATAAGTACTAGATAGCTAGTAGGATTTTTTAATTGGTTCATTTACCAAGCACAGTGCACCTTCCCTGCTTATCTTTCCTGCTAGAGAGGCTTCATTCAGATCTCCACGCCCACCTTATCAGCTGTATACATGGTGATTTCCTCCCTCAATTTGTTGGTTTGAGCTTGCTTTGGTAGTATGCGGTATATATTGTAAGTATGTATTGTTCTCCGAAAGGGTGGTATTCAGGAATTCGCTATTACTCGAGTACTTTCTTTTTATCGTTCTTATATCTCAACACTTTTCCAACTCGATAATTTTCTGCATACCATATTTTCTCACAAAGCGGGAGAGTTTCCTTAGCTTCTTATTATCTAACACATGACGATACCAGCTTCATATTCAGCTCGACTACACTGGCTCTTTATGAGCATACAAGCTATTCTACAAAATATAGGTCTACGGGATGAACCTTTAGAAAAGGCACTGTAACTAAGTTAACCGTAGGAAGGGTAGTCCCTAAAATCTGCTCTGCGAAGGACGTGGAGCGTTCTACCTGAGCCTCTTAATTATATTTCACATTTATTACCCTTACGGAAGTACGACCGTGAGTTTATTCTTCAACCCATTCCATCCACCAACGCATCAAGCCCAACACATTTGATGGATCTCGCGCGTGGGCCACGAAGACTTAAAGTTGAGACAACCCCTCAAAGCGTGCTTCCTCGCCCTTAGATAACGATAAAAGGCGGACTAAGTAGCAAATTTTCGCTTTGTGAAAGCCTGCGTTGACCCTCAGCGTGTCTCCTTCTCATCCCGTGCAAACTATTAGATCTCACTATATTTTTCGCATCAGACATGGTAACATATGGAGCCCAGCAACAGCAGCCATCAGCTCCAGGCCATTTTATCAAATATTCTTATTGCTCATTGAGAACAAAAGAGACTCAAAAGGCAACCTAAGAGAATAACTCAAAAACCCTAGACGTAAATCACCCACAAGAGTAGCGTTAATTTGCCCTATAAAATATGTTGTTCAGAAACGGTTGGACGCCCTCTGGTCCAAGTTTCTTTAAGGAATCTTGACTCAGACTTATTTTGAGACCCACTACCTAGCTCTGGGTCTGCTGCGGAGGACGACAGAAAGGTAGAACAGAAAATAAAAGAGGTTAGGCCTTCAATGTGCTCGCGCGTCGTGAGCTCAATATGGAATGGATTCTGCGTTATGAGTAGCGAGATATGAAGGGAGATATGCTACAAGACTAGACTACGAGGAAGCTAGGGGGAATTTATAGGGAGAATAGAAGGGGAGCTTCGTAGGGTTCAACAAAGGACAAGTTGTGGTGAAGGCTGTACTGTGAGCAGACGAGGTGGCCGAAGCCTGAGATTTGGGATAAGAGTGCACACCAATCGTGATAATCTGACATGTTTTGATTTACAAAAGTCTATGATGCCTACTGTTATATCTAAGGTTTAAAAACTACAGCGCATGTGGATGAAAATAGGATAAAGTTCTCAAACATGGAACATCAATAACCTGGCAACCCGTCTGCGCCCCAAACAAATCCAGTATTTACAGATGAAAATAGGACCAATAACGCGGGAACTAATTATACCTCCTAGTCAGCCTCACGCGAATGTCCTCAACTGGACCTCTACTCGCTCCAGCCAGCCCCATCTTTGGAATCACAATTTCCTCTCCCACTGTGGGTCCCAAATCCCACATAACCAATAAACTAGCCGCGAAAATCAATACTTCCTTCTCCGCAAAGTATCGACCCTTGCACTTGTATAGGCCGCCGCCAAAGGTGTGCAAGTTCTTCATAGTCACACGAGGGTTTCCGTTCGGGCCCTCCTCAATGAAGCGTTCTGGGATGAACTTCTCTGGCTCCGCAAAAATGCGTTGGTCCATTTGCATGGTGCCGTTGGAGAGCACGAGAGTTGTACCAGCAGGTATGGTGTATGATTGTGGACGCTTCTTGCCGAACATGGCAGCGTCCGCGGCGGATTCTTTCAAGGTGACGGGCTTGATAACTTGGCGGACACCAAGTCCAGACATGTTCATACGCATGGTCTCGTAGAATGCTGACTTGATAAGTGGGCAGTTCTTCGTTAGACCATCGACGTCGATTTCAAGCTTAGGGAAGCCTTGTGGCCCGCGCTCTCCGGACGGAGAGACCTTGACGTACGGCGCGATTTCTTCGCGGATGTCGGAGAGGATGGCAGAGTTGCTGTAGATGTGCAGGAGCATCCAGAAGACGTTCTTGTTTGAGTTTACGTTCACACCCCAGATAACCGAAACATCGTTGGTCTTTTGCAAGGTAGGAGAAGCGTTGTTGTCAACCCAAACTTTCACACGCTGTTGCATGATATCCGAAATATCGTCGAGCTGGCCATTGTATCTTGGTCCAGGGTCTTCTCCACGCTGCATGGCTGCCACAGCATTGTGCCATTCTTCCATAGCGACGGTGAGACGGTTGCGGCAGCCGACGGCCTTGCGACCAGCAGCAGTGAAATTTTGGACAAGCGGGGCAACAAGGTGGTGGACACCCTCATCAAAGTCCCAAAGATCATATTGGAGATTAGGATTGTTCTTGATCAAGCCCTTGCCCCAGAGCATGTCGATGACAACCTGACCCATATAGTTGACAACCAGTCCGTAGAAGTTTGCGTCGAAGGTACCATCACTGTTGAAGTTTACTTTGGCAGCTTCTTCCCATTGCTTAAGAGGCTTGCCCTCGGCGTCAGGAGTGGACCACGGCGCGGAGGTGACGAGACAGGCGGCGTTAATCTCCTGAGCCTTCGCAGTCTTGCTTGTTGCCTCGTTGATGAAGTCCTCCTTCAGCATGAGATTCAGGCCCTGGTGGTTGGCATGGAATGCATGATGCTCATCGCGAGTGGCGTGCTTGTCGGCAAAAGCTGCATTCATGAACCATTCTAGGATCTTCTGCTTGTTTAGGGTGGCCGATTTTTGCGCAAAAATTTGCTGGACGAGGGAGGGCATGTTGATGACATAGTATTTGGAAAGGCCGATGCGGTAAGAGATGATTCCATCTCCACTGGTGTCACTACGGTATACTCAGTGATGCCCATCCTGTGCTGGATTGGCAAGTACGTACCGGTCACGGGAAAGAGTCCCCTCAATATCCCTCGCAAAAGAGACAGCGGACCCTACAAATGGAACCCAATATGGGATGCGATTCGGAGTCTTCGATGCAGCATCTACTTGGTTTATGGCGACGCGGCTTCGAACTTCGGTGATAACGCGAGTAAGGACGCAAGAAAGAACAAAGAAAGAGAGAATTGAAATTACTGGTGACGTTAAAAGCCCCTGAATATAGGGGATTTCCTGAAAAGAACGGAGGAGACCCATTATTGCTGTATGTTGATGGATGATCGTGAATCAAAGGAAGCTATGCGAGGTACCCAAGATGCTACAAATCGAAAAATAATATAAAGAGATCATCAAGTGCGGTATATTCCTGCGTGCCTGTCAGATCGAAACACCGCGCACTCTCATACTTCTCAATCGTTTGTTAGTGATGTGAGATTCCCGCCAAACCGACTATTCTAGGCTTTATGCATGGCAGTGCATGTCCGGACCCCTAGCGACCGGCTGTAGGTCAAAGGCATCCCACTGGGTTCGAAGGCGGGCTGAAAATAACCTGGTTCTTCCCGCTTGAGCTTGGCAGGCTTCGGCTGGTTAGTTGTCAACGACTGGGTGGAGGGCAGGTGGAAAAATGACACTGCCATGACAGCTGCGCTTGTGCCGACTAGGATGTGCCCAGGGCTGGCCAACCTAGATAATCAGAGAAATTACCGAATCCGTTCTTTGATTGGCCTTCTATCGGACGCCGGAGAAGGGTATCGTGAAACATGCTAGCATAAGGCTGAGGAAGATGAGGCTGAAAACTTTGCGCGCTCTGTCCAACAAAGAGAAAACTAGTAGTTCTGTCATGACGCAAAGCCGCAACCACCGGGCAGCTGCTAGATATTCTCGATTTCATCGTATTCGTTTCGCGAGTCCGTTGCATTTCCTCAGGTGCCAACTTCAGCTGTGCGACGGATATCGGGATTGGAGTGAAACATGTCTTCCGCTGGCAAGCTTGGAGGGATTTAGCGCGATCACGTGCGGGAGCCAGCCGCGAGAGGGCAGTCGTGGCACTGTGCTTGCATTCTTGTGGAACTTTAATGTTCCACCCCAGTGGCTGTCGTACTTGCATTACATAGATTGGGTGTAGTGCAAAGCTGACGTCAGATCCAGAGTGCAGATTTAGACTTTGCGGCTATTGGCGATTCCTAAGCAGCATTGACCAACTTCAGCACTGTAAATCCGCCTTTTCTTTCGCATTCTTCCCAGGAACACCGTATTCGTTGAATAATTCCCGAGGATAGGAGCGACTGTTCATTTAAGGTTTAATCCTAAAGGATGGATCCAAATTTGCCATGTCGCGCATAGTGGAATGGGTGATCCCGATCAGCAGTGTTCCACGAAATACGCAGTGGGATAACAGAGCCAAGCTTTGCCCAGCCAAGTTTGATGCTTCCCAATCAATGCTGCAATTTTTGAGGACATGCAGAATGGAAAGATCAGGGCAACGCAGTCAGCCTACTACGTGACAACGCACCCATCACTTCCAAGATTCGATGTTGTTCTCGTGCGAAAAGAAATACTATGAAGTGATCACAATCTATCCATTAAGAAGGCGTGTCTATCAGCTCCAAGAACAACCCATCTCTAAATATGCAATATTACGTTTGGTTTCAGTAGGTGTACATCGCAGGCCCTGATCTCCCGATGAACGCCCCATGTAGCTGGTCGAGACTCCCGAAGTTTTGCGCCAACTCCAAATGTTTCTGACACTCATTTTGAACCTCTTCCCATGACCAGTGACAGTCGCGCTCCTTCTTCGCGTTTGCAGTAATGTTCTCAAATCCTTGTGTCTGTTCCGAGGAAGGCTTAGACGGAAACAGGCCACACTCTAACATGACAGACTCAGGCGGGCAAGTCACGCGACCTGCTTTGAAGACGTACTTTGTGATAGCGGTAGCGTAGATTCGATCTTGTTGGTCACCAAATTTCTTTGTGTCTGAGAACGGTGATGCCTTCGCTGCTGGTGGACTAACTAGGAAGCGCGTCGGTTTATTCGAGCCTGATTTTGTGAAGTGACTAACGACGTAAATCCATTTCTCATCCCAGCAGAGAACACGCGAGGAGATTTCGTAATGCGCAAAAGGGGGAATGGCCTTCTTGAAAATGCACGAGGTTCCACCAAGGTTGAACATCTTGGGCTTCAGTGTTTCTTTGCCACGAGCTAGGGGCTGGACGACATCTTTGAAAAGGGCAAGCATAAGTTCGGTGCGGTTGTCGTCGAGGTCATTGAAAAAAGTGCTGTTGGACTTGTGCAAATTGTAATCAATATCAAGCAGAGGAGTGTACGAGGAAGTGACCACTGGAGCAAACAGAGACTCGCCGCCATGCTTCGCGCTCTTTACTGTGAGTTGAGTACGTCGGAAAAGGAGATGCCGTGCAAGCTGTGAGAAGAGTCGTCCCTGTGTTGATAGTTAGTTCGCAGCAAAATTCCTATTAGGTGGGTCACTTTACGTGCCACATGAAAATAAGGCTTTTGGCGTTACTCAAGAGAACAGCGCCCAATAGACCTGCAACGATGAAGATCTGGGCAGGGCTGAGGTGAATTGTGATTCCCGGAGATTGGGAGATGTCCATCATTTTAGTTACAATGTCTCGAATCTGAGGTTGGGTTCTGGATGGAAAAATAAATATTAAATCAGCAGGAAGGATTTGATAAAACTTTCAAGGAATTGACTTATGGAATCGCCGAGAGAAGTTGGATGTTTACTATATATCCGCACATGACTTGCGTAAGGTCTCAAATTAGCACCACAGTATGATTTTTTTGGACCTCTGCTGTAGTCAGCGCTGCGATCTGCAGTTGGGCAGAGCGGCTGGGCTAAGCGGCACCAGCAATACCTGAGAAATGCCTAGGCCCTGAGGTTGTCACGTCGAAGGCATTATTTCAAACACAAGCGTCCGGGGCGCAGTGGCGGGCCTTGGGGTCCGCTTGGCCATCACTGGAGATGCGAAGTGTGGCGAGTATCAAAACCAAGGGCGGGAAGGTGCTGGCGGGAGGAGAAGCGTACGAGGGCCCTACGGAGTTCGGGAATCACACACAGGAAGAAGGCGCCGGCAAGATGGTGCGTTTTGGAGTACGGATCGAAAATGTTGGATGCCGAGTAGAAACCCGCGGTGAAGTGTTAGCTGGCACCAACAGCTGTTGGGTGCTGAAGCCGCCCTGGTCCAAGCGCAGATCCGGAGCGCGCTAACCAGGCCAGCACGCCCGCGCCACATGGCCGGAAACAGATCTTCCTAACTTACCGCTTCGGGCCTGATCAACGTTGCCGAGACCGCGCTTAGCCCCTGGCCCCCCTGTCTCAGCCTCCCAAATCCCCCGCCCTCTTCGCAATCCCAGGAGGGTGGCTGACGTGGACCATGCACTGCGCACGTCGTGACCTCGGACATGTCCATAGTGGATTTCCTTTTTTGCCATTTCACAACACTGACTAACCCCCTCAGTTCGAGGCGGAGCGTGCAGTACGCCAACCACAGCAATTGCTCTCCTTGCTGTTCTACGGTGAAAGGTTGAATCCTTGAATGATGACAAAGGCGCCTCCGAAGGCTACTTTCAGCCGTCAGTGCACCACTGCCTCCATCAAAACTTAGTAGCCGGTGTCAAAATAACCTCATCGCGATTCTTTGTTCTGCCCCGAATCCTGCGAGACGATCTGGGGATCTCTCTCGGGGACTTGGTCGGTCTTTGGGAAATTGACATCGTGTCAGAATAAGCCTCCCATTTGGCGGGAACGGCGCAGCGGAGCCTCATATTGTTATACTCCTCGAGTCCTCAAAGCGTTTCAGGTTCTTGGATATTGGGGCGGTACTCAAACTTCCCACTTTCCTTCAATCATCGTGTGGTATCCCTTATTTCTATTTTTGACACTAGCAAGGATAGCACTGGTCTCTTTCCCCACGTTTCTTCTCTGTACAAGACAGCGTTTAGAATCTGAACCGCTGTCTCTTAGGCTACACACCTCAGAAAATTGAGTCGGTGCCCACTTTTCAGACCCACGAAGCATCGCATAAGATCAGCAACAATCATCAGCTTCACCACTCTTTCGAAGCTACCACAGCACACACTTCGCAATGGATGCAGACAGGCGACTCATCAAGGCTCTGGAGGCAGCCAACGATGCTCTTCAGCACTTGTCCATGTCGCCAGACTTTGGATGCCTTGACTGCACACACATCGACCGCTTACTGGCGAGGGTGGTTGACCTGCCGACCGAAGGAAACCAGAGGAACAGCCGACGGAATCTCTTGGTAATACGGCAATGGATGATCACAGAAGGGCCAGGCGTTGTCTTACTCGAGGTGTTGGGACAACTGTACTGGAGGTTGGGCGAGCTCAACGGAAAGCAGTTCGAGAAGTTCAAAACAACGATGCAGCAGCAGGGCCCCTATCTCGCTCTGATCCAGGACTCAAACGCGGTGACGCTTGTCGTACAACGGATTCGACATATCCAAAAGTCAAAGGCGGATGCCTGCCAGGACTTCTTGTGCGAGCTCTCCGACATTACCGGCATGAAAGGTGAGTTGCCATGGCTAAGTGGCTGGAAAAGATACTGATCTTTCTAGTGGATTCTCCCATGGCCGACATGGACATGCTGCGCGCTTCATCGAGCAGCCCCTTTACCCCACAGTCAGTGAATTCACTTGACAGTGCCTCCTCTCAAGAGTCTTGGCTTGGTCTGATCAAGTATGTTCCAAATAGTAGCCTTTGGGGTGGAGATATGGAGCAACTTTTGATTGATTTTTGTATGTGCGCTGGCGCCAGAATTTGACCACCTCAGCTAATGACTTGTAGATATCAACGGAATCTGCCCAGGACGGACGCCAATGACAGGTGCTAATACTTACCTATCACTCCTGAGAGTTGCAGATACCTGCCAAAGTACTCGATATGCTCTTCTTAGCCTGAGCGCCTCTTACATCGGTGAATACCTCCCTTCGGAGAAGGAAAAATATCACCGAGCCGATCTTTTTTATTCAACGCAAGCATTACAAGCTCTTGCGCGGCAGATTAGCAATGGCGAAGCGTATGATGCCGCTCTAGCAACGAGCATGCTTTTGATGCATCACGATGCGGTGAACAACACCGACGAATTGAGCCTGTGCTGGTCAATTCACGCCAACGTATTTGACACAATACCTGCGGCCTACTTTGATCACCATGCAGATCCTGCGCTCTTCATCCGACACCAATTGGTTCTTGCACGAACTGCACAGACGTCCTTCAAACTTCAGAACACTCAGCTTCACTCATTAGAAACGAAGAACTGGTATGAAGGTACTCCTCCAGGCGAAGCACAGCGCATTTGCGGCATCCTCGGGGTATCGCCACAACTTCTGTTTCTTATCTCATCTGTCACCTCGCTTGCATCCGACGCCAAGAGCCCCATGAAGTCGCACAAGCACGTGTATGCACAACTTCAAGAGTCGCAATTAGCAAATCTTCGTCAATGGACGAGTGAAATTCAGGGTGAGCCACAAGAAGTTGTGCTCGCTACTGCAGAAGCTTATCGTCTTGCTGCGTTGATTTACTTGCGATGCCGCCTCTATGGGTACGCTCCCTGTCAGCCATATTAGTTTGAGGCTTTTACTGATGAAAAAACTCAGCTATACGCGTTTTAATCCCGCAGTCATGGAGCTCAATGACGCTCTCTCTACCGTTCTCCTCTCGCTTCCCGTGAAGGGCCATCTTTATACTGCCATTTACCCAACCTGGCCTCTCTTCATTGCGGCTGTGACAGCAAGTGCCGACAAGCGCGATTGTCTCTACCAGCGCGTAGTTCCAATCACGGAAGGCGACAAGAACACCCTTCCTGCAGTTCTCCAGCGCGTTTCGGGGCTTCGAATCTGGCTTGCAAATCAAGATCCAACTCAACAACTCCGAGACGGCTGGTGGGATGAGATGCTGGAGCCCAGCAGCAGCACCAAGGCCGTCTCTGCAAACCGTCTCTTATGTCTGGGTTAAATCCAAGCATCCTTTTTCTTTCGGCGCCTGCCTTCCCGGTGAAGGACGGAATATTTTTCAGGTGGCAGGATGCTATCGAGTCGCGAGAACCTAGTGATCGGGCTAGAACCACCAACTTCAGCAGACATGGAGGTCTATATAGACATACGGATCTGACTTCTGCCCTTCGTTAAGGCTGACGCATTCGCAAAATCCTGAAACCGGAATGTGGTGGCTCAGTAACGGTGCGGCTCTGTCTAGCCACACGGACGGGGCAAAGTAAGACATCCGAACGAACATCACATCTTACTCATCTTTGTACATGCTTTTCCATTCCTCTCATTTAGTTGCTATTATACCCATAGACCATTGCAGCGATGGAATGCCTCATGCTGGAGGTGGAGTTCCCGGGTTTCTTTCCTTATTTCCCACTGGGCATTGGCCCTCGCATTTGCATCGGTGTTATGCTATTTGATGTCTAGATAGACTGGTTAATCTGCCATTTGTGCGCATAGAAGAATGATTCTAAAATATCTGTATGACCATTATCAGCCACTTCATTTCAATGCAAATATACAATCTAAATCCAAATGTCTACAAAATGATTCGCTTTCCAAACCCACCTTAGTGACCAATATGACAACTGAACTCTTTATCCCCGACTAAATTTGGGCCCTTGTCCTGCCGGGCGGTTTAGGCAGCGGAAACGAACGAAGAAAGTCCGTAGTTCGATTCTGCAGGGTATCGCACTGCACTGTGGCAGTGTGGTACTTCGTATAAGCATACTTATCTGATGCGGCTCCGAAATATGGGACTTCATGGGGCCTTAGTGGAGGCTGTACTATTCGCGCTAATTGTATTGTTTGCAAGTTAGTAGTTTATGATTCTAAGTTTGATTGAACGAAATCGTCAAGTCAGACTTCGTTCTTTGAAATCTGAATCCGGTCTGTCGCAAAGCTGTTCCACACCACCGGCGATACTACTATTTTCGCCGCATGATTCTCATCCATACCCGATGTCGAAAAGAGAAAGTGTGCTTCTTTGGCACATTCTCTCCATAACACTATCATTTGTAGTTGTGGTCTACAACTACACCTCTACCACGCGGGAACTCTTTCTTCTTTAATGCCTATTTGATACTTCCATCATAGTTCTACAGATGATGCGTTCATCATACGACCCAGAATGCACACTTGTGGATCCAACATGTCATATTAGCGCCGCATTTGTGGTATAATCCTACGGTATTTTGTGCCGCAATTGCACATATTTCTGCCACTGTTCTAACAACCCTCCTATCTCTCTCCATCCCCACATTCCAAAGTTTTCCTAGCTTGTTCCGAGAAGCGGTTTTAGCAAATGTCACAAAAATCCGACCGACCGATCAGCGCCGACTCCGAACCGGCCTATCTATCCAATCACAAATCGGCTGTAATATGTACCATCTCTCGTTGTTATGTAGAAGCTTTCCTCAACATTGCAGGTTCACTGATACGATTTTGCGGGATAGAAGAAGCAATCGCGGCGTGCTTTTTTTCAATAGGCGTAAGTGTCCGTACGCAGCAGCAGCGTTACGGTCTGGATACTAGTTATCGCGCGGAGTTGTTGATTGCTGGTGGGATTCTATTGTGGTAGTATAGTCGATCGCTTTTACAGTGGATCGCGCGGGTACTGCTGTTGTTGTCTAGCTGCTAGTTCGTGCAGCTTTGTTGTTTGTTTTAGTGTGCGTCTCGCACTATCTCCTCCTTACTTCGTGCGGTAGCAGGGCTTGCCGTACGATGCAAAGAATTAATCTGCTATCCCTAAGGATAGGTAACAAAACAAAGTACCTCACAGGGCGTGGGTACTCCGTCGTCACTCTTGTTAATTTGCAGTTAATCAAATCAACCACTAATTAGTGTTGAATGGGCTCTTTCAGCTAGCTGCTTATGGTAAAAGCACTTAAGTAGCAAGAGTAAGAGTAGTGTACAGTGTGCACAGCGTACGGAGTAGGTAAGGTGGGCAACAGATTTCTGGTCATTGCTTGGCTTGCTTGCGTACGGATGAAAAGGAGAATATCTACATGTTCGCGCACGGAGGTTCGCGCACGAGCATCACGTGACATAGCTACGTGATCCTTCTCGCGCGATAACTAGTATCCAGACCGTAACGCTGCTGCTGCGTACGGACAGTAAGTCGAAATTATGAGTTGAGGTCCGCAGGCTGGGCGAAAGGATTTTCTCGATGTTAGCGAAAAGTTAGGTGACACGCTCTTGCAGACACATGTGGTTGAAGAAGCAGTCGGCAGGGTGCGCGAAGCTTACCTCAGGAGGTGAGAATACTTGGGAATCGCTTTAAAACCATACCTCCTTCTTGACTTGGATATAATGACGAAATGATTAATGTATGCAATGTTTCTTTCCACCATTTTCAGTGTATTCATTATGTGAGAGAAGCTGGCTGGACCTGAGAGCTACGAACCGTTCCCTCTGTATTCGCTGCTCCATATCCTCTTTAACTTGAGGATATTGAGGATTATGAGTCGGATTTTTGTCGAGCTAACGTCTGGACATAATCTAACCTGGAGATTTACAAGCCAGAAGCTCGACAGGGGTGTGCAAAGTGTTTCTGGGCATCCTGTGAACGATCCGGCTGCTAGCGTGTAAATTTTTGTTACAAATATGTCTCTAAAAGAAAGATTGAAGGGTGGGCAAACCCACGTAACCTTTAAGAATTAGAGATTGCAGAAAGGATAGGATTTGATTGTTCTCAACGAAAGGAGTCAAGGAGTGAGGTCTTTCGCCTCCATACCACAGTATTACAGACTGGGCAGAAGAGAACAAACTGATCTAGGTTGTACATATGCCTCGCCCTGAGACGATCTCTTTAGGTTCGATGTCCGACCAACCGTGATTTTTCCCTGTCAATTATTGAATTAGAACCAGGTCCACTTCACTCTCATGTATAGGGCAGTATGATGACACCAAATTGTGACATAGGGGCTCAACGTAACCTGTCCTAAGTACAAAGTGCTCCATTAGTGGTAATCTGATTGCTTTGTCACACACGATCAAGGATGGAGATGATGCTTTCTTGAATCAAGCAGTACAGGTCTGACATGTTTACAAATACACCTAGACTATATATAACGCCGCCCATGAATGATATAAAAAGCTTATGCACCCTATGCTTTAACCTCAACCTCAACTGGAGCCGCAATTCCATTCCCGTTAACGTGTGCAACGCCATTCAGCTCATGGTTCACCCCATTCGAGATCTCTGGGATTGGTTTAGCAGACGTGGGTTCCAAGAGCAGATCCTCCTCATTGACTGTCATAGTCCAGCCAAACTCGTCCGCGATCTTGCCCCTCATGATGTTCCTGAGAGCAGTGCCAAGCCGAAGAGTGCACTCACCCGTCGTCTCCCCAAACACGAACTTCTCCCCCGTTGAAGGTCTTGCGAGTAATCGAATAGGCAGCAGGGAAGCAGCGGTACCAACGGCAATCACCTCATCCATGAACTTGCACTCGCTCCAAGGGATCTCGCGTTTCTCGACTTTCCAACCAAAAGACTTTGCAAGCGCAAGACAACTGTCCGAAGTAATACTCTGAACAATGTTCTTGCTATCCGGAACAACCACGGTAACCTGGTCGCCATTCTTCTTGATACCAATGAATCCGGAAGTCGAAAACTCCTCAATGCACGTCCGGGTCTGAGCATCTAAGTGAAGCGTAACATGAAAGCCCTGAGAGCGCGCCTTGTCCGTGTGGCGGATCACAGGAGCATAGTTTCCCCCAACCTTAGCACCACCAGTTCCCCGTGGAGCAGCGCGGTCGAAGTCCTCGATCACGCAGGCAGGGAGCGGCTGAACACCATGGTAGGTGGTTCCGGGCTGGACGTAAACTGCGAAAGTGTACTCGGTCGGGGCGGTTAAGGAAAGGTGGCCACTGGAACCGAAGACAAGCGGTCTGACATACATCAGAGCCTCACTGCTGTGAGGAGCAACCCATTCTGCGTTTCGTGCACAGGCCAATTTCACGCATTTCATGAAGTGGTCTTGTGGGATCTCGGGGATAGAGACGTAACTTGCGCTCACGGCGAGGCGGTCGGCATGTGCAGTAGGACGGAACAAAAGAATATTTCCATCCGGACCGCGGTGTGCCTTCAGTCCCTCGTAGGCTTGCTGGCCTAACGTTTTGTTACGAAAGTATGCCGAAGGGCTGCGGAAGACTTACCGTAGTTGAGTGCAGGAGCGAGACCGTGAATCTTGATGTATGGGTCTTGAATGAATCTAGGGGCACTCCACTCGCCAGTAGCGACCGAATATGTAGACTCAACGTGACCATTGACTATTAAATCAGTTAGGGGGGACGGCCCAAATCGAGTACGAGGAAAGAACACTTACCATTGTCCTGGATGGACAAGCCAAGGCGGTTCCAGTCAATGGTTTCAAGAGGAGCTGGAGGAAACATGCTGCAGGGTATAGAAAATTCTATAGTTGACCTGAGAAGTATAAAAGAAAACTTTGGAGACGCGTGCGTGTTAAGAAAATATATCCCTGAAACGGAATGAAGGTCGCAGGAATATGCTGAAGCAGGTAGGAGCAGAGCCTAGGCTGTAAATAAAGGGTACTTCCTTCGAAATAATTCCCGTTCTACAACTCCTTATCATCCAAATGGGGACATACGGAAACACCTTCTAATCTTAGACCGCCATTCCAAAGGGCCATCAGCCCTCTCAGCTTTCAGACTGAGCCTAAGGGCCCGGCCAATTGCATGCCTGCGAGTCATCATCGGAACGGAAATATCCATGGCTGCGGTTGCACGTTAGTACTCGGCTTACGATGGGGACAGCAGCGGCGGGCTAAGCTTTGCGCAGAGGATTCCCGCCCCTGTTCCGCTGCGTGGCTTGCGGCAAGGGTCTGCCCAGCCCACACTTAATCGCCGTTAGTGTGTGTATGTCAGATGTCAGATCTGTCGAGACCCGGGAGTAGACGAAAAAAGTGTCCGCGAAGGGATGATGATAGATCATGGCTGATGAAACGGGCTGACGGAAATTGTGTTGTGGAGGTAGTGGAGGCTGAGCTAGCTTACGGGTTGGAGGTTGGCGCCGGCCTTGTAAAATTGGGTGTGGCTGAAGGCGCACGTGCTTAAGAAATTGATGTCCTGGAATTTAGTCAACCCTTTCAACAAACACACCTAGGCAGGGAATGAGATGTGACGGAGAAGTCGTGAAGAGTATTCGATAGAGCAACCCGGCGTTCTTCTATCCTCTCAGCCAAGAATATTGCTGATTTGAAGAATGGGTGAGTAGAGGGAACACTAATTCATTGAGCTTGATGGGTACAATGTGTTAGGCAACCTTCGTGAATGTTCGATGCATCTGGGTGGTATATTATCACCAGCGATCTTTGGTTACATCTCAACCAGAGAATTCGTAACTGAGGCAGTGAGACTATGTGTCTCTCCAGATTAGAAGAAATTGCCCTTGAACTGTGGTCTCGATTAATTAAAGTCAAGAAGACAGAATCTCCTACCCAAACTTATCACCAGCCTTCCTCTGGGTGCATCAAGACATTATGGCACAACTTTGCCGTTATCGAAACGCTATGATACTAGGAAGTGGAATCTAATTTTGTATAATTACACAGCTCTTAGAATCTTGAAAACCGCTGACTATGCACCAACCAGGTAGAACATATATCAAACATTAAGGGAAATACAATGCAGACCCAATTCCATAACCATTGCCAAGATCATATGCAAAAAGAAGGGTACACGCATCAGTGATATCAATATTTTCCCACCTAAACGCCTGGGGCCCAAACTAACACACATCATCTATGTAGAAAGGGGTAGTTAAGCAGCCTGCACCTCAGTCCAAGTATCCAATACCCCCTTCAGCCTCTCACTCCCCGTAACCTCATAGGCATACTCAAACGCCTCCTTCGAAATATCGAATGGCCGTGCAGTGACATTGGGAATATATCGACCAATTAGCTTTTCTGGATCCATCCAGTCCTTGCGGATATTTTGCTCGAGGACCTCACGGAAGGCTGCGAGGTTGGGGCGTAGGAAGGAAGAGTGGAAGGGGACGTCAATGCCGGCGAGTGGTATGGTGGCTTTCCCACGCTCGACGGAGAGAATGTCTCTGTTGGAATTGGCGGAGACGTGTCTCTTGATGATTTCATCAATGGGGGCAGGGGAAGCGGAGGTGGCGAGTTCGTTGCAGACATCGGTTAGATTTTGGAGATTGCGAAGTGTGCCTGCGCAGACGTATTGCCTGTTTTCGACGTTGTAGTTAACGATTTCGAGAAGAGCGGCGGTCTCGGTGCTGAGAGCCGTCACAATTGCTTCTAGTTTTCTAACATCAAAGCCTTTGGTGACCCGACTCGGATCCACTGCCATCATACCAAACTCAGAGCGGCCTTCCTCATCGCGCTCCACAGCGACTTGCATGGACAAGCCCCTGTAAAATACAATGCTGAGGATCTGCTCCATCGGCATCATATTCGCAATGGCACAAAGGGCGGCATACTCTCCGAGTGAATGGCCTGCATATTTGCTATTGTCACTGATTAAGCCCTTCTCGTCCATATCTGCAAAGGAAGCCTTCTCCATGACCGTGAGCGCGGGTTGCGCGAACTCGGTCGAGAAGAGCAACCCCTTTGGGTGACGGTAGGTGTATGAAGGGCTGTGCTCGTTGATGTCGAAGAAGCGTTTTGTTGTTTTGTTGCCAGATTTATCATAGGAGTCATAGGTCATGGAAAGGTAATTCTTGCGAATAGCGGCTCCTCGCTTTCCGCCGAAATGGATAGTGAGTTGCTTGGGATTTTTCTTGACGATATCGGAGATACGGAAACCTGATTGCATGCATAAGCGAAGTTCTCAATTATAAGGCGTTAAGGAAGCTTACCGTAAGTCTCATCAAAGTGCTTGTCAGCACGGTCCCAGACTTGCCGTGCAGCAGTGCTCGTCTCATACAAGTCCATACCCATATTGGCCTCTTGGCTGCCCTGTCCAGTGAAGATATATGCAGTCTCGGTTGGCTCGACTTCACATTCTCCAACAAGCACCTTCTCCTGACTAGCTACATTGCGTGCCTCTACCTTGATGATCTTGTTGCCCTCTAGCATAGCTATGTGCTCGAGGTGAACTTCAATGTTATCGCCCGCCTTGATCATACCACTGAACGAAGCACTGAAGTTTCGCATAGCGGTTAAGTTGTTCTCCGCGCAACGCATTTCACAGATGCTGCGAATAATGGCGCTAGAATGCATGCCGTGTGTGATTGGACCTGGAAGACCAGCATACTGCGCAAAGGCTGACGAAACGTGGATCGGGTTGAAGTCTAGTGAGATTCTTGAATAATCCCCATTGTCCTTGGGAGCAGCGAAGACGAATCCCTCTTCAGAGTTGTCAAGAGAGACCGGGCGTTCGAGCATGATTCGCTTTTGTACAATTGTCCCATGCCGTTCGAGGTAGCCCATGACTGGATTTCCGGCCGCAGTCGGCATAGAGTTGGCAAGTGAGTCGTAGTGGATTGTGCCAATTTCAGCTGGAGCCTTGGATTCCTTGGAGCTTGCGAAGACCTTCCCGATGGTCCTGATGCGGCTGTGCAGGCCCTTTGCCTTGAGTGCGGAGAAAGTCTCCAGCTCAAAAGTTAGAGTCTTCTCAGACAGCTCGTCAGCCTCTATCGGGTCACGGAATGTGATCCACTCCTTTGATAACAAAAGGTTAGCCTGACTTGCTGAGGTGAACTGCACTTTTCGTGTCTCTTCCTTACGAGTGGTGAATGACTCGGAGAAGTCGGTGTAAGTTCCTCGATAGAAGAATTCCGAGACAACATCCATAACCGGAATGCGGTCTCTGCTGATTGTTGCGCAGATCTCCACAGTCTTGCCAGTATCACCGATCGTAATGGAGGTAGTTCGAGCAAAGCTCTCCGTCTTGTCGCCAACTTTCAAAGGATTAGCTCCAGGGTGCATGTGGAACTTGTTAGACAAGTGGACGAGCTTCAAAAGATCTCCATGTACAAGCAGAAGAGCTTTCATGATAGCCTTCCAGCCAACCACAATAGCGAAGTCCATGGGGATCAAGCCGTTGGGGTCCGTTCCCCTCATACCACCACCAATGGTTTGCATGAACTTCTCAACAAGGCCCTGAGTAATAACAAGCTCTCCACCATTGGCTTTATAAGTTTGTCGCCCAGCTGGTAGAGCAGGCGTCTTGTAGGCCTTTCCAACCCAGAGCTTCTTGTAGAAGTCGCAGATACGATCCGTACGGCCTTCAGTATCCTCGTGCAACAAAGAGTGGGGAGTCTCCGGGTGGTACGAAAATCGGAACTCAAGGGGGATGGGCTCATTCAAGGCATTCTCGTAGCAGTACATGCGCAGGATGATCTTGTTACCAGGCTCAGTAGCAATGGACAAGTCAGTTTGGGTGTTACCATTGCTGCTCATTGTGATGGAGACGTAGTTGTGTCGCAATTTGTCCGTGATCATAACGGAGAGGCCTGGGGTAGGAGCAAAGGCTTGCCGGATAGGGTTCGGAATCATCGAGTGACCGCTCATAACAGTCTTACTTTTGAATACTGCGTATCTCCAGGAGAGTTTCTTACCAGCAAGTAAATCAAACCAAGAATCTGGAGAGGGTAGCTCTTGAGCATCTGAAGGGATCTTAAAGGTTGTAGCATTGGGCTCAGTGACAATCTGAAGGCCGTGTTGTTGCCTGGCCGACTTTCGTGAAGTGTGATGACCAAAGAACTCTACAAAAGGAATCTTCTGTCGCATGCCCCCATAATTCTGCTGTAGTATCTGCTCAAGGTGGCCGTCTTTTATATTATCTAGGATAACCTTGACTGGCTCGTTGATGTTCTCAGGCGTCGCATATGTAACTGCCACAGGGCCTTGGAGAATGCAGGTCCGCTGCACATCCTCATCGACAACAGCGTCGACGAACTCAGACTGCCAGAGAGAATCTTTCTTGAACCAGGTCTCAAAGTTATTGTCCAGAACGGGGATGAACGGGACTGGCTTCTGACCAGGTCTGCGGCAAATAGACAGGAAGAAGTCTTGATCTTCCTGATTAATGAGTTGAGTTTTGCTCTCCTGGTAAGCCTGAGAAAGGTTTCTCAAAGCCTCGAATGGTTCGTCAAAGTCGGCATAGCTCGTGAAGATGGGTTGTGTCAATTCCCAGTTGGAAAGCGGCAATCGCTCTTCAATGCGCCGGACGAAATCGCCAAAGAGCCGGATATAAGAAGGATCGATCCACTGGGAGCGCTTGCTGAGGTATAGTAGGTTGACCATACGTCTGGCAATATCGGCGTAGGTCATGTCTTTAAGATCGACTGCCCTACTGGTCGAATAGTCGTAACCGAACCAGACCTTCTGGAAATCCTTGTTGAGGCGTTCTATGATGTAGTCGCGCTGTCCCTGTATCACGGAGAGCTGCTTCTTCTTATCGAGAGAGAAGATCTTCTTGTCCATCTCAGCCCAAAATTGCACACCACGAGTAGCGATCTTGTGGATTGGCTGGCCCATCTCAGACTTGACGGTGATGATGCCTTTGCACGACTGCCACATGGCATCCTCAACACCCTCGCAAGCTGCAATAGCCTGCTTGGCTGCAAGAGAAGTATGAGCCTCCTTCGCGACCATCATGCGACTGCCGAAAAGAACACCATCAAAAGGCATGGGAGGTTGGTTGAACTTTGCCGCCCAGGTTCCGGTAAGATAAGGGAAGGTGTCGTCTGCTCCACCGAATCCACTTCCCGCAACCAAGATGATGTTTGAACACCTCCTGATAGCAGCGTAAGTCTGGAGGATGGGTTGGTGGAAATCTTCCGTGGAGTGATGGCCTCCTCCTCTTCCTCCGGTCCACTGCATCATAATCGGGAAGTTAGGGTGGGCTTTAGCAATCGTAATGACAGCCTTGATAGCGTCCACATTTCCTGGTTTAAATGAAATATGCTTCAGACCGAGATCCTCGATATAGCCTGTAGCAACGTCGAGAGACGGGACACCGGCGCCGAGTGTAATTCCATCGATTAAGGTTCCTTGGGCGATGAGACTCTTGACTAACGGGATTTGCCATTGAATAGCTCGGGGAGCGGAATAGATCAAGTTTAGAGTGATTCCTTTTCCGGCGGGAATGAGTTGCTCGATCATGCAAATAGCCTTAACGAGCGCGTCTTCATTGTGATAACCTCCGGCTGCCAGCTCAACATGATAACCAGCATTGATGACAGCTGCGACAAAATCAGGGTGAACAGTGGTAGGAGTCATGCCCGCAACCATAAGTGGTGGCACACCTAACAGCTGGCTCATCTTCGTACTGACCATTGTCCTTCCTGATGCATCAGAGAGCAGGCTCGGTTCGAAGTCTCGCAGCCAATCAGCCGACTTCTGAGTTGAGACTTCAGAAGGCGCATCAAATAGGTCTGGCTTGTAGCCAACATGTGGAAGAGATCCTTGAAGGGGCCCAGCAAGAATGACACGAGTTCCAGTTCCTTCCTTTGATCGGTGGAGGAGTGTACCAACCCCAGAAGTCTCACCAGGACCAAAGTCAATAATGCAGCTGCGGGTTGGGAAAATGGTCGCAGCTGGCCAGTCGACCATTTGGGTGGTGATGGCGTCGGTGAGAATGGGGAAGAGGGCCTCCTCCTCAACTTCCCTCAAGTCCCGACCTGTCTTGCTGTCATATACGGGGATTAGAAGATCACTAGGCTTGATCATAATAGTGTGGCGCATCATGTCATCTACAATGATGGACCTGGATTCCGCGAGATAGAAGGTATGGAAAGGGGCGGTGATGGGTAGAAACCGCGTGGTGAGAGCTTTCGAGCTGGGCTTTGCCTTTTGCTGGACATTTTTCAGCTCCTCAAGCCAAGAAGCTAGGCTCTTCAACGACTCTGGCGGACCACCAACAACGATGTTCGACGGTCCATTGACAAGAGCAATGGCTACTCGTCGGTTCTCAGGGAGATGTTGGTTGAATGCCTTGATCTGCTTCTCGAGGTCTGCTCGGTAGAGATGCATTACATTCATCATCGGCGTTGGGTCCTCTTCGGAGTTGTCCAAGTCCACCATCTTCTGCCAAGCAGTCTTCATTGGAAATTTTTGCTGGCTGCGACAGCCGGTGTAGAAAAGCGCAATCAGACATGATCTGAATGCACCTTCAAAGTCGTCCCACGTCCTGCAGGTTGCAATACCTGCCGCAACAATGATGCCCTGGCTGTGACCAGTCGATCCGTGCAAGTTCTCGACCACCTCTCCTGGTGTGAGTTGCCAGATCTTGCAAGCAACGTAAAAGCTGGCCAGCTGGCCTAGAGCAATTAATGGAAAGCTGACAGGCGCCGAGAGCAAGTACTCTGGATCTGGAGTCGTTTCCGGTTTCTTTAACCAATTGAAGAAGTCCAGGCCCTTCGGGTATTGGTTAATTGTCGTCTCGTCGTCAAGAAGCTGTTCGAAGATCATTGACGCGTAATCTAGGATATCGTCTAGGAGGCAGCCGTATGTCGCATATAAATCTCGTAGTTCTTCGAAGTAGTGCTGTGTGTTTCCCTGACCACCGAAGACTGTGTATATGGGTGTTCGCTCGGATGGATGTGATGCTGCGAAAAGATGCGGTATGCGGTTTCCCACAGGCCGTTGCATGAGATGCATAGCCTCGTAGTATGATCTTATGACATCTTGTTTATTTGCTAGCTCCGACGTCTCTCCTGGCAGCTCTGCAGCGCGGGTGTGGATGTCCTTACCCTGCAGATGCTCGCTTGCTAGCTTCTCCACTACTTTCGAAAACAGCTCAGAGGACATAGTGGTCGACGCATCTTCGCGGCTGGCAAGAAACCTCAGGAACTGCACCAGGAGTTGCAAGTGAGATGACGGCTCCTGAAACTTCTTGTCTGTGTAACACGTGAGAAAGTCATTTCGCCTGCGGCAGGCAAATAGCCTCAGGTGTTCAGGCACGGGTAGCTGGAAGTTTACACTAGCATAAGTGCACTCGACGACATACTCGGCCTCCTTGTTGTCGGCGGGCAGGCGTGGTGACGCGAAGCCGAGAGCCTCCATTGTCTAGAATTGTGAACGAAAGTAGGCAGGTGTTCGAGGCTGAGATAGACGATAGAATAGATTGGGTATTAAGTGGCAACGAGTGAATCCTGGGTATATACAAAGAAGCGGCAATTGCAAATGAAAGAGTCTCGGTGTAAAGGCAAGGGAGAGATGATGTATTTGCCCATATTATTTCTCGCTCGAAGGCACGAGCATGACCCCAGCGACCTTCTAAGCAGTTCGTGATGTTGGCCGAGTTAGTGCAGCTTACGTGCTATATCGGGATGATTGGATGTTGGTGGAAGGTTTGGGGCTGAGTGTTGTTCCCCGGATGGACTCAGATGTCTGTGCTTGCCGCTTAAGGTGGCTGACAACCAAGGGCATGGACGCAAGGCCGAATGAGGCGTGCCGGAGTAGCTTTCTTCGCTCAATACAATACCATATTTTCGATACAATACGAAACGCACCGCGCTTATGGTAGAAATAAGGCAGGCAGGGGCTTGCACAGCGGGGCACAGACCGCTACATCATGGAGTTCGACTTTTGCCGCGCCGCGTCTTTGCCCCCCCTGTTCTCAGCCCCCCCCCCCTGCAAAGCTTGTTCATCGTTTCACACGAAACCTAAAAATGACGATGGCTGAGATGTGCCACTGATAAAATCCCAGCCTAGGTGCCTGGAACGCCCCCCGCTCCGCTCCTTGATCCATCCCCGCTCAGACGCGCAACCCGCGGGCACGCCCAAGATGAATGGTCGGACTCCGTTGGCTGGCTGGCTGGCTGGCCAGCTGGCACCAGCGAAGTGGATCGCGCGTCGCTGTCTAGCCGTCGCTGAGCAGCTGGGGGAGAGTTGGAATCAATCATCCTTGGCGGGAAAGTGGGGTTGGCGTTGAAAATTTGAGACCCGGGCTTGGTGTTAATGAGAGCATGGGACATTGCTCGGGGACGGGGTTGAGAGAGAAGACAGTATACTGAAGAGTGTTACTTAAGGCTAGAATTAAAAGAAATAAGAGGATTCTCGTTACCTACCAAAACAAGAGTCACGCGGAATCGTAGTCTAGAAACACTCACCGCATCCTCCCATGAGATCATGGATAGGTAGGCTTACCAAAAAAAATACAGATTTTCTAAGGCGGAGGCGTTGACACGATCTAAAAATGGAAGTCATTGTATTACATTGTCACTGAGTACTATCTCGGGTGAAGTTTACCTTCCAAGCTGCCGACATTTCGTGATATAGTTGTTACCAACTTTGGTGGAAGGGGTACTGATTTATGGCCATAAGGCGGTCTTCGCAGTTTGAGGGGAATTGTGGAGATTCTGAGAGCACAGGGACGATGAGAAACCGAGTTAATTGCCCAAAGGAGGGTATCTGGGGGTGTGTATGATTAAGGGAGCGAACTAGGTAGCGTAGAACTATAGTACGCTGTAGGATTAGGGTATTGATGCTAGAAACATACATTATAAAATAAAGCTGAACATCAACCCTGGGCTATTTACAGTGGAAGATTTAAATAAAAAAAAACCCTAACGAGTGACCATCTATCCCAACCCAGAATTCTAGATGTGGCCAAAGTTTCATCCAAATACCACACATAATGCACCAAATCAAATATATGCAGACCCAAGTCGAAGTATTATTTACATCTCCATGCTCATAGGCAACCTCGCATCCGGATTCGTCAAGAACTCAGTCTCCATCTCTTTGCTATAGGGTGGATCATCCTTAGCCCTGAACATCGTGTTGGTCATCATCGATTTATGGAAGTGATGGTAAGCCTTGTCCTGCCTCCTCCGCACCTTCTGGAGGTAGGCGTCGTATGCATCCTTGCCTGCAGCAGCAAAAAGGTACTTGGGGTGAACGCCGATAGCCTGGGCGCCCTTCTGGCCGAATCCGAAGGAACTCACGATGAAAGCTTTGACTTCCTCACTGGTCTGGATCGTCTCGTTAGGGAAAGCGATATGGTCGAACTTCTCGAGAGCATTGTCGATATTGTCGGCGTTACGGTTACCGGGAATCATGCTAGAGTTCATGATCTGGAGGGCGCCGTTGAGCATCCAAGCAGCTGCAGCGCCCTTAGGGTGGCCTGTAAGATGCTTCTGGAAGACGGCCATGACCGGATTGCCCTTGGTCCTGCCAAGCTGGGACATCTGCTCTTGAATAACGCTACACTCATTGAGCTCATTCTTGACCGTTGAAGTGCCATGGAATGATGCAACCTGGATGTCATCAACAGTAAGACCCCAGGTAGCAAGGGCACCACGCATAGGTGAGATCTTAGAATCTCTCTTCCAGAATTCGTTTCCGTAGCTGTTAAGCACCTCTTGCCGTTGTTTTTGAGCTTCAGAGGCAATCGCCTCGACACGGTGTTGACGGTAGGCATCGATGTCAAAATTGACCTGGCCGGATTTGTAAGACGAGATTTCTTGTTGGAGGTAATCGAGCTCAGATTGCTGGTTTTCCTTGATCTGGTTCATACGGAGGTCGATTTGACGCTTGCGGTAGGTAATGTTCAGGAGCGGAGATTCAAAGCTACTCTTGGACGCGCCGCTGATATTGATGATGCCACGCCCAGGGGCAGGAAGAGACCTCCCTGCTTTGTCGCTAGCTGTGCGCGTCATTGCGATGACACCATGGATGGGAAGACCCATCTCAAGCGCAAGTTTCGCGTTTGTGAGCAGTTGGATGCCACAACCCTCCGACTCCACGAACCCACTTCGAGTAGTGGTCGCAGGACGAGACATTTCCTGGGGAGTCCTGCCACGTGCAAAGTCCTCATCGGTGTTGTTGGTTGCTTTCATGTTAGCGAACTCATAAGCAACGTCTTTAGCAAGGTAGTCGTATCCGCCAACAACCACAGCCTTAGCCTTTCCGCTAGAGATAACTTCGTAGCCGACGTCAAGTGACTCGAGAGCAGTTGCGCAGGCACCAACGGGGGTGATGTTTGGTCCACAGGACGATAGCAGTAACATGTTAATCCACGCACTGCCAGTGTTGATGAAAGACTCTGCCAGAACGTCGTTCTGAACCGCTTTGTCCATGAATCTCTCCTTATAGATTCCTTGCAGCGATGCAGCTCCTCCGAAACCAGAGCCCACACATACACCAAGTTGAGAAACATGAATGTACTTGTAGAACTCATAGGGATCTGTCACGCCGGCAGATAGCATTGCTTCGGCTGTGCAAACCAATGCATACAGTGTCGCAGGATCAACCTGGTTTATAATGTCGTCCGTAATACCATATGTTTTGGCACACCAGCCGGTAGGGACTTGGCCGCCGACGGTGCGATCAAAAACTAACGACTTCGGTACCATCAACCGAGCTCCCTTGTGGAGAGTGACCATGCAGCTTTCCGATCCAGAGATGGGCTTGATGGTAACCTTGCTACCATTTTCACGGAGCAGGTCAGCTGCACTTTCCTTCGAAACTTCGAAAGGAGCGAAGTCGTGTTGGAGGTCGATCTCGTGAAGCACCTGCCGGGCAGCTGGGTCGGGTCCATCGAGGGTCCGAGCATCGAGAATGCGGATGCCGCTGTGCTTGAGAATGTGATCCTCATACTTTTGTTTGATCTCGCAATCGGTGATTGGCTTCTTTGTGTCCTTCTCGATCCAGCCGCTGTATGGAAGGCCTTCGGTGCTCTGATACTCAATGAGTCCCATCATCCAGGCCATCTCGATGAAGCCTTCTAACGAAAATTGACCCTGGGATTCCATTTGCCATCGAGTGCGGGAGCTTCCGTGAGGACCGACTTCGCCGAATCCGACAACAACAACGACCTTCTCAAGGTCAATCATCCCTTCAAGTGCGGAGAGCTCCTGAACTTCAGAAGTATAGTTCGGAAGATTAGGGAAGTCAAACTTGATGTTGGCCCTCTTCTTGAAGGGGTTGGCGAACTGCTTGGTGGGGGAGAGCGGTCCATTGCCGGGCTTATCAAATTCAGCTCTCTGCTCCTTAACCAATGCCCGGCGGCTAGAGCTAATATCAGCAATTTCCTTCCGTATTGTTGCAACCTCATCCTTTAGGTTCGGGAAAGTGCTCATTCCGCCACTTAGATCAGCCATGAGTGGTTCAGTCTGTGTAACTTCGAGCAACGGTGAGGCCATCAGACTCATGATGTTCAGAGCCATTTCATCTTGCGAAAAGGTCTTAACACCTAAAGCCTCCACGCCCTCAGCGACCATATCGTTGTCATTCATCAAACTGGTACCTCGAGTCCAACCAATGATTGCACCACAGATAGACAGATACTCAGACCAGTCCTCAGTGTACCATTTGTTTAAGAGACCCTCTAGACCCAGTTTCGATTCGGAGTAGAGGCCATCTCCTCCAAAAATACCGTGGTTAGGAGACAAAGGCAGAAGGACCTGCGCTGGTCGGGTCGTGATGCGATGGCTCTCTTTGGCCTTCTTGATGGCTCCAAGAAGACGAAGAGTGTTCGTGAGCATCACGCGATGAGCAAGTTCAGACTTTGGTCCAAGCTCAACACCATTAGCAGTCTCAGAAATGGCTGCAAACGGTATGACGTGATCTAGATCCCACTCACACTCACCAAGGCTGTAGATGTACTGGATAAGAGCCTCAGTATCTTGTTGGCTACCCTGGTTATATGGCACAACCATCAAACTAGATCCCTTGGAACCGAACTTGGAAAATATGTGCTGGTAGAACTTGGTGGCTCGGGAGTACGAGCTCGTTGTGACCATGACCTTGGCACCTCCTGAGAGTAGCCCCTGCACAATCTTGGCCCCAATGGATCCCTTTCCAGCACCCGTAACGAGCACATTCTTGCCTTGAAATGCTAGGCCGGATGATATCGAACGATTGAGGATGTTTGCATATTCGGCGGTCAAATGCTTAGATTCCTTCCACGCTCCGCCGGATTTCTGCTGGATCTGGGGGTAGTAGGAAGTCCGCACACCAACACCGTCCGGAAGGGAGGCAAGGTCGGAGTCGGAAGAGTTGCTAGGAGTCATGATGGGGGTCAAAGATGGCGTCATGGCGGGTGTAGGAGGCAAGAGCCCGAGACCAAATGGGCCAGGAATAGAACCGTGGTCTTTAGTGTTCTTAGCAACAATCGCAGCTTCGAAAGCCTTTGACTCAGCGGTTGGGTTGTGAGTACGAGGGCGAGCGCAGGTTGCTTCAACAAAGTTGATGGATCCGTTAGCATCAATGGTTGTGTGCGGCGCAGTGATCTTGCTCGATGCGACATATGTTGGTGCTTGTAACAAGGCCGCTTTGCAGTCCACTAACAGGTCCTCAAACCAGAGCTCGACAGCAATCGACCGCGCATGCTGCTTCTTCATATCATCTAGCATATGAGATAGCACATTGATTAGCCGCTTGCTGGTGCGATTAAGCAGCGCATGTCGACGTCGTCCAACCTCCTCGGATTCAAGGCGGAGGTAACCTTGGCGCACACCATGGTAAATCTTGAAAAGATCCTGCAAGGCCCAGTTCCAGAATGAGTCATATACTCGAGCTTTCCGTTTATCGAAGTACGGCTTGATGCCGTTCGCATATTCGTTTCCATGCTCCAAGTTCCACAGGTCAAGTTCGTTCTGCAGGTTCTGCATGTCACTTCGGAGCTGTGCGACTTCTTCGGCATCACCATTCTTCTCACCAAGATGCCTTGCATAGGCTTCATAAACCTCACGGTGGAAGTCGTTGGAGCGCTTGTTCAGCGAGTCAAGAGCCTTGGGGTCGATGGCAACAGCCGCGGAAGATGTACCAGGAACACCAGTTGCAGTCTTTTGGATCTGAACCCCGGTCACCGCGATGTATCCCTGGACGGTGTTTGACCAGAACTCTTTCGCCTCGCCTTCGGAGCCTAAACGAGCTGTCGGTGGGCTCTGGAGAGCGACGAGGAAAATGGCGTCCTGACGGCCAGCGGCGAATCCATAGTCGCCCTCGAGAATTTCGCGGGCTTTCGTCTGGTTGAACCCTCCAGGCATCTTGGAGGCGAAGAACTTGTCGACAAGCGACTTCGTGCGCTTGCCCAACGCACCCGTGAATGTCTTCTGGAGAATTGAGGCCAGGTCATTCAGCGGCAGCTCCTCAACTCCGTCCGGCGTCGACCCGAACTCAGTGTCCAGGTCTCCGGTGATCTCATTCTGCAAGGTTGACCTTCCTGTTCCCAAGTCAGTGTTCGATGTCGCGGCTCCCATCGTCGCGGAGCAAACTCACCTCCTGAAAGGGTCTTGACGGAGCTGTCAAATGCGACATCCTTCGCGGGCTTCTTTAGCGCGAGGGACACGATAGTTCTTATAATATCCACTGCCGCAATAGGCGTGTCTTCCACCGGACACACAGTGACGGGTGTAGCACTTGATGCTGGCGGGGACGTCGCAACGATTGGCTGTTGAGTCTCGGCCGTGGGGGGTGCGGGGCTGGGGCTTGTCGCTACTGCCTTCTGTGCCCCGCTTGGATTATTCTCCTTTACCTGGCCAACAAAATAGATGTCGTCCTTGTTCTTCTTCAGCGATAGGAAATCACGAGAAATCGAGTTCGCCGTGTCGAAAGGGCGGTACACGAGGTCGCGTGTCCGCTTCATCATGTTCGTCAGTGTCTCCGCCGGGCCGATCTCAACCGTCTTGCGGGTCTGAAATTCAGAGAGCAACAGATCCTGTGTCTCCGTCCATCTAACTGGCGAACAGAACTGGTGTCTGTGACGTGTTAGTGCCAGACGCCCTTCAAGCAAGAGCAAGGAAGACGAACGCAAGAAGCTCGATGAGCAAAGTGTGGCAAAGCTCTTGACGCCTTGTTATGCTTTCGTAGGTGTTCATAGTTGCAATCAAGCGAGCCTAGGCTCGAATGCTGAGAGAAAAGCTGAAGGAAAAACAGGGATGCAAGAGATGAGCAAGTATGCACAGAAGGAAAGACTGAATCTGAGGAAGTATCGAACGATTGACTGCTGATCGCGGAGGTTTCTGGTTTGTGAGAGCCGGGCATCTGGGGAAGATATGTATCTATCCAGCATCTTGTCTTGGGTAGTCCAGGTACCAGTCTACCAAATTTGGTGGTTTTCGATCACGCTAACCGAGTCGGGAAGCGAATCCACTCCGCCCCAACAGTCCGCTGGCTAGTCCGCTGGCTGCTGACGCCTTACCAAGGCTCCGCTCAAAGCGTCCTCTTACCTTTTTGGTGGCTATTCCAGGGTATGCTGAGTGAGATGTGAAACGCATCAGCCTCCCTTAAGGTCATAATTAGGGAGCACGGAGCTTCCGACGGAAGGGAATTTACCACCATTACAGGTACGTGCATGCTCTTCTCAGCCCAGCCCATACCATCCCCACGTGGCAATGTGACAAGCACTACCAGGGGTTTGCAAAGTACCTGGTCGAGGCTCCGGGGCCTTCTGTAGAGCTCAAACACACTATGACCTGTGCTCCAATGCGAAGCATTCCGCCATCCATTATGTTGGCCTGCCCAGTCCGCCGCAACGGATTTGACAGGACACTGACGTGAAACCTCAGACTTCACAGTACTACAGCCGAGTATTCGCCTTAGCCTCCTGATCTAACCCCTCCTTGACCTATGGGCAGCTGAGTCGGCCAATTTACCAATAAGAGTTATTTTAGAGCCCAGTTGACTTTCGGAGTGGCCTGTGGCAGGCCTTTTTTTAGAAACACCGCAGCTTCACACCATTCAGCACTGGGCTACCGCTTGTTCGGACGCTGATACCTCCACCACAGGAGATTGCTGCTGGAAGTGAAATCTGGACACCAAGTCAACCGCAGTCCATGCTTCTATGTTCGGTTGCTGGACTATGATGTGATCTTGGTAGTACCCCTTTTGATTACTGCCTGAAGGTGGAGTGATCAGACGGCACCAGAGCGTGGCTTGTTCAGGCAGTAACAGGGCCCCGAACGTGGTTGAGTTCAAGCGAGGATTGTATATATTGGTGCGGCTAGAGAAAATTCTCCATTATCACCATCGCCTTCCTTACAGTTCTTTCTTCTGAGTTCATCTTTTCTCCTTATCTGTTCTATCGTATTCATTCCCACAATGTCGAGCTCATTCGAGGTCATTCCTCCTTCGGTTCCAGCCCTTGGTTCGAGCCGAAACATATTTGCCTTAGCTAAGAGCATTGCTTCTCAGCGAAGTGTCGCCCTTGCCTCTTCATGCCTTATATTAGGTCTCTCGCTATACTTCATCTGCAACTTCATATATAATATCTACTTCCATCCTTACGCCAAGTACCCTGGCCCGTTCTTGGCCAAGTTCACAGATCTCTACTCTGGTTACCATGCTTGGAAGGGTGATATTCACCTCGACATGTGGAGATGTCACCAGAAGTATGGTGACAAAGTTCGATATGCACCGAACCGCTTAAACGTGAACACTGTTACCGGTCTCAAGAGCGAGTTGCATCATTCTCACGAGTTGGGCCTTCTACTAACGATGGCATAGATATCTACAGCCAGGGCAAACCTTACCTCAAAAGCAAGAACTACTCGGCTATGGTTCACCAGGCTACGAACACCCTTACTGTTCGTGATAGGAAAGACCACGGCCGCCGAAGGCGGGTCATCCAACAGGGCTTGTCCGACGCAACCCTTCGAGCCTTCGAGCCCTACATGTACGAGATCATCAACCGTTTCTGTGACCGCGTCATCCAAACCGTAGAAGAGGAGAACACTGCCAAGGCCAATGGCGAGTCTACCGAAACCTTCAAGGACCAGAACTGGAAGAACCCAAGGAACATGTCGGAGTGGTGCAACTACCTCGCATTCGACCTCATGGCATCCTTTATCTTCTCCGGAAAGTACAACATGCTCGAAAAAGAACAGTACCGATATGTTGTTCAGGTCATCGAGGCCTCGAACATTCGCGTGGCTTCCATTCTTCAAGCTCCCATCCTAAAGATGTTCCGTATGGATAAGCTTCTCTTCCCTCAAGCCATTGTCGCTCGCAACGTTTTCCTCCGTTTCGTAGGCAAGCTTCTCCGTGATACTAAAAAGAACGACCGTACTCAGCGTAAAGATCTTTTTGAGATGCTTTCCCACGCAAAGGACCCGGAATCTGGGAAGGGATTCACTCCAGAGGAAATCATTGCTGAGAGTACAACACTCGTCGTTGCTGGTGCTGACACCTCTGCCACTGCTATGGCCGCAATCTTCTTTTACCTTAGCCGTAACCCAGATGCCTACGCCCGCGCCTCAGCTGAAGTTCGATCTACATTCAACAGCCTCGAGGAAATCCAGGGTGGTTCCAAGCTCAACAGCTGTCGCTACCTTCGCGCTTGCATTGATGAGGCTATGCGCATGTCACCATCTGTCGGACAAGCCCTCTCTCGAGAAGTGCCAGCTGGTGGCGCGATTGTCGATGGCGACTTTATTCCTGGAGGCTGTGACGTGGGTGTCCCAATCTATAGTATTCACCACAAAGAGGACTACTACCCGGATCCGTTCAACTACAACCCTGACCGATGGCTTGTCGAGAAAGATTCATCACAACAGGTCATGGATCAATACGCTGCATACAATCCTTTCTCAGTCGGTCCAAGAAGCTGCATGGGCAAGGGTGTGGCGCTCGTCGAGATGATGGCGACGTTCGCTGTGGTGCTCTACAGGCTAGACTTCAAAATGGCTGCAGCTGACGTTGCTGGTGGCCGACCTGGAAAGGAGTTTGGCAGGCACCGATCAGATGAGTTCCAGTTGAGGGATCACATCACATCGGCCAAGGAGGGCCCAATGCTGCGGTTCCGCCCACGCATTAGTGCATAAGCGAAGAGTTTTTTTTTGGTTGTCGGGTCTCGATTCTTGTGTACATCTATATCTCCAACATGGATTCTTTTTTTTAGCATTTCACATAGAGCATCTTCTATCTAGTTCCAGTAAAAATTTCAATTGTTGATATTTATTTTGGCCCTGATTGCGAGAGTACGGTGTGGATCGTTCGGGTGCGAAAATTTGTTACATTCCTAGCATAGCAGCCGCTGCTAGAAGAGAACCAATCGCCAGAATCGCCGTTATTTTGATGCAAGGCATGCAAGACAGAGTTCATAGTCGACTATAGATACGTGGAAGCATTTATTTTAGGTAAATAACCTCATATGCTCATTAGAACTTGTCTCATGAATGTGCTCCACGCTTCTCTCGAAGTCGCCGCGCAGGTGCTGTATTGCGAAATACGCAATTCACAATCGCCTGCTATTTTAGGAGAATGTGATCACAGCATTGCGATCAAATTTCGCGTTTCGGAGGCCTTCAGTTTCACGTCTCTCAACGCCAACTCCTATTTCCGTATAGGGAGGCATTTTTGTTCGCGTTAGCATTTTTTTCAGAATTCTTACGTGCATCGACTGTCTGTCAGGCTGGATAGGATTCGAGGCTAAACAACGTCCCTGGTGGTCGCGGCCCTGGGAGCACCCCTGCCTGCCCCTCACACCAGCAGGTGGTAATTAGCACAGTGCTGAACGTACGCCACATTTATCAATCATGCTCCCTTTCCGGCAGGCGATTTGAATTCCATTCTTAGCGCACAGACTTCCGCTGTCAGCGAGCGGAAAGCTTGGCTTCCGTAGTCGTGTCCGCAGTTCTTGTGGCGCTGACAGGGGTGGGCACAGCGCTAGGAACTTCCACCTGCTCACAGAATGTAAGCTCAACATCCTTCCAAAAATACCCTAACCTGAGCCTCAACCTCATCTCCACTAGATCTGAGCAACTACACTAACCCGAAATCGGTAGATCCGTGGCTCATTCTCTCGTCGGTGCCCGGTTCAACCATTTCTATCAGTGCTGTCCAAATTCGTTGTCAAAGCGCGGTGGTCTCTGTCAGCCGTGCTCGAACTCCTCCAATCCTATGATGCAGCCAGCGCCATATGTAATATGCTTATTTTGTCCCGGCGACTTCGTGGATGACTGCTGCGCACTGTACACGTTCCTTAGGCTACTGCACAGCATGTTGGCTTAGGGCCTGCCGGTCCTTTCGGGGTCCAGTCTCAGGGTCATATTGTGTGCAAGGCAGGCAGCTGCCATATGAAATGCAACATTGAGATCTAGGTTGTGTTTCGTCTCCTTTCCGCTCTTTTCTCGTCCTGTGTGCTCTAAGAATTCGGTCTTCAACTTAGAGTTACGTGAAGATGCGCTCGTTCAATAGTTGCACGATTGATACCCAGAAGGGCTTTGGGCCTTCCAACAAACATTGCTATGGCGGATTTGATTTCACTTTATATTTTGAAGAAGCTTTCCTATCCATAGTACCATTCACTATCATTCTTCCTGTTCTCATCTTCCGGTTATATCGATTGCACCAAGCACCCATCGTCGTTGGTGGAGCAAGATGGCATCTAGCCAAACAGGTGAGTGCTAAGAAGTCTCTCAAGTGAATGCCTATGTTTACAATACTTCTTGCAGGCCTGTTACATCCTCTATGGAGCACTTCAAGTCCTTTCCTTAGGCGCCATCGTTATGCCCGATACCGTCAAAACACACGCGACGGTCGCCGCCGTGGTCATCGATCTCCTAGCTACATTCACTTTAGCAGTGGTGTCTAATTTTGAGCATTACCGAAACCCTCGACCGTCCTCTCCTATCGGCGTCTTCCTTACCGTCACATTCTTTTTCAACATTGCTCGGATCAGAACACTGTTTGCGACCCATGAGGCCCAGCCACTAGGGTCCATGTTGCTAGTCGCTACACTCGTCAAATTTGCCCTTCTCTGTCTTGAGCTCAAGGAGAAACGGGAAATATTGCTCGATGAAAAAGATTTCCGAGCCCCCGAGTCAACGGCGAATTTCTTCAATCGTCTTGTCTTCTTCTGGCTGAACCCATTGCTACTTAAGGGATATTCAAAGCCCATTCAAGAGCACGATTTATTTGAGGTCCAGAGCCAGATTGTTGGAGAAAAGGAGCTGCTTGCGTTGGCTGAGAGGTGGGAGAAATATCCTTTCAAGACCCGGCCCAACAGTTTGTTCAAGCTCGCTTTCAAGCACCACGGACGAAGCTTTGCTTCCGTAATCCTTCCCCGATTATGCTACACTGGATTCAACTTTAGCCAGCCATTCCTTCTTCAGCGAGTGCTTAGCTACCTGCAGAAGGACGACTATTCAAACCGCAAATCTGTCGGCTATGGTCTTATCGCTGCCTACATTCTAGTTTACGTTGGCTTCGCCATAACTGGTGCATTACATCAGCACCGAAACTACCGCAGTGTTGCTAAGCTCCGAGGCTCCCTCATTGGGGTCATCTACAAAACTACACTAACCATGAGCTCCTCCGCTTTGACAGAATCTGAGGCTGTAACCCTAATGAATGCGGATGTTGAGCGTATCACTGTTGGTCTTCGACAGTCTCAAGAGTTGTGGGCCAGTTTCTATGAGATTGCTCTGTCTGTGTACTTGTTGTACAGGCAGATCAGCTGGGCGGCACTGACGCCGCTTGGAGTAATTCTACTCTGCACTGGCGCAGCGATCGGAGCTTCCCCAAAGCTTGCATCATCGCAAAAGACCTGGCTTGATCGTATCCAGGCTCGTGTTGACGCAACTGCTTCAATGTTGGGGTCAATCAAGGCAGTCAAGATGACGGGTCTCACGGCAGACCTAGGAACTCGGATACACAATCTCCGCGAAACTGAGATTTCGACCGCCAGGACATTCCGTGGCATGTTGGTCAAGATCACTACCTTTTGTAAGACTGAGCCTGCATCATCTATGGGTTAGGCTAATCTTGTATCCAGCTTTCGCGAGCACATCAATAAGTCCTGTAGTGGCTCTTGGAACCTACATAATGATGGCAAAGTACCAAGGATATCCTGATCTGACATTGGAGAGAGCGCTTACCTCACTGGTTTTAATGAACCTCCTCCTTGAGCCAGTGGCGTTCTTCATCACCGCTTTATCTGGGCTCATCACAACTATGAGCTGCTTTGAGAGGATTCGCCAATACCTTAATACCGAGGGAAGGATGGAGCCATCGCTATATAGACCACGAACATCATTCAGACCCGGGCCGCAGGCTGATTCCACCGTCAGCTTATCAAAAGAGGATCACCTCGCTGACATTCCCGAAGACACCCCTCTGAGCACGCCACACCCAATCAGCAAGCAACAAGGCATATTTGAGGACATCGAGATAGGAGACGATGCGACACTTGCTTCTCTGAATGTAAGACGCGATTGCATCGTTGCGGAAAACGCTAGCTGTGGATGGGATGCGGAGAAGACACCGACGCTCATGAATTTGAACTTCAACATCAAAGAGGGGAGTCTGACTATGATTGTTGGTCCTGTCAGCAGTGGAAAGTCGACTCTGCTTAAGGCCATATTGGGGGAGATGCCGATCTCAAAAGGGCTGCAACGATCATTTTATACCGAGGTCTCTTACTGTAGCCAGAGCCCGTGGCTTGTGAATGGGACTTTGAAGGATAATATCATTCACGGGTCGGATTTTGATCCAGTTTGGTATGATACTGTCATCAAAGCCTGCGATCTTGAGACAGATATCGGCAACATGTCCCTTGGAGACGAGACCGTTGTTGGTAGTAAAGGCCTCAGTCTGTCTGGTGGACAACAGCAACGAGTAGTAAGTTTATTTCTCCTTAAAAATTGGGTTTCGCACCTAACCTGCGATATCAGGCACTAGCTCGCGCGGTTTATTTTCGCAGAAGTATCGTTCTCATTGACGATGTCATGAGCGGTTTAGATGCATCAACCGAGGAGCATGTTTTCGAATCCATTCTCGGTGACCACGGCCTTTTGCGTGGTACTGACACAACTGTCATATATGTTACCAACGCTGTCCATCGACTCTCACAGGCGGACCATGTCATCGCCCTTGGCTCCGACGGAACCATTACTGAACAGGGTGCATTCGAGGACCTATACCAGCAAGATGGCTACATCGGCAATCTATCTTACAGCGGACGCTCGATCTACAAACAAGACGAACCCAAGCAAACGATCCAGGGCTTCAAGCAATCTTTGATTCACCGGAGAGAAACGGAGAAGGTTGAAGAGGAGAGCGCAGCTGGAGATCTCACCATCTATGCATACTATATTCGAACATTTGGATGGGGCCGATGGTTCATCTTCTGCTTCTTCTGTGCCCTTTACGGATTTGGAACAGCCTTTCCTAATGTATGGGTCAAATGGTGGGCCGGATACAACCAAGAGCATCCCAACACCAAGATTGTGTACTACCTTGTCCTTTACACATTCTTCGCTCTACTAGGTCTTGGTTCGCTCGTCGTTGCTTGCTGGACACTGATCATGACCATGACTCCGCACGCCGGCTGGAAATTGCACCAACGTCTCCTCACTACCGTCCTCAATGCCCCAATGTCTTTTTTCGCTTCTACAGATACAGGTATCACTACCAACCGTTTCAGTCAAGACCTAGAACTCATCGACATGGAGCTTCCTGTCGCGCTGATTCGAACCGCGATGATGTTCTTTGTCCTTTTCGCTCAGCTTCTCGTCATCCTAGCATCAGCGAAATACGTCGGCATTGCCCTGCCATTCACCGTTGTAGTCATTTACGTACTTCAAGTGTACTACTTAAGGACGTCCCGGCGCCTCCGTATCTTAGACATTGAGACCAAAGCTTATCTTGGTACTCAGTTTTTGGAGCTTTTGAGTGGTCTTGTCACGATCCGCGCTTTCCAGTGGGAATATCAGCATCTCTCGCGCTTCCTCGATGTGTTGAAGAAAGCCCAGCGACCATTCTATCTCCTCTACTGCATCCAACGATGGCTCAACATGGTCTTGGATCTCATTGTTGGCACCATTGCTATCATGCTCGTTACTATCGCAGTCAAGACCAAGGGAAGCGTTGATCCTGGCATGACTGGCTTGGCTCTTGTGAACTTGGTTGGTTTCAGTCAGATGCTAAAGCAGCTCATCACCAACTGGACATTGCTCGAAACCTCCATGGGAGCCTTGTCCCGAATCCGAAGCTTCGAGTCAGATGTCGAGTCAGAGAATCTACCCGGCGAGGATCACGTTGCGCCAGATCATTGGCCTAAATTTGGAGGCATCGAATTCCGAGAAGTCACCGCATCTCACAAGAAGGCTAACAGGCCTACTCTTGACAACCTTAGCTTTGCAATCCCGCCGGGTACTAAACTTGGTCTCTGTGGTCGAAGCGGCAGTGGAAAGAGCAGCCTCATCGCAGCCCTGCTCCGACTTATGGATATCCAAAGTGGAAGCATTATCATCGACGGAATCGATATCGCGACTCTGCCTAGACAGACCGTTCGGAGCCGCCTCATAGCACTTCCACAAGACCCATACGTTCTCGCTGGCACAGTCCGCGAGAACGTTGACCCCCTTAATTCTGTATCGGATGAAGAAATCACCGCAGCGCTAACCAGGGTCCAACTAACTCACCTTCTCGAAGGCGAAAACGGTGGTCTAAACACCAAATTAACAACCGACATGCTCTCCCACGGACAATGCCAACTCCTCTGTCTCGCACGAGCAATGGTTCGCAAGAGCTCAATCCTGATCCTCGATGAAGCAACTGCTAGCGTCGATGTCCACACTGATGCCTTGATGCAGGATATCATCCGGTCCGAGTTCAAGAATCACACAATCATCGCTGCTGCACATCGTCTCGATACTATTGTCGATTTTGATGCAGTGCTGATGCTCGATGCAGGAAAAGTTGTCGAGACAGATGTCCCTGCGAACTTACTTGAACGTGATTCTGCGTTCAAGGAGCTATATCAGATCCAAAAGGGAGAGAGTCAGCCTTGGCATGTGTCGACGTTAAGTTTATTGAATGATACGAGCGATCGGATATCATTAATGAGCCACGACGTCATATAAACCAATGCTCGCTCAATTGAGTTTAGGTTGGTGAAGCAGGCTCATCTATAAATAGAGCACAAGGAGGAGTTTTCATTTGTTTATGACTTCATTTCATTTCTTTCATTGCATTTTTGAGCAAAGGAGTTTTGAGTGGATTGAGAAGACAACATACCCACTATCATTTTGGTCTTCTACTTATCATATTCGGCTTCCACGTGTAATCACAAATGTTTAGACTTACTGCTACTTGTACAACATTACCTTTGAAAGAACAAACTTCTTTGTATATATTGAACCCGACTTTCCTGATACGTAGATCATTTCGATTGCTTGGTTTTATGTGATGTTGGTAAAGTTTACAGGTTCTTCAAAAAGGTACTAGTTTGTTCTTGTATATGATAATTGGCTTTCCCGGAAGCATATAATCTATACTATAGGCCTTGAGTGTGTTTTCAACTGGAAGGTTGCTCAGTTCTATATACCATGAACCTGCACCAAATCATCCAAACCATCAATCACACCCACTACAACGCCTAACTACTTAACCAAGGCGTATATATTAAGGTAGATCCTACATTTACCATAACGAAATTCTCTGCAAGCTTCGCCTTGCTCCCCTTGCCAAGCTCTCACTACCGACAGATGTCAAAAGTGCTGGGTAAGTTCCATCCTTTGCACGAAGCGCTGACCTCCTTCCCTCTACGCTACATCCATGCGCTTCCAACATGGCGATAGAAAAATCCCAAGAACCCGGATCTGAATAACTGGGATTCACGGTTGTCTTAGTGGCATCAGCATCAGCAACTAAGTCGCATCTACGAGAGCCCCAATTCTGGAACTGGCCTGAGACCTGCGATACAAATACAGGTGTTACCCTGCGAGTCAAATGACCCATCGTAGCTATTCCCAGCGCACAAAACCTTCGGGTATGACTGTACTATCCCCCATCGCTCGCCACACATTTATCGCAGACTGACGAAAGAGGTAGTACTTAAGCCACCATTACCTGAATCTAGCTTAGTCGAGATACTATGTATGCGTCTCGAAGGTTCCACAGCCCTACTTGTTCTGTCCATTCAAACCCGTTCCGACACTTCGTCCCCCAGCAATGATGAAACTAGGCACACGTCGCAAGGCCACCGGCTTCGTCCGAACAAACATCTGAGAGGCGTCTTCGCCCTAAAATAACTAAGATCAAGCGAGCAGGATTGGTCAGCACTCAATCGCCCGCATCGGTGTACGCCCCGAGATATCCGCGCGGATGTTTGAAGGCACAGACGCAAATGTTGTGAAACGCTGCGCCTCTCCCGGGCGCCGGATACGGTCGGTGTTAATCCACGACCGACTGGGGTTTGCACAGTGGGCCTGTGTCATGCCTGTCGCATCTGACGTCCTCCCTTGTCCGGCAGGTTTGATTGGTTCCGCTCTGCAGGATGCAAGATGCTGAGCTGACGGGCGGGGCGCTTTGCGTATCCTTGTCCGCCGATGGTGATTACTGGTTGCACCAAGGGGATACTTGTATGAAATGGAAGGGAGGAGCAGTGAGGATCCTTTCCGTGATGATGTGAGCTTGACGACATGCCCACCCAGTGAAGACCAGCCACAGTGGGCGAGTACGAAGAGGAACCCGGAGCGGAATTTGAAGACTCGAGATGAGATTCCTGAATCGCCGTCGGAAAGAGCGGAGAGGAATCGGCAGGGTGGAGAGGGAAGGGGAGTTGGACATGGACCGTGTGCTCTCCATTGTGCCGCCAAGAAACCTTGGGAGGCTGAAGGCAAAACGCAAACCAGAGCGGGCTTTGCATAGGTGGCTTTTCCGTCCGGTGATTCGGTTGGGGTTTGATGACAGCTATCTATGCGACGCGACAAGGCGATGAAGTCTTAATTCTCCCAACTATCAGCCCGATCTGACTTTTCTACCTTTGTAGGGATACGTAGAAATGCGTGCGTTGCGTTGGGAATCTTATTATGGAGTGAAATGCATTCTGCCGGTGGTCCTTTGGGTGTGTCTACATTAGAAGCCTGTCGTAGAAACTGTGTCGCGTGAAGTCTTGCATTCTTGCAGATCAAAGCTTAGGAAACATGAACAGTGCCAGCGCTTTGATCGGTCATCACTCATGCCCCCAGCCAACCACCTCCAGTGACTTGCCCGTGACTCTTGACCAGATCTGCGATTTTGAAGTCGGCATTCCTGAGCAGGGTGCCGCGTGAGCATAAACAGTATTTCGCACATGTTGGAAACTTGAAGTCGCGATGTCTAAGAGGCCGGAAATTGTTGCTGGGGCGTAACGAGATGTGCGTATATGTTGATAAATATAGGAAGAAGAGGATGACATCTGTATCTTCTTTGTGTGTGTGCTGTAGAGATAATGGTGGTGAGTGCGGGATTAGCTTTGGAACAATTTCTGTCCAGGATAACCTTCTCGGATTATGAAAGGGAAACCACAGGATGCCAGCTGCTAACATACTAAGAAGACTCGCATGAGAGAGGGCGCAACAGTTCGATGCAACGAAATTAATAGAGGACACATTTTTCACATTTCAGTACTCTTCGGTGTAGGATCTATCGTAGGCAGCTCTACACTGTCTGCTTGTTTGTATGAACATTGAAAATAAATATGTATAATTGAAAATAAGAATTAAGGGATAACCACAAAACACCTCTGATGCAACGCTTGCGCTTCCACTTGTTTTATGGTGTTAACTCCAATGCTAGAGGCCTGTAATCTAATCCTCTGGATTCTTAGTTCTAAGTCGCTACCAATAGGATCCCACGGAGTGGTATCTGTCTCTGCCACGTTTGCGGCACAGCAGCTGTGACTCCCAACAACATGGTCGATATCTCAACTCGGACTATCAGAAACCGTTCTTGAAAAACACAACGAGAAATACATGCATGGAGAACGTTCTGCTTACACCCGCTGGTAAGCAGTGTTGTGGTTGTTCTTCCAGTCTTCACTTCCGTCCGTAAGCTCAGTTGTTGAGGCCGAGCTGCCAAGCTTGTTCATGCCACTTTGAGATCGAACGCCCTTTCCGGCAGGCACCCAAAGGTCGTCGAATACACGGCCTGGGTGTAATCCGGTCATTGCCGTGACTGCGAGGATTATCATTGGGCCTTCGAAGATCATGAAGGTGGCTTCGTCGTTGGCGAGGTGTCCGCTGAAGCCGCCCTGGAGTTCAATGACACGGTAGATGCATCTAACGAAAATGAGAACGGTGGCGATGAAGAGACCTTTGAAGTTGTTAGTTCTGTGTTTGTAATGTATTTGTAGCCTTTGACTTACTCCACTGGAAGAGTTTGAATTTCCTGGTTGAACGGAGAGAAGCATAGAGTGGGGGTTCGGTTCGGGCAAGGGCTCCAGATAGCTTCGCACGTCGGGTACGGAGAGCAAAGTCTGCCCAGACGATGAAGAACAAGGCCATGGAAATGACCTGAGAGACGAGACCGGCAATCATGACATTTCGGCCAGTCTTGGAGCCCTTGCTGTCCTTGGCGGTTGAGGCAAGAGCGCCACCAATGGCTTGGAGGACCAAGGACAGGAGATCAAACCCGACGAAGACATACGTGTACATCTTGGGCTTAATGCGGGAGTTCTCAGAGCCGATGGCGGTAATGACTCGGCTAAGGCAGAGGTAGATGCCAGCAGTGAAGAAGGCGGGAGCAATGGTCAGGCAAATGAGGTAGCTTACAGACCAAATTAGCTACTGGAGGGTCCATATTTGTAGGGTTGGAGCTTACACTAGGAAGTTATTCATGATGAAGGGATTGTTGTTCAGCATGAGGCGGCCAATATAGCCGATGATCTCAAGGAGGCAACCCATGATCATCGCGCTCATATAAGTCCACGTCTTCTTACGGATACCATAGAATATCTGAACAGATAATAGGATCGCGAACAGAATCATGTAGATGGTGTTACCAGCGATTGTTGGTCGGTATTTGATTGTTGCCCACCACATGGGGCACTCCCCCAAGTGGCAGTATTTCCTCTGCATACCAATGAGAGTGGAATTGGTTGTAGTGAGATTGAGGTTATCTGGGTCGATGTTATTCTTGTCGAGCGTCGCTCTGGCGAGGATAGTGTTAAGTGTGGATTCCATGTTGTCGAATATGAAGTTGATATTCGGAGGAGGTGAAGAGTTTGGGGGATTCGAAAGAGCGAAAATGCTCAATACAAAGCAAAGTGAGGGTAGCTATGAAAAGATTGAACAAGGGAGATGGGGCCGTAGCCAGGCGAATTTCCTTACGGAAGAAGAGCTTTGGGTTAGAGTTGCAAGAAGCATAGGTATGATTCTCCAACGAGGCGGGTCAGTATTCTTATAGAACGAGGAGGAATGGCGCCCAGATTGACCCAGATTGTCGGTCCTGGTTGGCTGGCGCGTCTGAGGGGCTCATGCGGCCCTGGAATGGGCTGAGGCGGCGCAGTGCAGGGTACTGTTTTAGGCTGTGTTGCTGTGTGACTGTGTGGAGTTCTTGGGCCTGCTGCGCGCCGATACCATTCATATGAACTCATGCAGAGTTTCACAAACGCTACGGTGAGTGCCATTCATAGGAAGCACGCTTCTGTTTCAGCGCTTCCGGCCTTTGGGCAGCCTTCTCTGTTTGGAGTGAGATAATGTGGGCGCAAACTCCGCCCGCAGTCGCTAGGGTGAGGATGCCGCACAGTAGTGCGGCATTAGAGTGGAGCCAAGATTGATGGCAATCCATCGGGAGACAGCGTGATGGGTGGAGATGGGCAAAGGAGCGGTGCTGGAGCGTTGAGGGCATGCAAGCGCCATGCGCTGGGCGGGGACGAGCGCACTCCGTTGCCAAGCGGTGGGCGGTTTAGGACAAAATTGGCAGGTCTATTTCTGGCGCGGCAAGTCGAATGTAACGCGTTAAATTTCGGCTGATGAAAGCATGAAATATTACACACACCCCCTGTCAAGATCGGACTCGGCATAGTCGGGCTTGGTGCATTGCACACAGTCCCAGTCCCTGTCCCATCTCGGTCAGCACCAAATGTTAGTTCTGACGCCGCTCAGACTTGCCATCTACTCCAGAATCTGCTTTCAAAGCTCCAACATCAGCCATCGGGGATCACTCTGCTACTGCATTTGGCGCTCTGGGAATTAAACTCGTCTCAGCCTTCTTTTTTCACCAATCATCGCCTCCCAAACCTTCAACGGGGTGTCCATGCCTGCCTGTACCACCATGCTAGGGCTGACAGCCTCAACCCTCTTACCCTCGTGGATCCCGGGTACAGCGTGCTGCGTGCTTTTCCCGGGGCAAAGCACACCTTGGAGCTTTATGTCAATGGTCCATTGGTTCCCGTACCTGAGCTAATGCTTACCAGCCACTCATGATGGGCGATGCAGGCAGTCCATGTTCTATTTACGATCCTCGCTGGCTTTCAGGTGCAGGAACAGGTATAGGTTGACGTTAGATCATATCTTTTTTTGAAATCTTCTTTCTCCCTTATCACAGCTGCGTGCCCTCACTTCACAGCTCGACATTCTCAGCAAGCATTAAGCTTATCATTCGTCATACTCCTCTTTGACTTCAATCCTTATAGACCAATACCCATAGACTTCTTGCCTAAACAGCACTTTAGACTCTGAAACAATCTCTTGCCTAACTATTCCATCTACCCCACCACCCCGCGCACAGCAGTCGATCAATTCTGTGATAGTATCACTCTTTGAGATCCTCATACGTACGTTCTTTTTCTTGTAAAGTATCTTCATAAAGGTATATCATGCCCACGCTGACAGACTTAGTCCAACTATTATCTGTCCCCGCACACATAACCACAATGGGCTCCGTCACAGACTCAACCGCCGCTGTATGGCTATGGAACGGCAACGTTCCCTCGCGCATTGAGGAATGCGCCCATGAACTCATTCACAAGCAAGCAAAGCTGCGGCCACACGCCCTTGCTGTCGACGCACATGACGGAACATGGACATACGCCGAGCTTGACGAGGCATCTAATCGCGTTGCCCACTATTTGGTCGGACTGGGCATCCGACCAGAGAACGTTGTCCCCTTGTGCTTCGAGAAGTCAAGGTGGGCAATCGTTGGTATTCTTGGTGTTTTGAAGGCTGGAGCTGCAATGGTGTTCTTAGACCCGTCACATCCGGAATCGCGAAGGCAGCATATCACTTCGGAAGTGGAAGCGAAAGTGATTATCTCCTCCCCCCAGCAAGCGCATCTCTACGGAACCAACTTCCCGCCCACATTTATTCTCAGCAAAGATACCCTAGAAAGTCTTCCACACCACACTAGCGCACCAAAGACTATCGTACAACCATCTAATCTATTGTATATTATTTTCACTTCAGGAAGTACCGGAACTCCAAAAGGATGTTTAATTGAGCATAGAGCCTTCTTGAGTGGCTCATTACGACATGCCGAGCGAGCAAACATTATCTCATCAAGTCGCGTCTTGCAGCTCGCATCTTACACCTTCGATGTCAGTATGCTCGAAATCATAACCTCCCTGATTCACGGCGCATGTATCTGCACCCCTGACATGGCGATGATGACGAATGGTCCTGCTTATATCATCAATGAATACAAGATCACCTGGACGTTCATGACACCTTCGTTGGTTAAGCTCATGGCTCCTAGCATGGTGCCAACTCTCAAGACGCTTGCATTGGGAGGCGAGCCGCTTTCAAAGATTGATGTCGAGAATTGGGCTGGCCAGGTCCAACTTGTGAATGGCTACGGGCCTTCCGAGTGTTCAGTTGCCGCTACCGGGAACACTAAGATGACCCCTGAAACCGATCCTGCGAACATCGGATATCCAGTGGGAGGTATCTGTTGGATTGTCGATGCTGAGGACCACGACATCCTTCTTCCTCCAAATGAAGTCGGCGAACTTCTTATTGAGGGCCCAATTCTAGCCCGCGGATATCTAAAGAATAAGGAAAAGACGGACGAGGTTTTCATTGAGCGACCAGCATGGGGACCGACCACAAGGGCAGGAGAGGACAGAAGGTTCTACAAGACCGGGGATCTTGCGAAGTTCTTGCCAGATGGTTCAATCTACTTCATCGGACGAAAGGACACCCAGGTGAAACTGCGAGGACTTCGGATCGAGCTAGGTGAGATTGAACACCATATCGGAGTACACCCGCAGGTCCGCCACAGAATGGTGATTCTTCCGAAGAAGGGATTGTTTGCAAATCGCCTCGTTACCTTAGTTTCGCTGAAGGACTACTTGGTAGAAAGCATGGAGGCTGTGGAATCCACTGCGTATGTCCACGAGGATATGTACAGCGAGGAGGTTCAGGGCCATATCCATTCCATTCGAGAGGGACTGAAGGCCAATGTTCCTGAATACATGGTTCCCGAAACCTGGATCGTCCTTGAAAGATTTCCGCTCTTAATATCCGGAAAACTAAACCGTTCATTTATCAGCAACTGGGTGGCGGAGGCGGACAATGAGCTTTACCGCCAAGTTGTTGGCCTCGAATTTGAAGAAGCACCCGACGAGGAGGACTCCGGCAGCGTCGAGGAACAGCTTCGATCTATCATCTCGGCTGTTCTTAATCTCCCTCTCATGAACATCAGCCTCCAAAAGTCCTTCCTCAGCCTTGGAGGCGACTCCATCACCGCGATGCAAGTAATGGCTCGGTGCAGAGGCGCTGGACTCGCTGTTAGCGTGAAGGACATTCTTAGGAGTAAATCTATCACTGATTTGTCCTACTGCATCAAGTCCGCGAGCGAGACTGCCTACTCCACCGAGGAGAAGTTCGATGTCGCATTTGAACTATCGCCAGTTCAGCGAATGTATTTCGATATTGCTCCACCCGATATTGATGATTCGCGCCAGACACGCTTCAACCAGAGCTTCTTTTTGAAGGTTGAACGACCAGTTGCGGTATCAAGTGTTGCCAGGGCCCTCGAGCTCGTTGTTGCCCAGCATTCCATGCTCAGAGTCCGATTTATTCAAGAGAACGGCAGATGGATGCAATACATCCAATCTCAGATTGAGGATTCCTTCTCCTTCAAAGTTTACGACATCAACACCGCTCAGGACGCATATCCTATTATGACGGAAACACAAACCTCCTTGGATACCCAGATGGGACCGATCTTCGCGGTTGCTCTCTTTAATACAGCATCTGAGGGTCAGCAACTCTTCTTGGTCGCCCACCACGTTATGATTGACTTGGTCTCATGGCGTGTGATTCTTCGTGACTTGGAGGAGGTTTTGACCACTGGTTTGTTGACTGGAGAGAAGCCTCTACCATTCCAGAACTGGCTAGCGCTTCAATCCGATCAGGCGAAGGTAGTGGATGTGGATAGCGTTCTACCATATACCATTCCCTCTCCCGACTTCGACTACTGGGGCATGGCTGACAAACCAAATCGAATGTGCGACACCCAAGAAGCGACCATCACCTTGGACTCCGCCCAGACCAGGGAACTTCTTGAGGGAGCATGTCATGTCACCTACAACACTGAGCCCATTGACATTCTTTTAGCATCTCTCGTCTATTCTTTCAACCAGATCTTCAGCGACCGTCCTGTACCTGCACTCTTCCGTGAAGGACACGGCCGTGAGCCGTGGGACGACGATATGGACATCTCTGGTACCGTTGGATGGTTCACAACGATGTACCCTCTCTACGTAGACATGAAAGAAGCTTTTAGCATGCTGGATGTTGTCAAGCGCGCCAAGGATGTTCGACACAGCGTTCCCGCGAATGGCCGCCCATACTTTGCGTCTCGGTACCTCAACGAAGCCGGTATTGCTAAATTTGGTAGCCATGATCATGTCGAAGTGTCTTTCGATTACCTAGGTCTCTACCAACAGATGGAGCGCTCTGGTGCTCTCCTGACTCAGGTTCCTGGCTACCAGGCCATCTTTGAGGACGTCGGGAAGGAGGCCCCACGTTTCGCTCTAGTGGAGATCACTGCAGAGGTACTCCAAGGTCAAATGCAGCTGCTCTTTGTGTTCAACAAGAACATGAAGAACCAGAATTTGATTCAATCTTGGATTAAGAACTGCAAGTTATGCCTTGCAAACTGCCTCGACCAGTTGCAGAACCGCCCGCAGGAGCTAACGCTTTCCGATTTCCCGCTGCTGAAGCTGACTTATGAAGATCTCAACACCCTCGTTCAAACCAAGCTCCCGGAGATTGGCGTTTCCGACATGCAGCTTGTTGAAAGTGTTTATCCTAGCTCTCCAATGCAACATGGCTTGTTGATCAGCCAGGTTCGCGCGGAGTCGCAGGGCGCGTATGAATACAATCACACTCTAAAGGTCGAGACAAGAAATCTTTCGAACAGTCTAGATATAGGGACTTTGGAAGTGGCTTGGGCTAAGGTTGTGCAGCGCCACACATCTCTGCGAACTGTTTTCGTAGAGAGTGTGAGCCACGCAGGGCTTTATGACCAGGTTGTGTTCAAAACAATTGATCCCAATATCTATGTCCAGCAATGCAAGGAGGATGAAGTGGATAAAGTCTTCAGCTCCAGGGGGAAGCTCGCATTCTATCCTGGTGGTGCTCTGCACCGATTCACGATCTGCCCTGTGTCTGCGACCGCTGCTATTTGCAAGCTCGAGATCAACCATGCTATTATCGATGGTTCTTCCATTGCTAATCTCATGGGTGATTTCATCATGGCTTACGATGGTCACCTTTCAGACCGCTCCGGCTTTGCCTTCGAAGATTACATCAAGCACGTCCTGGAACGGCCCGTGAGTATAGCCACCAATTTCTGGAAGGAATACCTTGCGGGTATCAATCCCTGCTTCTTTCCCCTGATGGCCCACTGGGAAGATGCTATTGATCCTCAGAAGAAACTCGAAACAGTATCAATCGACGTTGGCATGACGTCTACCGACTTAACGAAATTTTGCAATGACAAGAACGTTACGTTGGTCAACATCTTCCAATTTGCCTGGGGCTTGGTCCTCAAGCAGTACATAGGATCCGAGGACGTCTGCTTCGGGTACCTCTCTTCAGGTCGTGATGCCCCACTGAGCGGCATTGAGGAGGGCGTTGGAGCGTTTATTACCATGCTTGTTAGCCGTATGGTTCTAGAGGATTCTGACACTATGTCCTCTGCCCTGGAAAAAGTTGCCGATGACCTGACTCGCACCCTTCCTAACCAGCACTGTGGTCTTGCTGAGATTCACCATGCCTTGAAACTGGGCAGCCAACCACTCTTCAACACTATCATCTCTTTCCACAGAGAGACAGACCACGAGTTGCTCACTGACTCTAGCATCAAAGTGGAAGCCATCAAAGGCTATGATCCTACGGAATACGCTCTATCCCTTGATGTTGGTGTCACTGAGAGCAAGATCGAAGTCACAATGCAATTCTGGACTTCCGACTTCACTCTTGCTCAGGCCCAAAACATTGGAGCGACTCTTGCCGAGGCTGTCAGGAAGACAGTTAATCATTCAGAGAAGAAAATTGGCGATGTCGACCTAGTCAGCGCGTCACACTTGGAGCAGCTTCGTAAGATCACGTCCGTTTATCCTCAGTATGTCGAGGAGTGCGTCCATCATGCTATCGAAAGCATGGCCGCGGCGACCCCTGATTCCGAGGCCGTTTGCTCGTACGAAGGCAGCTGGACCTACGAAGAACTCAATAACCAAGCAACCCGCCTCGCCCATCACCTGGTCTCTCTTGGTGTAGGCCCAGAAGTCATAGTGCCGTACTGTTTCCAGAAATCCGGTTGGGCCATCGTATCGATCCTCGCAATCCTGAAAGCTGGTGCTGCAGGTGTTGCGTTTGATCCTAACCACCCCATTAGTCGCCTTGAAGGCCTTGTTGAACAGACTGGCTCTACAATCATTTTAGCCGCACCCCAAAATATGCACCTTTTCACAAATACTCCAAATGTCGAGCACGTCGTCGGCATCGACGCGGACTTTGTCTCCAGTCTGCCAGTCGTTAGCGGTGTACCAAACTCTACAGTCTCGCCTGAGAATTCCTGCTTCATTGTTTTCACGTCCGGAACTACGGGTAAGCCCAAGGGCATAATTCTAGAACACAGGAACTTGCGAACATGCTGTACCTCCATGGGGGAAGTTCTCGGATTCGGTCCTAACACCCGCGCCCTTCAGTTCGCTGCATACAACTTCGACGTTTCCCTCCAGGACATCCTAACCACCTTGCAAATGGGTGGTACCATTTGCGTCATTTCCGACGAAGAGAGAATGAACGACCTCGCTGGTGGTATCAACCGTTGCAAAGCCACTTGGGCTGATCTTACGGCCACGGTTAGCGGTATGCTGAAGCCCCAGGATGTCCCTACCATGCAGCGACTTAACAACGGTGGTGAACCGCTGAACCGTGATGTCGTTGAGACTTGGGCCGATCACGTTGAATTTTACAACCTCTACGGGCCCGCTGAGACCACAGTCAACCAAACCGCCAGCGTCCGGCTTTCCAAGACTTCCCCAGCATCGAACATTGGTCCAGCGTACGGCACGCATGTTTGGATTGTCAACGATCAGGATTCCAACCGTCTCGTGCCAATGGGTTGTGCTGGCGAAATCTTGATCGAAGGTCCCCTGCTCGCTCGAGGCTACCTGAAGGATCCCGCCAAGACAGCGGCTGCATTCATCGAGAACCCTACCTGGGTCTCACAGTTTCCTGACCCTAACGCCATCTTACCTCGTCGCTTCTATAAGAGTGGTGATATTGGTTGCCTCAACACCGATGGCAGTATCACCATCGTCGGACGTCGCGATGCCCAAGTGAAGATTAACGGCCAACGTGTGGAGCTTGACGAAATCATGTACCAAGCTCAATTGGTTCTTCCCGAGGATTACCAGGCTGTTATTGATGCTATTTCCGTTGAGGGTAATACTAAGAGCAAGACTATAGTCGCTTTCATCACCAACTCCGAGTTCTCTAAATCGAAGAAGAGCGAAGACCAGTTGACGTTCGAAATAGGCGATGATTTGAGGCGAATCCTGAAAGACCTCCAGGGTGCTTTGGCTAAAGTGTTGCCCTTTTATATGATTCCATCTCTTTTTGTCCCCGTGTTTAATATTCCATACACCAACTCTGGCAAGCTCGACCGCCCAAACCTGAGGTCCATTGTAGCTACGTTCTCGAAAGACCAGATCTCCCACTATCAGCTCCGTTCTACCTCCCATGATCAGCCCCAAACTCCAATGGAACAGGTTCTCCAGACATTATTCAGCCAAATTCTCAGCATCCAGCCGGAAACAATTGGCAGAGATGACAGCTTCTTTGGCCTAGGTGGAGACTCAGTCGGAGCTATGAAAATGGTCTCTGCGGCCCGCAAACGCAACGTTACCATTAAGGTTGCCGACATCTTCAAATATCCAACCTTGAGCGAGATGGCATTAACTGCCTACACAAGAGACGAAAGCATTGCACATGATCTAGCCGCTTTCAGTCTGATCCCCTCTGATTCTAGGGACGATGTCATTGCAGAGGCTGCTGCCCAATGCAGCCTCTCTGCGACTGACATTGAAGACATATATCCAACCTCAGCCCTTCAAGAAGGCATGATGGCCTTGGGGATGAGGAAGAGAGGCGCTTACATTGCACAGAAGGTCTTCCGTCTACCCCAATGCTTCAACATCCCACAATTTCAGTCTGCGTGGGCCAAGGTCATCGAAGCTGAAGCTATCCTCCGCACTCGTATCGTTTGTTCTGGCTCCGGGAACCTGCAAGTTGTCCACAAGCTTTCGATCAGGTGGCAACATGCCATGGACTTAGAGGCCTACCTTACTAAGGACCAAGCTACATCGTTCCAGTACGGCGAACAGCTTATGCGCTTAGCCATAGTCAACGAGGAGTACTTCGTCTGGACTGCACACCACGCCATTTATGATGGATGGTCCGTCGCCTTACTCTTCGAGAAGGTTGCTCAAGCCTACGAAGCGCAGGATATCACGAGTTCGACGCCCTACAAGGGCTTCATTGGCCGACTTCAGGATGTGTCTGAGTCTGCTTCCGTCGACTTCTGGACGAAGCAGTTCACTACCCAAGGTAGTTTTCCTACTAGTTACCCTGAGGTTGGCCTTGGATATTCAGCAGCTTCCAAGAAGACAATCTCCATCCAGGGGTATGCTCCCACTAATTCCTCGAATATTCTGCCTTCTACGATTAAGAGAGCTGCCTGGGCGTTGACAATGGCAACGTATGCTGACTCTGAGGACGTTGTGTTCGCCCAGACTCTCTCCGGGCGCAGCCTTGGGCTTGAAGGAATTGACAGCATGATGGGTCCAACTATCACCACTGTTCCAGTTCGTGTCTTTGCACCCAAATCAGGCATTACTATTCGGAAGTTTCTCGAAAATGTTCAGAACCATTCCATTGCGTCCATCGACTACGAGCACTTCGGTCTACAAAATATCCGAGACGTTAGTGCAGAGGCACGTACTACTGTGGACAACATAACTAACCTCTTTGTCCTTCAGCCTGCTGACGAGGGCAATGAATCATACTTGAACATGGAGCCAGTTAAGCGAGCAGAGGAAAACTTCGACACTTATCCTTTAGTTATTCTCTGCAATCTTAGCGGTGATGACGAGTTCAACGTCGAGGCCATGTACGACGAAGATATTATCCCAACGGAACAGATGACCCGCATGCTCCATCAATTCGAGCACTTCGTCCGGGAGCTCTCTGGAGACGCCTCTAGGTCAATCGAGCAAATGAGCCTTCTGAATAAGTACGATCTCAAGGATGTCACCACCTGGAACGCCGAACTCCCTGGCAGCATTGATGCTAGAATTCCCGATCTCGTACTCCAGAACGTTGCTGCTCGCCCTAACGCCGAGGCTATCTCTGCCTGGGATGGTAGCGTCACGTACCGGGAGCTCGACTTGCTGACATCCAAGCTTGCAAACCACCTTGTCTCTCTCGGGGTTGGTCCAGAGATCAAGGTCGGTTTGTGCTTCGACAAGTCGATGTGGAATGTCATAACTATGTTCGCTGTCATGAGAACCGGCGGTGTCTGCGTGCAACTCTTACCTAACTACCCTATGCCTCGTATGCTTAGCATTCTTGAAGACATTGAAGCGAATGTAGTTATTGTTTCTCCTCAGCATGCTAATCTCTTCAATGGCATAGTTCCGAACGTCATCTCTATTGAGCAATCATTCATTGATGCTCTACCATCCAGCTACGAGACCTTCGTTGCCCCTCAGTACGGAACTAAGAACGCTGCTTTCATTGTCTTCACCTCTGGTAGCACTGGTAAGCCAAAGGGTGTTATCATTGAACACCGTGGATTCTGTACTATGGCACACTACCAGCTCCCGAAGATCCAGCTCGACCCAGATTCACGCGTGCTACAGTTTGCAACTCACACGTTCGATATCTGCCTCTTTGAGAGTTTTGCCCCACTCGTCAAGGGTGCATGCGTCTGCGTTCCATCTGAGTACGACAGGATGAACAACCTTGTTGAGGCAATCAACACTTTAAAAGTGGACTGGGTCATTATGGTTTCGACTGTTGCAGATACTTTCCACCCTGACCAGGTTCCTGGACTCAAGTCAATTATTCTCGGTGGTGAGCCGCTCCGCGCCGACATCCACGCCCGATGGGCTTCTCGAGTCAATCTCTTCAACGATTATGGTCCAGCTGAGTGTTCCATTTTGGCTGTCATGACTCGATCCTACCTCGACACTCCACCGTCAATGATCGGAAAGAGTCAAGGTGGCCGCGCCTGGGTAGTCGATAAGGCTAATCACAACCGACTGGTCCCTGTCGGTTGCATTGGTGAGCTTCTCATTGAAGGCCCTCTTCTTGCAAGAGGATACCTCAAGAACCCCGAGAAAACAGCCGAGTCGTACATCTACGACCCTACCTGGGTATCCATGATCTCCCCTGTTCCAACGCGACTCTACAAGACCGGAGATCTGGTCCGATATGTCCAGGATGGCAACATGCTCTGCCTGGGACGCAAGGACACCCAAATCAAAATTCGCGGTTTACGTATCGAGCTTGGTGAGATCGAGCATCATGTCAAGACCAGTTCCTTTGGCGCCCAAAAGCAGGCGGTTGAGAAAATTCTGCTTGGAGGTGACATTGAGAAGCCCGCTCTCGCAGCTTTCGTTGTACCTCCTGCTGAGGACATTGCTGCTGACTCTGTAGAGCTTCTAGCTTTGTCAACAACGCTTAACACCAAGTTCGTGAAGCTTAAAGAGCATATCGCCAAGTCTCTCCAGGCTTACATGGTCCCCTCTCTTTACATTCCTCTTCGCCGGATTCCCGAGACTCAAACCAACAAGATCGACCGCAATGCCTTGAAGCGCATCGGAGCTTCTTTGTCTGCCGATCAAATCGAAGCTTATTCCCTAGGAGGCGAGGAAGACTCGTCTTCGAAGCGTGCTCCCTCCACCACCATGGAGATTGCTCTCCAGTCCCTTTGGGCTGAACTTCTTCGCATCGAACCTGCTACCATTGGCGCTGATGACAGCTTCTTCAGCAAGGGTGGTGACTCCATTAAGGCTATGCGACTTACGTCGATGGCTCGCAATGAGGGGATCCAACTCATTGTCGCGGATATATTTAAGAACCCTGTTTTATGCGACATGGCTACTGTGGCCGTTTCAGGCACTGCTTCATTTGATGCTCCCATTACGCCATTCTTTCTGGCTCCATCTGAAGATACTCTTATCGAAGACGCCGCAATTCAATGCGCTGTCTCTAAGGGAAAAATTGAGGATATTTATCCATGCACTCCTCTCCAGGAAGGTCTCATGGAGCTAGCCACCCAGCAGGATGGTGCTTACACAGCTCAACGAGTGTTCCGTATTCAAGACAGCATCGACATCCAACGCTTCAAGAATGCCTGGGGCCAGCTTGTTGCTCTCCACCCCATTTTGAGGACTCGCATTGTTCTATCTAAAACCTCAGGTGCAGTGCAAGTGGTTCTTAAGGAGGACATTTCATGGCAGTCCGAGACCGGTCTGCCTGAATACCTCGCGAGAGACAAGACAGTTGCGATCAAATACGGCAGCCCTCTTGCTCGCTATGCTTTGGACTCGGAGCACCGACACTTCATCTGGACTGTTCACCACGCACTGTACGACGGACACAGCGCTAACATCCTCATGGAGCAGCTCGAAGGTCTCTACAATGGTGTTCAAATCGATGCCGCTCCCAGCTATAACAGGTTCATCAAGCTAATCACCGAAGTTGACGCTGAAGAATCCAAGGGTTTCTGGAAGAACCAGCTCGGCCAGGGGGGGGCAAACAGCTTCCCTGCTCTTCCTTCGGCCACTTACAAGCCATCTCCCGATTCCGAAGTCACACGAACTATTGAGATCGCCCGCGATGCTAGCCAAGGCTTCATGCTCTCGACAATTCTTCGCGCCGCATGGGCTATTGTGACAAGCCGCTATATGGGATCTGAAGATATTGCATTTGCCGCCACTAACTCGGGACGTAATGCACCTGTTCAAGACATAGGGAGCATTGTCGGACCTACCATAACCACCGTGCCTATCCAACTCCAAATCAACGCGACCTCTACCATCCCGGAATTCCTCTCCACAGTCCAGCAGCAGTCCACCAAGATGATTCCTTTCGAACACGCTGGTATCCAGAACATCTACTCCATGACCGGACTAAAGCAAAACCTGAAGAACCTATTCGTCATTCAGCAGCCTCTTAGCGACATCCAACAGAGGCCCATGCTTGAGGAGGTTCTCGACAAGGAACTTCTCCGTGGCTTCCACATTTATGCCGCCGTTGTGGAATGCATGGTCCTGAGCGAGAACAAGATCGATATCGAGCTTCAATTCGATCACAAGGCTCTCCCAGAAGCGTCCGCTCGCATCGTTCTGGACCAGTTTGAGCACGTTGTCCACCAGTTGGTCAACGCACCGCCATCCGCTTCGCTCAAGGATATTGGTTATGTAACCCCTGCCCATGTCCAGCAAATGGTTGAGTGGAACAACCGGGTCGACATACAACCCGTTGAAGACTGCGTGCACAATATCTTCCGGCAGCAAGTCAAGCTCTGCCCTGATGCCCACGCTGTGACTTCCTGGGATGGCTCACTTACCTACAGGCAGCTTGATCAACTCACCGACAAGCTAGCTTCATTCCTCGTTGAGAAGGGAGTTGAGCCTGAATATCTCGTCCCAATGTGCTTCGACAAATCCATGTTCACGATTGTCGCAATGATGGCTACACTCAAGGCGGGAGGTGCTTGCGTCCATCTCGGCAGAAATTCTCCAATTGCCCGCATGAGCGAGATCATTGAACAGACCGGTGCCAGCATCGTCCTTACTGACAACATCCATGCCTCCAAGTTCGATGGAGTTAGTGAGGCAATTGTCATCGACCAGCCTCTCCTAGATTCCTTCACTTCGTCTACCGCACTTCCTGAGGTTTCTCCATCCAACCCTGCCTTCGTGTTGTTCACTTCTGGTAGCACAGGTAAACCGAAGGGTGTGGTGGTTGAGCATGGCTCTCTCTGCACCAGCTCTAGGGCTCACGGAACGAACCGTAAGATCGGCCCCCATACCCGGCTTTTACAGTTTGCAGCTTATACTTTCGATGTGTCTGTCGCTGATATCTTCACCACCCTCCAGCGCGGAGGATGCATCTGCGTTCCATCGGAGGATGAGCGCATCAACGATCTAGCTGGCGCGATCAACAGGATGAATTGCAACTATGGATTCTTGACACCGACCGTCGCTGGCATGCTCGACCCCAAGACTGTGCCTGGCCTCAAAAGGCTCATCCTCGGTGGAGAGTTGCTTACTCAGGACAACGTTCAGCGATGGGCTCCCATGGTGGATCTCATCATTAGTTACGGAATGACTGAGTGCAGTATTCATTGCGTGGACGCTGTTCCTCTTACCCTTGAGAGCGACCCCGCCAATCTTGGTCGGCCCTCTGGATGCCACATGTGGATCGTCGACGCCGAGGATCACAACAAGCTCGCACCAATTGGCGCTGTCGGCGAGCTTGTGATTGAAGGAAGAATGGTGTCTCGCGGATACCTGAACGACAAGGCCAAAACCGACGCCGCCTTTATCCTAGACCCCCTCTGGGCTCAAGGATCCGGAAAGACTCGTCGTATGTATAAAACCGGCGATCTCTGCAGATACAGCTCTGAGGGAGAAATTTGTTATGTCAGCAGGAAGGACTTCCAAGTCAAGCACCACGGCCAACGTATCGAGCTTAGCGAAATTGAGCACCACCTTGTCGCCGACTCACGAGTCAAGCATGCCGTTGTTCTTCTACCTAAGACTGGATACCTACAGAAGAGGCTGATTGCTGTACTGTCTTTGGAGTCTCTGGCACTGCCTCTTACCCCAGAAACTCAACTCGCATTGGTTTCCGGCCTCGACAAGGGCATGGCGGATGTCCAGGTCTCCGGTGTACGCAACCATCTCGCAACGAAGGTTCCTGACTATATGGTGCCCGCGGTGTGGGTTATCACCCGCGCGCTTCCGTTGACACCAAACAACAAGATGGATAGGGTTACAACGACGAAATGGCTTACAGAGATAGATGAGCGTGTTTACGAATCGATTGTTGGAGGAGATGAGGAGGAGGATGGCGCACCAGCAACCGCCCAGCAGAAGCGTCTTCACGACATTCTCGCAGGTGTACTTGGCCTGCCAAGTATTAATATGAACCGATCGTTTCTCGACCTCGGTGGGGATTCGATCACGGCTATGCAGCTGCGGGCCAAGGGCCAGGCTGCGGGTATTTCCCTCACCGTTCGCGACATTTTGACTTGCGAGAGCATCTCGCATTTGGTGGTTGAGGCAAGTTTCCTTTCAGAAGACGGAGTTGGGTTTGAAGAAGTTGTTAACCAGGCCTTCCCATTAACCGCTTGGCAACAAGCTTGCATCGACGCTCAGACGGAAAGCCAGACGCTCTTGCTTCGATTGGCCTCATCGACAACCGTGCCTAAGATTGTCCGAGCTATCGAGGCTCTCGTACAGCAACACTCTATGCTTCGTGCTCGCTTCGCACTCGATGCTGAGGGGCATTGGAGCCAGACTATCACTAAGGAGCTTGCGACATCCTACAAGTTCGAGGCGCATGCTATTGCTACTAGTGCCGATGTCAAACCTTTCTTATCCACCATTGGATTGGAATTGGATATTGAAAATGGGCCATTGTTCTCTGCTCGCCTTTTTGACCTCACAGAAGAATCCAACCAGCAAACCATAGCTATCACGGTCCATCCTTTGATTGCCGATACTACTTCCATAAGGATCATTGCTCAAGATCTCCGAGAGATGATCCAAGGAAACATGATTTCCTCGAAGAAGACTCTTTCCTTCCAATCCAGGCTTTCTCGCGATCACACCGTGCCTATCCAGGAGACCCCAACGGTCGACCTTACTGCTTGGGGTATCAACAAGGCTGTCCTGACTACCAATATGGTTGAGAGATCATTTACTATTCCTTCTGGCGTTACTTCGTCGCTCTTGGGCTCGAGCAATAACGCGCTCTCGACGGAACCCACCGACATCTTAGTCGCTATTCTGGCTAAGGGATGGAATACTGTCTTCGGACGTCCGTCGTCCATCGCCATCAAGGAGGAATCTCGCACCTTCAGGACCGTTGGTCAATTCAACCGTATTCGCCAATTACCCAAGACCGCCAGCCAGGATTTCATCCAGCTTCTGAGTGAAGTCAAGGACAGCCGCGCTCAAAATGAAATGTGCTTGTCTTTAACACAGCCACTTCCCGCCGCTGTTGAGATGCTGGTTGAGTCCATTGACTACACCACCTTTGGCAACGAGGAAGCACTTCAATGCACCAAATCCATCGTTCCTCAAGCCATCGTCACCGTTTCAGCCATTGTGGTCAACGGCGAGATCACTCTCAGATTCACTCACAGCAGCGAAATCGCATACCAAGTTTCCTTCGCCTCTTTCATCAACGTCGTGAAACAACTCATCCCGACCGTCTCGGCGACATTGGCGAATATGGCGCGCAAGGCTACACTAAGTGACTTTCCTCTTTTGAAATTGGAATACGCACAACTTTCTTCCCTCGAAAAGGTTCTTTCTAATATCAACGTTCCATTAGCGAATGTTAATGCAATTGTCCCATGCACGCCGCTCCAGCAACGCATGTTAAACAGCCAGAAGGTAATTCCAGGGTCCTACGAGTCTGATACCGCGCATAAGATCACTACAGGTGGTACACCCTCTGTCGACATTACTCGTCTGCAATATGCCTGGAAAGCCGTGGTCGCGCGTCATGAGGCTCTCCGCACGATCTTCATCCCTAGCTTCAGCCACAATGCGCCGATGGAGCGACTCCAACTGGTACTGAAGGAATACGTCCCTATGGTCGACGTGATTCAGTGCGATGAGAACAACATAACCCGCATCATCGAAAGCCACCATACCGTTGACCACACAAGCTACAGGCCGCACGTTGGATTCACTGTCTTCCAAACCGAATCTTCGATTTACTGCAAGCTTGAGATCAGCCACGCGCTGCAAGATGGCATGTCCACACGGATTATCTACCAAGACCTCGTGCTTGCATACCAGGACCTTCTTCCAGAAGGCGTCGCTCCAGGATTCAAGGAATACGTCAAGTGGCTCGCTGAGCAAGATCTGCAGCCTTCGAATGACTTCTGGACGGGATACATTGCGGATATCGAGGGCTGTCAGATTCCTCGCGCCAATACTGAGCCAGACACCGAGAAGGGCGAAAACGTCCTTGTGCCAATCACCCTAGATGTCACCGCCCAGTCTATCGCCCAGCTCTGCCGCACACACAAAATTACATCGGCGACGCTCTTCCAAGCCGCGTGGACGCTTGTCCTACGCGCCTTTACTGGCAAGGATGACGTGCTCTTCGGATACATCACTGCAAACCGCGAACTTGATATCGCGGGCGTGGATGAACTTGTTGGGCCGATGATCAACATGCTTGCGTGTCGTCTTGAGATTTCAGAAAACGGGTCCGGATTGGAGTTGCTGAATAAGACGCACGAAGAGTTCTTGAAGTCCCTGGACCACCAACACGGCTTTGTGGCTGCTGCAAATGCGAAGGAGGAAGCGGATGGCATGTTGCCGTTCAATTCCGTCCTGTCTATTGAGTACGCAAGTGAGGACTCTGGTAACGGGTATTACTCCGCTGCCGCCCCCGATTCGGCTGCAGCTTCATCTTCGCTGCTCAACTTCGACACTCTGTACGGCTCGCGTGCGCCAGAGTTCGACGTCGTGCTTGGAGTATTGTTAGGGGAGACGAGTTTGGAAGTCCAGCTTGGGTATTGGAACGGGATCATGGAGGAGGGGATGATGAAGAAGATTGCGGGAATGTATAAGGGGATTGTGGAGGAGTGGGTTAGGGGTGATGTTGAGGAGAGTGTGAAGGGGTTGGCTGCTTTGAAGTTGTAAATGGATAGGGGTGATGATGATGGCGATGATATGGCGATGATGAGGTTTTCTTTGTTTGTTATACTCTAGTTATGTTGGCGTTTTTGAATCCGGGGATGGGATCTATATGCTTTGGAGTTTAGACTGTGTCTGGCATTGGGGGAAATCTACCTTGGCGTTGGGGTTGCTTTTGGAGTTGGTGGTTTGAGATCTGTATCGTCCCGCAAGTTATATCTTTTCATCGCTGGTTTCTTTTAGTTAGTTTAATGACTCTTTTACTTCAAATATCTTCTCTCTATTCGTGACTAATTGCGGCTCCAAACTATTGAATATTACGAGTTCTAAGGCTGTATTGAAGGGAGGTCGGAGGTAAGCAGAGTTGAGATAGCAATGGCCTTTTTATGCTAAAGACGATAATTGGATGCTGAAGAGGAGAGTAGCTTAGATTAGAGCGCTATATTCTATTTTGCATTTCCATGAAGTCTTCTTGAATGTACTCATATGCTAGATTTTGCAGGAGAAACGAGGTGTTGAGACCCCGTTGCGTTCCATCCAATCTCAAGCTGGACCGCCCATCATCGCTTGTACAGATTTCCACCCCGAAACGCCAGAACCGTATAAACAATTATGCACACTTCCACACCGAGGGCTCTTACCTCGGTTTAGCTCTGTCTTACCACCCCCTCTTAGCAAGCCGCTCCCCTTCCTGCATACTGCTTGTATTAATGCCAACCATAGCCTCGCCCAAATCCATACTAACCTCCATTAACACCTTTGGGTCCTTATAGTGTGTAACCGCCTGCACAATGGCTTTCGCCCTCTTCGCCGCATCACCGGACTTGAAAATGCCTGAGCCAACAAACACGCCATCACAACCCAACTGCATCATCAACGCCGCATCAGCGGGCGTAGCAACACCCCCGGCGGCGAAATTAACCACGGGCAGTCTCCCCAACTTTGCGGTTTCCTTGAGCAAGTCATACGGGGCCCCGATTTCCTTGGCATAGACGCGCAGTTCTTCCTCAGACATGCCTTTTGCACGAGAGATTTCAGCGTTGACGGTGCGCATGTGGCGGACGGCTTCGATGACGTCGCCGGTTCCAGCTTCACCTTTAGTTCTGATCATAGCTGCGCCTTCGGAGATGCGGCGTAGGGCTTCGCCAAGATTGCGACAACCACAGACGAAGGGTGCGCGGAACGAGTGTTTGGAGACGTGGTGGATAGCGTCGGCGGGGGTGAGGACTTCGGATTCGTCGATATAGTCTACGCCGAGGGCTTCGAGGATCTAGTCGCCGGGGATGTGAGCCGGATATCTTATTTTGCGTCTGCGTTGTATGCATGCGTATCTTGTTTGGGGTTTGGGACTAGGGTGTGACGGATAAGGAAAGCGCACCTGGCACTCGACAAAGTGGCCAATTCTCGCCTTCGCCATGACGGGAATGGTGACCGACTCCATGATCTCCTTTATCATTTTGGGATCGCTCATGCGTGCTACGCCGCCCTGGGCGCGAATGTCCGCAGGTACGCGCTCGAGTGCCATGACGGCAGAAGCGCCGGCTTCTTCTGCTATACGTGCCTGCTTCACATTAGCTTCTCGCCTGTTCTTTGGATTTGTGCTACAAATATGTCAGGGGGAAAGAAGCACCTGCTCGGCATTCACAACATCCATAATGACCCCTCCCTTTAACATCCTTGCCAATCCGGCCTTGACCGCAAAGTTCGTCTCGCCATCCTGTGCGCCGGTGCCATTGGTGGTGGGGAGTTCAGTAGCCATTGTAGAATAGCGTTTCCAGGCCTTTTTCTCAACTACCGCTCCTAAGTTGTGGTGGACAGACAAAGAGAAAGTGAAGGTGGGTTCAAAGGAAGTCGAGAGAGTGAAGGAGAAGATTATGCACCACGGGGAGAAGAGAGTGAGGTAAAAATTATAACCCAAGAGCGTGACTCAGATCAGATCAGAAATGGAGCGTCCAACCTGAGCGTGTAGGGCGCCATTGCAATAATTTTTCGATGCAACCCGCGTGTCCGCGAACCCCGACACCGGCATGTCGCGGGGCTAGACTCACCCCGCCATTGAGGCTACGCTAGCCCTGATTTGGCATCGCCTTGATCATCCGGCCCGTGAATTGCCGCAATCTGTTAGTCAGCCCCGACGATGGGTGAGTGACAAGGCAATCACGACTGTGGTTTTCCGTGGTCGAACAGCCTTTGAAGGGCCTAAAGACAGGGTATCAATGCAGTTGATGATGTATACAATTGACAACGAGCCGCTTAGCCGCCAATGCTGGACCTAACCGCCATGATAAACAGCTCTGCAGATGCTAATGCTAATGTGCCTACCGACGGGACCTACCCCAATAATGGTTACGAGAGACATCGAGCAAGAAAATCACGTCTTTTGGTACGGCGCAGTCTCTCGCTTCAGCCATGCCATAGTGAGACTGTCATTCTCAAAGTACTTGCTTGTCTTTTCGAACACCTCCTGGTGGTACTCGTCAATGAACTTCTTCTCGTCTTCTGTTAGCAGCCTATCATCTATTAGATTACGGCAGTGTGGGGTCATCGTGACACGCTCAAAGCCCAGGTACGGTTTTTCTCCGAACTTGTGCTTCGTCTCCACCTCTTTCACCATGACCATGTTCTCGATGCGGATGCCGAAGTTGCCGTCCTCGTAGTATCCCGGCTCGTCGGAGATGACATTGCCCGCCGATAATGATACTTCAGAGTATTGCACGCGGGTGCCGATGCCAATTGGTCCCTCGTGAACGTTGAGGAATGAGCCGACACCATGGCCGGTGCCGTGCCGATAATCGAGTCCTTCGGCCCAAAGAAATTGCCGAGCCAGCGTGTCCAACGCAAACCCCGTTGTACCTTTGGGGAATCGAACACGCTCGAGGGCTATATTTCCTTTTAGCACAAGAGTGTAGGCCTTCTTCTCCATGTCGGTGGGCTTGCCAAAGTGTAGGGTGCGAGTAGTATCTGTTGTCCCATCCAGATATTGCGCGCCCGAATCGCAGAGGTAGATTGCCTTTGGATCAATTATGGAGCATGCACCCTTCTCTGGCTTGTAGTGAATCACGGCGGCATTGGGCCCAGTGGACGAGATGGTGTCGAAGGATAGTCCTACAAAACGGTCGTGCTTCTTCCGCATTGCTTCCAGCATATTGGCACCATCTACCTCGTTTAGCGTCGCCCCCTTGTTGACGAGTTGGTCTTCCAGCCAGGCGAAGTACTCGGTCAGTGCGGCTCCATCGCGGATGTGGCATTGCCTCATGCCTTCGAGCTCGGTCTCGTTCTTGATAGCCTTGGCATCACCAACGGGACTTCGCACTTCGTCAACACGCTCCGGACCACCAAGAGCCTGGTTCAGTGCCCACGACGCCCTTGTCGAGGTCAAATATTTCGGATTCTCGCCTGATTCGTCGTTGGTTTGCTGCGACTTAGCACTCAGTGCAGCAACATCTTCAAAGATGCTATCGTAGGGCCTGATTGTAACGGCTTCTCCGAGATGGTCCCTGACCGCCTGGCTAAGCTTGCTTTCATCGACATAAAGGCTAGCCGCCTTGGGCGTGACCACAGCGTACGAGAAGAAAACAGGATTGTATGGGATGCTGCAAGCTGTTAGTTCTATAGTCAGCCGAGCAGAAAATGTTACGCCTACTCGCTGCCACGCAGGTTATAGAGCCAGGCAACCTCGTCCAGCATCGAAACCACGAAGCCCACGCTCTTCCGCTTCTCCAGCTCTTTCCTCACATCCTCCAGCTTGTCCTGGAAGCTCTTGCCCGAGTACTCCAACGGCTGCACCCGGACTGGTTCGCATGGCCGAGGTGGCCTCTCCTCTCCCCATACTAGGTCGATGAGATTCTCGCTAATGGCTTTGTACTTTCCGCCTTTCTTCTTAATCTTATCGCCGAGCTTGCGCGCGTCGGCGGCAGTCACAATGCGGGGGTCGACCCCGACGACCTTACCCTCTTCGACCTGATCTGCCGTCCATTCTGAGATTGTCGGAACATCCTGTAGGCCTTGTTTGAGGAGCTCCCAGTTGCTGTCGAGCTGTTTCTCGGCTTGGTTGAAGTAGCGCCCGTCGGTCGACAGTGCCGCCTTTTCGTGCGTGATGACGGCATAGCCGGCTGAGCCAGAGAAGCCACATATAAATTCTGCAGCGCTTCAGTAAGACACGCTGTTGCAAGCGGCAATTGATAGGTATCTGACCTCTGCGGCCGTCGCAGGGCGCAATGTACTCGGACTGGTGGCTGTCTTCAGAGGGCACCACTGTTTCTTGGTTAGCGTGCCTTCTCGTTTAAGAAACAAAAATGCGATTGTGCGCACTGTAGATGTCGACCTGGCGGTCCTTCATGAGCTTGCGAAGCTCGGCGAGTCGCGCGGTCGTGTTCACTTTCTCCATATCGACAGCAGTACAGGCGGCGGGCGAGAGGTGGAATGCTCTCAAGAAGACTGCTCGCGCGCGGGGGACTACATATGACCAAGCTGCTGATTTTGCGTGGGAGCGCAGAAGAAAGCGCCCAGCGAGCATGAATTGGGGATTGGCCTGCTGGTGTCCAAGTCGATGCCGCTGCACGCACCCCGCGATGGCTGCTTCCAAGGCTGACAGTCGCTTCCACGGTTGGCCGGCCCCGACCGCGATTAGCGCATCCCAGTACAGAAGTCACGTGCTTCGCTCCCGCCAAGCTATCACCAGGCCATTCGCCAAACCAACACCACCTGCGACAAGATGAATCCTTCAGGAGCATGGGTTGCCCCAACACAGCAATCGGACCAAATTCAGTGAATATGCCCTCGTTTCGCCCCGCCTTGCCTCACCGTTCGCTTGAGTGCCGTGGCACGTAGATGCAACTGTATCGGAGCAAAGCCCAAGCAAATTCTTGCAGGGACGAAACGACGCCCTGCGCCTCATCCTGAGTACCTAGTCCTTTCTCTGCAGCCAGTAGACAGCGCGCGAGGGAATGCTTTATTGCTGCTAACCCCGCAGAGACCTCGCCTTTCAAGAGGCCACCACAACACCTTCCAGAAGGTAAGTTGGCCACAGCCTGCTTTTCTTACCATTCGCACTCTTAATCCTCTTCTTCATCCTCTGGGTCCTTTTGAACTACCCTTTTGCTCCTCACCCCCCTCGAGATGGCCCTTTCAATGTCCTCGATCGACCTCACACTCCCAGACACTCCAAATCTCTTGAAAATAGCACTAGAGCAGAGCTTTGTATATCATGCACTCGGCTTCCCTGCAGCATCAGCCCGGTCTACTGACTCAAGTTCAAGAACCAGATCATTTCAGAACCAGGTCGTCGCCATGACTGACGGCTCTGTGCCCCCACCCCAAGCTTTTCCCCTAAGCTTTGAAGAGATCGAAGGGCTCGTGAAGACACTATACGACCCCGGCCATGCTAAAAGAGTGTCTGAGATCGAGGCTACATTACGGGTGCTTCAGCGGTCTCCCCAAGGGTGGGATATTGGTGATGCCTTGTTGCACAGCAGTGATGAGAATGTCCGCTTCTTTGGCGCTCTAACCTTCACCATCAAGCTAAATGCCGACTCGTGGGTTTAGCTATCTTTTACTCGCAATTACTCATTCTAATAGGTTCCCTAGTACCGGGCTAAACGAAGAGGCTTCGCAGCAACTCCTCTCCAAACTTATTGTATGTCAAGCATCCTTTTTCGAGGAGATTTAGCTCACGACCCCAGCACCATCTCGTTTCACATGCCAAGTTGTCCATAGCCACCCGAAAATTATGTTCAACACTTGCACAATACTTCTGCAAACCAATATCAGTATGGACTATGTCAATTCGGAGTTTGGCAGTCTCATTTGCTCAGCAACAGCCTGTGTTGGATGATGCCCTCGGCAACCAGCCGTCAACGTGGGACATACTGCCAGCGCTTTCAGATGATCAACTCCTTTGTCTGCTCGAATTTGGAATGGACCTAGCTGATGAAGCGAAGAAGATTGCAAACGTTCCGGAGTAAGTTGTGGCCCGTCGGACTGCTAGCGAATCTAACGCTTCATAGCCGTAGCCCTCATGAACGGATGATCCCAAACGCTGAAAGCATCGAAGTCCTTCTTCAGGTGTCTTTCGGACGGGGTATTAAATACCTCTCAACACCTATCAAGGATCCGGATTACGACAACTACCTGCAACTTGGTGAGAAGATTTGTGGTTCCTCTTTAAAATGCTTCATTGTAAGTATTCAGTGGGTAGAAGTAGACAGAAAGCTAATATCGCCCAGGGGTGGATCTTCTATGCTCAGTCAGAGTTTAAAGAAGTGCCAGGAAAGCTCCAATACCTTCGATCAGTGACCGAGCTAGCATTAGCCTGCCTCGAATACCACGTTGATGACGCCATGGAACTTGTTGCGGAAGTGCTAGAAAACTATCCAAATTTCTTCGAACCGAAGCAGCAAGAGATGCTCTGGTCAGCGATAATGAGTCCCTGGGGGATGGACATCTTGAAGAATCTCGATGCGGAAACAGTCTCCCTTGCAAGGATCATTGTGGCATATGGACAAATCCTGCTCAACGCAAGAATCCTATACCGGGAACCAGATATCACTCATCACCAGCAAGTCATGTGTAAGTGGGAGCTACGTAATTATACTGAGCTAAACTTGAAGAATTGAACTAACATGTCGCAGCTGTCTTACACGAATTACTTAAGTACCCCGACCCGGTCGGTGTTGAAGACGATGTCGCCCCAGTTGTGCTTGACTTCTGGAACAATTACGTCAGCACTATCGCAGAGGAACTCTTCCAGTTCACCGAGGAAGACGCCAAGCCAGCATGGACAGAAAAGGCGAGGGCCAATGTCTTCTTGGCGATATCTGAGTTCTTCCAAAAGATCACCTTCCCTCCAGCAGCTATCACCAAGTCTTGGCATTCAGACGAGAAGAAGACCTTCAAGGTGTTCCGCGTTGATGTCCGAGATATTGTGCAGGAGGCCTTCGAAGTCCTTCGAGAAACTGTGCTAGACCAGTTCCTTGACTTTACGCTGCGGGCCCTGGAAGCGGGCAACTGGCTGGAGCTTGAAGCAGGCATGTTCTGCTTGAACGCTATTTCCGAGGCTCTAGCAGAACCGGCCGATGCGCGGGTGCGGCGATTGTTTGAGCAACCTCTCTTCACTGTTATGGCTGGGAATGCAGAAATTCCTGCTATCACACGTCGAACTGCTGTCGAAATGGTTGCTGCCTTCAACAGCTTCTTTCTTCGAAAACCTGAGTTCCTTCCTCAAGTTTTGCCGTTCCTTCTCAGTGCTTTGGCGCAACCGGCTCTCGCACATAGCGCAGCGAAGTCATTTGCCTCACTATGCTCCGAGTGCCGAAAGTCACTTACAGGCGAGCTGACCTCTTTTTTCCAAATGTATGAACAGTTTCTCGGCTATCAAACGGCCGAAGAGTTCACGAAGAGCAAAGTATTAGAAGGTATTGCTGCGATAGTACAAGCCCAAGATTCAGACGACAAGCGACAGCCCGGTGTGCAGCAACTCTTTCAATACATCACACACGACGCCATGCAAGCAATCAACGTCATGAAGGAGGGTAACGATCCAGAGCAGGGCCAAGTCCTCGCTCTCACAACGCTAAAATGCCTCGCCTGCATCGGCAAGTCCCTCCAAGCATCCGATGAAGAAGTCATTGACCTCGAATCTGAGCACAACCCTTCCCAATACTGGACACAAGGCCCAGGCAAACAAATCCAAAATCAAATCATCAACTTCGTAAACTATCTCACTCAGGTATTCATCTCCAACTCTGAGGTCATCGAGGCAGCCTGCGATGTCCTACGCGTCGGACTCAAAGAAACAGTACCTGGGCCTTTTGTGCTCCCGCCATCCGCATTCATCGACTTCATCGCGAAAACGAATATGCAGACTCCGAGACTGCCATATGTTCTTGAGACGGCGTGTTGTTTCATCTCATCCCATAAATCAGACAAATCGGAAGAGTATCAGGTCCAGGCACAGCGCCTCCTCCACTACATCCTTACCATCATGCAAAGTCTCCAACATCCTTCCAACGACCCTGAAATCTCGGTTGGCTGTACCGAGGTGATACAAAAGTTCATCAGCACAAACGCGGCAATCCTATCGACGGTTCCAGCAGGTGTTCTGAAGGGCATGTTCGACTTCTCAATCGAATGTATCAAGTCCCCTGAGGTTCTACCTAAACGCGCAGCCGCGTCCCTCTGGAAAGATATATTTGAGCTGAGCGGAAATACGAAGAATGCACACCAAACGACGGGCCAGGATATTGTGAATCATTTTGGGCAGGCGGTTACGTCGGCGTTGATATTCAACGTATGTGGTGAGGTTGATGGATCCAGTCTGGATCAAATTATCGCACCATTGCGGAAGATCATTCAGTCCGACCGGAATGCGCGGACATATATCACGAACGCCATAGCGGAACAGCCTCTCATAATTCGTGTCAAGGAGGATCCAACAACTCAGGAGATGGTGCGGAAGTATGTTGAAGGGCTTATGAGGTTCGTATGTTTTTGCTTTGTTGTCTTTGTAGTTACAATATGAGCACAGAACGGCTGGCCTAATTATGTACAGAAATGCCCGCGCCTCCACAGCGTTCAAGGAAACGGTCAAAGACTTCTGGGCGAAGTGCAAGCAGATCCAGATGCAATTTACGCCCCCGCAGATGATGCATCCAGGCCATAGATTTGCGCAAGGTGTGCACCCTGCCCCGAGTCCAGCGCATGGGTACTAGATCGCAACCCCTCTACCCTTCGAACTATCTCCTCATCATTCCGTCTTCGGTAGAGATCCTATAGTCAGTAGTCCTTGAACTCAGCGAACGCAGCCAGCGCAAACGTGATCCCAAACGACAACTTAAACGCCACATTATCCTGCACCAAAGACCGAACGTTTGTGTTGTCGAATCGGCGCTGGATATAAGAGTAGGGTATTATATGGATGCCGCGGGATTCGAGGAACTGCACGACATTTTCAGATCTCCTTTCTTTTCACTTGTATACGACAACTGCATGGATTGATGGTGGGTAGCATGGCAAGCAGGTAGACGGGAATAGACGGAGACGGAGCTAGAGCTTGGGCATGGAATGGAATATGTAGCAACGACACCTGTGCAATGACAATGACGCCGATGGATTGTCTCCACCCAGCTACATACCTGCACAAACACAACACCCAACCCAATCAACACCGCTAGTGGTCTGCTAAAAACACTAACACCCAATCCCCCCAACACCCCTAGTATGCTTCCCAGACTAATCTGCCTTACATTCGGATTTGGTCGCCCCGTAGAGGCGGCAGTTGGTCGCGCATTGCTCATGTAACGAGACTTTAGATCGGATGTTATCTTGGTAAGCGGGTCTGGCGAATCGCACAGTAATATCGAGTTGTTTTGCCGGAGGAGGAGAGGGGTGGATAGGATGAGGGGAGTGGAGAGGAGCAGGCCTCTGCGGAGACCGGGCAGGATGAAAGCCATGATTTAGTGGGAGTGATGGGTGTGGAGGAAGGACTCGGAAGAGGATTAGGAAGGATTGAGGTGACACACAAGGCAGATCCGGGGAACGATGGCTAGACCCGACGAGGAAGGATTTCAGGGAGGGGTTAGTGTTGAGGATTGTGAACGGTGAGAGAGGGATGCCGGTAGTGTTGCCCATGCTGATGTCATTGGTTATCTGAGTCGCGTTTGCGCTAGGCCTAAATTGGACTAAAGCTTGGACCCTGGGCTCTTGGCGAATGGGGGTCGCGACTGCAGGTTTCGTGTCTTGACCTTCACGCCTCGGAAGGGCTTTTGCTACTTGAGTAAGGAGTATGCACAGCGTGACACTATAGTAACACCTTTTCTCTCGCTACTCTAACTCAATCATGTCAACCTACCCTCCATGAACTCACCCTCACCACCACCAATTTCTCAACTTTTAACCCTCAATCCACACTCCTCAATTCCCAATTCTCAACCCTAATCCCAACTTCCCACTCTACGAACCACTCACAATGGGTCGCCAAACGCTGCTCCTCGCTCTGGCAAACTTTCTAATACCAGTCGCGATACTGGTCTTCGCAACGGGCTTCTTCCCATACAAGCCTTTCATGCCCGGACTCGCGACATTTGAAGCGCTGGGCTGGGAGGAAAAGTTTCGCTGGACTAAGACGCCAGAGCCGCAGTTTGATCGGCTGGTGTTCATGGTTGTCGATGCGTTGAGGAGTGATTTTGTGTTTGGCAGGGAGAGTGGTATGACGTTTGTTCAGAGGTATGAAATAAATCCACACATGGCTTCCAGACTCTGTAAAGGAGGCGAGAAGGAGGAGAGTGCTGATGCATCATCAGCTTAATCCGAGACGGCTCCGCAATCCCATTTACAGCGCATGCAACCTCGCCTACAATTACCATGCCCCGCGTCAAAGCCATGACAACGGGCAGCATCCCCTCCTTCCTTGACGTCATCCTCAACTTCGCCGAGAGCGACACCACTTCCACGCTTGCTACCCAGGACACCTGGCTTGCGCAGCTGAAGGCAAAGGAAGGTGGGAACTTGGTCATGTATGGCGATGATACTTGGTTAAAGCTGTTTCCCGGCTTCTTTGAACGCGCGGATGGGACAAGTAGTTTTTTTGTTTCGGTATGTAGATACCTGCCCTCCCCCTCTGCTGTGGGGGAGCTCTTTGAATACAAGTTGATTTTGAGTAGGATTTTACGGAAGTCGATACTAATGTGACCCGGCATGTTCCTGAAGAATTGCTGAATGGTGATTGGAATGCGATGATTCTGCATTATTTGGGTCTTGACCATATTGGGCATAAGGCTGGCCCTAAAAGGTTGTCCCACGTACTTTCAGCTTATACGGCGTGTGAATGCTGATGGCAAGTCAGCCCCAATATGATCCCTAAACAAGTCGAAATGGACGGCATCGTCCGTCAGATATACGACGCAATCGAAAACGAAGACCATCTTTCTAATACGCTCTTTGTCCTCTGTGGAGACCACGGGATGAATGACGGTGGAAATCACGGAGGCTCCGCACCCGGGGAGACTTCACCTGCATTAGTCTTCATGTCTTCCAAATTAAAGAAGATTACGGAATTCATGGATAGAAAGAGTCCAGTAGACGGCAAGGGAGAAGGTGGGATGGAATTTTATAAGAAGGTTGAGCAGAGCGATATTGCCCCCACGCTCGCAGGACTACTAGGATTTCCAGTCCCGAGGAACAATCTGGGTGTTTTCATTGAAGACTTTCTTTACTTCTGGGACGACGGTATGCTTCCACTGCACCCCCCTAGACCCCAAGCATGGAAGGGTGACGTTGACGTTGACTTGACACAGGCTCCGATCGCATCCAACTCCTCCTACGAAATGCCAGGCAGGTGAAAAGGATCGTAGAAGCCACATTCCCAAGTCTAAACTTCGACGACAAAGTTCGAGATATCGAGACGGAGTGTGCAGGCGAGTTGAGCAGTGGGGAGAATTTAGCGTGTAGATGGCAGGGCGTTGTGCAGATCATGGAGACGGTCGCGACAATTCATCCTAAGTTGAGAGTGGATCAGATTTACTATGTAAGCCTGGCTTTAATCCCCGTTAATTACCCACATGGGCCATGCAACCTACTGCTTCACTGGAAAGATGTGGGGAATTGAGACGGATCTGGGTGCTGATTTGATATGGAAACAGTTCCTCCGTGCCGCCCAGGACGTAATGTCTAGCACCGCCTCGAATTACGATGTTTCACGCCTCATCCTCGGCACGTCGATTTCGCTTTTATCCTTCGGGCTTACATTTGCGACGCTCTTACCAACCCTCTCTATGATCTCCTCAACCGGAATATTTTATTCCTTCACTCTCATTCTCTATGGTGTATTAATGTTTGCATCTTCGTATGTCGAGGAAGAACATCATTTCTGGTACTGGACTACTTCGGCTTGGTTCTTGTATCTTTTCATTACTGAGTACGTCAATCGCCTCTCACTAACTTTGTTGCCTATCTCTCTCCCTATTCTAAATCCCCAACCACATCTCTCGTCTTATACACACTACCCCTTTCAACGTCTCATTAACAATCCCCACAGATCCCGCAAACAATGGTTTCCCAAATTCCTCTTCCATCCCGCCATAATGCTCCTTTTCTTACACCGAATAATCCGACGCTGGAACCAAACTGGCCAAAAATACGCCGGCGCACCGGACATTGTGCACTCGCCGTTCCTGCGAGGTTCCAACTCACTCGTACTTTGGAGTCTTATCGGCGCGACATACATGGACATCACCATCCGCCTATCCCGACACGTAGCGCGGACGATCTCAGATGGAGACAGCCCCCCCGCAACCGGCGAGGACACTGATAAAGAACGATTCATGGGGACATTAGCGGTGCTGCCTCTTGGAATTACGGCGTTTATGTTTAAGCTTGCGTTTACGGCTAGAGATGCCCCGGAGCTGGTACAAGGGATTACGGCCGGTGTTTTGGGATTTGTAGAGGATTTGAGTTTGGTGGGTGTTGCGAGGATGGTGTTTGTTGGGATTGCGCTTAGTGCGAGTTGGATTGGGATTTCGGAGTGGAGACGCTCGAGGGGAAGGAGAGGGATGGGGAAGGGGAAAGGGAAGGAGGGGGTAAGTGGTGGTGGTGGTGGTAAGTTTTCATTTCCTTTTAACATGGCATGATGCTGTGGTATTTATTGGTGTGGATATGGGATGCTAATTTTCCATATAGACTTCGCTCCCGCGCTTTTCGACCTGCTGTCCCTTTTCCTAATAACCCAAACACGTGCGCAAAACATCCCGCTCTACCTACTATTCAGAATGCAGCTATTCTTCCTAAGTGAGCAACCCCACCCTCCTGTCGGTCCCCTCAATCCCTACCCCCCTTTAACCCATCTACAGCCCTCCTCGACCTTCCTCCCCTCGCCACAACTCTAACCACCATCCTCCTAACCCAAACCTCCTTCTTCGCCCTCGGCAACACCAACGCCATCTCCTCAATCGACCTCTCAAACTCTTACAATGGCATCTCGGGCTACGCCATCTCCGCCGTCGGCTTTCTAGTCTTCGTCTCCAATTGGGCCGGCCCAATATACTGGAGCATAGCCGGCATCCTTCTCCTCGGTGGCTACACCCGCAGCGGCGGTACCGCTGCAAAAGTCCTGGACGCGAAAGAGATCGCAGAGGAGACGAAGGGGTGGGTTGTTGCCGAGCGGGAGTATCTTGAAACGCTGATTGACAAAGACAAGCATGCTAAAAGGAGTAGGCAAGATGGAGGCGTTTTTAGACAGCATGTAGCGGGACTGTCGCTTTTTACAGTGGGGGCCGTTGTGGCGGTTATGGCGGCTTGTACAGCATTAAGGAGTCATTTGTTTATATGGACAGTGTTTAGTCCGAAGTTTTTGTATGCGATGGCTTGGGGGGTGGCGTTTCATTTAGGGGTTAGTGTAGGGGTTGGGGGGGTGGTTTGGTGGGTAGGGAGTTGGTGAAATTAAGGGAGGGCAAAAGGGAGGTGGAAGGGTGTAAGAGAGCGAGTGGTAAGAGAGAGACAGGGGAAGGCCTTAAACTCCGTATTGCAAGCAATTCCCGTGTCTCTAATAGTCGATGTGCCGTCGCCAGCAGAAGATAGGGGCCGTGTTGGACCCGAAAAGGAGGATTCAAAACCAATACCCTTTCCAAACGTTTTAGTACTTAGCTGGTACTACATGTATATAGAGTATACGTCTAACTATAGGTAAGAAGGTGTACGTTTATCTTGAGCCTTTTCCAAAAAGGCTGAAAGCTTCTACCTAGTAAAAGTATTTCTTACTTACAAATTTACTACCTTAAAAACAGCTGAACCTTGTAGTTTACATAAGCGTTAAGATTCCCACTAGTCATAGAGATGATCAACCGAAGATTTTTTCCCCAACTCTTCCATGCTATTAGCCCGGGATCCCAGAGCATACCGTGTCACACGTGCTTGAAATGTATTGGGTCGGCGACACTCCATAATACAGTTCAAGCCTCAGTATCTCTAGGTCTACTTACCATTGCCAAAGATTAAATACCCCATCGTGAGAATACCGAAGAAGATGCTAGCGACTAGTGCGGAACGGAGATCACGGCGTAGTACCTTCATTACCAGCTGCATATTGTATTCCACGAAATAGGTATTTGGAGCCTTGTGTTGTTTTATCAACCAAGCTGAAGGCATAGCTACGTGGTCTTGGGTGCACGGTAACGTGGCTGAGAGTGGCAGGTAGACTGGGTAGTTCTTTAGCTACAGAATGCAAGACAGTTTAGATACAATACTACGTGAACTTGAACAAGCTAGACGTGATTTAACGGGTTAAAAACGGCGGTAGAGAAGGGCTTGTAAAGGAGTTTGAAGGATAGCAAAAGGTTTGAGTGGATAATATAACTTATATAGATTCTTTAGTAAGAGTCTAGAAGTATGTTGTCTGTTCCAACGCTCTCAACCGTACGAATTACGTTTCATACTTTTCGTCTCAGTACTGTCACGTGAGCCGTAGCAAACGTAGTATAGTCCTTGTACGTTTTGTTTTGTCTTGTAAGTTATAGCTGCAGACTGTACTGCGTCTTAAAAGCTTAACTTTTAGGTAAAGATTACTTATTAGCTTAGACATTAATAGGTAGGGACCTGTAGCACTGTTAGACAAGTTTTTTAATAAGCTAGTTATTAATTAGGGGGTAAGATTACCTAATAACCTAGGTGCAGCATTTCTTACTTAAATTAACACTACTAAATCTTTCTATATCTTAATATTATGTTAACTATGCGTAATTTCCTTAGTTAACAAGCTTTTATGTAGAGCACTAGCTAGTTACAGAGCTCTTAGAGCTCTTAGTTAACCTAGAGTAGTAATATAATTTATTACACTTATTTCTGTTGCTTAGAAAAGTTATAATTATTATTATTAAAGTTTTTATTCTATAATAGCTTTTTAGCTTCTGTATATAATTTTTATATAAAAGAACACCTTAGAGATTCTTTTCTTAATCTAGAAGTTATGTTTTTAATAAAGTAGAATAATATATAGCTTGCTAGTAAAAAGCTAAAAGCAAAGGAGCTAGGTTACTACATAAAACACTCTTCTTAGCTCTAAGGTAACAGAAAGGTGTTAGCAGTGTAGAACTATAGAGCTAACTTACTGTACACTAGAGAAGGCTTAAGGGTAAAGCTCTAGCTCTGCTAACTCTGCTATTGCAAAGGTAATTATGCTGCTACTAAAATAGTTAATAGCTATAGCTATATTAGCTACTATTTTAAAAAAAAGCATAGAATTAATATTAGTAGTAATAAAAGTTTTTTACCTAATTCTTTTTATGCTCTACTTAATCCTTAGGCAGCAACAGCTGCTACAGTAGTAGGCTTAGCCTAAGTTGCTTCTTATAATCCTTAGTAAGAGAAGTTATTGCAGAGGTTGTTAGTAGACTAAGTTATACTTTATAATATATTATTTATAACAGCATTCTTAGCTAAACTTTAAGGCTTTTTTACTTAAAACTAACTAGATCTTCTTGCTACTATCTTAAGCTTAGATGTAATAATATTATTATATATAAAGTAAAAGTTAACACGCTAAAAAAAGAAGATTTAAATAATATTAAAATTAGCTAAGTTAAAAGTAGTATTAAGTGTTAATATATAAACTTTACTAAACTACCTTTTTTTTTTAAAGTAGTAGCTTACTTTTTTAGTAAGTTTAGTAAAACCTTAAAGAGGCTATTTTAGTGTCTTAGCTTAGAAAACTAATAATAAACAATAACTAACTTTTACTTTATAAATGTTAATTATTAATAATAAAACTTACTTATTAGCTTCTATAACCTTTATAGCAACTATATAGGGGCTAACTAAGCGTAGGCTATCTTTAAAATTATTTAGAATTATAAAATTATGTTAAAATTTAGTTATTTTATTACTAATAACACATTTAATAATAACAACTCTACTATTAACACTTTAGCTAAATATCTTAGAGTTAACCTTAATAGAGAGCACTGTATATGCTGTACAGGCTACATAATTTAATTAGTGCTAAAGGCAGTTATTTATAGCAAAAGATTATTATAATTTAAAGCTGCTTTTATAAACGTAGCTCTCTAAGATTAGTTTAAGCTTTATTATAAATATAAAGTTGTTAGTAAGCTACATAACTTTATTAATACTATCCTTTTATTATATAAACACTAGAAGGCCTTTATAGCTATATAATTATCTTTAAGAGAAGAGAATAAGCTCTAGAGCTTTAGCACACTTAATTTAATATAAGACAGTAGCGTCTGCTAGCATTCTGTATATCTAATGCTTGTACAGTGCCTAGAGCTTAAAGATCTAATTACTAAGTTTATCTAAAAGTAGCGCAGCATAGATAACAACACTAAGAACTCTAATATACCTAGTAATATAGCTTTTTAAAAGATTATTAGTAAAAAAAACTAAAAAAAAGTTAAACACTTTACTAAGTTCTTTAAAGTTTTTTATTAAATAATAAAATAGCTAGAGAGTAACAGTAAGCATAGTTCTTTATAGATATCTATTATTAATATGCAAGTGCTATATAATAAGCTGTTGTAGATAAAGAAAAAACTTTTTTTTAAGTCTAATAATAGTTACTTTAAAAACAGTGTTTTCTTTAGACTTAAAAAAATTAACACATATTTTTAAAAAATAGTTATTAATTTTTTTATCTTTTACTTAGTAATTACTACTATACTTAACTTATAACTTTATATACTCTAGTTTAAAGACTACTAGTGTTATTACTAATCCTAGTACTAGAAGGCAGAGACCTTAATAAAGGTTATTTTCTAGCATTACATTAATGCTAAAGAAGATAAGAAAGTTAATATAAATCTTTTTTAGTAAAAGCTTTTAGTAATAAGCTTTTATAACTTTTATTACTAAAAAGCTCTTATAGTTAACACTTCTCTTCTTACTAGAGCCTAAAGTTATAAAAAAGCTTAGAAAATAATAGAGTTATAGTAATACTTTAACACTTATGTAAAAGACTTTTAAGATGCTAAAGTAAAAAATAGCTATTTTTTATAAGCTAGCCTTCTTACTTAGTAGCTTAAAGTAGGTTAAAAATAGTATCCTATGCTGTTTAAAATTGCCCTTAACTTCCTTGCTATACCCTCTACTAGCTGCAACTGCAAGAGAGCCTTTAGTAAAGGCTAGCGTATAGTTACAATTAATAAAGGTTCTCTTTCTAAGGCTACTATTAAGGCGCTTTAATTATAAAAGAATTAGCTATGTTATTAAGTTATAAAGAGCAACTTAATTAAGCTTATAAACTTTATCTAGAAGTAGCTAGTTACTATACTATAAAATGTTAACAGCAGTAAGTAAGATAAAATGTTAAAAAGTATAAGAATTTTAGTGTGTTTTAGTTTAGCAGCAAAACAGACAGCTAAGTCGCCCAGGCTGTACAAACGTAGCAGGAAAGTGAGACGTTGACGTCCGTCAATTACTACGTTTCGTTTCGTTTCGTTCGGTTGAGAGCGTTGGTCTGTTCTGACATCCTAGCAAGAAAGTACTTAACACTTTGCGTAGAAAAGTGCTGCTGATTCTTCTACCATTTTTAAAAGACGAAACAAATTATTGCTTTCAAAATACATGCACAAAACTTGGTTACCTTCTTGCAGAATTCAACATACCATTTTCTCACGCAAGAATCTAGCAAGACCCCAGGCACTTTGTGTTCAATCTAAAACTTCAGCACGTAGATGCATAACTCGTTGTAAGAGCCTCACTACTATACAAGATACATTCCTAATTCTGCCCGGAGAGGCAGCCCCTTCAAAAGTAGTGTACAAAGCCCTAAAAAAACAGAGTAAACCCGACCCAATCAACCCCTCCTTCCCCAAATCCCTCTCTCCCCTCTCCAACTCCCCAACCCCCATCATAAATCAGCCGCGAACCTGACGAATCCTACAGGGTCCCTATAGACCAACCCTGCACAGCCTCCCCGACCGCCTCTTTTCATCCAAACATCAACAGGCGCAGGCAACTCGAGGGTGGCAGACAGGGCATGACGTGCAGAGCGTTCTGGCAACGTACCTTGATTTTTGGAAGGGTCCGTGACCCAACCTCCCGGCCTATCAAAGACGGGCGGCCCGACAGCAGCAGCACGCGACAGTGGCCGGGCGGCAGCGAGAGCGGCGAGTTGCTGCATTTCAGCAGCAGTGGGGATCTCGACGGACACGGGCCGGTTTGGCCTGGGAGGCGGCGGGCCAGTCGGCAGATGACGGAGTGCGGGGATCGATGGAGCCGGACGCGCTTTGTGGTTAGCATTGCTTAATAGAGAGACGAGAAAAGAGGAACAAACACTTATCCTTCTGACCGGCTACCCATGATGGGAGCGGAGGGACGGGTGGGATTTTGTCTTGGGTGTCGGCTGCGGCACGAAGGTTCTTGTGTGATTTGAGGGAGAAGAGGGAACGCTTCTTCTTGACTGCTTTGACTGGGATTGGTGGAAGTGGTTTGTTGACTTCTGTGGTCACATCCTCGTCTGTTGGGTCTCTGAGGAATAGCGACGGCTTCTTCTTGACGATACGGAGCGGAGAAATCGGAGTGATGTCATCGACGTAGTTGGCGAATGCGGCTGGCGGAACTAGAGGAGCTCGCGGGATTGACGTGACTGGGGGCACTTGGGGGAATGACGGGAGAGGAGTTTGCGGGAATGACGAGATAGGAGCTGGTGAGAATGGCGGGACTGGCGCTCGCGAGAATGACGGTACTAGAGGAGCTGGTGGGAATGTTGAAACCGGTGTAGGCGGAGGCACAGGCGGAACATCGTCGTCAGTGCTGTTACCAGTGTCCTGGTCGGTGGACTTGGACTTTCTGAACAGGCGCGAAGCTAACTTTGTTGGTAGCTGAATACAAAGGGTCGGTAAAATCGAGTGAATAGTGATGATTGAAGAAGGATGTGGGACGAGACGTACCCTTGCACTTAAGTTTCTTCATCTTGCCGCTCTCTCGCACGAAGCGTCACGGGGATCGATGAAATAAAGATGATAGTAGTGGGAGGCCTGTACGAGACTGAGGTCGAGGGCGTCGAGGGCATTAGAGAGCGTGGGGGCGCTGAGGTAGAGTGTTTCGTTGTTGTAGAGGGTAGTGTTTGTTTCTATCTGTTAAGTCATCTCCCCTTGACCGCCAAACGGAGGCAAAGACGTCATATATAGCGCGAGACGCGTATTGGCGTGTTTTCTGTGTTGTTTTCTGTGTTTTTTTCTGTGTTGTTTTCTTGCTGCTTATGGTGATTTTCCTCACGGGCGAAGGTATAATGATGATCATCTAGCAGCGATTAGGATGGATTGTGCTCAGAGGAGAGCTCAGTTACTCTCAATGGGCGTCGAACAAGTGAGTATTCCGCGGCCTATCCGTCCTTGCTGCATCCCGTTGTCGATTGAAGAATGACTAGAGAAGGGATCAGTCATAGGGTTAAAGCCGGACAAGTTCTGGATGGGGATTGCAAAGTTCGTCCCTCGAGAAGTAAAATCATTTAGGTATGAGTTCTCTCCGATTTGACCTAGTATTCGGGTTCACCTTTCACGGCGACTTATCCCCTTTTTCATTCTTGCCCTCAATTCCAATATTCATGCTCATTGTGGTACTACACAAGTTGGTAGAAAATAAGGCAAAGAAAGAGAGATTCCAAGTACACCTGGGTTCCACTACTACTCCTACAAGCCGGACAGCGACGACGAATCAGGATACCAGTCCCTCTAGTAGAATACCAGAGAGAATTGATTCGGATTTGGTGCCTGCCGTATGGTTAAAGATCGCATGAAGGGAGGAAGGACTTCATCGGAGGACGGGTGCAACAGGGAGCATCGTGATTTCCAGCTCGTCTTCCTTGCTAGAAGTAGCGTGCGAAGTCATTTGGCTCCCTGAATCTAACAGCATGGAGCTTGGGCTAGATGATCGAGGTTGTATTTGTTCGTCAATGATTGCATGCCGTAGGAAAGAAACTCGAACATAGCGAGAATCGTAGCGTAGGATAACCTCACAGCAATTCTGAAAGACTTGATTTGATGGAACGTAAAGTTAAGAATGGAATGGGTCAAAGAGACTTGGAAAGCAACTTTAAGATATAGAGAAGAAGTGGAAAGCAAAGCAGCCACCTCGATTCGATGGCACTCTAAGGAGACGCGGTACTGTCTCAGCAAGTCAGTATTTGCGAGAAGCTGCAATGACTCACCACTAGTCATGCAGCCTTGATCACACATGGCTGAAAACTTATCAAGCTTGAGCTTGTGGAGCAGTGGAGAGGTCACCTTGCTGGATGTCGCATACCTCTTTCTTAAAGGGCAAATCATCAGATACGGCGACAAGAATGAGACTGCGAAGAATACGCGCTGGACACGGTCGATATCTCTTAATTGAATCGCCGGGGTTCATTATGTGTCCATGGTCTATGATGCATCTGTAAAACCATGCATAGTGCAAGTGGGAGGCTAAGGGTCCCAGGACAGTGATCCGTGGACAGAAAGAAAAACACATTACCAGTCTAGATTAGAATTGGCTAGTAGAAAGCCAACAGAGGTCGCAGTCAAGAAGAAAGAAGAGAGAAACAAAGAATGTGGCATTGCTTGACGAATGTGGGCTTAAGGAAAGACCGGTCCGCCCCGCAGCTCCCCTTCCAAGATTGGTCACCGAGAATACGATATTTGAAAAAAAACTAGGCAGCCATTCCGAGGCGTAGAATTTTCCGCGGATGTTTGCAACAACTTCGGCGTTGAGGAAGCTTGGATTTGGAAAGGTGTCAATGGCAACTGTCTCCGTTGGCTGAAGGGATCTACGGAAGAGCCTGCGTTGCGTCAAATTGCCTTATTAGCTGGAGGGCGAGAAGACTCACCTATGCTTGTGAATAATGAGCAGGGAATTGCCATTAGAATCAGAATTAAATAGACACATTGAACACAAATAAAAGAGATGGGTTTGAAATTTTGATTGAGAAACTAGTTGGGACTAAAACACAGAAATTCCTTTGTGTGTTCTTTCGAGTCCGCTGCTGTTAGGGTTAGTCGCTCTCAGTGCCAGCTCCCAGGCAAAAAGCTTGCCAGAACCATGCCATGAATGAATTACTGGAAACCCAAAGAGAGAACCCCCGAACACCGACCGCAAAAGACCATTCCGTCATTATGACGTACGTAACGTACTGATAGAATAGAGCCGTGTCCAGAGTCATACAAGTATCGTGTGTGTGGATAGCGATGAGGCGGACGAGCGATGGAGCGCTTAGCGGTCCTCGGCCCACTCATTCTCGCGTCGGATCTGGTCCTCCTCTTCAGGGGTGAAGTCATTCTGGATGTTGAATGTTTTTCGGATCTCGTCCGGTGACTTGCCCTTGATCATATTGGCGACAGTCTTGCAGCCAACATCAAGAAGGGCCTTAATGTCGAGGTAGTTGGCGGCCTGTTGCAGCCGTTAGAACTTGATAGGAGCAGTAAAATGAGGAGGGAAAACATACGAGGATGATCTCAAACAGCATCTCTTGATCAACTTGCATGAACTTCTGATCCCACTCATCGATGTCTGTTGACTTCTTTCGGCTGTCGGAGTCATCATCCTGGGAAGCCGGTGGGTCCTTTCGGTGTTGCTCGCACCACTCAAGGACCTTCTTCATAACAGCCTCGTTCACCTGATGGGGGTTAGGGAGTAGCACACAGTATTTGCTGGCGGGCAGAAAGGTAGACGGGCAGGTAGGAAGGCCGGTAGGCAGGTAGGCAGGTAGGCAGGGAAAGAGCTACTGAGAGTGGGCAGCGGGGTAAAATACTTACATTTGGGATGGGGATGGCCTCGCCAGATTCTCCACCGAGATCCTCGAGCAAGTTCTTGATCAAGATGGAGCGCTCGGCAACTTCGCGCTCGACTTTGATGTCGGCATTGTCGGAGGTTGTGAGCATCACGAAGTTCTTCGCCTCGGTCGCAGATGAGGAAGCCATTTCGACGAGGTGGAGCTGCGGGGTTGAAGCTGTGCGCGGATAAAGTTACTTTGTAGTTGAGGATGCGGAGTCGGATGTTGAGAGTGTCGTAGAGAAGAGTGGGCAGGAAGGCAGCGTGGGGCGGCTTTATATGAGGTCCTGGGGTTGTGGTTTCCTCGTTGGTGAGTTGGGTAGGAGGCAGCGAAGTTGTTGCCGCAAGCCTGTGCCCGCTCTTGACATCGAGGGCGAAGTCAGGCCCCAGCACCCAAGGAAGCTTAGCGCAAGGCTGCCGTCCTCTGCGCCTCGTTTCCCCCTGCTTCCTCTGCGTGACTTCACCGAGCACAGTTCACGACGACAGCAGGCACAATCTGTCTGTAATCGTTCGTTGCTGCCCTCGAAAATTTCCTTTGACTTCTTTGTGCGACACCCTATCCTATCTAAACGGGACAATGTCTGGCCTGAACCATGGGATTCATCAAGCCAAACCAACAAAGCCGGAAATACTACAGTACTCTTCCGGGTTCCAAATCTTCCTGAATCAATGCCGTGCGGAAGCTACTAGAAGTCAGCGGCCCCCATCACCACCATTTTCGCTTCCAACACCTCTGAACAAGTAATTCCATTCCATCGTTGGGAGAGAATCGTTCCTCTTCATCTTCACCCACCATTACTATGACCTAGACCTAAAACTCGAATGCCCTACAACCAAGGGCTTACTACTGTATCTGCAGCATGTAACTGTTCTGTTGACTCGTTAAAAAGTGATACATTGAAAAAGCTGCTCGGGGAAGTTGCTATCCAGGCACGTGACATCCCAATGTGCCAAGTCTCAGCCTTGAAACTCATCCGAGGCGGCAAGTATCCAGGTGTCGTTTGCGGGTATATCGAGCTTACCAAGCAATCAAACAAATGGCGTCTATTTCTGGCCTTTTTCTCTTCAAAACGTTACGAACGTTATCCCATCTTCCCGCTGTTGAAACGCGGTGAATCAGCACTGCCCTTTACCCCTTTCCTCCATGCAGACGTGGCCGTAGCACCACCACCGACTGGTAGTGGGTGTTTGATCACGCTTGCCAAAGGCCAGGCTATAAAGCTTGGTGGTCGAACATTGCCAAAAAGAAGAACCGGGCCAACAACGACCATGCCCGCCCTCGATCTCTCCTGCACTGAAGTTGATTTTCTCCTGCAGGCAGCATGTGGCGGAGAACTTATTTTCTGCTAATCTTGGTGCGCATCTACTTTGCGATGTCGCCGAGCTATCTCCATCCCGACGAGAACTTTCAGGGCCCCGAGGTCATCGCTGGTAATTTCCCCCCGTACTTCGTATTCTTCTCCTCTTGAAGCAGCTAACAGGATCGTGTGTGCAGGACGCGTCTTTTCCTACCCCGTTCACGAAACATGGGAATTCACTTCCGCACATCCCATCCGCAGCTCCTTCCCGCTATGGCTCGCCTATGGATCTCCGATGTACCTCCTGCGCTGGCTCTGGGAAGGCTTTGGGTACGATGAAGTGCCTCCGTCGGTCGTATACTGGACGTTGCGCGTGTTGATGCTCACGCTGAGCGTCGTGCTGGAAGACTGGGCAATACAAGAGCTTGTGCAGTCGCCGCGCGCACGACGCGTCGTTGTGCCTCTGATAGCTTCGTCATACGTCACGTGGACTTTCCAGACGCATACGTTCTCGAACAGCTTGGAGACGCTCATTGTGAGCTGGAGCTTGGTGCTCATACAAAGGATTGTGGAAGATAGGGTATGTGTTGAGCTAAGAATGTGGCTCTGCCTGGATATATGCACTGACACCTTCATAGAAGCGCTCTGGCGTTCTAGCATCCTCACTCCTGGGCTTCTTAGTCGTCGTGGGAGTATTCAATAGGATCACGTTTCCTGCTTTTCTCCTCGTCCCCTCGTTCAGCCTCCTACCTCATTTTCGACGCAAGTGAGTTCAGCCCCCCCCGCCTTCATGATACGAACGCCACTAACGCGTCATAACAGGCCGTTCTCTCTCGTATTCATCGCCATCTTCGCCCTCTTCACCGCGTTCGTTGCTATTAGCGTTGACACTGGATTCTATACCCCTGGGGAATTCCATTTCTCGAGTCTCTTACACCACCCTGTCATCACACCCCTCAACAATTTCAAATACAACTCCAAATCCGCTAATCTTGCTCAACATGGCATCCATCCTCTCTACCAGCACTTTCTCGTAAACCTACCACAGCTCCTCGGCCCAGCCTTCCCTCTCCTTCTCTTTCTCCGCCGCCCACATTTAAACCCCGCCCTTGTCTCCGCCATATCTGGCATTGCACTCCTCAGTCTTTTTCCTCACCAAGAAGCGCGTTTCCTTATACCTGCCGTCCCCCTTATCCTCGCGTCGATCCGCCTCCCGAAGCCACCACACGCGAAGCTTTGGATATCGTGTTGGATAATCTTTAATATTGCACTCGGCGCTCTCATGGGCATCTACCACCAAGGTGGCATTGTCCCTGTTCAGAACTACATCGCTAGGACGAACGACAGCGTCTCTCACGTTTTCTGGTGGAAAACTTATAGTCCCCCGATATGGCTGCTGAACGGCAAAAACGAGGAACTCACCACCCGCGATCTCATGGGTATGCCTGGTCCGCAAATGCTATCAGAACTCCAATCCGTCCTACCTCGTTGTCGAACCCGGAAACTCCCATATATGGATACGAAGGCGGTGTATCTCGTCGCGCCTCGGTCGGCCTACTTTCTCAATCCGTATAAACTGCCGGAGGGGAAGGAGGGTATCGAGTTGGAAGAGGTATGGAGTTACGGGCGTCATTTGAATCTGGATGACATGGACTTTGACGAGGATGGAGTATGGAAGACGCTGGGAAGGGTGGTGGGGGACAGGGGTTTAGTGGTTTGGAGGGTGGGGAGGGAGTGTTGGGGGAGGGGGACGTAGTTTGATTGGGGTAATAAGATAGACAAGAGAAGGGTTATACGTTTGAGCGAGGGATTTTAGACGGGCGTTTCTTGGATTTGAGTTGGAAATGGTCGGGTGTTGTGGAGATGGGAATACGTGAGATCTGGGTGCGCTTTTCGTTATGATACCCTCTTTGCTAATTTGATGAGATAATCTCTAAACAATAATTTGATGTACGAGCTGTTCGGGAACATCTCAGCTCAGCTCAGTCCTGTCTACTAGTTACTAGTACAACCCTAATATTTTCACAAATGCTGTTAAACGCTCTCCCGCTCCCTTCCGTGTGCTGTACAATACCAACAAATAATCTCTATCTACAAAGCTCCTCCCAAAACCCTAACAATCCACATACTCAGTCGCACCCCAACGCTTACCTTCCGCTCCGGCTTCTCAAACTCAGCTTCATCGACTTTGGTTGAATATTCGCTGAGCCAATTTACCTCTTCCCCAAGCCTCTTTCGAAGGCCGGGATCAGAGGTTGCGATGATGACATTAGCTTCCAGATCGAGTTGGTAGGAGCGTTTTGTGTAGTTTGAAGAGCCTACGACTGTTATACTTGGCGCGTCTTCGATATGTCCCTGGGCACCCGCATCTGGATTTTCTTCTAGCTTCTTGGTTCTGCTGCGGAGAGAGGCCATGGCGGAGGGTGAGGAAGACACAGAAGGAAAGCATATCCAAAGGCCCTTGGCGTGGTACGTCCACCCTCCCTTCTCCCCCACCTTCCCTTTCCTCCACTCCCTCAACTCAATCCTCTCTTCCAACCCTGCAAATCTCACCTTCCGCAAAAACATCTTCGATAAATGCGTGTATGCATCCGGCAACATCCCGCTAACACCTGCGGATCCGAAGAATCCGTTCGCGAATGGGTGCGCGGTGAGTACGGTGCCGTGGAGGGGTTTGGTGGCGAGCAGGAGCCGCCGGAAGGACGGTGTCATGTTGAAGTAACCGGCTGTGAAGGTCCAGGTGGAGGGAGTGAAGGAGGGGGTGGTGAGAGTGGTTAGGAGGGTGGTGAGGGCGGGGAGTTCGGTGGAGGTGGGGAGGAGGGGAACCAGGCTGAAGACTGGGTAGATGTGGGTGGTTGGTGTT